GGGGCCCGGCCCCGGAGAAAGGCGGGGGGGGGGGGGCGGGCGAGGGGGGGGGGGGCTTGGCGTTGAAGGGGTTGAGGGGGGGAAAAGGGGAGGGAGTTTAGGAGCGATAGGGACTTGAGGGGGACTAATGAAGATTTGAGCACAGGGAGAGCCAGAATTGTGTGGAAAGCTTTTAGCGCGCAAGCGAATTTGCGCCAGCAGAATAAATTGCTAAATGCTTTGTGCGCAGAATTGACGGCGTAATTATGAGCGAGGGGCAAAGGTGTGTAGGGTGGGGGGGGGGGGGGGGGGGGGGAGAGGATTGGGGGGGGGGGGGAATGGGGGGGGGCGATTATAGGGTGTGGAAAACGAAGGATGGGGGGGGGGGGGGAGATCGTTAGGCCGGTATAATAAGGGGTTAAGGACTTTGTTGGTGGGGGTTGGGAGAATGAATAATGTTTTAGTAAATCGATATTGAGGAAAACAGAATATAATAGAAGTTTAAGATTGCCAAAACAAAAATCGGTAGTAGAATATAAATTAAATTGTAACAAATACTTAAATTTGAATTCTCTATACAGTTATTAAAATAAAATAGCTAAATTAAATAATTAAAAAATGGCTTGAATCTGGTTTACCATTTATTAAGTTTGAATCCATAACGAAAATTAAAGAAACTTTATGGATAAGTCAATGCATTAGGGTAATTGTTATTATAATGTCTTATTACTTATAAAAAGGAAAAGATAATTTGATTAGTGATTTATAATTAATTTAATTATTATTTGGAATGATATATTATTTAATGATTTCAGGTAATGAATATTTATTTTAATTGTAATTATTAATCTCAATTTTGTTTTAAGAGAAAAATAATTTTTGATTTATTTATTCAAAGTTTATTATGTATATAGGTATCTAAAATTAAAATGAAATATAATTAAATAAATATTAAAATAAAATTAATAATAAATTAAATAATGGGAAACGATATTCAAAGAGTATAATAATTAGGAGATAGCATAAGACAATTACGAGAAGACATGGATGCGCTTTCCAAAATTGCGCCTCAAGTTGAAAAGATGATTGCTTTGTCAAGTACTTTAGAGTCGACAACCAAAAATGTAATATTCATATATTAAGTATTAGATTAATGAGAATATGTCTAAAGTCAGTAAGACAATTTAAGATGTTGATGAAAAGGTAAAAAAAGCCAAGGAAATCATAGATAAAATACCTGGAGGAAATAAATTACAATCATTTTTTTGAGATTTAATACATTTTATTTAATTCAACAATTGATATTATATGAATAGCAATAAATTAGCGTCTGTGTCTTAATATGGAAATGGTCAAATAGTAAATAGGTAGTTAAAAATCCTTTTGATTCTTATATTTTCTACATGATTTTAAATAATAACCCTAAGATCTTGTACAATTAGTGATTTGATTAGTTTGGATTGAAAATGATGCTTTGATTTCAAAAGATATATATAATATATATATTTAAAATGAAATCAATTGCTATATTAATCATCTGCTTTGCAATGACATCATGCATTTACACACCTGCTGAACGCCAATATAACCAAGAAGCATTAGAAGGAGCTTATGAATACAACAAATTGCCTCAACCATAGCATGTTTCTAATTGTGGAGACGATGCGATTTAGATTGACATTTTCGAATTTGTTGGTTATATGTTACAGAAAGCTGACAAGGCTAGTGTATCCTAATTATTAGCATTAAAAAAGGAAGTTGATGACTATTTTAATGTATTTGAAGTTCACATTTATATAGTCGCTACCAGAGGAATATACTAGCTGCTTATATGCCGAACCTGAATTTGTTGAGATGTGTACGTTATATGGATTGAAGGAGACAGATAGAATGGAACAAATCACTGATAAAATCTATGAATACGCAATGGCACACTTCTTTGTTACCAAGAAAGAGATTCATTAGGGAAATCTTCTATGGAATACATAACACGAATATCATGAGGCAGGATATTTGGTTGCTAATTTTGCTAAGAAAGCCTTGGTAACAGGATTAGAATAGGTTGAATGATGATTTAATTATCAACATAATAATTGTGTATAAATATCACAATGTTTCAATTCTAGCCTCGGATACTTTTGCTTCTTTACTGTCCCAACCGCTAAACAAATATGCAGCAAATCTGTAATTTTTATTAGGAGGTAATTTGAAGGTAATTTATTTATTATTTTCCCCAGCTTTTCTAATTATGAATGCATCTCCATTTCTAATACATTCAATAATCTCTCCTTATTTTACTTCGATTCCTAGAGATTTCTTATCAAGATTCTCATCATTGGAAGCAGCAACCACTTAAAAATAGATGAGTAATTTACATTTGTCTGAATAAACAATCCACATTCCATGGTCTAATCCATAATTGCAATTTCCTGAAAAATCGGTTTCTTTGACAATATCGAAATCCACTATTCCAATACCGATACTCTGATATGTTAATGAATTTTACTGTTTATATTGTATCGCAACAAATCTTCACCTTTATTAGGTCTTGTTCTTTTGCAGGTTCATCCAAAAGGACTAAACCTCCTTCTTCTTGTTCCTCAACAACTGCGAGATTACCATGTACCTCAACATATTCACTTTTATAAGTAGAACTAAAGTTTCTTGCTTCAGCTCCAGTTCCAATTTATTAAAATTGTGGTTCACCTATAACTGTGTTGCTAGTTTCACAATTACCCATTATTTTATTTAATAAATAATTGAATATATTTTAGCAATTAAATACTATAAAATACTAAATAAAGAATGGAGCAAATATAATTCACAATTAAAGTAATTTGTTATAATTACAGAAATTTTAAGTTTTTTTTTATTGACACATCTAATTCATCCAAGCGTTAAATATTGCTAAGTTTCTGATTATTTAATAAATTAGAAATAATAAATAATTTCAAATAGAAATTCTTTTTATTTTGATAAATGTGCTAATTTTGATAAATTTGTACTTCTTCTTTGAAAAATAATATTAACTAGTACAAATTTATATGAAGATTGGAAATAAAAATAGTAAGGTGATGATGATCCTTATAAAAGACTTTGAATTATGGCTATTACTATTCATAGCAACAGTAGAGGAATTCTTAGCAAATTTCATTTTTATAAAAATAATTAGAAGGATCTCAATTGCACAAATCCTGGAACTTTTAGATGGATGTTGAATTTGAAATAAGTAAAGATCAAATGAGCATCATTAGAAGAACTTTGAGGTGTTGAAGATTACATGGACAAAAAGAGCAGTGGGATATCAGAAATCAGTTGGAAATCTAGAGTTTGTGTTAATTAATAATGTCGAGTATTTTTTACTTACTGACTAGCTTGAAGCATGATTGTAGATGGTCAACACATTTGTTCATAAACATAAATGAAAATTAGATTTATATAAGAAGAATATACAAGGAGATATTTATTATTATTATTAAAAAATAGAAATGTTTGGATAGGTGGTGCATAAATTCCAAAGAAACTAAAATCATCTGTTAAGCAAATACTTAAGGGCTGGAAATAGGTAATTAAATAAATGGGATGTAGATCCAATCCTTTTGAGAATACATTGACCATCCTTGAGGACCCTGCTCATCATAGAAAACTATATCTTATTGGATCAACACATGCCTCTACTATGTTGGCCTACAGAACATAAAAATTGATTAACGAAGTCAAGCCTGATAGTGTCTATGTGCAAACAAACCAAGAATGGTGGAATATTGTTAAAAATATTGAGGGAGTCACATCTCAATATGAATTGAATGCCTATAATGATGTATTAAGAGGGTCTTATAAATGGGAATTGGAAACTGGAGTCAGGAATTTCAGAAATACAGTGTTTTGGGCAAGACTCTACTCTTGGTTAGGTTTAATGTAATTTTTGAAAGGTAAATAATATCTATTAATATTTAATTTTAGCATTCAACAGTGATTTCCATCCATTCATTCCAGGCTTAGAAGTGAAGTTTGCTATTGAATAGGCTCGTGCTCAAGGTGCCAATGTTGTTTTTGGTGGTTTGGCAATCACTAATGATGACCTATTGTCATTGAAAGTACTCTCCCTTATATCGACTTTAGACCGAACCAAGATTTGATCCTCTCAGTGTTTCTTTGAACTTCTTCAAACTCCTCAGTTAAGTGAGATGGAGAAGAGAGAGATAGGATTTGGCCTTTTAATTGGCAGTTCTTGGTGGAGAACAATTCTCTGAATCAGTAGATAAATACAGAGCCTCTTGGTTTGTTAAGCTTTTCGAGAAGTTGAGTCCTCATCAGAAGAAAATCTTGGTGGACAGAAAGGATATTGAAATTTTTGAAACTCTTTATAAGCATACTCCAGGAAAAACCATTGTGGCAGTTGTTAATCAATGGCATACAATGGGAATTGAAGCTCATTGGAGACACACTACTAAGACTTAGATCAACACTGAGCCCATCAATCCCATTGGAGATTTGGATTTGGAAGCCCTGAATGAGGATTTGGTGGTCAACGACTTCCTGAGACAATTTACTTCAAGAATTACTAAAAGCGAGCCAGCATCAACCAGAGCCTATATCACTTAGTATTATAAGGATGTGTTTGAATATGAAAGATGTAAGAATCAAGTTATTAATTGTTTTTTATAGTCAGACATGTTGAATTTGATGGTTATAGTGATCCTCATTAATTCCATGGAGGCAGTCCATTTGAAGGAGGTTATTAACATCATCATCCACAATTACCTGCTGATGTAAGAAAGTAAATAGAAGAAAATTGGAAGAAATAATATGCCCATCATCATGAACACCATTGAAATATTATTCATAAATAAAATAAAAACAATATTTTGGTTATGAATAGCAAGTTGTATGTTAGTTATAATTCAAATTTCAGTTTCCAAGAGTCAATTGAAAAACGGAATAAATTGTTCGTTTTTGTGCAATATTTAATTAAATGAAAACCATTTGTGTTCTGGTATTGGTAATTGCTCTTGCATCCAGTTTGAAATCCACTTTGAGATAGACCCCATAAAAATTGTAAGCAGAACTATAAAAATCACATTATGGAAAAGCTCTCTTGCATTTGGTTGAATTGCATTCAATGGCCGGAGGAGCAGTGAGTGAGTTGGTTGATGCCATTGAAGAATTGGATAATGATTTGATTGATGGACTCCAATTATTGGATTTCAATTTCCAACAAAGAACAAATCAACACAATGCTTTGGTTGTCTCATTGAATTAATAAATCAATGATGCCCAAATTGATATCAGCAGATCAGAAGATGTCATTGAAAATTTGTTGGTCCCCAGAAGAGAATAATTGGAAACAAGAATTGCTACTCTTGAAGAATATCAAGAAATAAACAGAAAAAATTACGACGAAGAAGTCTTAATTAGAGAATAAGAACATGAGGCATTTGAAGCTTAAGTTGCTGAATTAACTGATGCCACAGTTGCAGTTGATGACGCCCTTGCTCTCTTGTAAACATTGAGCAACCCATCATTGGCTTAAGTCAAGAAATTCCAAAACTCACTCAAGAAAATCGAATAAAGCATCAAACCAAGATCATAAATGGCTCCATTCTTGAAGGCCCTTATTACATTAGCATCAAATCAAAACTTCTCAGATTAAGGAATCATTTCTTAGATTGTCAATGCTTTGAATGAATTCAGAAATGCCATCGTCGATAGCATCAACGATCAAACTCTTGCTGAAGCTGTTGCAGTCGAAGAATACGAAGAGAGATTAGCTTAATTAGATCGATGAACATATTGAATTCCAAAGATAAATCAACGCTGTCAATGTTGATTTGACCGCCACCAACAGTAAGACATTATTTCTATTATTTCTATAGACAAGATTGATGATGTCACTGAGTTCCTTAACCAAAGAGTTGCTGATTTGAAATAATACTCAGCCGAATTACAATTGGAAAATGACAACTATGCTGATGAAACTCAAATCTACAACGACACCAAGAATGAATTCATTAGAGAATAGTAAATCACCGAGTAAGCTTTGGCATTGGTCCAATCAGTTGATTTCAGCAATATTCAAGTTTGAGTATTAATAATAATCCACCAATACAAAATTAATCATTTAATTTTTAATTTATTTGTGAAGAAAGAATTTAACAATGGAATAATCCAATCTTCAAGATATTTTATCATGCACCAATCTCAGAAAACAATACTCCTAACTAAATAATGTGATTCACCAATATGAGACCACCCAAATTATCAAATTAAAAAAAGTAATTCATTTCATCCTATTCAATAAAGACATTATTATTGGACTTGTTCAATTGTTGCTTTGATGAAAGTTTATTGATAGGAGGTCAAGTCTTATAAAAATTGCTCACTAAACTATATAAAGAATAGGGTCCAGAGGACAAAAAGAACGTAGACTTATTTAATCAAAGATTATAACAATTTGTTTCCATCTTTGTTGATGATTACATCGAAAGTGTCAAATAGAATTAGCACAACTACAATCTAAATTATTCACAACAGATCAACAGAATCTTTGCTGAAGTCAAGATCGAATGCATTCAATACATTATTGATCACATTATAAAACATGATCAAAACTTCTATTAACACAAACATAAAGTGTGGGCTGTTGCTTCCTTACTCAAATTTGCTAAATAAGAATAACTTATTACTGTGAATGAACAAGGCATCGTTTATAAGAATGGAACCATCTTGAATTTGGATATCAACGTTGTCTAGAAATGGATGTACAATATTGATAGAGCTATCTAATTTGAGGCCTTCCAAATATTTGCCTTGAATAGCAAAAAAGCTGCTAAACCAACTCAAACAGAACTAGACTCAGTCACACTCTTTGTATAATATGTCATTAAAACATCATATCCAAATTTTAAGAAGAACTATTTATCAAAATTAAAGTTCTTTATTGAAAGAATAAGGACAAGCTTTTAGAAGGATCTAAAACTTTTGGATTCAGGTAAATCAAAAGACACAACTTCCGTTTAACCCATTATTAAATTCACTTAATAACTTCTAGACATCTTATATTTGCAATTGATACCTGAGTGTTGTTACGAAGTTTCAAGTCCTTGCTTAGAAATTTTGAAAATGATATACATGTATTTAGGCACTCCTGAAATGATAGAACCTAAAAAAGGAGAATTCTATAATAAAACATAATTTCTATTCAATTATTGTTCAGAATAAGCCTATGGTAATACCAAAGTTGAATAATTAATAATTTAATGTAGTAGTAATTGGGAGTCTTCAAGAACTTTGGCTTACGAGATATTGCTTTTGCTTCCCAGCGAGATCCAATTCTTTAGTGAATAAAAGGCTAAAGAACTTTATAAGATAGCTACTTCATAAATAGGAAATCCAATCATAAAAGTCTATGAAAGTGGTTCTCTTTTATTATCCTTATTATTAAAGAAATACGCAAAGATCTTATATCCATCTTAAAATCCAGAGATTGAATTTTTAAATTCTCTCATTAATGAATTATAATAGAAGTTTAATACTTTTAAGTAAGTGTTCTCTAATGATATTGTATAATTACAATAGACCCTCATCCATGGATATGTATCCACTTTCTGGATTATTCTATAAAGGAACAATATCCAAAAATTGGAAGACAAAGAACAGCTTAAATTGTTCTTCATAAAATTACTTGAGTTATTGAAGGATATCATCGAATTCGCAACTTAAGTGAGTTCTGAGAATGTTTGTACATGGATAATTGATGATAAATCAACTCAGCAATTACCTTATCAAGTCGATTGCAGGGGACATTTCTATCAGACTGAGTTTGTCTAGAATGTACAAAAGATTCTATAAGGGAATACTTTGATAGAATCATTAGATGACCAAACTTCAGATCAAGGATCTGAGAATATTTTGGTAGTTTCATTCTTCCTGGTTACTAGAGAATCTGGAGTATTCTTTTAGGAATTAGCTAAAGTGATTGATTAAATTGAAGACAATATAATTCCTAATGATTTATTGAAGAGAATTACTTACCAATTTTTCCATGCTTTATTGAACATTAAACATTTAGGTTCTATTGATAGAATTGCATAAGGATTGTATGAGTTATGCAAAACTATGGGAACCAGTAAAAATCCATAATTGCCTGGATTGGTGAATGAGTTGATTGATAAATTGGTTGAAGCATTTGATTAAAATCAATTAAAGAATGTATTTAGAAGATCTGCTGGTTTACCACATTTAGTTTGCTGTTTATTAAGATCTTGTTAAAGTAAGGATAAGTAGACAGAGAAGGTAGTAAAGATTTTATTGAAATTTGCTAAAGGTGGCCAATTGGAAATGAGAATTCATGCCCTTAATGTTATCAGAAAGTTATTTATGGAAGCCTGGTTAAGATAGGATCTTGATCAATTCATACCTGAGGCTTACATGTTGGCCATAGATGGATTCAGCTATGATGATTGGAGTGTCAGGAATTCATCTCTTATGTTATTTTCAGCCTTGGCATCTAGAACTTTAGGCAAAAATACTTAAAATGTAGAGCAAATCGCTTAGAAATTAACATTAATAGAATTCTTTAATAAATCACCTTAATTGGTGCAATACTTCTAAAATAAAATTAACGATTACAATGATCAATAATTATATCCTAGCTTGTATCCAATTGCCTTATTGTTATCAAGATTGGCCCCTATGGAAGGTAAGTTTATTAGAAAGGTATATACTGAGGCTTAGAAATAAGATTTATTTGAATAAAAGCAGTTAGACTTGTTATTGCCTGCGTTGATTAATTGCTTGAAGAATAAGAATTATTTGGGTAGAGTGATTCTATCCAAGGCCATTCTGCCATTCCTTTCATTTTAACAAATAACTTCATATGTTGTTCAACTCTTAAATGAGTTAGTAGATTGCAAGACTATAAAGAAAAACCATAATAACGCTCATGGTATTTTGATTTTGTGTCACTAATTGATTAAAGATTATTACAATATCAAGAGGGAGACTCTGGATTAATATGAAGAGGATTAAATTGAATAATTGAAACAAAGTGAAAAGGCTCTAATCCTAGAAATCCACAATAAGAGATTTATCATTAGTGAAATCAAATGTCCTCCTGTGTTGTCTGGTTATTATTAGGTCTTAAATATCATAATCAAAAATAATAAATATGAGGATTGTGCTTTATTTTCAGATTGTTATTAAATTACAAAGAGTATGGTTGAGGAGCAACATTTCAATTAAAAAACATTCTAAATTTAATAAGACATGGGTCATAGTCTATTGAGAAAGAAGTAGATTTCATTCTTAGTTAAGTTGGATCATCTGAATAACAGTCATTCATATTTAGAATAATTGATTAAGAATTAAGTCTAAAAATACATATCACAAAAGGAACTCTTAGAAATTGATGACTTGGAAGTGTTGTAATAATTGTATAAGCAATACAATAATATTCTTAAGAAGAACAAAGTGGTAGAAGATTCTAATATAGAAATAGCAAAGCTGACTTATCAATTATTAGAGGTAATTGAAACTCCTTATTTCAGTTAATGCTTAAGATAATGCTTACAATGTTTACTGATTATTAGTAAATTAACTAAATTGAATCACAATGAAATCATCTTAGACAAGATCAACAAGAGGTTTATTAATGATTCTGGAATTATGAAGAATCTAATTAAACTTTATGGTTACGTTATGCTTTAAAAATAAGAGTTCTTAGATCAATTTTTGAGACTGTGTGAATTATACTCACATAGTAATAACATAGATGATTTAAGAATTGCAGTAATTAAGAGTATATGTATAGCTATGCCCAATTTATATAATTTGAATACTCTTAGACTGTCTTTGATTTATTTGAGATTATTGCAAGATGAATTACCAGAAATAAGGAACAAGATGAGTAAATAAATATGCATTCATTTGTTGAATAACAAAAACAAAAATTCAACTGAATTGTATAACAATGAGTATCTTTTGCAGAACTTCTACTAATTCATTGTGCAAAAGTAAATAACAAAGGATAATTAAGAGGAGGTTATAAACATCTTGATAGCTTAATTGATGGACAGTGAATACTATATGATAAAGAGATAAAATCATTAGTCTAAAAGAATATTCTAGTATGAAAAGAGCAATAAATACATAAGCGAATTGAAGGGCAGAAAACTTGCTTATGACTTTTTAGTCTATTGTGTGAATCACAAGGTATTAGATTAGGAATTGGTTGTGCAGCAATTTAATCAATATGAGATTAGACATCAAAATACTGCATTGATGGAATATAAGTTAAATGAGAATCAAATTATAAACTATATTAATAACTTAACAGAGAGAGATGATTTCATATATGAGAATATGTGTAGATTGACAATATTTGAAGAATTGCAAGCCAAATTTAATTCTAATCAGTAAATATTATATATATATATTATTTTAGTAAGCAATATGAATTATATCATAAATATAATTTAAAGAGAGTGGAGTTTTCATTTTAATAATTCAATTGATTGGTTTTTGATATATATTAGATTAATAAATTAGATAATTAATATACACATATGATATTTATCAGGAGCCCAATAATTTAAAATGTTTTCGGTGTTTTTTATAGAAATTATTCATGTATTCATTGTATCTCATTTCTTCAATCATACCTTGATTCAATCCAGTAAAGAGTACTTCTCTTTGTGAACCTAAAATCTAGATGAATAAATACTTATGAGTGCTTGAATCATAAGACTTAATTTGTCTATGGCCTCGTCATCAAAAACACTCACATATCGAAAACTAAGTACAATGTAATCACTCTCTGGTAGTTTTTTAATTTAAGCAATATGATTCTAACATTACAAATGATTTTTACTTTGACATTAATATAATTAATGGCTCCATTGAAACGATAGATTGCAAAAGATCCCTTAAATTATTAAGTGTCTGGAAAATCATCTTCGATGCCCAAAGAGTCATTTCTCAATTCCATATCATTTCCATCCTATTATTTGATACAACTTCGTTTAATTAATGAGTTTTTCTTGATTGAATAAATAGAAATGAAATTATACTTGCATTTCATCTGAACTGACTATTATTTCAGAAGCAGCAGCACTCATCTTTTCAGCAAACTATAACATAGCATACATGCTTCCTATCATGGTGCTTTCAATAGCTCCATAATATACACAAATGATTGATATTGTAATTTGTTTAACTAAAATCAATCTTCTTTTGGTTCTCCATAACATTTCTAAATAGGGCCAGGTTGGACACATATATGCTGAGTATAATAATATGCCACTCACAAAATATAGTGGAATTTATAGAAAGTATCTACTAAATATGCCATAAAATAGAAGGACAGATAGGCCATTAAGGATGGATGACCATCTGTTCATATTTCTGACTCTGATATTCAAGATGATTAATCTGATTGATGCGCAACAAGGAATGCTATTGAAGATGCCTGCACAAATGTTAGTTAATGATACACATAGGATTTCTTTATCATGATCACATTTTACTCCTGTAAAATATTCGGCTCCTTTTGCACATAATAAATTCTGGATAGTGATATAGAATGTCATTTTGATGGCATAAACGAATAGAAAGAGGAGTGTCCACATGTCAGGTTAGAAATGAGGACCTCCACTTTCAATAAATGACAGTTTTAAACTTACATCTCCATAAACATTCTTTAAACACCTTTCTGTTGGGAAAAGTATGCCAACCAACAAACCAGTTAAACACACTAATACAATCAAAGGCAGATCCTTATTTATCTTCCAACCAAAATAGAGTAAAAAGAATATGAAGATTGATGCTCCAAAATAATAGAGATCTCCTCTTCTAAAGAACTCTAATTTATCTAGTTTATTTTACCTTAATACATTTCAAATCTATCATGATATACTTAGAATCCTCTATTGGAATGCATATCACTTAATCCAAAGGCATAATCGATGTATCCGTTTGCAATTAAAAATAGTAATCCCAAATAATATCCTTCAATAACGTAATTTGGCATGAAATCAATTAAATGATGCCATTTCAAATGACTCAGGATGTATATTTATAATCCAACCATGATGGTTACCCAAGGAACTGCTTCATATCCATATTGCTGCACAATATAATAGTTAAATCCAGCTGCCACCCAAGTTGGTGCATAGATTGAATGATTACCTTTGGAAATAGGATGATTATGATACTTCCACTAAAGAATCCATTGATCAATCCACCAATCAAGGCAGACGTATAGGCAGCAGAAGGATTGCCACCCGTATTGTTGCCAGCATTCAAAATGAAGGGCATATTCATCATAGCCTGTGTCATACCACTCTTCCAATTCTCTCTAATGAAAAAGAGTGCAGTATTAACATTATGGACGGATAAATGGCTAATTTCTGGAGAATGCATTTTTAATGGATAATTTGGTTTGATTAATGGATCCCTTCACTTAACTATCGTGTTGATTGGACAACTTCTATTCGTTTGCATCCAGTGCTGCCATTTCTTATTCCATTAATGGAATTTTATGATCAGCATTCATATATTAATATTATAAACTAAAATGATATCAAACAATCCTTCATATTATACTATTTGATGATAATAATCTAATTTAAATTATACATTAATGCTACAGCCTCATCCAATTATTTTCGTTCTTCTCATAACCTCAGCATTGTCAAGCGATAATAGTGATAGTGACATTCTCGAATTCACAACCACTCGAAATCAATTATGTTAAGACATTGAAAATTGTAAAAACTGAATATCATCATCATCTAGTTGATATCACAAATTCAGAAAGATAATCTGTTTTTGATTCCATCTATTCCGAGCAAAGATAAGATCTCTCAAATCAAGTAGAAAAGTGGATTAAAAACAGCTACCTAATATCTGCAGGTGAATATTTTGTAGATCTCCAATAATACACTCTTCCTTGGTTGATCATTTCTATTTCAACTCTACTTCTATCATTGGTTTACATGTTGGTAGCAATAATGCCAAGGTAAATTGATGTTTAATGATAGTTCAATCATAAAATGGATTAAAGCTCATACAGAAGACGAATTCATTTTGAATAATAGAAGATTTCATAAGTTTGGGATAGTAACCATTTTTATATTGAATTTAATCCTCATAATCGCTTCCATTATTACGTTTGTATACTTTATTAATATACATCAGATCTCTTCAAACAAAGTTATTGATGGTCTAAATTATTCCAATTGTTATCTGGCTTCCTCCTTTGATAATTTACTAGAAAGAAATGACGATAACTTTACAGGATATGGTATTCTATAAAACGATTTCACTTCATTGACAAATGATTTTATTGATTTCCAATCAGGCTTGAAAAAACTTTATCAAAGTAGAGTATCCCTCAGTCTAAAATCAAAGGAGCAAGAAGTTATTGAATTTAATGACAAGTATATCTACCATTAATAATAGACTTAAGAGAAACCAGCCTAAATCTCCTCTTCCCATCAAATTATCCTCGAATGGAACTAATACCATCTCAGCTGCCGAGTCTTATTTCTCGAAATCGAAGATTGTACATATCTTATTATATATAATTTATAGATAGATTTCTTATTGTCTACAAAGGACAATGAAAATTACCTTACATATCTTGCATAATATGATCTAATCAAGAAAGAAGAAAGTGGAATCTATTTAACAAGTTAAGTGGATGAGATCCAAGACTATTTTGGGAACATATTGCTAAGATTTGGGTCTTTGGAGAATTCATCACTGACTCTTAGGGATTCCAAATTAACATCTTTATTCGCTAAAGCCAAGTAACAGTTATCATCCATTAACAATTAAATTCTAAACTATGCTTAATTACTTATTGATTTCCATCAACAAGTAACTGATGATATGAACTATTACTCAAAATCAATTAACGGCTTATTAATTGCCTTAATGCTTTTCAATTTTATTCAAATCGTTTTGTGGCTTGGATTTTTGATAAACAAGCATCTGAAGATTAGAAAGTATATAGATATCCTCTGGTTCTTATGCAATATTATCCTGGCTGGAATATCAATCATCAATTTCTTCTTGTATTCCAACTCTCAATTATCCAAAGAGCTATGTATATACTTTGATGGCATTACCAATAATGAAAAGTTTTTTGAAAACTAAAACATCATTGAATTCCCATAAACTAAACAAACTATTCACTCTTGTCTTTATGGCGATGGAAACATTTATAGTTAACTAAACTTGATTTCAAGACTCAAAGATATCAGAAACTACATCAATAGTGAAAGCGATGTCTTATAGGAAATAGAAAGACTCAATTCTAATCAGACGTTATATCTATAGAAATTGAATAATAACTCTCAGACTATATCTTCAATTGTAGATGGCACTTTTATAGATTTAAACTTTACTGAGAAGGAGGAGTTCCAAAAAGTTATTGATGAGTTTAACTCATTCAAAAACACTGAGAACTGCGCAGAAGTATAAGTCACAAGATGTTCGGATTAATCTACTCCAAAAAGGAGTGGGGATCTCAATAATTCATAGATGTGTTGGCATCCCTCTTATTTGATCACAGCAAGTTCAGCCTCTTGTTGGGATTAATAGGATCTGTTCTAAAAATTAAAAATGCATTATCAAATACAGGCTCAAGGATGGATTAAGATGCAATTATTAGAATCTTAATTTGTTTCCTAAAACTTAGATTTGAATTAGAAAGTTTATCAGTATATTTAGAATCATTCAGATTTTACTGATGTCTATCAAAAAACGCTGTCCAATTTGAGTAGTCTACTTAAGGCTACAAATTGTACATTTATGAAAGTAGTTATTGTTATTAATAAAAATAGGAAGATTTAAATAAGATGCTGGATGGAATGTGCGTCATTTCTTCATATTAACTGAGCAAGATTTCGATCCTTTTGATAATCATCATCTCGACACTTTTCCTTTCAGTTTTCTTTAATTGTCTCACCTCTTTGAAGGTATCCCAGATGGAAACTTATGAAGAGTACGCCTCAACCAAAGTCATAAACTTTGCTGGGTCAAGTATGTTTAGAGCATCAATTGAAATTAATTAAATAATGCAAAATGAAAGCCCAATGAATGTTAATAGTACATAATTAGAATTCAAATGAAACAATTCAAAACTTAAAATTAATCTGTATTTTTTCCTAAATTTTATTCAAACATCTAAATTTGTCTTTAAATTTCCTTATTCTCCTCCTATATTCTCTTGCTATCATTCGATAACTTCACGAACTAATTAGATTAATTGAAATTTATACGTGTTAGGTGGTTCTCTCCAGTAGTTGTTCTTTTAAATTTTAATTTTTTTCCAAGAACTCATTTATTCTTTGATGAAATATCTCATGATTCGAAGATTAATCATAAGAGATATGATTAATCATTTGTATACTGACATGTTGTTAGATGTCATTCTGTAAAATGAGTTTGATTTTTGACTGTGCTTTGATGAATTTCTCAATTGACTTTTCATACTCTTTAATCTGCTATTGATACTCTAATTTCTTGATAAGATAGGGCAAGTCCTTTTGAGTGGGCTGGCAATATTTCTCCTTCATTAGTCTCTCCTTTGTAAGAAACTAGTTCATCATCGTTTGCATTTTTTCGCAGTAAAAAATTAGTTCCTTATATGATGAATAATGTTCTTTGAATTTTGCAATTTCCTCATTAAAACATTATTCGTATAAGGCGAGATATATTTCATTTTGATTGCATTCAGGAACCTTCAGATCTTAGTAAACCAAGGGATAATCGGGTAATTTCTCCCATGTTTCCTTGGGTTCATAGAAGTTTTTATTCAATTCTGATGGTAATCTCTATTAATCATTGCCTGAATGTACTTCCTGAATTTAATTTGAGATTACCATATTTGAATTTTCATTTGGCAATTCCACCGAAATTGTTTGGGCCATATTTTAAGAGTCTGGTAATTCTATTTTTGGCTACTTCTGCTGTTTATCTTGTTGTTACTACTTAATTCTATTAGCATTGTTTGGATCGAAGTGAAATCTCATCGCACTTATTTCAAATTTAAATTAATATTATAATTGTAATTCTGTCTGATGTTCTAGTAAAATCTATAAATATATATATATAAAGTATGAATTATATAATCTCATTGCATAATAGAGTGTCTCATCTACAGGAGTTGGAGTTGCAAGTTCAATTAGTTGGTTTTACCCTAATTATTCTATGAAATGCAAATCTGAATAAGCAACTTGATTGCTTCAATCAGGAGATCTGTTTAGGAATATTCAAATTGATACAATATGTCTATGGCAGTTTCCACCTACCCACTTGCCTATTCATTTTGTTATTGATTGTAGAGCAGTTGTCCTTAAAGCAAAAGGATATTGGCATACTTAAAGGATTAATATTGATTGCATTTCTCGTAAATTGAAATTGCCTTGTTGTAATTGACAGATGCGTTATCATAGTCCTTTTTGTAAAAGTGCAATTAACCAATATCTGAATAGATATCAGCTATGCAAGGATGACTCTGAAATAAGCGGATGGCACATTGCAATGCACTTTCGTATAAATTCAAGGTGTCATTGAAATACCCGCTTTCCTTTAGATAATGTCCAAAAATAGAGTAAATGATAAAATAATAAGGATGTGAAGATCCAAAGTAGGAATCTAGTATTTAGAGAATCTATTCAAAGTATTAAAGGGCTGTTTCTAGGTTGTCCATGTTAGTCTATATGATTTACAACAAGGGCTTAATTTGACTAGGATGGCCAGGCTTAGTAAAACATAAGGCTTTATTAGCATTCTCACAGCTCTCCTCGCATAAAAGGTTAGCGAAGACCTCATCTCCTTCTTTGCGTATAAGACATAATTCCAAAGACCATTTGATAGATTAAAATAACTATTCCTGATTCATTATATTTCTCCTCTTCGATTTTCTAGCTATTTTTGATGTATTCAATTAATAAGCCTTGGATTGGACATTGAATTGAGGTTTTTCTTTTAAAGGGAAGGATTCCTTAAACATCCCGTTGATTAAGGCTGGGGAAATGGTAAAGGATATATCGCACTACTATTGTAGACAATATAGCAACATTCCTTTGTATTAAATTGAATATCTAGAAGTAACATCAAGATTATATGAATAATCATACCAAATCTATTTTTAAATGATTTAAATCCAAAATATGTCAGATTCTTTTCCAACACCTAATAGTAGATTCAAAAAGTCCAGACAACTTTCGTTTATCAATTTAGATGACAATTCTAATATAATTTTGATGTCTTAAACATCTTTAGTATTTAATTCTTAGATCATGGAAAACTCCAAAATATTAGATTGATCACTCTGTAATTTTTGAGATAACTAATATTTAAGATTTTTCATTAAATCTGCTACATTATTCCTCAACACTTTTTTGCAAACTCTGCTGATCATATCGCATACACATAGATCCTTAATATGTTATAATTAACACATCTAACAAATTTTGCCAATATATTTAATGTTGATACCCAATTGGTGTAATTGTTCACTTAATTGATTTGAATCAATTGGTAGAAATTCAAGGGATTCAAATTTGGTAATCAAGTCATGTAATAGTTAAATTTTGCAGACAGTTAGATGCTTACTTTAATTCATTATAATCTGCTTCTGTTTCAAAGAGCTTGGATCTATTTCAAATAGGCATCAGAATTTAAAGGCTTGGTTCCAATTTCTTACGAGTTCTGGTCTCAATCTGGATGTGTTTTAAACATTTTCTAATAGAATAACAGGCATCAAATCTCCACATTTTAATAGATAATATAAAGATAGATTCTAAGGTGGGAATTCATTGATATTCTATTCATTTTCTATCCATCTTAATTCGATGTAATCTTTGTTGATTTTATGGACTTCCTAAAATAAACTCATTGGTATCACATTACTAATCATCTCATCTTCAAAAAACTTATGTTATTTCAGATTTAATCTGATACTTATTTAATTCATATATTGTTAGATTGCATTGTTTGTTACAAATTAACCATCAAAGGTTGGACCATGAATTAAAGTTGAATCATCAATTGGAGGAACTGCTAAAACAAATGCTCTAATTCCTTTGTAATCTATTATACAAGAGAGTGGAACCCTCAAAGGGTAATTGTTTTCTTCCTAAATCAATAGTTCAATCTATTCAGCTAATAAAGACAAATACCGAAATTCTATCTTGAATATTATTAATAAATACCATTCCCCAAAGCTTTGAGTTGAGACTCTTCATAAATTTAAATCTCTTACTTCCCCTATTGAGTATGAATTTCCTGAGATTTCAATTGACAGAATGACAATTTAATGAATAATCCATCATAACTATAGAAATCATCTCCAAAATCAATGGTATTATCCTGTTAACTATACATTATGTATTTATCCTCATTTAAACAATCTGTAGGCTTAATCGTTTTCATTTAATTAGGCAAACATAATTCATCAATAATAGTTTAACAAACATCCATCGCATGATCTCTCATTCTTCCAATTGATTCATGCAACACAAAACTATTTGTGATACATTCCTCTATAGTTTTAGGATCCTTCATATTAGCTAATTCTATAGCTTGTAAATAATTATAATTCCAAGCAGTCTTGATTCTATTCCTAAGTAAATTTTTCTTTTATTCTTCCTTATTCAATAACAACTATTCTTATTTTGTTTATTCCTCAATCTTCTTCTATAAAATTTAGTTTTCTTGTTCTAAGTACTACTCCTTCTCTATTCTACTCCTCAATTCGGTCTAATGAATCTCCTTCTCTTTTTGCAACTAGGTTTATAGTTCTTCCTACTTTTATTGTTATTCAGACCTTTATTTTTCTAATTATAACTAAATCTGTTGAACTTCCCTTTATTAATTCTCTTTCTCATTGGTATCTAATTGTTATTGAATACTGCTTTTCTGTTTTATTATTTCGGATTATTATGAAGATGGCTGTTAAGGTAATGATTGCTAAAACTATCTTGGCAATGATTATTCTTATTATTGATATTTTTCTGGATGTTTCACTTTATCAATTATTTGAGTGAACTCTTTTAAAATCTCTGGCTTTGAAAATGCAATTTCCCAAATTATGATTTCCTTCTTCTTTGTGATTACTATTGGCTGTTGAGCAGCCATCAAGTCTCTTCCATAACTACTGTTAACACTAATGTTTGTGCTCCTATTTTTCACTTTAGAAGGGAATATTGCATCTTTAGCCATGAATGTTATTTCTATTGAATTTTACTTTTTTGCTTTTTCTGGAGGTCCTATGTATAATATATTCTCTATTATCACTGATATCTTGGGCTGCATCTTATTTAATTCATTCAACTCTATTTTTCATAAATCAAATTTTAACTTACATTTTGGAACTTTGAAATAACTAAGCATGCCATTCGATAATTGAATTACTCTCTTGTTCCAAAACATCTTTGAAGTTGATCGCTTTTCTATTTAGAAAATGTTGGAATGATCCTGTATGAGAGGCTTATTCTTTGGTTCAATTTGCTATGAGGAAGTTGAATTATTCATTATAATTGATAAAAATAAATATGCAATATTGTAGCTACAACTCTGGTAATTACAATAAATGATCATCAACTTTAGTTATGAGCATCAATTAGAACGAATTTACGGAATTTTTACTAAAGAGGAGGGATATACGTTGGATTTATTAGTTATGCACCGACAGAATCGAGTGCATTAAAAGAATTTAAGAATATGTTGTTGTTAAAAAGAACAAAGTAAAATTTGATAATAGATTGATATCTGGACAAGTATAAATTATTTCATAAGTAATGAGAATCTTTAAAAATAATAATTAATTTGTTTAATCAATTTATAATATAATTAAGGCAATCTCAAAATTCATCTTCACTGTCATTATATAACTATTTTTTTATTATTGAACTTTTTTATTGTTAAGATCTAATAACATTTTAATGAAGTGGTATCTCAGATTCTTAAGACTTACCAAATTGAGATATTTATGCTGGTTTTTTTGTTTAGAAGATAGTTTGTATATTTTCTGTTTAAAATTCTTCTGAATCTTCAAAACTACTTTTTCTTTTGCTTGAAAGTTATTACTATTATTATTATTATTGGTGTTATTGTTATTATTATTACTATTATTATTATTAATGCTTTTATTGTTAAGATTATGTAGATGACTTTTTTTCTAGTGGCAATATTTATGAAATTTATTCTTTATCCTAAGAATTTCTTATCTTATTTTCTGATTATATTTTCATTAATTGTTATGGTTCTTATTTGGATGATTTTCCATGTTGTTTAAAGTCCTTTACATTTTCTTTCACTTTTTGATTAATATCATATTCTTCCTCAGAATTGTTTGATTAACTTGATGGTGGTGTTTCTATCTATTAAAAACGAACATTTTTTGATTATTCAATAACTGTTTTTCCTTATTTCTTAACCAATCTGCCTTTAAAGTCCTTCTACTATTATACCTTGGATGTATCGTCTCCATCATTATCATAATCAGAATCCATCTGAATAACATTGGGTCCATCATGCTTTTTGATTTCTTCTAATTCTGGATCAGCTATTCTAGTTTCTGTTTATTTCTTATCTGATAATAAAATAGTTCCATTTAATTAGGTTAAATATTCCTCCAATTCTTTCTAAATTAGTTAATTCAATAAAATTTACTTCACTTTTAAATTGGATTTCATTCATATTCACATTCAATACTTCTTTAAGTTTCCTTTCCAATTCATTATCCAATTGTATGTTTCTGAAATGATCCGTCAATTCTTTTGTAATTTAAGATTTCTTTTACCTCACTGATTTGACCATATGATGAAATTCTTTTTCCTCTTGCAGAAAAGCTGCTTCCTGTTGGTTATCAATAATAACTGAGGGTTCCTTTTAATCATCATCACTCTTAGAATCATTGGTAACATCCTCTTTAATTTCTTATTGCAGATCCTTAGCATCATAGATATCATCAGCAATTTCACTGATTTCATCCTCCAGAGGTCCTGCATTGTAACTATAATTTTCAGGGGGAGGAGTAGGTAATCTCTCCTCCACCTTAACAGGTTCAGGAATCTTGAGATTATCAATTCTGTATTCAATTTACTCAATTTTATCTAGAATTTCTTAAGGTCTATGAACTGCTATATAATTTTGTAGCGATTCCATTTATTGTTAAAGCACAAGATTCTTCTATTCAAATTCATACTTAAGTTGTCTCATTTGATAATCATCCATTTTTTCGTCTTCAAGATCTTCGTCCTAGGAAGAATCAGAATCCTCTGCTTGTTGTTGCATAAACTAGGCCTATTACATGGTTTGCAACATGAAGTCCTGTTAGTTCTGATTGTTGATCATGGAATTAATTTATTATTGCAATAAGAGGGTTTGAACTGTAAGTAGAGTTTCCTAGAAATTTTATTTTGGTTTTTCAAATTTATCTATGTGATGTCTTTAATAATGTGCTTCAAGGAGAGGGATGGAAATGAATGCTTTGCCAGTGCAATATAGACATGCATATACAGTTTCCTTTTTGGAGGCATCCAATTTGATTTTTTTCAATTCTTTATTGGCAGAGGATAGTTATAGTTTTAATTTGGTGATATTCTTTTTGGATTTGGCTAGGATATGCTCTTTTTCGCTGATTTCAGAGTCTAGTCTGAATTCTTCTTTGAAGATTTGATCGATGGTTGTTTCTTGATATTGTTTAGTGTATTCAAAATATAGCAACATCATTTGCATGAGATAAGTCAACTTCAAATACTTGATGGTATTGACGGAATCCTTAAATTCACGCTCAGTTGTAAAACCTCTAAATATGTCGATGAAATTACTATTGTAAGGGAATAATGAAGGATTGCAAGGTCTCCAAATCAGAATTCCTTTGCATCAATTCGAAATCCAAGTTATTCAAGGTTTGGAGATTGATTTTGGTGTTTCTGAGTGTATTTGGTATGAACATATATAAGTAATACTGTTTTATATATGTTTATTTATATATTTTAATATTTCAATATTTTTATCTACGAACACCTGCCAAGCATGCTCTATAAATATTCCTAGGGTTTTCTGGGAACATGTCAGCATGTATTCTTAAATCTTCAATGTTGTCTTAAAATAATTGTATTGTTTAGATACCCAATTCTCCCTTTTTGGTCCACATGGCTTCTGCTGTATATCTTTTGCACATATCTTCTGCTTCCTATCTCAAAACTGGATCATTCACTCTCCCAGTAGCATAATCACATCCCTTCCAACAAATTTGGATTGATGGGTTGTACCATGAGAAGACATCCTAACACATGGCATAACATGTGCCACCATTATATCTCAAAATTTGACCACCTTTTGATAGCATAAATTCAAACCTGTTGCCATTAAATTGAAAATATAAAATTAATAATAATAAAGGAGATGTTGTTTAGATTTAGATTAATTTTATAGAAATAAATCATATAATATTAATTATCACACTCCTTATGGGAATTTCATCATTTCTAGTTCCTTTATGATTTCCTTAAAAGAAGGTCTCTTCTCTGGATCTCTATCCCAACACCTCTTAGTCAATCGTGTAAAGACTTCAGGAGTCTTCTTCGGAATAGTTGGTCTAAAATCGTTATTCAAAACATCCAAAGACACTTATAATCCAGTGATATCTATTTCATAAATTGGATTAAGTACTTCTATAAGGAGGTTCTCTGGCAGCAATTTCCCATAAGATGATACCAAAACTGAACACATCTGCCTTTTCTGTGTACACTTATCCTGCGATTACTTCAGGTGCCATCCACTGATAGGTTCCAATCTTGCTAGTCATATAATTAGATAATGTTCTGGTCCAACCAAAATCAGCCAGTTTGGTTCTAAATGCTTCATCTAACAACAGATTTAAACTTTTCAAATCTCTATGGAGAATGGGAGGGTTGAATGAATGCAAATACAACACTCCTTTTGCAGCATCCAATGCCATTTTCCTTCGATCTTCCCAAGTCAAATGAATATCATGATTTTATATCACCTGCCATAATGACCCTCGTTAACAATATTCCAATACTATAGCTAGATTAGGTGGTTTAGTACAAGCACCTAGAAACATTACTATGTTTGGATGTCTCAAAGCCTCCATGGCATGACATTCAGATAGAAAATCTCTAATATGATTCTCATTCATTCCATCTATCTTAAACATCTTAACAGCTACTGTAGTTTCCCTCCATTTTGCTTTATAAATCACTCCATAGCCTCCCTCACTGATTTGTTTCTCTAACATAATGTCATTGAAATCTATGTCCAAACTAGATTGAAATATTCTATGTTTGATTGGTCTCTCTGGGGAGATCTCCAATGCTGAAATATCAAATTTAGATTGTTGTTTTTTTATTTGCCTTTAAATGTACGATTCTGTTGTTTACACTTTTTAGTCTTTCACTTTCTTTTTCGATAACAATTCATTTTTCATCCTGTCATATTTTTATTGTAATTAAATGTTTTATTATTTTAGTATTTCTTATTCATTCCTATATTTTTCAACCTCTTCATTCAATTTATCCTACTCCTTATTGGAATTGTCATTTTCATCCAAAATGATCTCGAGATATGATGGCGATAACAGAATGGAATGGAAATTACCACAAACAATTCTCTGAGTTTCAGGCACTGTGAATAACAATTTAGGTAAGATGATTCCCTTTCCATTTACACTTGGCTATCCCGTTAACTATCCATAGATATTGGAACCCCATCCATATATTTATTTGTAATCTGCAGACAAAGCCAGACTGTGATTTCTACCTGCTGCTATCTGTGATATCAATGGCAAACCCAAAATTTTAATAGGCACATCAGAACTGTTTAAATCATTTCCTAATTACCCTTGAATATTATCTCCCATAGAGTATACTTCACCTTTGCTTGTTAAAAACAAGGTATACATTTCACCCATCTTCATGTCCAATACGCATTACTAATTGTTGAATTCATCTACAATTTTGATTTGAGTTGGTTATTTGTAAAATTCTTTATTGGATTTGCAAAAACCCCATAAATAAGGTTTTCCGCCTTCAATGATACAACCTGAATGTGCTAAGCCACAACTAATTTTCTCCACTTTAAAATGATATAAATTTTAAATTAATTTAAACTCACTTATTGTCTAATTCTCTTAGTGTCCCAATGCATATGATTCACCAAAACCACAAGAGAAAATTCTATTCTTGTTAGTCAATATTAAAGTATGTAATGCACCACATGCGACTTATTAAACTGCTTCGTCATTTTATAATAGAATCTAACATAAATTCTCATTCGTATTCTTCTATTTAATCTTTTCTTTCATCATCACAAGCTACTCCATTATATTGTCGATTGATGAAGATCTCTCCTTCAATCCTGGAGATGTAGACTAATCCCCTTCATTGGCACTCTTCATCCGCTTATGACCCTATTATTGTTCTCTTGCCTTCCCATTACTATTACCAAATGGTAATAACCCATATACGAGAGTGGGCTGACTTATGTTATCGAAACAACCCAAACCTAATTGGCCTTTCAAATTTAAACCCCAAGAATAAACTTCGCCTTTAGCTGTCAACATAAATGTGTGTTCAGCTCCACAAACTACGCTAGTTATCCTTTGATCTTTGAATATGGGACTCAATTTCGGTTGAGTATTTGATTCATATCCCAATTACCCAAATTAGTTGTCACCAAACCCTATAACTTCATTCTTATTATTCACTATGATAGTATGATTTTCTCCTGCAGAACATAATGTCACTCCTTAATAGTGTGGAGTTATGTTTTTATTATTCTTTAATTGTTAACCACAAGTATTTAAACCTACATTAAATAACAATCTTACCCCACGAATACAATTGAGTTGTATCTAACTACAATTATCTTGGGGATTTCGAGAAATCACTATATGACCTTGGCGGTCTGACATCCTTATCCTTAAATTGTTTCAACATCTTCCTAGATTCTGTCAAGTCATTTAATCTCATATTAGTTACTTTATTTTTGAAATTCAAATTTAATTATATTGTTATTTTACATAAATTTAATAATCTATATAAATGTTCATCCATTTTCAAAACACACAACAATTATCAAGCACATTGAAATCACAATATTGAGGAGATCAATAATTCCCATATTTATTCTTTTGTCATATTGCTATCAATTCATAAAGCAACCCAACTCTTAAAACTACTAATGAATGTGCACTTTTAAATAATATCAATTAATTTTTTGAATACATTAATTTCCAAGGAATTGTCTCAATAGCACATTAATAAAAGCATGTTCGAGTACAATATACTTATTTTTAAATACATTGGATTTGAAACCTGGAACACATGGTCTTCAATTAGGTTTCGGTAGTAAATAAGAAGTTATTTGAACAACTGTCAATTCATTAAAGTTGTAAAATAGAAGTTTATAATAAATCAAAATGTAATTTTACTTACTAAGGAATGTTAAGATTGATTGTAACTAAGTAGCTTTAAGAAAGAAACTATATGAAGGAGGAGTTGATGAATAGAGAAATCTCTTTAAACAATCAATAGTATGTAATATTAGATAAATTATTTAGATTAGAATATCAAAAGTTTGATTATTTAGAATTAGTTGCTAATCACAATATATATTGAAATTTAGAATAATGACTATAGAGTATACTCTTAAAATTTGAGACTAGTTGTAAACTCGAGTTTATTAATAGAATAAATGGAGATTTAAGTGATTGTTAAATTCAAATTAATGGTTTGAATCAAGTTGACAACAATATTCTTTAAAAGTTTTAAATTTTCAAATAAAACCCTGTTGAATGAGCCAATAATTATTTTATCGGATTATGATATATATTATTAATTATGAATTAAAGTAATTAAAATATAGTGAATAGACATGGATTCCAGTGCAAAACAGGAATAAATTATTATTAAATTGGAGTGGCAATTCTATACATCGGACATTACATTATAATCTTATTTCAAACCTTAGATTATGTAAAAATATAAATTCAAATTTATAAGAATCAACTTTGGATTTTGATTACGATTTTTTCATTTTTCAACCTAATATTTTGGTTTATTACAACAAAAATAGATCCTACAGATCCGGAGATATATACCTAATACTAACTTAAGGAGAAGAAGTAATGAAAAATAATTATTATGATAGAATCAAATATGAATCTAAATTGAATTGCTATTGCAAGGCTTGTCATGCTTATGTTCATGCCTCATCGAAGCATTGCAAACAATGCAATAGATGCACAGAACTCTTCGATCATCATTGTGTGTGGTTAAATAATTGTATAGGATTAAGAAATTATAAATACTTTTGCATATTAATAGTACTTATGGAACTCTATTTAATTACTGTAATTATCATTACTATACTTTTGAATAATATACTCAGCTATGTGTACATGGGAGTCACTATTATATTAATGATTCCTATCAGTTTTCTACTAGTTATGCACATCTACTTTAGATGCAATAACATAACTACATATGATTTTGTATTAAGCAGAAGGCAAAAGGAGTAGAAATTATCCTCTAAGAAGTTGCAAGAAGGTACATCCAATCAAACAAATCTGTAAACAAATATCATGTCCAGAAATTACTTACAATAAACTCAATTAAACGTTCCAACAGCTATTCCAAAACCTGTTGTGACCAAAAAGGAAATTGAATGGGAGTAAGAGGAGGCAGATGTAGAGGAAGGAGACAGCTTCCATGCGAGAGAACCATTGCCCTTGCCTAGCTAGAAGAGTAGTGCCAGATAACTAGACTCTTAATGCAATTCAGGACATAGGAGGACTTGTCCAAATACTTAAAGGTATTGAGTGTAATTGAATTTCAAGGGGCAACACTTCGGCTATACAATTAAATGAACATAAGCCAATTAGATCTTTGTTTATTGTTAAAGACTTTTAATAGATAATTGAAAATTAGTTAATGAACAGTGTGAATGAAGGTTCCATCATTCAATTTGATTCAAAGCATTCATAAAAAACTGATTAAATTGAAATCAATATGTGAATTTTATTGGTTTCTAATATTATTTATTATAAATTATGCAATAAAATGAAAATGATGATCCTTTATAAAATTAAAATAATCAGCAAACCGTTTTGCAATAGGAACAATAAGAATAACAAGATGAGAATGGTAAGAAGACTCAAGCAGCCCAGGAGTAATCAAATGGAGATGAAAATTAAAATGAATAATTTAATAATGCCTCTGAAAATACAAATAACCAGTAGTAAGAGTTGAATAAGGAGAAAACTACAATAGACACTGATTAACAAGGTGAAACATTAGATGCTCTAAATGAGAAGGAATAATAGTAGGAAAAATAGGTGTAGTCAGAATCATAATAGGAAAACAAGGGAAATCAGCAAAATTCCATTAATGATCAAACAATTGAAAATAGCTAGGATGCTCAACTATCCAATAATAAGGAAGTTAAATAGGAAAAAGAAATTATTTAATCGAATAGGGCGAATTAACAAGAGTAAGGATAATTTAAAGAATAAAAATAATAAAAGGAAGACAATATTGAAAATTAGGGCTAAAGAAACAATCAAAAAAAGAAAACAACGAAAAGAAGAACAACAAAAGTGGAAGTACAAGAAAATTAATAATCGAATAATCCATCTTAATCAAACAATGACGCCAACTAAGAGAATTAGGAGACTGACCAAAACAATTAAGAGAAGGCAGAATTAGAAGCAAAATAGAAATAAATAGAGGAATAATAGAAATAAGAAGAATTGCTGAAAAAACAAGAATAAGAATAATAAGAAAAGTTACACAAATAACAATTAAGGGACAAATTCTTTAAGAGTATGATTTTTCCTTTAAGAACCTAAAATAAAAAAGGTAAACAATTTAATTTAACCTTTGAAATTGAAAGTGAGAAATTGCAAGTAAAAATGAGAGGGTGTAAGAGTGCACAAAGATATTAAAAAGAAAAGAAGCCAAGAACAAAAAGCGCTATTAATAAGGAGTTATTTGATTTCTTCAATACTATGAATCCTAAAAAACATATTGAGGCGATGACTCCAAATACACTGCAAAAAAGAAAGAAATAATAAGAGTTAGATTAAATGAGGAAGGATTGTGAAAGACTTGAAGAATAACACAATTAACAATAAATAACATAACCTTTACCATAAAAGGAACAGAGATCTTCAATTCACTATAAATAAAGAACATCTTCACCAAAAAAGAAATTAGAAGTCTATGTAAGAAAAAGAAAGAAGGTTAAGGTACGAAATGGTCTTAGAGAGAGGATGTTAATAGATAAAAACAAGGATTCTTAATTGAAAGCCTTAGATTTCATTAGAAAAATGTAATAGAATAGAAATTGGCAGCGGAGTTAAAAAGATAAGAAAAATTGGAAAAATTAAGTGTTAAAATTTCAAGTTAATTAGAACATCTGAGACTGGGGAATCAAAGATATAAAGAAGAATAATAGAAATAAAAGAGAAAACAAGCACTTGAATAGATTGCTAAGTAAGAATAAAAAAGATATGAGATGATGTTGGAATAATAGAAAAATGAAAGATTCGTGAGAGAATTGAAAGAAAAAGCTGGAGTGAGCAGTTATTATAGTGCTAAGAAATTAGCATTAGGTTCTCCAACCTCTCTAGTAAAAGAATTGGAAAATGGATAAATCAAAATTGAACAAAATATTGATACAAATCGAAAGTTGAATGAGAATCAATTTCTACTTAAAGATGAATAGAAAAAAGGGATTAAAGACAATAAATCGAAATAATAAGATTACAATAAGTAAGTAAGTTTATTAAATTTTCCTAAAATAAACGACAAGAAACACTTTGAACTGGTTAATCAATATATTTCTGCTGAAAACAAAGAAGCTTTGCCAGAGATCAAACCAAAACGAAAGAAAGCCTGGTAAATAGAATAAGAATTGAAATAAAGAAGATATAAAAATAGTGATTAATTCAAGGAATGATTATAAATTAATATAATTTACAATTATTTACAAAAAATAATATATTAAATTATTAATAATGTTAATAATCAAGGAGGTATAACTATTCCATTTTAATAAATTTGAAATACTTAACTTCCTGGATCTTCTTAATTATCACCTTCTTCTCCAGAATTTTATTATTCGATTTCATTTTCTTCATCATTATTATTTTCTTCTTATTCTTCATTATCATTATTATTTTCTTCTTATTCTTCATTATTATCATTATGTTCTTCTTATTCTTCTTCATTATTACTATTATGTTCTTCATCATCATTATTTTATTCTTATTCATTTTCAGAGTCAGTATCTTTTGAGTTGATTTCTTTTTAAATAAGGTCTTATATTACTGAGAATTTCCATTCTCCATTTCTAAACCCATTTAAAATTTGGCCATCAAATATATCACAAAAGTAAACTATGATTTAATAAAATAGTACATCTGGCATAATACCTACCAAATGTTTTCTCAAATAATATCATATTTCCTTTTATTTGATTTTCAGAGTGTACTTCTCTACCTATTATATTAAAGATTTAATTTTCATTGTAATCTCCAGATAGACATTTGAATCTCCAAGTCCATTCATCTTTCTTTTTTCCACCCTCTCCATAATGACCTTCTTTAATTAGTAAAATTCTAATATTAACCATGGTAATACTGTCCTTAATCTTTTTCAGTCTATTCTAAAATGTATTGATCAAAATACTAGCTTTCTCGCCATAATCCTACCTTAATATCATTATCATATTCACCAACTTCACTAGATTATATTTGCATTAATTACTATAATATCCATTTTTCATCAATATTAATTGATGTTTTCCATCTCCCATTTTTCTTTCCATTATTGAATTCTCCTTTTGATCGAGTTCTAGATTATAGATTATTTAAAATACAAAACGATCTTAAAGTTTCCAATGCAATCATATAATTCTGCTTCTCCATTTAGTACTCCATTTTAATAACAGCATTTTCCACTGTGTCCAGATGATGAAGAAGTCCATTCCTCATCCCTCTGGCCATAATTGTTATACTGGCCTTCATCTTAGATACGTCTATGTTTATATTTGATATATACATTATGGAATCAACATGAAAGTTCTAATAAATTCTAATTTCCCTCCAGTTGTTAATTTTCTTATCTTCATCATAATTTCCCTCATGATCATAATCTTCATCTGGATATAAATCCTTTTATCCATCTTCCAATGACCAGTGTCCATTTTTTTGGTTATTTTTATAATTTCCTTTAATGATTGTTAACATAGCTGCTTTTGATGAATATCCAATTGGTTCTGTCCAATTTCCTGTTTTCCTGCCTTCCTTATATTCACCCTTTGAAACAAGATGAGTATGAACTTGATGTTCATATTATTCATATAATGTTGACTCCCAATTTCCCTCTTTCACTCCATCAGCATATATTCCTTCAGAACAAATAAAGCTATATATTTATTTTTATTGATCAAATATAATTGAGTTTTACTCTAATTCTATCCATTTTCCTTATTTTCTACCTCCCATCAAATAATTTCCACATTATCTAAATGGAATTAGTTATCTTACATAAATTTATTAAAATTGAAAATGTAACTTTGAGTAATTCTTTTCCCTTCATAAAGAAGAAATTCTTCAACTAAATACCAAATGTTATTGGAAATGTTTGGCTATCTATAAATAAAATAGCTAAAGGAATTTCCGATTTCTCTGTCTTGTTTATATGTTTTGGTCCCTCTTAATAATAGAGTTCATTAAATACAAGGTTTAATCGTTAATAGAATATATCCACTTTCCTTATTTTTTATCCTGGTTATAATCTCCTTTTGCTATTATAATGTGTTCTCCATAAACTTCAATTACTTCTGTCCATGTGCCGGTTTTTTAGAAATTTTAGTATTATCCGTTACCACTACATAGAATTACTCAATACATAACATTATGTTGGCTGTCTAGGTATTCTACTGTTTTATTTCCATCTTAGTCAAAGTGTTTATCAATAATCTAAAATTCTATTAAATTCATTGTCTAATTAAATAATTATTAAATAATCATGATGTTATATAATGATGATGATTTCTTCAGCAATAGGCAGAAAAAAGAATTCAGAATTAATGCAACCATTGTTATTTCAATGATCCAAATAACTATTTAAGCAGTCATAATGGTAATCAAAGGAGTTTCTCACTTTTGCATTTTATATTATGCTGGATCTAAGCACACACCATCTATTAAATATCATTATCATTTCCACAGATTATTCAATCCAATCTTTTTACATGGAGGAAATGGTCATCTGTTATCCAATCTACTTAGTTAATTGTTGCTCTGTTATTCATATGAAAATAGAAACGGAACATAGGATTTCTTATTACTGTACTTTATAGCTGGAATTGGTGGTAATATTGCTAGTGCACTCTACTTCCCAACAGCCACTGGAGTTGGGGCAAGCGGAGCTATATTTGGGTTTCTGGGCTACTAATTGGCATACTTGATAAAAACTAAATAGCCTTAAGAAAAGTACTATGGAATACTGATAGTGCTTTGCATCTAGATCTTATTGATATTTGAACCTCACACTCATATTGATTACTCTGCTCATTTCGGAGGGTTTTTTGTTGGGATTTTATGGTACCAAAAACAAAAGGCTTTGATTGGATTGTTGGTATTGCTGGGATGTGCATGCATTTTTATGATTGATGTACCAGATTAACGATACTGTTGATATTATATATGTGTTGTTCATTTTATTAAAATAAAATTAAGGTTTGAATTTAAGAAGTAGGGATGGGAAGGCTCATAACATATTGATGTACTATTTATTAAGCATTTGATTTTAAATCATTTTTTTTATGTGTTTTTAACTTTTGGTTAAGCTTATGTTCCAGCTCTGAAACCATTCTTAGCTCTTCTAGCGATAGACTTCAAATATCTCATTCTTCCTGTTCCAGTAGATCTTCTTCTAGCGACCTTCTCTCCCCATCCGCTGTCTATTATTCAATTTATGAATTTACAAAGTCTCAATCTTGCAGCTGGATATCCGCATGATGCACATCTATTTTTTTAAATATGGAAAGTCTATCTGCCACATCTTTTACAAAAAGTATGAGTCTTTTGATGTCTCTTACCGATTGCTGGAGTACCTCTTGCCATTGAATTTTTTAATAAAAGATTTAATTTAATAAAATAGTCATCACTAAATGAGATAATCCATTATTATTATTACCTTCCTTTGTGGGCATTCCATTCCAGGCCATCAATTAATTAATCCAAATATTCTATTCAAAATTTGAACTTCATCAAAAACTGAATTATTTAGGAAATTTTGGATAAATCATGTATTGTTTTATAAGTGTAATACAACTGAAATTGATCTCCAAATTTAATTTCTTTATAGTAAGTTAAGAAATAGTTTTGTTATTTTCTATTCTTTTAATCAATTTCTTCAAGTTGTTATTGAATGAAATATTTTAGAGTTATACTATTTTAAAATTTAGGCATATCTTTCTCGATTATTGATAATATTTGATAATTCATAATCAATAATCTTCCACTTGAGCCTTGTCATTAATATACTTTCCATGGTACTTCTCATCTCTCTTGAATGGTAGATCCTTGATCAAAAATTAGCTTGTTACAACTCCCTCATCAAGTGTACCTGGAGCTTAAGGACCTCCCATTTCAGTTTTAATCCTTAATTTATAAGTTAATTAGTGTACCATCCTGGATGTATACAGTAGATTGATTAATTTGGTTTGACTATTCCACTCAAAACATATCTACCATAAGCATTTAAGAGTGCTTTAGAGGCTGAATAAACAGTCAAATATTCTTGGTTTTTTAAGATAAATTCCTCTGAAAGCTAAATAATTTCTTCCTTGGTTTTTTTTTTCAATAATGTCTCTTTTAAGTCTTATGGTTGGTTTTCCAACTTTCCTAGGATGGATGAGATCAATATAACCTATAAATTAATATGGTCACAATTACCTTTCCATCATCCTTCAAGGTACTAAGTAATTACTCAGTCACATCAATGGTTCCAATCAAGTTGATATCAATGATTTTTCTTGGGTCTTAGTTCACTCCAGCATTGTTGACAAGTACATCGATCTTTAAGTGTTGTGATACAAGCCAATCTTTAAGCTTTCTCACACTCTCCTTACTACTGACATCCAACAGATGAGTCTTGATTTCAAGATTTTAGAAATTCTTTTCTAAGTTTTGTTTAGTTTTTTCCAATTCATCTTGTTTTCTAGCAGTCAATATCAAAGAGTATTTTTCTGCAAGTACTTCAGCTAGTTTTAATCCCAAACCTCTGTTGGCACCTGTTATCAAAACAATTCTTTTTGCTTCCATTCTAATTTTTGATTAATTTATTATGAATTGTGATTTGATTAAGCGGTCAGCTCTTATAGCACGAGTTGCCTAATTATTACTGATTAATTACAATATAAAATGCTAAATTTGGAATAAATAAACTATTCTAAATTCCTGAATTTTATATAAATGAAAATTTAAATTTAATTTGAAATAAAAGCAAGAATCTAATTAATATTATAATCATTATATCAAAAATTTTACCTTATTTATGGTAATCTCTTAAACTTTTCATGCATTATGAATTCTCATTTTCCACCAACATTTAAAATAGTAGGCCATGATTGTATTTTATATTGGTGGGTTTTAATCAATATCTTCAAACAGAGGTTTGAAATGTAAGTATGTAAGCTTTAAATAAGCTTTTCTTATTTTTAATTCTTATATTATGGATACTGATGTGCCAAGAGGATTTAAAGTGTTTCTATATGACATAGAGTAGGAATTGGGTTAGCGTTAAATATTTAAACCTACAAATTATAAATACAATTATCGTTATTTTTATTTTATTATTATAAGACTTAACACAAATCAGAATATCTCAAATCGTAAAACGCGTGTGGAAATTTGAATTATTTTTATTATTTAATGAAGTTGAATCTTGCAATATTGCTTATTTTATTATTGGCCGTTGCTCAGGCAAGAAGAGTTTAATTTTTGGGTCATCGTCAAGAAGACGAAACAGGAAAGGAAAATGGAGAAGAAAACCAAGGAAATGGAGAAGAGGGTTAAGGAAATGGAGAAGAAGGCTAAGGAAATGGAGAAGAAGGTCAAGGAAATGGAGAAGAAGGTCAAGGAAACGGAGAAGAAGGCTAAGGAAATGGAGGAGAAGATAGTGGATAAAGTGGCAATGGTGACGAAGGTATTTAATATAACCGAAAATAGGATCTGATAATGGCGGTTCATGTTCAAATGGTGGTACTACTGGGGGTTAAAGTGAACCAGTAGAATAACAAACTTGCAAAGGAGTGATATTTGACGCAGGAAGCTCAGGTACAAGAGTGTTTGTTTATACTTGGCCTTGCAGATTATTCCATTATGCAAATCCAGAGATTGAAATAACACAATAGGTATTCAAATTATTTTAATTGTTAGGCCCCTTCAGTCAAGGTTAACCCAGGAATCTCACAATTCGGAGATAATATTGCTGGAATCAAGGACTATTTACAACCATTGTTAGATTTTGCAAATGAACATGTTGAAGAGGAAATCAGACATAGAACACCCATTTTACTTGGAGCTACAGCAGGCATGAGAATTTTAGATTGGGGATAACAATATGATGTCATGGAAGAGGTTAGAAGAATTTTGAGGGAGAGTGGATATTTGTTTGAAAATTCAGATTGGGCAAGAATAATAAGTGGAAAAGACGAGGTAAATTTTAAATCAAATTTAGGGCGCTTATTTATGGTTATCTGTCAATTATTTGAAGGGTTATTTCGCTAATAGCAACATTGATGAATAAGGAAAATTGAGAGAAAGTTATACAACAATTGATATTGGTGGTGCTAGTACTTAATTGGCTGACGAAATCACTGAATAAGATCAATATTACTTGTCATACGATGATGAATATGGAACAGATTATCATACTTTTGATACCACCGTTTATAACATTTCATTGTATTCACATTCATGGTTGTATTTTGGATAAGATCAAGCCAGAATCTAGATCAATAAGTTTTTACACAATTTACACAAGAGATCAGCAAGTTTCGAAAATCCTTGCTATCTCAAAGGATACAAAGACAAATTCAATGATGAGGTTGAAGTTGTTGGTACTGGTAATCCAAATGATTGCAAAGATTTAATCGACTTATATTTAATTGGATTCAATTCTACATGCGATTAATGTAACATTCAAGAAGCCTATATCCCAAAAATCTCACCTGAATCTAAGGTCTATGCTGCAGGATCAGCCGATTTTGTATCTAAATTGTTTAATGATGATAATGATTACACTTGGACATAATTAGAGTATTTTGATGAATTCTGTACAAAGGAATTCGATGAGAATAATAAAAACAAATTTTATGCCACTTAATGCTTTTTGGGACTTTACGTCGAAGAATTATTCGCTGTTGGTTACAGAGTACCTTCTGATACGTATCTATATTTGTCTATATTCTTAGTTTGATTGAAACAGGAAAGATTAATGGCGTTGAACCATCATGGACTTTGGCTGCTATGTTCGATTAAATTGATGATAATGAACCTTGTTCTGACAGTCCCAATTGCAATCTCAGAAGACATATGAAACAATGGAGAAAGGACAGCTTCCATCCTTCAATGAAGGAACACAAAGGTAGAGCTCCTTTGTCAAAATTGACACCCTGATATATTGTTCATTTAACATATATATCAAAACCATTATTAAATGAAAATTTATTGTCTTTTAATAAATATTAATTAAATTTTTAAAAAAGCGTTGTTTGTTGCATTTTTGAATTATATATAAAATATCGTCATTCCTATTTCACTTTTTTACAGATTTCTTCTTGTTCATGGTATGCTTTCAAAGAAGCAGCCAATTCATAACAACGTTATTTCATCGACAAAATCCAGGGCACTCTTTTGTATGTCGATATTTTCTATTTAGGATTGATACATTATATACATCGATTTAACCAGAAGCTATGAATTTCAGCACCTATTTAGCCATGTTTTAGATCTTCTCATTGTTTTCTTGATCCCATATTTCATCAAAGTTTTCTATTAAGTTTAACTATCTTATTTACCAAGATAAGACAGATAGCCTTCATAAAATTTCTCAGACGAGAAAATTTTCTTTAAATATGATGTATTCATGGTTTTATTAGAAGACTCAGATCTAAAGGGGATTAATTCTTCGATGTTGTCACTCGAAGCAAAATACTCCTTGTAGAACACCTTCTCAATTTCATAAGCACTCATTGTTAATTCGTTTAAGTTCATCTTTTATTTCAAAAATTTAAAGCACTTCCTAAGTATAAATTTTATTTATTCTTCTTTCGTCTTTTTCTGATTTTGATATCTATTGATCAGTGACTCTATTAATCCATCGTCTATTCTGGTCAAGATCTAAAGTAATTGTTATTAAAATTGAATATTACATTATATTTTATTTTCTCATCCTCCTCCAATACCTTAATTTCCTCTTTACAGAGATATTCCAATAACTATTTGAGCTCCTACAAGATCTCATCAGGCGTAAATTGTTTCAGAATTTCATTCTCTTTCTTTTGCTTTGGTAAAACTCTTTCTGATTGACTCTTCTTTGTTCGGATGTCAGGTTATTGGATTATTGGTATTGTTCTTTGAGAGGATTAAGAGAGAAGAGATATTTGTTAAAGAGGATTGAGTTAAGGTAGTTATAGATTTGGTTGGTTAGCAGCATTGCTTTAGAGTGCACAGAGTAAATGAAAATACTAAGGGTAGCAATATAAAAATATACTTGTAGCTGTTAAAGCTATTACAATTATTGTAATTAGGGACAGTATTAAAGTTATGCTAAAGTGGGAATCTATTAGAATGGATTCATGAAAAAATTAATAATTGATCAATGTTTTTGGATTCAACTTAAAATACACAGATATTTTGTCAATTAAATAAAACTGAATCTAAAAAGAATCATTAATATATTAAACTCCTTTAATATAAAAATTTATATTTCATCATAAATGAAATTCCTGATTATAATTTTTCTCACTTCCCATTTACTCCTTCCACTAATATTCATTATTCCTGAATCTCACGTCAATTCAATCCCAAATCCAATAATTCAGAGGATTATTGGATTGCTAAGAATCTATACAACCAGATTTACAGTATTACCACTTGATCCTATTATTTATTATAAAATATTTGTTAAATCAACTTTAATATTAAAATAAGAAATGAATAGCTTTTAGATACATCTATTAAGACCGAATTGATGTTTGTATCATTTTAATTCAATTAAACCCTCTTTTCTGTGCTTTTTAAAGGATGAAAATTACATCAAGTTGGTGTTAGCTGATAACCTTTTGTTTAAGTATTTTGAACAGTACTCCCAATACAGTGTGATGTTAGATTTTTATTAGAGTATTGTTAATTATTTATGACAATTAACTAATTAATTTTTTAGAATAAGTTTAATTAACAATTTCTCTTTTGTTAAAGGAATTCAAGGCTTTTCATTAATTAATCAGACTATTTAGACATACTATAAGAAGATTTGAATGATATCGATTTATTATTAAATGATCCTCTGAGTCAAGTAAAAAATGATTTCTAGCATATCTATAATTGCTCGATATTGTGTTATTTTTGTAAATCTTACTTTTTATCCTGCAAATAGAGCTAAGCTAATCAAACGCTTTAATAATGCTATATGATTTTAATTGAAATTTTACAAATATCGATTCAAAAATGAGTAATTTAATTTAAAATATCATTTGACACATCGGTAATATAAATGTTTAATAAAAAAGAAATCTAGTATGTATTTTGAAATGAAGGTGAATAAATGTTGGCATTATTAATTTTTTTATTTCTTAACTACAATCACAAATCTAATACACAGTGATAAGAACTTAGAAGATTTCATGTCACATATAAGTGGTTTTGGATGAATTCAAGTTTATTTTAATAGCACCATCTCTAAAACAGTAATAGTTTGCAGAGAAAGCTCCTTTTAAATGAGATAATCCAATTTAGTTCTATTATATAGGGATCTTCTTTGAAATATTGATGTGTTTATTTTCTCTAAATAATTAATTTATAAATAAATAATATATATGTGAAATCACTGGGAATGTATCAATAATCGGTTTTTATCTAATTAATTCAATCAGGAGAATTTAACCAATTACAACTGATTTTCTTACATTCTATTTTTTAAATTAATTAAAAATGCCTAAGAAACCGAAGTTTAATTAGATCACAAGTGTTAGTGGGGATATGCATCACCATTCGCTTTTGTCACCTGTTAATAGAAGTTGTGGAAAAAGATTAAAAAAAGTCACTTTTGACGATTATGCTCTTTATCTTTAATTTAGAGCAACTGATTGTCCAAGTGAAGTGAATATTACTCTCTAAAAACACAATTTATAAAGATCAATCTCAATAAGCACTTGACCTTGGAAAAAAATTGATTTTATTTTCATTTTATGTTTGGCTCTCATTTATTCATTTGTCTTCTATTAAAACTTTACTCAATAATTAAAGAGGATGATCATCTGTGGTTAATTCTCGAAAAGAGTAATTTAAATAGATACTCTAGATTACTGATATAGAAAATAATTAATCAATAAAAGAATTTTCATCTATGTCATGCTTTTGGATTCACGAATACTGAGTGCATTAGTAAATATGTATGGTGCCTTAAGTTTTAGAATTGAGAGCTTATTGAATGAAATTAGAACATAATTGGAGAAAGGACTGAAATTGCTGTCTACTTTTTTAAACTTTGGATTGTCGAGAAATCATTGTGGATATATAAAATAGAAAAGGGATTATAGAAAAATTGAAATTACTTCAAGTAATATTTAGTTTTAAGCCTTTCAAGGATATTAAAATTAGATTTTTAATATTTTAATAAAATTTTTATATAAATGTATATTTCATTATTCATAATTCAAATTTTGAATGTTGCCTTAGCATGTAAATGAGATATAATGATAATTATAGCATTGGATTGTTCAACAATAAAGGGAACAGCCTTAAGTAGTTATGCATATAAAACAGACGGGTCTGTGTAATTTGAATTTCCAATATCTGCTTCTGGTAATGTGGATATAACATTTCCAACTTTTTGGAGTGGTTCACCTTCAATTTCACCTTTAATCAGCGGAACCACTACTTGCAGGGAAGTAAGTTTGATTAACATTATAAAAGACCACTCAAAGTATAACGTGTACCCAAAATAATCAAAAATTCACCTGCGTTTCTTTGGCAGCAGGCAGCTTGATAATAAAATGTAGTAATGTGAAAGGACCACACACAAACAAACCTATTGGAAATTTCAATATATAATTTGCTGAATAGTCTTGCGATAACATTCAGATTAGTAACTTCTAACCATATGGTGGTTCAGTTGTGTTTTCATCTAATTCAACAACCGGCTTATTCCCAAACACTGATAAATTATAAATGATTTGGGAAAACATAATGTTGCCTATTACCTTTAGTGCAAATCCTCTAATCGAAGTTTCGATTTTAAGCAACGGGGAGTTCGTTACAACTTCTACTGTGAAAGGCTATGTGTCCACTGTATCAATAGGCTTATTGGAAGCACTCACAGTGAGTACTCCGAGTTTGATTAAGGCTTAAATGCCCTCAGCAATAGCTGTTAAGGATGTTTCAATAAAACTATATATGGAAGCATTGAAAGTGATGGGCAACACTTAGCCCATTCAATCATAAATAGATTTCAAGGATTCCAATGATGTGTTACAGTATTAGATACTCTTTCCCTCTATTTCAGTTTAAAATGATCAATTGACAGCCAGTTTAAGTATTGATTCAACCGAGATTAACATTTATACGAAATATACTTTTGGTGTTACAATCAAGAATGCATTGAATTCAGCTGGATTCGTAAGGATAGCATTAGCTCAAACACTATTATCCTCAAATCTAATCTGCTATTGCGATAATTCTGTAGCAATCCCAGTTGTTAATGCAGATTATATTGATATAGGAGGGTGTCTGACTACCGTTGGCACACATAACATAGCTATTTAGAATGTGTTGAATCCAATTTCTACTATTTCCACTATCACCATATAATACATTTAGACTATGTAGAATGGATTTTCAGTAGATAAAATGACTAACTTTCAATATAAGACACCTTCATTCACTCCTGGAACTCTAAATGCTCAATACGAACGACAAGGAAGTAGTTTGGATATAGTTGGAGATTATTCTTATTTCACATTGAAAATAACACCTAAGAATAGTATTCCAGCATCAGGTACTTTGAGAATGGAAATTCCTTAGGAGATCAAATTTGTGAATCAAAATACTCAAACATGTAATATAGACTCAAATGGTTGTCAAATCACTACAATTTAGGACTAGGTTTTAGTATTCAAGATTTAATCATCATTAGAGGCTTCAAAACAATTTATTATTAATTCAATATCAATTCAAATTAGAAATCCATTTGATACAAGTTAAACTAATTACTTCAAATTTACTTCTTATGACTAATTCAATAATATTATAGACAAAATCTCCAATGTCTAAGGATACTCAGTTAATACTAGATCATCATTTGACGGATTAGTCATTATAGAATCAGATTAACCATTCAAAAATGGGTACTCCAATACTTTTTAATTCACAATCAAAACTAAGACTCCTCAATTCTATCCTATTTAAATGACAGTCAAAGTTGGTGATTTAATGATCAACAATAATCCATTGTGTAAATTACAAGGAGCTGTCATCAAAACTTGCACTAAAATATCCTCTAATCAATTAGATGTACTGATTGAAAGTACTGATTAAGTCTTGTTGCCAACTACTTTGAAATTAACAGTTTCAACCATCAAATGCAAAGACACTATGACCAAGAGTTAGGATTTTGAATTTTCAACTAAATCAACGAATGGGTTGATGAGTTATCAACAAGGTCCTTATATTAGTAATTCTTAATATGGTGATATTACATAAACTGAATTGATTGTTGATAAATAATATTATGGAGCTTAGAATGCAGTCTATTAATTTAATTTTGCTCTACAAAATGGATTGATAGAAGGCACTTATTAGATTCATATATTATTTCCATTCAATCTACCATCATCTGGTTATTCTTGTAAGGATACATCTAATAATAAATTGGACTGCAGTGTCTAATCCAATAATATTCTAGTTATCACAGGGCCCTTTGACTCGAATCAGTTACAATATAACGTCATTGTTAATGGAATTGCTACTCCTCAAAATGAATAGTAACCAAGAACATTTACGATTAAAACATATAGAAAAATAGATAATACTAACTATTTAGTTGATAGTTCAGTAAATGGAGCATTTCAATTTAATTTATTTTGTCCTCAGTTGAATAATTGTAGGACTTGCAAGATAATTACATCTGACAATCTCTAATGTCAGACCTGTTATCCATCCATCATATCTAAGTACATTTATATGAAATCAAATGCTTGTGTAGACTCATGTGGAGATGGGTATTATTAGAATGAGCAAGAATATTCTTGCCAATAGTGTCCAAATCACTGTTAAACTTGTTCACCTATTAACAATATTCTAATTTGTGATAAATGTTTTGACACTTATAAGTACCAAGATAGTGTTTGTGTTGACACATGTGGAGAGACATATTACTTACCCTTGAATTCAAATAATAAATGTGAAAAGTGTGATAGTGAATGTATTTTATGTTCCATGAATTCCTCTTACTGTTCAAAATGTTAACCAAATATCCCATTATATGATCATAAATGTTACAGCAAAGGATGTGAAGAAGGATATTATTAGACTTATAATTCAAGCAAGGTTTTAGTGTGTGAATTATGTCCAGCCACTTGCATAAGTTGTATTACCAATGATTAATGTACTGAATGCTAACCTGGTTAATATTCTTTGTCAGGAACATGTAGAGCAGATTGCCCATCTGGTTACTTTATAAATGAAGAACAAATGCAATGTAAGTCCTGTATATCAGGATGCAGCCAATGTCCAGATGATAAAACATGTGTCAAATGTTCAGATGGATTCCTACTAAAACTATCATAATGTGTATTAACATGCGGAGATTAGTACTATGTAGATGCTGATCAAACTTCCTGTTTGAAATGCAATTCGAGTTGCCAAACATGCGAATTGAAAGATGGACAACAATTGTGCTCATCCTGCATTAAACCATACTTCTTTTCTAATTTCACTTGCATTCAATAGTGTTAATCTAACTATTATGCTGTAAATCAAGAATGTTTCCAATGTTCATCTAATTGCTTAACTTGTAATGGTAGTGCATAGACCTGTACATCATGTTAAGTCTAAGGAACAACACCATAATTTCTAGATGGAACTGTTTGTGTTACCAAATGTTCAGATACCTATTTTGGTGATGTTACTAGTGGTAAATGCATCCAGTGTCCAAGTACTTGTGCTGTATGCACATCTTTAAATAATTGCACCTAATGTAATTAATCCACCAGCACGCATTACTTGATTGAAGGTGCTTGTAAGGAAGAGTGTCCTAACAGTTACCAACCTAAAGGGTTACTTTGCGAATTGATACCACAGGAAGTCATTACCAATATGGGACCAAACCGATATGTCCCGGTTCCCCATGTGATATTATTCACTTTCTTCACTATCTCTGTGCTAGTCTCTAAATAATACAGAAATGAAACTTATATGCCTGGCTCAATTCTAGGGTTGAATGCTCCTTTGATATGGTCATCATGGTTGACTGTGTTATTTTTATTGCACGATTATTATGAATACAATGATATGTATTACTTTTGGATTCTAGTTGGTAGTGTTGTATTGAATTGGCTATTTAATGTTGCTCACCTTCTATTGGTTAAATAAAAGATATGGAGTGATTAGGATTTCATGAGGTGGCAGGCCTCAACTTTGAAAAATAAGATTACCAATTACATTTTGATTTCATTGTCCTTGATATTAGCGTATCCCCTCTACAAACTCATCATGAGTCGATACTTTGGTTTTACGTTTTTCAAAGCCAAGATGGTGGACATCAAACCCTTTTTTTCCTTTAATTGTTTAAATGGACTTTACATTACCTTAGTCAATATTCCAATAATTGTTAGTTGTGCCTTGATAGCCTATTACGAAAATTCATTTAATTCATAGACTTTTATTAGCGCCATAGATTCACTTATAGTGACTTTCTCCAATATTCTACTGTTAATTTGGGAAACTTAAAAGGGAGAACAATTTTTCGATGAATTCGTCCAAAATTATTATTTGAATGAATCTAAATAGAATATTGAGAGGTAAGAAATTTCCGGATTCTTTCAACATCCCTTTGATTTGAAATCACAAGCTGAATAAAAGATTGACATTTCGGATTTGGATGCTTAAGCAGTCAACCAGGAGAATGATATTACCAAATAGAAATCTCATGAGCAATCACAAGAACAATCCTGTAATTTAAATGGGATAAGCGTAATACTCAGTGATAAGAATTCTAATCCTGTGTTTCATTAGGAAAGCGATAGGTCTTAGCAATTTCCTTAGAAATAAGTTGTTCCCTCCAATCTCAAACATACTGTGTACTATAAGACTGTTCAGAATAATTAATTTGAGAATCCTGATGATGAACCTCCATATGCTTCTCCTGGATCTGAGAATTTCAGTTCTGTAAAGTCTCAATCCAGTTAACATTGTTAGAATTCCTTCAATGATCAAAGTCAAAGTCCTTTAAAAGATATTAGTTAAATCTAGGATTCAGAAGAACCACATGAAAACAGTTAACTGTCCATTTTTGATGAGGAGAAGAACAAAAGTCCTTCAAAATAATAGAAAACCTTGCAATTATAAAAAATTTAAGATTATCCACCTGATCATTATAATATAGTACCAACTTTTGAAAACGAGTATGATAACGAGAATGATCCTCAATAGATTAACTAATAAGTTGAGAAAGCAGATAGTTTTTGCAAAAAGAACTAATCACAATTGTCAAATAATTAAGGAGATAACAATTTGCCATCAAATCGTAAATCCTCATAATCTAGGAGAGAAGTAACATAATCATTATAATATTCATAAGTCTAATAGCTTGCTAAATCTGCTCAATTTGCCAATGAAGGCAATAGAGCATTATAATCACATTAATCTAATAGTCGTGAATCCTTGAGTGTATAAACCAATCTAGCATAATAAGGATAATATACATAATAGGTTTCAAATTAAGATAAACCATTAACTTAATCATTTGTATATTAATAGAAAGGGATAGATTAATAATAATATATATAATAACTGCAATAATAACAATAATAATAATAATAATAAAATCAATAATAACAAAAATATTTTATAGAATCATTTTAAAAATAATCAATTAATTCTAAGAGTGATGATTTTAATTAAATACATAAACAAAACATTGATGATTATCCTTCCATTCCTTCAAATCAATTCAAACCAAAAACTAAACTAAATGATCTTAGAGAACCTTCACATGAGAACAATTAGGATGATGATTCTGATAATATTTAGTTACAATTAGGTATTCCAGATTAATAGCCTTAATTTGATACTGAAGAATCAAAGGATTAACATAGAATTCAAATTTTAATGGACAGCAGAGCAATCGAAGAAGAGGAAGATTAAGAAATATTTCAAGATCAAATTCAAATCCAAAAAATAAAACCTAAGCCTTACTAGATGAAAGTGGAGAACCGTTAGAAGAAGGCAAAGAGAGAATAAATAAGCAAGGAGAAGATCGATAAGGAAGGTCAGATTAAGAATATTTTTGATTCAAACGATTCAATTCATACTATGTCTGATCAGGAATGGTAAGAGAATCAGATTTCGCCTTCAGAGTTTAATTAGCTGAATTAAAGATTCGAGGAGGAATAAGCCTCAGATTTCTAGATTCGTTTGCCTACTCAGAGTAAGACGCAATAGAATTACAGATAGGCGAAGGTGAAACCCTTGGAATTTGAGTTCGGCGATGAGAACAACGATGAATAATCTTATAGTGGATAGGCATAGGTGGATTTCACTAAGAACTTTTAGGTGAAGAAGGAGAGTAAGCAGCAGTAATTGGAAAAGGTGTATTTGTAGAAGTTGGAGAAAAATGAGAAGGTGGGGGGCAGATCGAATAAATTGGAATTCAAGAAGAAGCAGCAGGTCAACAAAAATCATCCGAAAGATATATCAGATGCATATATTGATGATTAGATCGATGTTGAGGATATCAACTTTTGAATTAATTAATTAATTATATTTATGTAAATATTATAAATTATAAATGAGAGGCAATTTGAATATTGATATTTCAAGATCAAGTAGTTCTCATTTTCTTAATGACATCGAACTTAAGAAACTGTTCCCATTCACGCAGCAATTACACAATAGATACTTATAATAAAATAGGCTTTAGAATATCAAGGACGATCTGACAAATGTCCAACAACAAACTATAACTTATCAAATAAAGGACTTGTTGATCAAGTAGGATTATTGCACTATTCTAGAGATAAAACCAGAAGCAGAAATAATATTGACGATATCATTTATCAGCAGACTACTCCACGAAGATTGAGATCGAAAGAGAGAACCATCAGTGTGAACAAGAAAAACACTCAGGCCATAAACTATCATGATGCTTAGAATGTTAATTTACATAACAAAAGTATACGAAGAGATATTGTGCAATTGGCTCAATGGTTGGAATTAATGATATAGCAAGTCTAATAAACTCAGAGCAATTTATCATTTTAAGAATACTACAATAAAATAGAAGTAATATTTAGTGGATCAATGTTAGAGTTACAGAGACAATTGCAATAAAAGGGGTTTGAATTTGGGTAATGTCTCAAAAAAATTTGGGATTCCTTTTTGATAAATGTGCAATATGTTGTGGAGGGATTGAATGGTAAGGCAAATCAAATTGAGTAGTAGAGTTTAGATAAAATCAATAAATTGCATGAGTGGTACTAGGAAGCTATGTAAAAACAACTATGTCAGATTCAACAATAGAAAGAAGAATTACTTTAAATCCAATAAATGAATCTATAAATGAATAAGGAAAATTAATATTTGAGAAAGAAGGACGTTAGAAGAGAAAAATAAATAAGAGAATTAATTTATGACAAGGATCATTACCTATTGGAAATTATCGAATTGAAATCATCACAAATCAATTATCCTCCAGATTTAGAATAATGTCAACAAAAAATTTATGACTTCTTTAAAAAGTAATGTGAAAATCATATTAAAACCATGGAAATCTAGTATAAGAATTTGTAAGTGTAAGACTTTTACTTTGATCATACATTGGACTTAGTGATCAAAGATAAGGGGTGTTAGGTTGTCGATTTAGTAAGAACAATTGATAAATGCATAAGCACATCCGATAACTAATTGATTAATGTTGCTACTTAGACTCACAAGTAGAAGCGATAAATTGATGAGGAGATTTAAGTGAAGGTTAATTCTACTGACTAAGAAACACAAGTCAGTGTATATCAAATCAAAAGGGATAAACTAATCAGGAATCCTTATGAATAGATGATTTTAAAGAATGCTTACCTTGATTTGGATGACATCATTGATAAGTTCCAGCAATTTTATTTTCCATATTAGGAACTCCTATCTAATGATCCACACTATTTGAATTTGATTAATAATGAGATGAATCGTCAAGAAAAACAGATAAATCAAATTGTAGATACATTAAATATAAGAAACGAAATTGCCCTTAATGATTTATCCAAATTTAAGGAGTACTTAAGGTAGATTAATAGAGAGACCTTATAAAATTATATGTAAATTTGGAAGATAGTCCTAAATCAATAATCATCTGTGATAGATGCTACAATTGAAAAACAAGAGTTACAAGTTGAATTGGATGATATCAAATCGATATTTACTAATAATATGCAAATCATCAAATAATTTTAGATTAAATATGAGGATGATAGAAAAATCTCAGAGTTCTATTAATAATCTCTAGTACGAATCATACGATATGCTCCTTAATTCATCATTAATTAAATTTAATAGTAAGCCAATCTACATAAGGTCTTAGATGGAGTTGAATTCAAAGAAATGAGGAAGAAAAACACCTTAGTTGACTCAAGAATTTCTGTTAGTCCTTAAAGAGAAGATAGTTCTCAATTGTATTCCAAGCAGTCTCCTATCAGAGCAAGCCAAGTGTCTTTTCAATCCCAATTGTAAATAAATTCCATGAAATAAATTACCAACAATAACAAAACATTGAAAGCTCAAAAGTCATTTGAAATAGAAGTCGATATGCCCAAAGGTTTGAGAGACATTGACGAAGAATCGTATAGGAGTGTATCAGAGGATGAAGATTAATTAGAGAAAGATGAAAATGCATTTTCCTTATTAAGATTTGACTTTTAGACCCAAAAACCGTAGTTAACATTGGAGAAGAAGCTAAGAATAAACACTTGCCCTTTGAAATCCGCATAACATTCAACTGCAGTTCTTAAACAAAGTAATTTTTGACTAAAATTATAGTACTCAGGAAGTTTAATAAAAGCAACATGAATGGTCTATATACAATTGGGACTCTGTTATAGCATTACACAGAATTAGTATAACGACAATTGCCCAACAATACAAATACACCTTTGCATGTTCATCTTTACGAGCACATCACTTTTCGATTTGGATAGTCATAGTTAAGCGATTGCAACCGATATAAGAGGATGATAAAGAGTTTTTTATATTATGAACATCGACACTCAACTTGTAAGATTGTTGTACGTTTCCTTAAGGCCGAATTGGATGTCTAAGACTTCAACACGTACTTATAAATATTAGAGATCTGTAAAGAATATCCTAGTTTGATATTCAGTAATTTCATTTAAGCTCTTCAAGAATGGCTTACTTAAAATCATTATACAGAAGAGGAGATGGAAGTAATAACTAATGAGTTATATTAATCTGATCTAGCTTATTTAAAAAATAACCCATCTCCAACAGAATTCGATTTAATAATGGACCAATTCTTAACAATATTCAGTAAATTCAAAAACAGAACTTCGTATAAATATAAATTCCTATTTGAATCTATTGATACATCAAATAAGGGTAACATCAACTTCTAGCAATGGAATTTCATTTATGAAACTCTAATTCAAGTAAATTATTCATTTAGTCTGAAATTGTTTTATTCTGAAGCTGATTATCATGACAATTAGAAGTTAATGTCAAAACAGAGATTTACCTTGGTGAGTGATGAACTGTAGATCTTCTAATCAGATTAATAAGAGAGATTGTTGGATCATCAAAGTCTTGATGATATTGTAGTTGAATTGAAAGAGAAATGGGCCAACAACAAAATTTAAATGAAGATTTGTTTCATCAAATCTAATAGAGTATTATCCCCATTTATATACATTTTAGTATGATAAATTTATTAAATCCTTGTTTCAATATGTGGATAGGTGTTTACTCAATAAACAAAATTGGGAATCCTGTTGTTATACCTATAAATTACTTTAGAAAACTTACAAAGTTTATTATCTAGATCAATAAGTCTAGGGTATGCTCAATTCTCCACTCCAAGCAATTAGTCTGAAGTTTAGATAAATTTAAGAAAAGATGTTAAGTTTCTGAAGTATATTTATCAAATCTACAAATTTACGCTCATTATATTCGTCAAAAAATTAAATAGAGTATCTTTTTTATTAAGTAATTAAATTTGAATTTCTGAGAAACTACAGTATAATTTCTTTTGTTTTTTTATTTTTCAATTCTATTGTTAGTTATGTTTAAAAAAATGAACTAATATATAGAGAGTAAGACATTCCAAAAAGGATATTTATATATGCAAATCTATATTTGGTAATAGAAAGGGATCCTTTTATTTTTAATATATAATATTATTATTATAAAAAAAGATTTTTGCCATTTAGAATTATAGAAAGGGGAAATTGGATTTAATCATTTCGTCTTGCAATTCAAGATCATTTAATTGTATACTTATATAAAAATATTTCAGAGTAACAGTTATTAAATAAGTCTTTTATAATTCATTTTTTTTTTGTTATTTTTGACTTTTATTGTTTCATTGTACTCTAATTGTTTTATGAAGTTCTCAGTGGGTATCTTTATTTATTGGTTTTATTATCTTAAACTAAGTAAGATTAATTCTAATCAATTTTACAATTATTTTGAGAACTCTAATTTATTAGGATTTTTAAATGGTCTTTGTAACAATTTACACTTTAAAATGAAGCACTTTTTTCGATTTTACCCTTTGAAAGGTTTGTACAACTATTATTATGTGCCAACTCTTTAGAAATACTCTTTTATTTATTGGATTTCTTATCAAATAAATTAGAATTAATTTCTTTGGGTTCAGCTTATAAGTAGAAAGGTTATGAATCATCCTCAGGATCCAAAAGTAATTGATTTGACAAATAAATATTACCCTTTTAAAGTGAAACTTAGGATCTAAATTATAAGTATATATATATTACTTATTATTAATGTCAATCTCTTGGAAATGTTAATTTTTCATCTTGTTTTTGTTTTCTTGTTAAGTCTCATAGACAATTTATGATTAAAAGTCATCTAACGATATTAAATCATTCTCTAAGAAATTTTTATCTGTCTTTGGGGATAAGTATGAAAGTTGATATTAGAATAAACCTAAATTCTTTTTCTTTGATTTTGTTTAAACAGAAGCATTTGTAGTGGATTTGCAAGTTTAACTCAATTGAGAAGTTTTGGTAGTTTCAATATTATTAGATTGAGTGAAATTAGTTTGAATTTCTGTATCTTTAAATCTTTTAGGTCCATTTAAAAAAAGTGATCCATCACATAAAATTTCACTATAAAACTTTGGTATTTCCTTTTAGGATGATTGAGTACTACATTTCATTCCTTATAATTCTTCATCTTCATTTTGTTCAATAATAGGTTTAGTCTTAATTTATTTCATTCTTGCAGATGTTGGATAAATGTCTAAAATGATTGATTCAAATTTTTCATTTTTTTATTATTTGTTACTTTATTCAGAGATCTCACTCTCATTTTTGAATTTTGTGTTGGTATTTGAATGAGTGGAGTTGTATAATCTGCATTATTTCGTATCTGAGCTCAATTATTAATTAATTTTTTAGCTTTATTTGAGTGCGATTTAATTGAAATTGAATTTGGAAGTAGTATTTGAATCATTTGCAGAGATTGATAATTGATCGGATGAATTTAATTTGGTTGATTGGACTTGATAGGTATACAATTTATCTGTTTTTGCACTTTCACTTTGTTTGGAACGACAATAATTGGTTTGAGTGTAGTAGTGCTAATTGCTGTCAATATTCCTCCAATTTCCATTGTATTAAGTTGAATTTGGTGGTTTATATGAATCGTTGATTATCCTGACATCATGAGACAAGGGAAGCAACGATTGCCATCCAACCGATTATTACAGTGGAACAGTATTCTCATTGATCTGATGCAGTTAAAGTAATTTTAAATCCATCTTGTTTCTTGGCGTTGAAATGGGTAATTCTTCATTGGGTTATGGAGATTACCTGCTTCTTCCAACACTGACATAGAGTTTCCCAGGTTTCTAAACTTGCTTTAATTGTTATTTTAATCTGCGCAAAGGATTTGATCTAGAGGTACTCTTCGATCTTACAAATTTCAACTGACTCATGAAATTTTATTTATAAACAAATTTTCTGTTTTATTTTTATATTGATAATTATATTATTAATCTGATGGAATAACACAATAATTGTATAAGATATACACAATTTCTGAAGTATTTGGCTTACGGTTATTCAAATACTTTGCATTAACACTTATAAAAATTTCATTATTAATTAATTATTAAATGTAACATAAAGGTAGAAAATTAAGCATTTATTATGAGTAAATACCGAACCAGGAGAAACCAATACAAGTAGTCAACAGTTTTTTAGTACGGACACCCTATTCCAAAACAATGTTGGATTGAGTACAAATATCTCATCGAGCACTTTGAGACATACAGCCCCTTTGATCTCGTTTCCTAAGGCAAATAGGTTTCACACTCAATCTCAATTTCAATTGCCAACCAAATTGGAATTACCATCACAATTGGGAAAAAGGTTGTAAACATTAATTTTATCAATATTTCAGATACACTCAATAAGGTTTTGGGAATAAGAAGGTGTTTCAATATGAATGGCAAAAGGTGAATGCCAAAGATTTCCCGAGTCCTGATAGATATCGAGTGGGATAAGAGCCTGGGATGGATCAATTGAAACGATCATTTGGTTTGGGATGGGAAGCTTACTCGAAGACATACCTCCCTTACAATAAACATTAGGCTCCTGAGGTGGCCAAATTCTTGCCAGGTACTAAAATGATGAGTAAATTGAGGTCCTGGAGAATATAATGTACGTCAAGATCTGGGTCAACATAGATATTAGTTTTAATTGAAGGGCAAAGGGAAGATGTTCAATGATCAAAGAGAGAATGGTGTTCCTGGGCCAGAGACTTATTAACCTCAAATTTCATTGATTGTTCCTAATCGATTTTCAGTAAGAAATACATCGAAGTGAAATTAGAAAATCTCCTAGGGGATAGGTGAGAAGAGGAGTCCATTTTCATCTTTGAGTTTCACTCCTGGACCTGGCAGATATGAGTAGAACTCGGCATTTGATAGGGTTTCCAAGAAGAGAGAATTTATAACGAAGCCAGGAGAGAAGAGACCATTCATATGATTGTAATTTAAAAATACACTTCATTTTAGTGGATACATGTAATTTATTGATTTACATGAAAAGAAAAGAAATCATTTCATTTTACCTATCTATTCTTTTAATAATTGATTTCTCAGTTCATATTCTAATAATTCATCATTCTCGACTGAATTTTTTGATATTGATTTTTTTCTCATAGGAGAAGGTTCAATAGGTTTCAAGATGTTCCTTGCAAATTCTAAGCCTTTTTATCGAACAGTTACTTCTTTTGGTTAGCTTTTGGAAATTTTCTATTTAAAGTGTCTATGCTCTGCTTTGACCTTTAGATATGTTAAGGTGATACATGCTCTGCAAATTCAAGCATCCTATCCATTTTCTCCTTTTGCTGCTGCCATTTCTCGATCGATAATGTGGGACCCAGTCCTTGTCCTGGATTTCTCAAAATGGGTTACAATTTCAATAGTTTATATTAGCTGAGAGTATAGGGTTTGTAGTTGAAAATGGAGTTTTTGTCATCTTTAATAGAAAAATTTTTGGATTGATTGTGAGAGTCTTGTTCTTCCTTTTTCCATTGCTCAAATATCATCAATTATTCCTACTGATGTCTTCTAATTAATTCACCCAATTCTCTCTATTAAATGAGATGCAACTCATGTAATTTCCTTTTCTGTTCCTCTGATAATTTTTCACTCAATCCATACTAATTCATATTAATTTTATGATAAAATAATATTAATTTGTTGTCTTATTTATTGTTCGAATATTATTAATTGCATGGTAAATCTAAGGAAGATCAGGAGATCAAGGAATAGTTTGAGAGGAAGGAAAGCATTCAACAAATATTACTCTATTTAAAATTGATCAATATATTTGTAAAAAAACTAATAAGTAAATAAATTTATATGCGTAAACATACTTCCCCCTATAGAAATTCAAAACCAGGATCTTCTTTAGGAAGAGTTCTCTTTAAACCAGAAAACCAGACCAGATACAACTCAAAAGAGAAGAAGACGACGAATAACTCTCCCATCAGATTAGTTTTGAATTCTAGGCACAATTCATTTGAATACGCTACAAAGCAACCATAAATGTAACAGACTATACTCCCTTCGTTGAGCAAAAAACATTTTCAACTTTAATATGTTATTGGGATTGGTGGTTTCGGAAAGGTTTGGAAAGTCACTTACAAATCACAATATTATGCCATGAAGGAAATGAGCAAGGCCTTAGTAATCTATAAAAGGAGTGTGGCTTCAGTTATCAATGAATTGCGATTATTACAAAACCTCAATCACTCATTTATTGTAAATGCAATTGCAGCCTTCCAAGATAAACAGAACATCTATTTAGTATTGGATTACTTACAGGGAGGAGATTTAAGATATCATCTGGGACGAAACAGAAGATTTAATGAAGAATAAACAAGTATAATTTGACCAATATAAGAGTTCATTGTTTGTTGTGTCCTTGTGGGTCTGGAATATTTACATTCTCGTCGCATTATTCACAGAGATCTTAAACCAGAAAATTTAGTCCTAGACTCCAAAGGCTATGTCAGAATTACAGATTTGGGAGTAGCAAGGAAATTGGACAATATGCAAATTGATACAAGTGGAACTCCAGGATATATGGCCCCAGAAGTCATGTGCGGTTTGGAACACGGTATACCAGCTGATTATTATTCCTTGGGAGTGATAGCATATGAATTAATGCTCGGGAAAAGGCCTTATTATGGGTAAAATCGAAAAGAAATCAGGGATGCTATTCTTGCTAAGTAGGCTCAAATCAAACAGAAATTAGAAGGTTGGTCTTTGGATGCTATTGATTTTATCAATAAGTTGATATAACGAAAGCCATCTCATAGATTAACAAATGTAAGAAATCATCCATGGCTTAGAGATTATCCTTGGGATAAACTAAATAATAAAGTCTTACAAGCACCTTATGTACCATTGAATAACGACAACTTCGATGTCTCTCAAATTCATTATGAAGATCAAGAAAATCAACTAATCATAAGTCAAACAGGCTTCTTGATCTCTCAAAACCTAAATGCTTTTGACGATTACTACTATGAACAAAATCTAAGAAGAAGATCTTCATTAAATCGAACATTTCTTATCAAATGAATTTTATTATCACGTTAAATATACATTATAAACCTATTATGCATTATTTCTACAATTTAAAATTATATTGTTAAATCAATTTATTAACCCTCAATTCTCCACTTTCTTGGTTAACCGTCTTCTATTAGTAGTTACTGTAGTCTTCTTCTAATTATAATATAACTCAAATATCTACTGATTAAAGACTTTCATCAATTGGCATCGTCTAATTCATTTACTTCAACTCATCCTCTAATCCTTTTAGTTTCTCTGCTGTTTCCTTGTGAATGTTCACTAAATTTTCATATTTGTTTTTCCAAGATTCCAATTCCAAAGTAATTGTATAACTATCAGTCTTCACCAACACTTCTTTAAGGCCTTCTATCTTATTTTTCAACTCGCTAATTTTATATATTTTAATATTAAAACTTTATTTTTTAATCTCTTTGATGATTTAGCATGTTCTCCTGTTCCCATTTCTATTTCCATTATTAAGTGGAATCTTTTTATTCTGAAAAAACAAATGGCGATTTTTATTAATCAACATGAGCTTTTTATTTTTTCAAATATGATTCCAGAAGATTTGTATGCTAATCGATTAGCTCATTTAATTAGATCATAGTAGCAATTTGAGATTGTAATGTAGATTCATAATATTGCGATATTTATTCAAATTTTTCACAACACTATTTATCGTTATTATCGATCTTGAGATTATTATTTTTCAAACGATCTTAAGATTACTTTCTCAGATAGCTCACCTAACCGAAAGCTTAAAAAAATGTATTTTAGAAATCATATGGTATTTTAGGCTTAAATGGACATTAAACTTTAGATTGTTGTTTTAAACTGAGTTAACAAGTCTAATCTGAAGAGCTGATTCGATTCATATATTTAATATTATCTTAGATTTTAAGTTCATCATGATTATTAGTTAGTCAGATATTATATTATAAATAAAAACGGAATTATATAGTATAAATTTTTCATCAAAAAACTAAAAATAAAATACATAACTTCATTGTTATGATATTTGTTTCTGATTGTTTCCTGACTATAGAAATCTAATATTATTTAATAACAGAAACAGAAAAAATAATCGCCAATTCTTTAATATATTTTAAAAATTTATTTAATAATTTTAATTTTAATTATATATTCTCCCTTTATACTATTTTACTCACTTCCCTTAATTCAAATAATTATCACTCATATTAGTCAATATATATTTATCTTATTGCTGTTATTGTTATTGTCTTGCTTATTTAAATTTTATTACAATCTTTCAAAATAATCGGCCTTGTATCCTTTGACTTGTATTCTAATTTTTATACTAAGTGTATTATACATCAGATGACATATTTGATAGCTAATTTCCATTTCAACCACCTTTTTATAATTCATTTAATAATTTAAAGATAGAATTTAAGATATATCTATCAGGACTCTTTAACCAATTCATAAATAATTAATTTATATATAATTTAATAGTATAATTTTTGATACTCATATATTTCTAGTGGTTAATGTTCCGTACTGATATTAGGAAATCTTAGAATTTTGATTTTCTTTGACAATTTCGTATGTTTCAACCTAAATTAAATAGAAATATTATTTACTCTAAAAGATCCATTTTTCTGTTTCTTAAAAGTATCGAGTTCAGCATTTGATAATATAAGCTATTCTTATTGTTTATGGTATTCTCTATTTAAATTAATAAATTAGGCCTTCCAAGAATCAACCTCTTGATTAAGCTGTGTAATTCTTTCATTGTAAGTTGTTACTTCTTATTGATTGATTAATTTAAACTTTTGATTCTCGCATTCATCTTATAATTATTTGATGCTCATTTTATTTGATTCTATCTCTTACAATTTAATTTTCAATAAATTGCTCAATCTCTCTATTTCTGTAGAATAAACTACGTTCTTTTATTCTAACTCTTTTAATTTGTGAGCTTCACTTAATTAGAACTAAGAAAATTGTTATCTAACTTTTTCGATTTCCTCATTCTTATTTCTCAATTGAACAGTCAATCTCTCAATTTCAGTGCTGAGTAAAGCAAACTTCTATTGATATTCCTTCAATTAAGTTATATCTTATAATTTGAATTTCAAATTTTCTAGTTCCTCATTTCTTTATCTCATTATTTATGACATTCTACTATTTTCATTTGCCAGTCTGTCTATTTCTTCAGTTTTGTGTTGGAGACTTTAATGTAATCTATCGATTTCTTGATTTTATAATCCAATTTTGTTTTCATAATCATCAACTTTGTAATGATCATTAAGAGTGATCTATAATTTGGCTATGCAATTTCTTAATTGATCATTTTCTTATAGTTTGATCATTAATGAATTATTGACTCTATCAAATTCCTAAGCAAGATTTTAATATTTGATTTCATAATCTGTATACTTTTGATGCTCTTATAACTAATTCTGATAAATCATTATTTATTATTTACATTTGTCTAATTCATCCTATTTAATTCTGATTCTCTGATTTAGGTTGTTAATTTCTTCATTTTATAATTTAGATCTGATTTCATACTCCTGATATTTGGAAGTATCCTATAGAGTCATTTGAAGTGTTTGAATAATGGATTACAGTTTAGAAATCTCCTCATTTTTGTTGAGCAATTCATTCATATATTTATCTGAAAGACTTTAATTCTCCCTGTATTAATTCTCAATGCTCTATTTGTAATTGATTTCTCTATTCTTCAGATCCTAATTTTCTGATTCAGAGTCTCTCAAACGTTTAGACAGAATCTCAATCTCTTTAATGTATGTTTATTTGGATTGATCATATTCTTCTGATTTCTGTTTAAGTAGTGCAGTAATTCTTTCAAGTTCAGTAGTCAATTAATTTTGTACTTATTACTATTGGATGTATGATTGTTCGTACTTTTTACTTTCAATTAAGGTCTTTTGCATTTACTGTAATTGGGATTGACTTTGAGAGACAAGTACATTTAATCTTTGGATTTCATTCTACCAATATTGTTCATTGTCCTAAGAACTCTTTTTAATTCTCTCATATTCAACTTGATTCTGTTGAATTGCCATAAATTATTGAGTCATTTGAGATACTTTGATCTTTAATTATTCTGATTCATTTGTAGTTTCTCTAAGGAGAGTATTTACTCTATTGAGTTCAATTTAATATTATTATAGATTGGTTTCTAATTGTTAGACTCTATGAGTGTCTTCAATATAGGTGACTTTCTCTTGACAAGTGCTTTTGAGTCTGTGGACTTCATTTGTAAGTTCTTGGATTTACTTTTCATAGAGGGAACACTTATTTTTATAAAACTCAAGTTCTTCTCTGGATGGCTCAACCACTTTAACTATCTCTTAGACCTTAATATTATATTAAGATTATGAGGGTTTCAATTGCTGGGTTTCCAATCTGATAGGTGGTTGAGTTTGTTGTTGGGGAATGGTTCTGGTGACATAGACAATATTGGGAGATGTCAAGAGATCCCTTGTATTGGATTAGGCCCTTTGAGATTTATGTGGATCTTGATTGGGTTCTTGGAATTATTGAGTTTGATAGTAGGATATCTGTTAATCCATGAAGTCGTTAAATATTTATTAATAAAATTATATGTTTATTTAATGTGATTCATTAATTTTAGTAGCCAAAATTGCAACAAAATATATCAATAAGTATATAAGTCATTTAAATTTGGAAGTACTTTACTTAAGAGTGTAAATTAGTTACAAAACTATAGAGTATTTACAAACTATTCTCATCTTTGTTTCAAAAAATGATAGTTTCTAATGATTTAAGAATCTTAGAATTACCATATGGTCATCTGATATAGTAAAAGTCATTTCTAAAAATGATTTAAGTACTTAAATCAAAACGTATATTTTCATATTTAATATGATAATCATTATTAAGGTTTGGTTTCTCCCATGTCTCCTGCACTTCTATTGGCTTTGTTTCTTGATTCGTAATACCCGAATTCGGATGGCAACCTATAACTGCCTGGGGCTGGTGTTCCAGCTGATGCAAAGGTTCATAATAATCATAGTACCTTTGCCGACTGATCCTGTTCTTCTGGATTCCTTTGGAAAACTCCTAACATCGTCGAAGAGTGAAATTTTGAAATAAAATAATGTCCATCCTTTTGAATTCCTGTCTTGTCTACTGGGTAAGTTCCTGGTCCAGGAGCATACAAGTTAGTGGCTGTTCTAATAAGTTATTGGATGTTTACAAAAATCCTTAACAAATCTCCTAGAATTCTTGGGATTGAACAAGGTGGCGCAAGAGTTATTGTATTTTGATATGGGATACTTGCCAACTGGATTCACAGCTGGTAGTGATTCGTAAGTTCCTGGTCCTGGGATCTCTTTGCCAGTTAAAACCATAAAATTGGTCTTGGGTCTTTGTCTCATTGTGTAACGTACGTCGCTCAAGGTTGAACCCAAATCATAGGTTCCAGGAGCTACGATGATATACGGTAAATCTACCTGGAGTCTTTGAATTTAAATTTCCTAGAATTCCTGTGCTTGCCATCTTCTCTCTACTCATGCCAAATTTATTTCCCTTCCCCTTCTTTTGATTGACGTCAACATCACTTGTAATATTGTATTATTATGGAGATGGAGTTGTAAAGGCTACTTTTGTAAAATCAGTTCTTTTATAAATATTTAAATCTTTTTACTTTGTTCCTTTGCCTATTCCAGCCGATCGCTTATCAATCTGAGTTGGTAAGTCATAGAAAGCCTTCCCACAACTAATTTTAAATTCACATTCCATTACTTAACAGGATTTGCAAGACTGCCAAATCTGTCTGATTTAGAAAATGTCCATAAGTTTTTAGCAGTACTCTGATTGAGTGGTGATCCACAAATTTGCTAACAAGTTGAAACAGTTATTGACATGATAAATAAATTAATTATTAAATAAGAATATATTCATATCATTATATGTATAATTCTAATAAACACTCTGATCTATTACAATCTTTAAATAATATACAAAGTAGTTTTCATAAATCATTAAAGAATTGCAAAATGAATATTTAGAATTTCTTATAAATTTCAGTGCAAATTAACTAAAAGAAATGTGATATTATTAATTGTTTTAGAAATCCATTCTGTTACATAATAATATTTAAGTTTAATATCCGTCATTAAATTTTATTTTATGAATAAATATAAATCACAAATTTCAATGATATCCAATAACTCACAAATCCCAACATCAACCATAAGACAAAACATGCCAATATGCTTTCTGCAAAATAAAACAAAAATTAAAAGAACCCATGCATATTCACAAAGTAATAATAAAAGAAGATAAATCCGAAGATGTATATGATACATTGTCCTCCATTGATGAATGATATCCATTGCCAATTATAATTGCCCTGATTCAATTGCTTATAAGTTTGGATAATAGATAGACAACCCACTATAATCAATAATTGAATGTAGGAAAAGATCAACAACGTGTATTACTCAAATTATTGATCACTCCATGTACTTTCCAAAATGTAATACAGCTCCATAATGATCGATCTATAACTTAAATGTTTCAATATACATAAAAGGCACAATTCCATACAAGCATCCACTTGATAGGAACTAATAATTAGAGATGAGCACCTTCTTCTTCAACCTTTTTTCGAACAACTCGTCTATGGTTCTCAGTCGACCTGAAACGCCTCCTATCAAAGTTAAGGGCAAGTACACTACTGTTAGAATGAATCCAACTGAAAATACTGCTGTAAATGAGAAGGTGGATGTTGTTCCGAACAAAAATGAAAGCACATCAATAATAAAAAGAATTGACATTGCAGATATCGGAAAAAGGGCTGCTGCTATGAACAAATTCAGTAACCAACTCTTGCCTCCATAAAACTTATAGAACTTCCCCGTATAATACCCATTGATTACTAAACAAATTAATAACACATTCAATTACATCCGCCAAAACTATATATGATTATTCCTGCTGATTTTATAGACCCCTTATGAGTCTCAAACAAATAAAATGACCCCAATATTAACAAAATCAGAATTGTTATCAAGAAATGAATGCCTGTTCCAAGTAAAGCAGAAAACACTATGCGGTTGGTTGGAGGCATCAAAGATTCAATTTTGATTGCCTTCCAGCCTTGAGGTTCAATCTCATTCTCTTCATCAGGGATATTGCTGTAATCATTTAATATTGATCTCCTCAACACTTGGCTAACTATTATGACTAACACTAATATTAAGATGCTTTTGAATATTAACAAATTCCACTTGACACTGTGATCATGGACGACCATCGTCTCAATATACTATTTGATCTAGACTGTATAGTAGAATCCAATCTCCTTTTTCTCATCTTATGAATTTATTGATATAAAATCTGTCTCATTCTTTGTGATATTAGCATACATCAATCGAGAGTCGTTCGACACATATAGATTAAATGTGATCCTATTCTTTAGATAATATTGCCCATCATAAAATCTGCCCACTACATCATGCATTATAAAATCAGCCAAATAAAACTCTATCATATATTCTTAATCTATTGCATCAATCCATTTCCTCATTTCCATTTTTGTAAAATTTCTGTCGCATACCTGTTTATCCTCTATTTTCTCTTTTGAATTGAACTTGTAAACTGAAGTCATCTATTTATCACCAGATAATGATTGTCCCAAGGATTCAATCACTTCCTCAAAATCACTCGGCTTACAATACGGCAACTCGTAATACGTGTAAGTCTCTGAAGGATTATCTTTAGGTCTTATCGTATTAACATATATCTCAATTGAATTACAGAAAGTAATTAGACATAATAAAACAATAATCATTTAACTAATTAATATTTTTTGAGAATTTAGAGTAGTTCAATTTAAAGTATTGGTTTTTGTAGATAATCGCATAACCCAGAATGTTCAAATTACATTAAGTTACCCTTTGTATCGTAAGCTGTACAAATTACAATTGCTGACTTCTTGCATCCCATCGACATTATCTAATATAGACAAGTAAACTTACCTCTTTCGTAGTCTCAAATCCATTCAATCCTGGTAATTCTATGTCCATAAATATGATATCATAAAATGGACAAGAGGTTTGCTGTTTTTCCTTCACTCTTTGGATTGCCTAATAACCGTCATATGCCTAATCACATTATATTGCAAAACGATTTAAAGTAGCTTTGAGAGCAATCTGATTAAAAATCTAATCGTCAACTATCAAAATCTTTTTACAAGTAGAGTTGCATTCATGTAATTATAAGGTGGATATTTTAAATGAAAATGTCTTATTTATTATTATTTACCTTGGACTTTCAAAAGATTTAAATTAAAAATAATTTGATTAAGGTATGATTATTCGTTCACTGTGATCCTCAATTACGTTTGGACTTTCATATGACTTCAAACCTTCAGACTTTTATACGAGCTTTTCTGAATTCTCATACTGATTAGTGTTATCCTAATAGCAATATTTTCTAACAATAAAATTGTCTTCTTGTTACTCGGATTAAGATTTATTCCTAGTCATAAATCCACCAGTATTGGATTGATTTCTTGTTTATTCCTTTTAAAACATTTCATCTTAGTCCTTTTCGTATATTTAATCATATTAATCTTCATTAATTCGATCCTATCCTCTAACCAAAATTTAATTTTATTACTTTTTAAACATTAGATCCTATTCCTTATCCAAAATGTAATCCTATTCTTTATTGAATATTTAAATTTAATCTTTTTATAATATTGAATCCTATTCCTTTTTATTTATTCGATCCTGAATCAAAAAGCTTATGCTGTTACCATCAACCGAATTCGATAATACTTCTACATTATTGTTCTCTTCAATTAAACCTGATGCTAATCTGGCTGCTAAATTTAATCCAAATCCTAGTTCTGGATGAATCATCAAGCCATAACAGCTGTCAAGTTCTTGACTTTTGAGCATTATTTAATTAAATGAAAATTGCTTCTTTCTGTTCTCTTGCACTGAATTATTTTCTACAATTACCTAAATGGTTAAATCATCTTTAGCCAGAAAGGTTAGACCCACCTCTCCTCCCTTTATAATGTTATTACATTAATGATTTAGAATGTTTAACAACACTTAGACTATTCGCAATTTGTCTGAATTGAAATACCTATCGGACAGACTTGATGAAAATCTGATTTAAAATTAGATCTTCTTTTGAAATATATAAGGAATAAACACTTATTCAATCTCATCTATTAAGTCATTGATCTAGAATCTGCAGAAAAAATATGCAAACTCATTAAGTTGGTATGATAAAAAATCCAAAATATTGTTAATTTAGTATTGAAGAAAAGAAGTCGAACACTTGAGCAATTCTAATCCTTCAGTAACTTCTTATTCTTATTCTTTAGTTACGTCACTAACAATTCTTAAGTATTGTTGACTCAAATTGAGAGGAGTTCTTAATTGAAACAGTTATTTTTTAAGGAGATGACAGAATTATTAATTTTTAAGTTCAACCTTTTGGAATTTTTGTTTATAGGTGACATCTTATATAATTAACACCAAAACAGGTTGATTCATTTAATCTCCAAAGATCTGTATATCATTTTATAGAATGGAATCTAATTGTTAATTAGACATACGTGTTTGTATGATCTTAAGTTTCAAGGATTTGTTTGATTCTAAAGAAAGGTTGAAATGATATTGATTTTAATTATTTTGTGAGACTCGAGAATCATCAATACTGCTTTTCTCTCCATCATAGGTGCCTTAATGAAGTTAATACAAATATTTGTTCTAATTCAGTAGCACGTCAAAAATATCAACTTAAACCTTATTTTATTACGCCTTTTTTATTATTTCTTCCAAGACTTGTTGATTCATTTCAGTTTTTCTGTTATTTTAAGATTGTTGATTAAGTGTACAATTATCCATATTGATAATTTGATTTCTTAAACAATCTTTAAGTTTTGGCAGTATTAACTCTTCATTCTTGCATTACAATAATTTAACGCATTTTTTGTTGACAAAATGCAATTTCTATTATTTATTTAGAATAATTATTCCATCTGGTATTATTTGCAAAATTTTGGCTAAGGAAAATCTAAATTACGAGTCTGATTTATCTAAATCAATAGATTCCTTTTATTTAACGATGGAAGACAAATCATTGTAGGATTGAGGTTTGTTGGAGTGAATGCTAAGGTTCCTAAGCTTCAGTTTGTCTTTGAGCTATTCATTAAAATGGCTAAATTCATTTTATTTTTATTTTGAAAATTTAATATCACGTATATGTCGATCTGTTTGTTCATCATCATTCAGTTGTTAAGTTAAGCGAATTTTAGCAGAAACTAGAGATTTCTCACCTGCAAAATTAGCAATTACAAAAACCAGTATGATTATTACACTTTCTAAAATTGTATAATCAAAGTTAATAAAAACAATTGAGAATAGTCTCAACACAATGTAACATGGATAAAATAACATGAGCAATTGATATGAGATTTATTTAGACACAATTTCTTTAATAATATATGTATTGGTTGCTATGAACAGTGTGTTAGTATAATGAGAAAAAGGATTAAAAACTTGGTAATAGAGTAGATTTATTTCAGTGTAGATAACAGTATCAACAAGGATTAGTAATAGCATCGCTAATAGTTTACTTGAATTTAAATTTTTTCTAAATTGCAGTAACAATCCTAATTTAATGAGGATCGACGCAGAAGACAATCCTATGATAATAATGTATTGATCTTATTAGAAAATGATGCATAACGTTATCCACCATATGCATTACATTCCTTCTAAAATTAAAATTATGTTCGTATTCATTATTAATATTAAATATTTCTAGCAAAAAATATTCTGAATAATCAATCATTAAGTTGAAAAAATTACTGAACCGACGAAAATAAGGGCTTTAAGAAGTTCGAAGTATTATATAATAAATAAAAAGATCAAAAAAAATTCCTTTTAATTTAAAAGAGTTACTTCAACACTACTTCCAATTCGTCCTACTTTACAGGTTTTGGAAGAAAAGTGGAGATCCCAACTTTTTGTCCTTCAATAAAATTTTCCTAAGTATCGTAGGCCGAACAAATGACGATCATTGATTGCTACTTCGTCAATTCGTTGATCTATAATAGAACTAAGGAATCTTACTTGTTTACTAGTTTGAAAACCATTGATGCCAGGCATTTCAATATCCATGAATATTAATTTATAAGTAGAACAATGTTCCGAAAATTTTGCTTTCACTTTTTCAATTGCTTATAACCCATCGAATGCTTGATCTGCTTCCAACTGGTAATGTTTGAGCATCAATTTGAGTGCTATTTGATTAAATGGAATATCATCAACAATCAAAACATGAACACACTTATCACACATTGAAGTTGACTTTTGAATTGTATCTGTACGCAAAATGTTTTTATATGAAGAAATGAATTTATGAGAGAAGTACTCAGGACTTATAGGTAAAGATATCTAAGGTTGTTTAGCATAATCATTTAATTGAGGAGTATTCAAAGATGATTCTGATTCATAGACATAATTCTCCTAAAATTAACTATCTTAATTCATAGCCTTAATTAGCAATCTATCATCAAATTTTCTTTCACTTAATGTTCCCTAAATACCTGATTAATTGAATCTTCCTGTCAATTAGGATACTAAGTTAGATTAAAATTAATCATTTGAAGCATTTATGAGATTCTAAACTTAAAATTAGACCTTTGTTCCTTGGTTTTTAATTGAACTGATGAACAATTAATTATTATTTTATTCAACCAATCCTTCTACCAATCTAGCTGCAATATTTAAGCCTAATCCTGCCTTTTAAGTAACTTGTTGAGTTTTTAATCTTGCACCAAATTCCAAATTACCATTCAAACTATTTTGAATCAAGGTTAACTTATCATCTTCAATTCCAATACCATTATCCTTCACTTATATTTTAATATAGTATTATCTACTTTACTTGATAGTGAGTTTAACCTTCCCTCCCTCTTTTGTATATTTGGCAGCATTATTTAATAAATTAACCAGTATCTATAGAATTCGTTATTTGTCATTAGAAATGATTGCTTCTCTCAAAGACTGTTTAACTTTAATACTGAATCTGATTTATTTGTGTCTCATTTATATTTTATAGAGATTCTCGATTTCTTGGATGATCTAATTGATGGTGAATTTATTTATGCGATACGAGAACGAGTATGATTATATGGCAGCATAATCAAGTATATCATTAATCTGATGGATCAATAGGGTAATAGAGCACATGGCTATATCAATATATTCTAACACAGACTTTTCTATGACTTAATTCTTGATAAGGCTTAACATATGTTAACATGAATTCAATGGAGTTCTTAATTCATGAGAGAATGATTTGATAAGACTATGGTGAATAATTTATTCATCCTTCATTTATTGATACTTGTGTTTACTAGTAATATTCTTAATCATGATGAGAAGGACTGGTATTTCTGCATCATTACTAATTTAGATGTTCAATTTACTGGAACACTTATTTTATGATGGAAGAGATATGTATTCTTACTGTTGACCAGTCATGAATGTTGGGATGATGACCAATTTGAGTTTCTTTTAATTGATTTTATTCAGTGATTCAGTTTCCATTAACCATTCGTATATAAACACCTACTATTGGAATGTCAATTAATCAGTTTTTGAATCTTCTTAACTACATGGCTCTGCTTTTTAATCTATAATTCCATAGTATTTTTAAGGGTAGAGCATAATATCTAGAACGTCTGCTTTTCTGTTTTCCTTCTGTAATTTCTTAACTATCCTTTGGAGAGTGTATTAATTAATTTACTTATTTTGTTTTGGGGTTTACAAAAAGTTAGAGACTTCACTTTCATTGTCTGACATTTTGGCATCGTTAACACATATCTTTATCTTCTCCAACACTTGATCCCCTCCTTAACATTCCAATAGTTTTTCACATTTATTATTCATATAACTGACTTATTAGAATTGATTCAATATCAAAATGCCTTATGGAAATATATTGATAAGGTTTTAGTAAAATATGTGTAACTATAAATCTGATTTTTCAGAACTAGAACCCTTGTTATTCTTGTTGGATTTTGATAAATTGGTTAAATTTGATAATAATCCCATTTTCGAATCGCTTTGTTGGTCTTTCATCAAAATGCTTTAACTTTTCAGTGGTGTTTGGATCAGTGAGGCTCTGCTTAAGGATTTTAGTAAAGATTGTTGCAGATAATGAGGCGATTCCTTCTCTTCCACTATTTTCAATTATAATTCTGGCACTCTGGCATTTATTTTAGGTTTGACTTTTTCTTAGTTATTGTTCACATGAATTCGCTCAATTTATTAATCTGTTGTTAACAAATATTAAACTAAAACAATGATTATTATTAATAGGCTTTCTAGGGAATAATAACTAAAAGTAATAAATATGATGGAGATTAGTCTTAATATAATATAAAATGGAAGTCCCAACTTACAAATCTAACTCCACTTTTAAACTGCAAATTTCAAATATGAATTGTAAGTAACAATTATTAATAAACTGTTTGAGAAGATGCCCAATGAGTAATCATTCTGAAATAGCAGCAAAGATTCAATATACGTCACGTAGTAAAAAAGAGATACTATATGCACAAATAAAAACAAACCATAATTTCTGGCGATCAATATTTATTATAAAACCCTCATGGTGACACACACTATTTGTAAATAAAACACTATGTAGTCATTTGGTTAGATCAAATATAAAGCCATTATCATCCACCACAAACTTTGGAGAATATTGGCAATCAATATTATATGAGTTGCAAGTACTTTGAATAGTTTCATGAAGTAATAAATATGTCTCTATTTATTAAACAAATTAAATTACTGAGAGTTTTAAAAAAATTAGGATTTTTGTTATAAACCAAAATATTTAATTAAGGATTCAAAATTTAAGAATAAGGGATCAAAATGTTAATTTTGAGTCAGATAATAAAAACTGTTCCTTTATTAATAATTATTAATTCTTTAGTAAAAACATACATAGATTAAAACTTTGTTCAAATTTTGAATAAATACTTTTTTAGGATTTTATCTAACTCTTTCTTATTTACAGGTTTTGGCAAGAATTCAGTTATTCCTACTTGTTGGGCACAATTATAATTTTCAAGAGTATCGTACGCAGAACACATAACGATTATTGATTGGACACCAGGCATTTACGAGATCTAATTATATAAAGAAGTACTCTTACAATTTTAGAAGTCTAAAAACCGTTTTAACCTGGCATTTCAATATCCATGAATATCAATCTATAGAACTTGCAGTGTTTGGTCAATTTCTACTTCACCATCTCAACGGCTTGGTACCCATCAAAAGCAGACTCGGCGTTTATTTTGAAATAATTTAATGTCTAAATGAATGCAATTTGATTGAATGGTATGTCATCAACTATTAGGATTTATGAGCAACTTTCACAATTGTTATTGGCATTTATTTAAAAAGATAATATTGAACTCTGTTTTTTATTCTTTTGAGTAAGATTATCTTTGAAAAGATAAGAACTTATCGGAATAACCACTGAACTTTGTTGGTCGTCCTTGATTCTGGGACTTTCTAATTGTTCTTTAAGGATGGTTGATTCATTCTGGGGACTTTCAAATTTCTAGTGCAGACCTTTCATCAAGGATTCTGATTTTGGGATAAGATGGGAGGAGGAGGCAGGAGACAATATTTCAAATCTACCAGTGATATTACTTTGTTATGGAGATAGTAAGCATTCCTAATTCATGATTTCTTAGTTTTAAAATAGAAAAGAAACTTGGGTTCCACTTTTGGTATTTGAGTTGATGTCCAAGTATGTTTTATTATAGGTTAATCCTTTGATGATTTTCCCAGCTATCTTCAAACCAAATCCAAGGCCAGAATCTTAACATATTTAGGAGGAGGGCTTACAGAAGGATTTTCTAAGCTATTCCAACTTATTCGATTAGATTCCAATTCCGTTATCTCGAACAGACACTTCGATTAAATTGCCTTTCATTTGTCTAAATAGTATAAGAATCTCACCACCAGGCTTTGTAAATTTACAAGAGTTATTTAATAAGTTAACCAAGACTTGCATAATTCTTTGTTTGTCATTGATGAAAAATTGATTTTATAAAGATTAATCATATTAGATTTCTAGTTTGATATTTTTATAACTTACTTGTTGATCATACAACTCATGGATCTCTTAAATAAAATCCTTGATACAAAAAGAAGTTGTATGATAAGAGAAAGTCTTTGATTACATAGCAGCAAAATCTAAAATATCATTTATTTAGTAGATTAATAATTTAATTGAACTTTATGCTGTGTTTAGGTATTGCTCTATACGTTCATCTTTTGAGACCTCCTTGATCAGATTCAGCATATACTAACAACTATTCAAAGGAGTTCTCAATTCATGTGAAAAGGACTTCAAGAGTGAGTTGTTAATTAATCTCTCCTTTTTCAATTCCCTCACTCTATTCTTATGTGTGGTATTCTTAATTAGGATCAAAAGAATTGGTTGAGGCATATCGTTCGTATTCTACTTTTTTGAATTGGTCAAACCATTCTATGAGATGGCTTCCTATTAACTCAACGTCATTGAAGTTTAAACCAAAATAAACTTAAGCTTCTTAGATTGATCACACTTCTCCTTATCAATTGAGCCTTCAAAGCAAAAAGTGTGTTCCTATAATTGAGAAGGATCAGAAAAATAAATTGAACCAGAACTACTTCTCTCTTGTTCAAATGACCCGTTCTATCCCGAAAACAAGGCCTAGATGTATTTGTTCGGATTCAATAAGACATCAAAAATATCTAATTCCTGAGAATTCTACTTATAAATTCTGATTATTTCTTCCAAAACTCTTTATGTCAATTTACATCTTGTTTTTGTTATCGATTAAACATCCTCTGGTAAATCGCAATTAGCCAGACACCTTTTGATGTATTCTAGCACTCTTTCTTTCCCATCACATTCCAATAGCTTTTCACATTTTGAACTAATGAATTGAATTTGCTAAAACTTATTTAACATTATAACTCCTTCTGGCAAAACGTTGACAAGATTCTAATAGAAATTTTATAGTTAAGAGTCATTTCTGTCGACTACTAAATGTGAATATTAGCTTTTGAAGCCTGGTCTAAGTTTAGAATGAAATGTAGGAATGGGAGCACTTTCTTCCCTGTAAGAGTCTTTGATGTTAATTTAGATACTATTTCTGGGTTATGAGTTTTTGTCAGGTTAGAGGATGAGTTTATTTGAATTTTAAGTGAGGCGCTTTTCTTATTTGGGTTACGATTAATGCATAGAGACAGAACAATTTTATAAGGACTGGTCTAATTTTGGATGAGATTGTGTTTAATGCATAGCGTCATCCTATTTTGAAAAGTACACAAATAAAAACAAGGCCATCAAAGTAGTAGCTTCACAGAGTTGGATATCAAACTATATGAATATTAGGGAGATCAATCTTATTAGGATATAAGTAGGAAATGCAAATCTTGAGAGCAGATCCAGTTACTAATGTTTTATTAGTGTTTGGGCCTCGATGTAATTTAGAAGGATGACTAAAGTGTTGATATGATTTAAATATAAATTCTGGCTTTCAAAGTTAATATTGGCCTCAGTGTAGCAAACATTATTGGCTAAAGTAGTTAAGAGAATAAATCGGTCGTACTTCTAGTGTTTTTTTAAGTATATTATAGAGGCAAGTAACCTTGTTGTTAAGCATAATGAACACAAAAAATAATATGTGTAATTTGATGACTTTTTAATAAATTACATTTCGACAATCCACCAGATGTTTTAAATAACTTGTATAAGGAAAATGTATTTATGATTCATTATCCGGGCTTATCCTAATATTGATTTTATTTTATTTAAATATGTGAAAATTCTTTACAAATAGCAAATACAGTATTATACTTATTATTAATTAGCTCATACAGATCTAATTTAATCAGATAAATTATTATTTAAATTGATTAATTTATACTTTTCGTACACGCCCATTTACATGCTACCTTAATAACAATCTAAAATAAGTGGAGAAATAATAAAAAATATATCATATCAAACTAAATTGTCTTAAAATCCGTTCCAAGTCTTTTTAGTGAACAGGTTTTGGTAAGAACTCAGATATTCCCACCTCCTCTCCCTCCCTAAAGTTCTCTTCCGTATCATAAGCTGAACACATCACAATCTCAGTAGAGGCTTATGTAATTTCAAGTATCTAATATATAATAAATAAATTTGATTACTTCTCTTGTTGCTTAGAATCCATTAATTCCTGGCATTTCAATGTCCATAAAAATCAAAGCATAATATTGACAGTGCTTTAATGTTTATTTCTTAACCATCTCTATGGCTTAATATCCATCATATGCTTAATCTGCCTATATTTTATAATAATGTAGCAATAATGCCTTCAGTGCTATCTAATTGAATGGGACATCATCCACAATTAAAACTTGAATGCATTGAGTGCACAATTAGCAAGTGCGACTTTAGGTTTGAGATTTGTATCTAAAATAATCAGGACTTATTGGTAATTCTATATTATATACAGCATTGTCGACCATTTCAAGGGAACTCTCAGTCTAACTTGCTGGCATTAATTTGTAGAATCTACTCTTTGTGTTTTTACTCTGTTTAGAGGGAGACATCTGTTCAAGACTTTTAGAATTCTCTGAATATTATCTTAACAAACTCTAACCTCCCTGTTCTAATTGACTAGGTTCATTTTATGAGATCATTTATTTATAAGTGTTATGTTTGTTAGTGTATTCAGAGATCATCGGATTTCTTAGAGTTTCGTCTCTGAAGGACATTTGGTATTCTATTTTAAAATATATTTTAGTTCCTTAATTTTTGTGTTTGGAATTGATTTCTAGAGTGCCATCATACTTTTAAACTAATCCTTCGACTATTCTGGCAGAAATATTTAATCCTAATCCTAGACTCTTCTTAATTCTTGAACGATGAAGACTCTTTCCCATAGAGCTGGTCAGAACCTTTCTTAAGGTTGACAGTTATTCAGTTCCAATGCCAATGCCTGAGTCTTTCACTTAAATTTTGATAAGGTGATTTTCAACTGGTTTGATAGATAGTACTATTTTACCTCCTTGAGGAGTAAATTTACTAGAGTTGTTTAGCAAATTGATAAGTACCTGCATGATCCTTTATTTGTCAGATCGTATATTCAAATTGTTCACTCTATCATCTATTTTGATATTAAATTCTATTTTCTTAGATTCCAATTAACCGTTATAAATATATTTAATATCTTCTATCAACTCTTACATGTTAAATAGAGTATATCTATATTTAAAAGTATTCGATTACATAGCTGCATAATCTAAAATGTCATTTATTTAATGAATAAGAAAGATAATTGAAACATGAGCTATTTCAACACAAACTTACAATTTTTAATCCTGTATCCTATCCTTAATGATCAGTAACATATCCTAACAACTATTTAACGGTGTTTTCAACTCATGAGAAAAGGATTTTAGTAGTGAATTATGAGTCTCTTTTTCCTTATTCATCTGCTCAATTTTGTGTTTCTTAGTTATATTCTTGATTTTGATAACAATGATAGGCTGAACTGCATCTATGTTGGTAGCCTTGTTAATGAGGACCTTCTGTAATGAGGGTTAAGAAAGTTAATCCTGCTAAGAAGAAGTCATATAGGTGGGAATAATTACGATTCTTAACTTCTTAAGAGGGCACCCCTCTTGATTCATGATGTGTTCATAAGTAACAACATCTTTCCTTTGGACAAATGTCTCATTGAATGATTCGGACATACTACTCCTCTAATCAAATTCATAGTTTGGAGAAACTGTTTAATACAGTGAATTTAAGTAGTTTTGAGGATGCAAAAAGGCATCAAAGATATTTAACTCTTATTGATTGTTCCGATGTTACTTTAGAATTCGTTCAAATGTTGCCTTATTCATCTAAGCCTAAGATCGAGGAGGAATGGATGTTAAAGGTGATTCATCTTCTTCTAATAAAGAATTCTCTAGTATAATTTTTTTGATGCTGTCCAACACTTTATCAGTTCCTCTTTATCCTAGTAATTTTTCACACTTATTGTTCATAAAGGTTACTTTTTAATTTTAATTCAATATTATTACTCCTGCAGAGAAAATACTATTTATTAAATTCTAGAAAAATGTGTGAAGAGGCTGATCTGCTTTATCCACACTAACAATTGAAATTTTTTTATTAAAACTCTTTTTCTTCTGCATTGATGGAAATTAGTTCCTTATATTGTCTTCGGTTGTATAAGGTTTATTATTTAAAGGAATGCTGGAAAAGACTTCTTGTTTCTCCTAAGGTTATTGTGAATAATGAGTCCTGCTTTTTTTGAAGGATGCTCCAAACGACTGTCTTCTGGAATCTTATTGAACAAATGTCATAAATTGAGAATTGAAATTATGTTGATCACTTAAATTAAGTTACTTTGTAGCACTTTAGGTTCCATCGATCTTAGACATTATCAAGTCTTGGGTAACGAGGCATAAAAATATCAGATTGATGAGACAGCTTTCCAATATTGTATAATTGGATTAAATGAATGTGATGGAAAGCGTTCTTAGAATTGAATAAACTGGAAATCCTAATTTTGATATAATTTGAATATTCTGCTATTAATCTGTGTTTGCATAACAATAGTTGGCTATAATCATGATTGAATTTGAATGATTAACAAAGGGATTATTCATCGGCATTCTTATACTTACTTCCGTATACAAACAATTAAGGAGCAAATATAAAATTTGATATAGGAGTGTTTCCTTCACCCATTTCTCCAATACAATTAGAATTATCCGAATAATGATGATTGCTATAGATAGACCACAAATGAAATATTCATTAGGATCATAAAAAACCAATGACCCGATAATCCACCAGATGTTTTGGATGATTTGTGTATAAAACAGTATTTAATAATTCATAAATTAATATAAACATATTCGATTCATCTTTATAGAAAAGGGTAAAAACATCATTTAACAATATAAACTATATTATTCTGTTTATTTTGATTTCTAATTTTCTAAATTTATAAATTAGCCCCAAAATGCTGAAAATACAGGTTTTATCCTCTTGAAGTAATAAGTAACAATACAGTTTAATGAACTAAATATATTAGAAATGTGAATTTCAGAAATACAAATAATAAAAGTTAGAACACAAAAGTGATGGCAAATTAATATATAAATTAATATGATAAATTAATAGAATGTTAATCTATAAAGCAATGTTAAGATTCAATCCATATTAGGCTTCATACCAGCTCTGGTGTTTTAGCATATACTTGAAAATTAGATCAAGGGAATTAAACAGCATGTTCCAGAAATCCAGTCATTCAAGAGTGTCATCATGTTTGCAGATATTTGTGGATTCACAAACTTAACAGAACAACTCTCTAAAATAGGACCGGAGGGATCAGAAGTGATAGCATTTGCAATCAATAGATACATGGAATTATTGATTAAATCAATATCCAAAAGTGGAGGTGACATTTTCAAATTTGCAGGCGATGCTATTATAGTAGTATGGCCACCTCCAACAGGATAAAATGATAAAGGCGAGTAACTCAAAATCCTACTGCGATAAGGAATATAAAGTGCCTTAGATATTTAGGCTAAATTAAATGATACCTTCATCCTAGAGAATATAAAATTATCTGTCAAAATAGGATTTGGAGTAGGAGATATCAACATCTTATATGTAGGAGGAGTGTTCAATAGGAATGAATTTCTAGCAACAGGTTAGGCTTTGATCTAGGCATTTGAGAGTGAACATTGTGCCACTAAAGGAGGCTAAGTGATAATATCCAAGGATGTATTCGATATGGTGGGATAGTATTATAATTGTATAAAAGTGGAGGATCGTTAGTCTTACTTTGTGAACTTCAATAAAGGAGCTAAGGTATAGAATATTTCAAATGCTCTCTTAATTAAGAGTAACATTAGTGCTCAATCATTCGAATCAATTAAGAGTCAATTAATACGATACATTCCTGCTGCCTTATAGTAATACATCTTTGTAAGTATTCGTATAAATTTAGGTAGATTAGGAAAAATGGAGTTCTGAATTAAGAATATTAACAATAATGTTTATCAATTTGAGTATTGATTTGTCAGCAGCTCTCACTTCTAATGGGTTAAGTCATATTTAATAAGTTGTAGAAACAGTATAAAAATCAATATATGCATTCTAAGGATCTCTCAATAAAATCTTAATGGATGACAAGGGATCAACATTGATTGTAGTATTTGGTCTACCTCCTATGGCTAAATAGGATGATCCTGCCAGAGCTGTGATGACTGCTATAACAATGAAATCGGAATTAGATGCAATCAATTGTGGATGTAAAATTGGCATATCAACTGGATGCACTTTTGCTGGTGTAGTCGGAACTAGTGGTTCTAGAAGAGAGTATTAAAAATATCAATTTTATCTATAGATACTCAGTTATAGGAGATGCTGTTAATCTTGCAGCTAGACTCATGTAAATTGCATGTAAAGATGATCAACATTCCATTTTACTTGATGTTGAAACATCAAAGGAAGCTTCATATAAAATGAACATTTCTTTTTATAAATCAGTTATGGTTAAAGGAAAAGCAGACTAAGTCAATATCTATTACCCAGAAATCAATTTGGAGTTGAATAAAATTAGAATTCATAACCCTTTCTTTCCAAGGCTTCTCGATAATTATTTATTTGATATTAGTAATTTAAGACTAATCTAAAGAAGAATTCAATAATTTCAACTACAAAATGAATCGAATGTATTATTGAAAGTTTCTGGAAATTAAGGATCTGGGAAATCCTATTCTGTTAAACAAAGCATTGACTTATTTTAGGAGAATTTTCACTTTGTATAGATTAGATTGTGTTCCTTTTTGCAGAAGGAACAATAATATTTGTATGCTATCAAAATTATATTCCAACATTTCCTGAAGTAGATAGCCATCAAATAAAATAAAGTGTATGACATTTAGTTATTCAATGAAATTTTCAATTAACAATAAGATCAACTCATATAACTCTTTGACTTTCAACCGATTAGTTAAATCTAACTATTTGATAATCAATTTAAAAATACAAACGATTCTTAAGAAACCTTAGATATTCAACTAGTCAAAGAAGGTCTAGATTTATTATTCAAGAAATTTCAATCTATCACCAACAATCATAAGTAAATCTTCGTTCTAGATGATGGACATAACATTGATGAAGAATCCCTAAAAATCATTAGACACTTTATGAAACACAATTAATTTATCCTGCTCATATTTATATTCAGACACGATTACTTTGAGCAATTCTAATTTCAAGAATAACACCAAACTCAAATTCAAATGATTGAAGAGGGATTCGAATCAATAAAGTCAAAATTAAATGATCTCAGCAATTTTGAACACATAAGTTTCAACAATATTTCATTAAATGACTATTAGGTTTTGTTATCTGATTTATTTCGTATCAATAAGATTAGATGTTCAAAGAATCAAGAACCATCCAATTCAATAGACAAAAACATTTTGCATTACGAATACATCAAAAATTAATTAATACAATCAAATACTTAAGAATTTTTCTTGTAAACCCTCTATCGAAAAACCCAAGGCAACCCGCTCACCTTCATTACTTTAGTATAAATTAATTTATACATTAATCTAGATCGAAAAATTTTTGAAGTGCAATTACTTGGTTGTCGATAATAAATAATAAGATGTAGTTATAGTAAATGATTCCCTCTTAAACATATTGAATCTAGATGAGTTTATTATACTAGAGGCTCCCTTAAATAAGTTTAGACTTAATTCACCCTATTTGGACAAGGTGGGGTGCTTAGATTTATTGATACTTAAGGTAGCCTCTGTTATTGGAGACATCTTTGATGTACAAACACTTAATAAGATACAACCATTCAAAGAAGTCATCTAAAAAGAAAATTTGATTAAGATTTTAAATAGTTTAGAAGAGTTGGAAATCATTGAAACCATGGAACTTAATGATTTGAATAAGTATTACAGGTTTGCTAAACCATTCCTAAGAGAAATAATCTATTAACGATTACTGTACTCTTAACGGAGGGAATTGCATAAATATTATGCACAAGCATTATAAGAAATTCCATCTTAGTTTGAAATTGATGAAAAATTGGAAGCCCAAAGATTAGAGCATACTTGGATTCTGGCTGAATAAAAGTGGCATAGTTAATCAAACCTGAAACCAAGGGGATTAGAATTATCTCATAAAGCCAAAAGATCTATAATAATCAAATCGATATAGACTAAATTAATAGCTAAAACTAACAATATCAAACTTGGTTTGTTGAAAAAGAAATCAGATAAGAATGTCACTTGGGCAGAAAGATATTGTTTAATGACCTAAAAAGAATTAAAATATTATTATAGTGAATAAGACTATCATCGATAACCATAGAATGCTTTGGCCACTATCATTCTTAGTAGTATCTATTAGATTGTTCCACTTAATGACAAAGAAAAAGTTAATTAAAAGTATGCTTTTGAGATTAGAACAGGTAATTGGTTTAAAAGATAAAAATTAATGCCGCGAAGAGATTTCTATTTTTCAGCATCAAGCGAAGAATTAATGGAAGAATGGACCATTTATATTGAATTTATGAGAGTCAAAGCCACTTATGATGAATTTGTTAATAATTTTGGGAAAATCTAATTTCCAATTGCCAACTTTAAAGAATTCTATGATATGAGTTTAGGAACTGAAATGAATAATTATTAGCAAAAGTAAACAACAAATAAGAATAATAATAATAATAAATCTAGTATCATTCAACCTTAAAAAAGAAACACTGTGTTATCAATCAATAGTTTTTTTAAGTAATCTGTTGTAGAAAATAAGCAGAAACAAAAAAAAGAAGAACTTAAAATATTAATTTCTAAATTTTTAAAATAAAGCTAACTATTACTATTTACTCATATGTTTGAGAATTCAATACAACCCAAAAATAGGATTATTTTAGGGTAAAATACAAAGGCAATGTTAAGTTTTGGATAATTTTTTATTAAAACGGCTTTAGAATATTCATAATAATAATAATAAGAAAATGAGACCATTTAAACAGAGGAATCTCCTTAAACTAGACCTAGAGCAAGTTTGTTTATTTCAGAGTAACTAGTGCTAGAGAAATAAGCTGAGTCTATATCTGGAAGTATTAGAAATACAAAACGAAAATAGATAACTGACTAGTATTATAATAAGAGATCGAAAAGTTCAGAACTTCTTGTTTAGTTAAATGAAAATTCAAATTAGGAAAAACAATAATAAAGTTGAGTATATTTAATTTAAAAATAGATAATCAGTAATTAAATTTAGTTATTGTTACTACTTTCATAAGGTCGTCATTAAAATTGGAGATTTCATAAATGAACACAATTTTTTATCGACATAAAAAACATTCTTTACTTTTTTGAGCCATTTCCAATCCGCACTTATAACAAATTCCACCATGACCACATATCATTAAAACTGCATTAGGTGGATTTTCACAACATATAATACATTTCTAATTAGATTCATTTAATTTATTTTAGTTTTCTTATAATTATTTGGATTCAACTTCTGTAGTTTATAGTATTTTTTTAGTTTGTCCTCTTTCAGTCATCAAATCTGTAGTCTTTTGCGATTATTAGAATAAGTCTTCTTTAGTTGTCAATCTAAAAAAAGCCGATGAGAGCTTTTTTAAAAATATTTAATGAACGGCCTTCTTTTTTTCAAACTGTTTTTATTAAATGACTTAGATCGCAGGTAATTCTCTTTGTGATTCTATATCAGTTATTTGTGATTATAATATATCAACAGAATAATCAATAATGGAGTCCCAAAACAATTTAGTAATAGCACAAAATAGTACTAAATTGGAAGAAACTGTAGAATAAAACAGCACTTCTCCTATTACAATTGGCATATCCAATCCTAAGATATTGAAAGTGTTAATAATCCACATGATAGAAAGAACGCTGCTTATTATTGAAATGTAAAGGGCCCAAATGAGGGATTTATCTAATATTAAAATATTTTTTACATTCTTAAGGAACTGTCTGATATTGCTTGAAGATTTCATTAATAATTTTTGATAGAAGTAGAATAACTAAAGTAAAGCTTGTACCAACTAAAGCACTCAGAAACATCCAGTACCACCAGAATGCTTAAGGCCAAGTCCATTCAACGTATTTACTAAGTTTTAGGGAGATGCAAACGCTTGCTATCAGTTATGAAAATCTATAAAAGGTTTTTAACTATATTGATAATGAATTTATTTGTTTACAAATCTAATGATGGAAGAATATTCATGCGTTACTTACGATTAACAACTTTCTTTAGTTCTGATAACAAAGGATAGAAGGAAAAACAAATTTCCAAATATATAATATTGGAGGTTTGTGTAGAAAAGGATGATAACAAAGTTCTTGAGTAATATTTGTGGAAATTACGTATGCCATAATGTGCAGAACATGGTCAAGCATCTTGACGATTTCTTTGTTTGAATAGTAATAGCATATTAAGATTTCTTAGGTAATGCTCAATCCTAATGGAATTGCAAAAGGAATTCGATTATATTGGAATAGAGCAAATAACAATGCAAATAAGTTAAAGTAAATGTAATGTATGCAGAAATAAGATATAATTTTCTTTATTTTGGTTCTAAAATATAATCGATATTACTTTTAGATTAACATTGGTTTTGATATTAAATAAATAATTTATTTGATCATAGAAATATTTTATGTTATAATTGATGTGTATTTATATCATTAAATTCTTTAAGCACTCATTTTAACTTGACTGCCTTATTAATCCATGCTCCTTCTTGAATTACCTAACCTATTGGTTGATTTTCTTCTAAGGACACTTGTCAAGGAAGTATCCATATCTCCTGATTGAACTTCCTATTCTCTAAACAACTCAACAAATTAACACCAACGTTCAGGGATGGCAATTTTGACCAGAATTGAGAATATGATGCTGCCAACACCAAATCCAAGACACAAGAGGTGTTGTTGTAAAGTTAAATGAGAAACCTTTACAAATTTGCCTCCATATTAGATGAGCACGCATTAAATAATCAACGTAAAAGTTTGGACACCCCAGAACAAAGGGTTATTACAAGCATTAGCAAATGGATTGATAGTCTTGTAATCTAATTGTCTGCAAGATATGGAATTGAAGACTTGCATAACAACGAAAGTCTAGAAGAAAATACTCATTTGGACTACATTTTTGTGGTACTAAATAAATGAATTAATAAATTACTTTCTAACCAAACAATTCTTCAGGCATAGACAAATCCATAAATTAAGGAAGCATGAATAATATGAAACAAAGAACAAAAATCTAATATATGGATCCACCAACAATTGTTCTGTTCATTGTGGGTGAGACAATTTTATCATCTCTTTTGTATGGTTATCTTTCAAGAACAGTAATATTGGGAGGTTCAGTCGCCAAGGCCAAAGAAGCAAAGGTATCCATAATAAGGTTAACCCATAACATTTCAATTGTGTTCAAGGGGGATTCCTTGAGGACCACAGCTCCTAAAAAGGACATGAACAAAGCAACTAAATTGACAGTCAATTAAAATTAGATGAACTTTCTTATGCAATCGTATATGTTTCTACCCCATTTCATAGCTAAATCTAAAGATTACAAATACCTGTAATGATAGAGCTAAAGTTATCATCTAATAGAATGATATCAGCAGCATCTTTGGCAACATCGGATCCTGTGATACCCATAGCAAATCCAACATCTGCCTTCTTTAAGGCTGGAGCATCATTGGTACCATCTCCTGTTACAGCAATTACATTCCCTTCAGCAATCAAACCAGTAACAAGTATATATTTATCTTCTGGAGATGCTCTAGCCATGACCTTCATATCCCTACTAACTCTGGCGAAGTTTTCTTTATTACCTATAACTTTCACTGTTTTTCCATCAACTTACTCATCCTTTAATCCGCCAACGAATTCTCTAAACTTCTTACCTTCTACAACTTCCCATTCACCGATTTCTCTATTTGTTGGTAGGATTCCACATTCCTTAGCGATGGCAGTGGCAGTAAGAATGTTATCTCCAGTGACCATTCTGACTTTGACACCAGATTCATGACATTATTTAATTGAATGAGGAACATCAGGTCTAATTGGATCTTTGATACCTGCAATAGCAATCAATACTAGATCTTTATCTAGATCATCCTCAGGAATATTTTATGCTACTTTAGTCAATTATGTAATCTATCCTCTAATATTTGATCCATGTGATTGAGGATCAAGATCTCTATAAGCAATGGCAATTGTTCTCAAAGAATCAGATGCAAATTTTTGGATAATATTATCATAGATATTCTTTCTCAATTGTGGATCTAACATTTATTCAATACCATTGTTTCCAATATACTTATTGCATTACGCCAATACAATTTCAGATGCTCCTTTAGTATAGACTCTAATATATTATGATTTTTAATTGAAAATAACTGTGCTCATCTTCTTTCTTTTACTGTTGAATGGAAGCTATCTTAATACTTTATCACTAGGTCTAAATTGATTAAAATTGTATCCAAAATTGTCTGCACATTCCAACAAAGCACATTCTGTCTTATTTCCTATTTGAATCCATTTGTTGGTTTAGGGGTCTTTTTCAGGAAATGCATTTGAGTTATAGCAAATGCTTTCACTCATAAGTTCGATAGTTTCTTTCTTGATTTTATTTTTATTAGTGTGGACTTAATCTTTAAATGTTTGGTTTTCAGTCCACAAAGCTACAACTTACATTATGTTTTATGTTAGTGTTCCTGTTTTATCACTACAAATGTTATTAGCTCCACCCATTATTTCACATGATGATAAATTCTTAACCAAATTCTATTCATCCTTCATTTTGCCCACTGAATATGCTAATGCAATTGTAACTGCCAATGGCAATCCTTCTGGCACTGCCACCACAATAATTGTAACAGCAATCATAAAAGATTCCACTATGATTTGTAAGGTCTTTATACTTAGGAATGGAAACTTACCCTATTAACAATCATATCCTAGATGTCCCATCAAAGCAATAAATGTTAAAATAGATACTAAAACACCCAACTTACCTATATCTGAAGCAACTCCTTCTAATTTCTATTGTAGGGGAGTTGGAGGATTCTCTTGAATCAATAATTGTTTCAATTTCCCTGACACTGTATTTTAACCCACTTTATTATATTAATAATCTTGTACCTGCCAACACAATCATCTGTCCTGTACCATCAAGGCATTTTGTTCCTGAGATTAAGAATGGACTTACGTGTCCTCTGGCTGCATCTTGATTTACATTCAATTGATTGTGCTGTTGTTATGCCATCTCAAAATATGGTAATTTCTTGATCTCATCACTCTCACCTGTCATAGGAGATTCATCGATTTTCACTGCGCTTCCTTAAACCATCAAACCTATTTTATTGATACACTCTATTACCATCTACAACGAACAAATCCCCTAAATTGAAAATTAACAAATCTCCAACCACTATGTCTTTGGTTGCTATTTCCGTTACTTTACCATCTCTAATGACTTAACATTTTCCATCGTCCAATTTCCTACGTAACTATCTAAATTGTTTCTCCTTTAAGTAGTTGTTACCTGCTGTGATTGAAATAATCAAGAATATAGCAAAAAATATCGTTGCACTAAGATTATTTCAAATTTTAGTACCCTTCAGTCCATCCTGTTTTGACTCCCTCATTGATCATACCGATTACAGTCGAAACCAGTGCTGCAATCAATAAAATCTATAGCATTGTGTCCCCCAGACATTCCATTATCAATTCCCATAATGTTGTTGGCTCCTTCTCAACAGGTGTGTTGTCCCCATACAATTACTTTGACTTCTCTATTGCACTCTTGTCCGAAAACCCTTTCTTATAAAATTACAATTATTTTTACCTTCAAATCTGTATTTAATTTCCTCGCTATTCCATTATCATCTCCGAATTATTTCATCTTTTACATACTGGATCCATCGTTGATTTAGTTCAACTTAAATAAATCAGTCAAGTCGTCTGTAGTTAATTGAGATTGAAATTAGGCTTCTACATCTCTTTACTATTTGTAGCTCATTATGTTCAATGAACTAAATTTTATATTAAATGATTAACATTTGTAAATGCTTTATATTGATTCAAAAAATCTAATTTAATTCTTATTAACCTAATCATGATCGATCTGATCCTTAATTCACAGAATTAAAATAATTTGTAGTACCCTAATAATTAATATGTCATTTTCACGATAATCAATAATATTATTGTATGTATAATTAAATGATATCAACAAGATTTATTACACAAAATAAAAGACTTATTTATTCTAAACGAGAGATTAAAATAATTTTCAAACAATTATTACATCATGTTGTTCTTCTTGATTTCTAACTTATTAGCACACACTTGTAATTATCATCTCAATACTTTAAATAGTTGCCTAGATTGTCTACGAAGAATTGAGTGAACCCTCCTTGTCCGAACTATTTCAAACCAATGTGAAGCAGTGTTCTTTACAAGATAAAATTGATTTCTACTACATTGATCAATAATAACCCAATCTGAATTTTCAATTTAAAATTAACGAACCCCATTTTGCTGTGGAAATATATGTTGATTTTTACCTTCTCGGTGAATACACAGAGAAAAATGTCAATATATACCTGGATACCATCCTAATTGATTAGTATTAGAAACAATACAAATACCCCTCTCCTTTTTGTGATGATTCAGTCGACAGTGAGATTGTGACATACTCAACAAGCTACTCTCATTTTTAGTAAGATCTGAATTTATTGATTTAATTGGAAAATACAACAGATTTTATTTTAGGAGTAAGAAACATATAAATAGTACCTAAATTATGTCATGAATCATGTACTTAATGTGTGGGTCCTAAAGAAAATTAGTGTCGATCTTGTGCAATTGGAACTTAACTTAATAGAAAAACTAATCAATGTGTTTGCCCTCCAGACCTACCATATTTCAGTATAGTTTAGAATCAATGTTTATCTAAATGTGATGTTTCTGAATATTATGATGCCTCATCCAACAAATGCGCGCTTGATAAAAGTATGAACTACATTTTATCATAGATATTGAATAAATGCAGCTCTTTTTTTGGAATACCTATGATTATACAGGATGGACAATAATTGAAAATGAAATTGCATAAGAATTGCAAGACAAAACCTACTCTGGTGTGATTGGATTATTTTCTGTAGATTAAACTATTAGTTACTAATTCAATAATACAAATTTATTCAATTCCATTAGAGTAAGAGCAGATATTTACATATTCTAATCACTTATAAGTCCTGAAATCTACATTCAAGTTGATAAGATAAAAACTAATGTTAAGCCACTCTCTAATCAAACAATTACAGGATAGAAGGGATACAAATTATTCCATATTGATTATATTATTGATGCCAATGCAAATTCAAACATCAAATTTTCATTAAAAGGAGATCCAAATACAAAATGGGGCATAAACTAAGTTGTGTTTAATGAATAAAATTGTTCACCATAATGTTAAGAATGCTCAACTAAAAGTACATGCTAATCATGTAAATCCGGCTTTTTGTTATATTTGGGACATTGTGTTGAGTCTTGTCCTAAATATTCATAAATTTATAATGAAAATACTTGCGCAGATGTCAAAGAAAATTATCCAAATGCTGATGTAATTATGAGAGCCTATGATGACAATATAATTGCTAATTTCTTATCAAAAAATGTTACAACTCTAGCTTCAGTCAAATAAAGTTATTTTGGAACATTTTATGATGGAGTTAGATATTTTGGAGGCTTATAAAGAGAACCGATTTAGCTCTATTAGAAGTAATTCTATTCTTTGCCACCTCATTATTAAGTCATAGTTTAATTCAATATACTAACTTTTGAATTGGGTAACAATGTATACCCCAATACCCTCGAATTGAATTAAGATAACAACACTGTATTAATTATCAGATCACAATAAAATTAAGTGCAGCAAATTAGCTAATAATTTGCCCATTAATCAAATAACCTACAATTATCTTTACTTTCACATTAAGAAGACCGTTCTATTTTCAGTTTTGGAATATCTAAAGTTAATGTCATGATTTCAAGATGTTATCCATTATGCAAATCATGTTTTGGTCCAAATGAATCTGATTGCAAAGAATGGATCTACGATTAGAACTCTAATGATTTCAAGAAATGTAAAAATGGATTTATTTTTGATGTTCAATAATAAAAATGTGTTTTATGTCCTTTAGGTTGTTAGAAATGTTCTGATCAACAAACTTGTAACGAATGTGAAGCTAATTTTATTAAATAAGGAAATAGTTGCTATTGCTAGAGTGGCCGTATAGACGATTTTACCTTAGAATGTCTAGGTAATTAATACATTTATATTTTTTAGCCTATTCATGAATTAATTGATAAATTTCATTATTTTTTAACAATATTAACATTATCAATTTTATAGCACTGCTTATTCCCTTTGTTGTTGCAACAACATCTCATGTTTTGGCTGCCAAACATATAATGATAGGAATCCCATAACAATTATGCCAAAATTCAGTATAATCTGCATATAGTTAGCTGATCTGGTCTTCATTGTTGCACATGATGACATCAAAAAAAAAAATGCCATCCAAATAAAAACTTTTTGCTATCCTTTAAAATTTTATTTACTTTCATCCAAGTTCCAGCAAATGCCAACAAAAATGAAAAAATTTGTTGCATATCCCCTCCTTATTCTTCTTATGCCACCCCTTTCACTTAATCGTAAGTATATTTCATAATTAAATTACTTAATTCAATTTAATATAATTTATTTACTATTTATTCTTTGATTGGTATTTGATATATTAAAAATAATCAATTAATCTTGAGTTCTAATTCTTCTAATTTATGAAAATAGTGTTGCTTAGATGACTACAAAGTCATGTTTTTCTCTATTCATCTTAAATTTGAAAAAAACATTAATTATCATATCTAAATTATATTTATAATAAGAATTGAAAATACTATATATGATATCTAAATATTATATCTTGGAAAAGTACTTCTAATCCAATTTATTATGTTTAAAGAGGATAATACATATTAAAAATATTCATTATATAAATATCTTTCTACAATATAATATTTATATAGGGATTCTTTAATTCATATATAATTAAAGTTATAATAATCTGACAATATTATTAGAAGTCTTTACAAGCAAGGTTAATTAATTTCCTAAAAGAATTGGCTAGCAATTATAAGTAAATAACAAAGATTATGAATAAAAAAATTAAGTATTTTCATTTAAATTATAAAGAAAAATTATTAGTTTATAGAAATCTAGAAAATGATTATGATTTAACAAGAGATAATTATTCTTTCCTATTGACTTAATAGGTTAAAAATGTAAGTCTTTGTTTTAGAATCTGGAAAATTGAATGAAAAAAGTTGGCACAAATAATGAATGATATAATTTCTTACCAAATAGTATTCAATGATAAAATATGTTATAAATTGTATACGCGGATATTGATTATTTGAATTAAAGTTAATCTTGTTGTGTCATAGGCGATGTCTTAGGCTTTAGAAAGCTGTTAGTATCATCAAAAGGCTGGAATTGCTGTAGAGTGCTAGATAAGAGATGAAAATAATTATTCAATTTTGTGTGAGAATTGTTTAGCAGAAAAAGCGAACAATAAGCACATATTTTTGTTGAAAGATGCTAAATTAGTATTTGAATAATTCAGATTGGAATTTTAGAATCAATATGAAGAGGAATAGAAAGAGAAAATAGGTTTCTTAAAAAATATGCAAATGATTGTGTAGAAATTGCAGAATCACTTTTCGTCAACATTTGATTAAATAAACAATAAAATAAACGAAAGAATAGAACTCAGCACATTGATTTTTGATTAAGGAGGAATGTAAAATGATTAATTTGAAAATTTTTGTGGAACCTTAAATATACGGAATTTTGGAGAATAATTAATAGAGGAATTATCAAAATGTTAGAGAATGAGGAAGATTGGCGAAGAGTAGAGTGTTATTGAATTTTAGAATCAAATATAACATTAGATATTGAGCTTGTAATAAGATGATATATTAAATGAGTGTCTTGAGTTAATAATTTAAGTGGACGTAAGAAAAAAGATAAAATTAATAGATAATAATGAGATGAATGAAGAAAATAAAAAGCTAAATGTTTAAGTATGAATATATTAATATATTGTTAAAAGAGAACTCCAAAGTTAGATTTGATTTGCAAATAACATGATAAGGAAATAATACTATTTGATTTAAGTGAGTAGTAAGAAAGAGATTATAGGGCAAGATGTGTAGAATGCGACCCATGTATTTTTACATCTTTGTCAAAATGTTAAAACATGTGGAGAAACTATGAAAGATAATAATCAGAAATCCTGACATAGTTTTATTAATCCAGAACATCATAAATCGGAATTATCAAATAATTGTTATTTTAATTGAAAAGTTCATTTATTGAAAAAATCAACGCAATTATAATATAATTGAATGGGATCATGGCATAGACAGATTTGGAAGTCTTTAAAATCCTAAGTAGCATTGGTAAAGATTGGGATACTATGACTCTTAATGAAATCTTAGATATAGCAGATATATTGAGTAAACCAGAATAAATGAGATAAACTTTGAAGGATATGGAAATTAAATACAAGTTGAAAAATTTGAATATCGATTGCATATTCTAGGACAGCATAGAAGAATTATAAGAAATTAATAATCAAATAGCCCTATTGAATTTGTGTTTTATTAATGAATAGGAATATTGTTAGTCACCCAAGAATAATTTTAGATTAAGATAAAATAGCGGAAGGATGAAAAGAAGCACAAACAGCACATTGAGTGATAATTCTTAAGCTTAATAGAAAGAACAAATATAAGATTTGAAAATTAAAAAACCGAATAAGTTTAAATCATTAGAAGAATGGAGAATTCAATAATTAAAATGGTCTGATAAGTATATCGATTATTAATTATTTTTTACTAAAAAATAAGCTGAATGGTGTAATGCCTTAGCATTTAATAAGTAGGGAAACATTATGATTGCTGGATGCATATACTCAATTAAAATATTTGATTTTCTAAGAGGGAGGATAGTTTAAACATACTAAGCCAAATAACATTCAGGAGATATTAACAGCTTGTTGTTTAGCAAGAAAATAAATCAATTTTTCTCTGGGAGTGATGATAGGACTATCAGAGTTTGGAGTTAAATTGATTAGAAAGATTGGAAATGCGTATAGGTGTTACAAGGTCATTTAGATTGGGTATTATGTTTGATATAGACAGAAGATGAATAAATACTTTTGTCTGGCAGTCGAGATAGGACTATAAAGAAATGGTTCAAAAATGAAATAAGTTAGGCATTTGAATGCACCTAAACTTTAACTATTCATAGTGATGCTGTATTGGGATTATCATTAAATAAATCTGAATCCTTTTTGGTATCTTGTAGTTATGATAAATCAATTATCATTTGGGAGATTAAAGAATCATTTCAAATTGAGCAGAAGCAAATCATCCAACTTTAAACTTATGCCAATAGAATCCTTTTCATTAATGAAACTCAATTTTTGTTTCAACCTAACAATAATCAAAACGTCCACATTTATCAATATAATTCTGAATTTTAATCCTTTTAGACTTCAAATCATAATATTAAGTAAGTTCAAGCAGACGATGATTATCAATATTTTCCATCTAAATTCTTATCAACAAAAGGTTGTTTTGCTAATATTCATAACAAATATATGTACATTACTAAATAATTAAATGATGAAGAATATGAAATACAATAAATAATAGAATTTGACGATTATCGTAAATTCGGAAGTTTCACAGAAGATGGAGAATATTTAGTAACATGGCATTATACATCCTCGGAATTTTAGATTAGAAAAAATGTTGGAACTTCTAGAATTCAATGGTGATTTATATTTGGATGTGTTTTGTGTATTTATTTTATTGATTATTGCTTCGTGATTGTTAAATGTCTCAATTAATGATTCTATAAATAAATATAAAAATAATATATATATATTTCAAGGTTTTATATTTTGATCTATAATTTTGTAACCACAAGGTTTAGTAATTTTATAATTCTTGGCATCTAAATATTTTGTTGATTGTTTGAACTAGTTTAAAATGATATCACTATTTTTCAGATTAAAATAGTCTGCATGATTTTTCAGGATTCTTGTAGAATTACAAAGATTGGATAACAATTTAGGATCAGCATGTATGATTCTGAATTCAATGAATATAATTTAATTTGGATCCAGGGGAGAGGATTTAAAAATCTATTTTTACTAAACCTTTGATCTAAATTGTGAACCTTCATAGGTGTTCAGATAGTAATCAAAAAATTCTCTACCTTCAACTGAATATTGAGCCAGTTCACACCAATTCTTCAATGAACCATCATGATTGAATATTGTGGGTAAGGCTTGCGTCTCATTGAGATGATCGAACATCATATCTTTAGTAATTCCCATAAGATCTAAGAATTTTTGATTTATAATCCTAAAGGATAGAGTGCTATTATTAGTATTAACATTTTATAGAGTGCATTAAAAAGGGTATTTATGGAGGGATTATTCAAATTCAATTAATTCATTGTCTGATATTAATGTTTATTGTTAAAAATTGTCTAGAATTTTAAATCTCTATTCAACACATTCTAATGCTTATTAACTATATTGATCATTCATATTTTTAATAATTTAGCAAATTTGCTATTTCGTATATTGATGTCTATCGTACTGTTAAAGAGAAAAGATAAAAAGATCATGTTTTTAATCAACTCTACAAACTTTGTAATTGTAAGTGCAAGGATTTTCACATAAGGATCCTAAGCATCTTTCCTAAGGGCATTATAAAGCCAATTTCAATTCAACCGAGGATTTAATAACAGTGGAAATTGGTCTAGATATAGATAGGATTGGAAGTATGATTTTCTTTGAGATCTAAACATTTTAATGAGTGGATTATTCTAATTAGATTGATGAAATTACTCAGCTTGCATATAGTTTTAGTTACCCCCTATATTTTAGACTGTTTGAATTCCTCTTAGTTTATAATATTGCTTAAATTGATTATTTAACTCATTACAATTATAATTATAATTATTTATCTAAAACCATTACTTCAAATTAATAATATATCACTTAAATTGGAGGGTCTTTATATTGGGTAAATGAACATCTCTTTTTCTCCAGCTACTAACTTTCGGAATCTAGAGATGGAAATACAATTAAGTTAATTATGTATTTGGTAAGGCTATAATATAAATACATATAATACTCTCTTTGTGTACTTATCTATTCTTAATTGTCGTAAAATCTTAATGAGAAGTGGTTTTTTTAAGTGTGTGTCTTTGAATGTATTCTAGATTCTATATTATTGATCATAATATTGGTTTCAGTTTGAACCTGAAAAGGCATAGAAATATGATCATTCAGCAGCATTTCCTAAATTTCATTTGAACTTTAAGTATTCTAATTAGATAAATTATTTTAAAAATGATCATTGAGAAATTTGACGAATTTCAAAGTTTAAACTATCTAAAATTATTTTTAATAATATTAATAATACTGTTTTATTTTTCTTACTCATTTTTTAATTGAATATCTTAAAGAATTGTCTTCGCAGGATTTGGAATAACCACAATCTAAAGATCAAATGAATTATTACTATCAGTATCAGATATTCATCAAAAAAACATAACTTTTTATAAATTTATAATATTCAAGTTTATTTGAAATTTAGTCAATAGATAGAATATGTTTTGATTATGAATTTTATAATATACAAATCAAGAGTTCATTAAATTATTTATTTTCTATCTTACGAGGTAGTATTCTTTATCTAATTCTTCAATCATTTTGTTTGTAACCTTGAATTTGAGTGCACGATACTTCAAAGTTTTTAAAGATGCTATTTCCTAATATATTTGATTACATAATTACATCAGTATTTTATGTGAAAAATTCAGCCTTACTCAAATTATTTAAAAATTATAATAAAACATCAAATTTCATAGATAATATCTTGTCCTCGTAAGTCTAAAATATTCCCAAAATAATTTAATAAAATCCACACCAACCGCGACTTAATAATACATCCCATATATCAAAAAGAACAGTTGAAAATTCATTTTTCATAAATGATCCAGTAAATAAAGTTATAAACCATGGGGCTGAATAATGACCTGCTTCAATTTTCTCCTCTTTCAAATGCTGATGAATTTTTGGCATAAATATTGCCAATATTCTATCCAACTTATAAAAGAACACTCTTATGTATTTGAGATCATAGAGTAATACATCTTTCAATAATTGATTAATCAAAGCTGCAAAACATCTAAATGTTAATTCTTCTTCAATCATTATAGTGTATATGAAGCCCATAACAAAATTCATCCCTTGCGTATAGGAGATTGTATTATTATAATATGCGTATAACTTAAGTAAATTATGCAATGTGAGATGATTAATTTTGCTCTGTTAGCCTCCACTATTAAATGATCTCTAAACATCTTACGCAATTTAATGTTCTAAAGTGGCTTCCTTTACTCCAGCTTATTTTGAGTATTTTTCCTTTAACTTGTAGTAATCAAGTTAGATGCTCTCTGGCTGCAATAAACTAGTCCATAAAAGTTTTCGCTTGATTGATGATCTTTATGTTAGATTATTTAAACATAAGTATCGCTATTTAATCTTCATGCTTAATTAAGAGAACTCTTTGTTAATCTGCACAATTGTCAATTAATCAGATAATGATAAATATTTCAAGCATTTTTTTAATGTGTAAAATAATCTCTTTTTTTCCATTATTAACTGTTGAGTTTTTGGAGATTATGGCTAAATTTATTCCATATAGATCTTTATTGACTCAAACTATTCTAACAATAAAACTATATCTTGTACTCTAATATTACACATTTTAGATAGGATAATTATAGTTTCACTTGCATAGTCTATTTTTATATCCAATTTAAGCATTATTGAGCATATCTTTTATAAATTCAATAAAACTTTTAAATAGTTGAGTCTTTGTTCCTGAGTCATTTTTTCATTTATTATTCTCTTTTTTTAATATAATAAATTAATTATTTAGGTTTTTTTTGGTTTGGTATGTCTACTATTATTTTAATTGTGGTTTTCACATTTATTAGTGTTTGACATGTTTTCTTTTTCGTTTAAATACAATAATAATTATTGCCATTTATTTTTTTCATAAAACAAGAATGTTTTTTCACTAGCTTGTTGTCCTATTGCAATAAACTGATTTTTTTCTCTCATTCCAAATTATGTAATAAAGTTTAGCAGTTAATTGAATTCTACTACATTAAAATTTTGATCTTTTTGTAGGTCTTAAATACTTAATATTAATTTTACTTAGAATTAAATGTTTAGCAATTAATATTAAAAGATCATTAGATGATGGATTAATTACAATGACATCTGTAGGTGCTTAATCTATGATTTAGATTATACTATCAAGTAGTTTAATTCTTGTATCCTAACATTAAAATAAAGTTTCAAAATCAATATCTAATACGGATTAGAATTATTATTTATTATAATCCTATGTTTTTGCCTGCTATACTAAATCTATCAATATGTTTATTTGTTATTCCATTTATTATGTTAACTTAAACTTTTAAAGATTAATAGGATCAAATTTATCATGAGAATTAATATTTGCAATCCAATCCTCATACGTTATAAAATTATCCTATTTTGTAACCTTGAACACATTGAAGGTCCTATTCCTCATAATGTTTTTTAAAACTGGCTGCTTTTCATTTGAATGTTTCTGGTGTATAAGAGAGAACTTTTCATTTGAAGAAGCCAACACTTATTGTAATTTAGAATTCAGAATATTAGTAACTTTTGAAATATGAGATACAACATTTTCTGAAGTCGTTTTGGTAAGTTGAGTTCTTGCTAATTCATTTTAATCATATTCATCAAATTGGGATTTAAATTTTTCATTAAATATATGCCATAATTAATTGACAATAGTTAATTCTTATCTGTAATCTACAAATAACTCGTCAGCTTTTGACTGCAATTATTTAGAATTCTTCTTTTTTTCTAAGTCATAAGCTGTCTTTAGATAAACTTGCTATTTATTAAATAGGGATTCTCTTTGAGTCTAGACTTGCTTAAGGAACTCTTTTGCTTTTATAATTAAGGTACTGTTTGTTTAAAAGTAATTTGCAGAGAAATCTTCATAAGGTTAAATTATATTCTAGTGCATGTCATCCATTAATTTTTCTAAATTGTGCGAAACATTAATTATGGCATTTGATAATTGGTTATAATAGAATAAATTCAGCTCATTCTCCTCTGGTGTCTTAACCAATTATGTGTAAAATTATTCAGAATATTCATTTAATTGCATGCATAGAGTACAAAATGATTGATGAATATTTCTTATGAATGCTTTAAAACCATCAACCTATTGAGTATTAATTTAATGCCAATGTATTAGTATGTTGGACCTTTGTATTTAAATCCTCCAAGTAAGAATAACTCTCTTAGATTATTTACTCTTGCATTATTTAAATTTGATATAATTATCTTATTAATTATATCAATATAAATTGTATCAAACAGCTTGGCTTGTTCATTCCAAACATCCTTATAACTTAGGATAGATATTTGGCAATACACTTCAGTCAGCAATTAGTAATTCGACCATTAGATTTGTCAGTTCCTTTCTATTTCTAAGAATATATCCTTGATTGATTTAATCCACCTTATGATATTTCAGTATTTGGCAACCTTCTATAATTTCAGTGGTCAAATATTCAGCTCTAATGCTTTCTTTTCCTGATTTTTCTAAAAAACTAGATGAAATTCTTTTATTTCATTTTAAACATTTTACTATTTCTTTTATATCATCCCACGAATCACATCACAATAGTCATTACTTTTTATTTCAATAATAATAAGTGATTTTCTTTAAGGTGATTAATATTTTAATTGTATATCCTTAAACAAAACCCCTCATTTCTTATAAATAACCATTCTACTCTCATCTAATACATTGTTATATTATGAATAGTATTTTATTAAGTCAATATTTCTGCAAAATTAAAAATTGGTGTAATTCTGTTTCTAATTTATAAAATATATTCTAATCTGATGAATAATGTCTATTTAGATTAATAAATTGAAATATTTAAGAATATAAATAAATATAATTTATGAATTTCGACATAGTGTTTTTATTGGTGTCAATTTTAGTAATGGGAGGAAGTTATTATTTGTTGTTTGTAAAGAAAAAAGGCAAGGCTCAGACTGTGGTTTAATAAGGTTAACCACAAGCATAATAAGGATAAGTTTAGCAATAATAATAATAATAAGGATAATAACAATAATAATAAAATTAATAGAGAAGATAAATAAACAGAGTTGAAGTAGAGTCAGATGATGATTCAGATAGAGAGTTAGATGTTTAGAATGCAGAATAATAAGCTAAAAGAGAAGCCAGAAAATAAAAGAAACAATAACAATAATAATATGTTAGATAATAAATAGAAATGTTGGAGAAGAAAAACGAAAAAAGAAGCAAAGAATATGAGGAGAAAGAAAGGTAGAGAGAATAATAAGAATAAGAAGAGGAGGAATGGAGAAAGAAGATTGAAGCAGAATAAAAATAAAAAGAACAAGAGGAATTTGACAAATGGAGTGTAAACTATATTAAATTAATCTATAGAGCATGTTCTAAGTTGAATAGAGTGGTACTATGAAGTTATCAGCAGAAGAAGAGGAACAAAAAACAAAAGAGTTTAATGAAAGATTAGCAAATTATATCAAATTAAGAAAAGTAGTTTAGTTGGAAGAAGTCAGTGCTGAATTGGGTATCAGTACAACTGAGGTAGTGGACAAGATAAAACAACTGGAAATGTTGGGATCATTAAATGGACTAATAGATGAAAGAGGTAAATACATTCACATAAGATAAAATGAAATTGAGGTATTTTATTCGTTTTAAAGAAATTAGAGTTTAATAAATTACATCAATGCAAGAGGAAGAATGACCAGAAGTGAATTATTGAATGAAAGCAATAGAATAATTAAATTGGAACCCTCGAAGCAAGACTTATAAAAGATTTAAGAGGAGGAGCAAAAATTGTTAAACGATTTATAATAGGAATTACAACAATGAATTATAATTAATATAATTATATAATTAAATGAAATGCGAAGTTAAAACTGTAAAGCTTAAGATACTAGGACTTACTGATTTAAGTAAATTGATAAGAAATTCCTCTTATGAAATAAAAGTATATTTTGGAGGTGCAAGATAATAAACTAAAACATTGAATTACTATGTCGGTATTAATTGAGCCCTTAGATTAGTATCTGAATAGATAGAAATAAATTAAAATTTAGAATTGAGCAGTATTCATGGAAAACAGTTATAATTTTGGTTATTTGATAAAATAAAAAATAAGTTTATTGGAGCAGGTTCTTATGAATTAAGTGAGAATTAGGTGGAAGGATTTCAATTATTAGATTTAAAAATTGATACTGTGATTACATGTATATTGATGTTTGAATTGGTTGTCGAAACTAAGGACATATATTAGCCAGTTATTTTAGAAGATGACAACATTATTCTGAAAAAGGATGACTCTGAAGAGAAGAGAAAAGAGTAAGAAAGGCTGGAGTAAGAAGAAAAACTTAGAAAGTAATAGGAGGAAGAAAGAAGATTGTTGTAAAAATAAAATAAAGTATCAATTGTCACATTAACTGATAGATATGTAGAAGATTAATCTTATTATTGAATAATATATATATATAGATGTTAAATATCATTATTAATTTAGTTCCACTTTTATAGTCCTGTTAATTTTCTCCATTATTCGCTTAACATCAAAAGTAAACGTATATTTTGATGGAATAAATTTAGATAATCTCCATTTCAAAAATAAGTTTAATCTATTAATCACGTTTTAGTAGTTATCAATAGGATAATATAGATTGTAAGAGTACATCCTCTCAAATTCTTCAGATTATGGATCTGCTCTTTTGTACATGCTTAAATCAACCATACCTACTCCGGTGGGAATGTGAATATTAGACCTAATAATTGGACTTACTGTTGATCTCAATTGAGTAATTGTTCCTTATCTGATAGGAATAGTTGATAACTTAGATGAAAATCTCTTCATTGATTATCTAACTTATGTTGAACTTTAGCTTTGTCTTCCCAACTGTCTTCCATATGGAGAACTAGCTTGTTCCTCTGAATGCTATCTATTTGATAAATTCAAGGTGTCAGAGTCTTCTTCCCTTATTCTTGATAAATTCTTTTTTATTTTATCAGCAATATTGCTATGGGTTCTTGTTTTTGTGTTAGATCTTAGTCTTTATGATTACTGTTGGCTTTATTGACTGTCTGTATCTCCTTTAAATGTTATATGTGGAGTATTTTTAATTCTCTTGACCGATGGAATTGGCACTTCACTAGCAATTAATTGAGATGAAGTTGATGTTTAAACATATTATTAAGGTTATGATTGGTCTTACGGAGTTTACGTTCTCTTAATCTTTTAAGGTTCTTATGGTACTAATGAAAACTTATATAACTATTGTTGTTGTTATTGGAAATCTGCTTAATATTAAAATTGTGCAGTATTTAATGTGCCTTTTTGGTTGTTTGGTCTAATGATAAACATTTGATCATTTTCATCGTCTATTTCTTATAACACTTTGGAAGGTTCTTTGATCTAATCATGTTGTTTTAGTAAACTTACAATGGTTCTAGAATAGTAACATATTAGTACCCATCCTATTTGTCAACTAGTCTATTATCCGAATAACCTTCATCACTTTAGTAATCATCACTTAGTTCTGAACACGATTCCAATTCATCTTCTTAACTTTCATCTTCTTCTTCATCCTCGTCATCGTATATTATATCATATTTTAATCTAAATATTTTTAGAGCATCATAATTTTACTAGAAAATATAAATAGATTTTACAATCAATCTTAAAAATATCCTATTAAACTCTTTTCTTTCCTTTTTAGGCATTGATCTCGAATAGCTAGATCTGCTTTATTAATTATAGTTTTCTTATTTGAACACTTTTTCGAGATCAGGAGTATATCTCCATATTGGACATCCTGATATTAAGTGATCTGAAGCTCTACAAGAGTAACAACACATGTTAATAACTCTAAATTATTGATTCAATAGAGAGTGTTTTATAAATACGTATCGTTCATGATCAATCTTGTTTTGTTGGATCAATTGAACAAATTTAGATTATTCAATCTTATAAAGTGAAACGAATCCCTTAGCCTTAGCAGAAGCCTATCTCAATTCTCCTGAAAAGAATGAATATTCCCCAAATGAGTCTCCTGCTGATAGTTTGGCCAACTGAGTATTTTAATCTAATATTGAGATTTCACCAGAATCAATGATATACAAAGAATTATCATCTTACTTGTGCTTTTATATTACAAATTCGTTTGGATTAAATTTAACATACTCCATAATTTATGTTAAATTTTCAAGCGTATTTTTTTAAAATTTGAACAGAGATCTACAATTACACAAAGCCTTGATCCTCATCTAGAGAAATAATTCTTCCTTTATTGCAGGTGATAGTTATTACATCAGAACTTACATCTAATTATCTATATGCATCTAATAATATTACCTAATCATCATTTTTATCCTATTAATTGAGGAATCGAATATAATTTCTTATTCTCGCTGACATGTGTAAAGAAATCCCTCTTTTAGACAAAAAGTTATTTATCAATTCCATTTACCTAATATTTTCATTCCAATTTTGATATTGTCTTTTCAGCATAAAACTAGTGTGCTTTATGATAAACGCTATCAACCAACAAGATATAAACATTGCGATTGTTGAATATATCAATTCTACATTTGTTTTAATATGCACTAGTCCTTGTCCTATATTCAGTAACAAACTTGTATTGATATAAATTGCATAACAATATTTTGTCCATTCATCTTCATCCTCTATATTCATCGTGATGATCCAAGAGTTTTACTCTTCTAGTCCTATAAAATACCAGAAACACGAACATAGATGGATTACATATAATACAATCATAAATATCTTGTAATATCCAATATCAAACGGTAGAAAGTCATTTACTCTAAAAATTAAAAAATTCAGCTTCTAAACTCCACACCCAATTTCAAACAATAATATGCACCATATCAAAATAGAATTAGCAGATAAAAATACTAATAAAATAGTTGTAACTAGATATAAAATGTCAATAAAAGTTTAACGTTTTATAAACTATAACTAATATTTGATGTGAAATTTAACAAAATTACCTTCTGAAATGTAAGGCTTGAAGTAGTTTAATCCTAAATCTAACACAATTATAAGGATGGCCAATACTTCAAATCCAAGGTTCACTTCTTGATTAAAGCTTATTTTGTAGGGAAGCCAAATACCCAATATAATTATACAAATTATAACGATCATATCTGAAAAAAGAAAGTATATAGGGTGAATTTGATTATTATTCTTTTCATCTTGAATTGTGTAATGAAGATTATTTTCTAAATAATTCTCAATTAACAACTATTTTTAGTAACCATTGAAATAATTATCGCGATATATGTATGCTTTTTAAAGAAGAGCTTAAGCAAATTATTTAACATACTTCTTGTCAAATAAATTTCGACTTACAGATTCTGTTTAATTGAGTTCAGAATAAAGTGGCTGTTTATGCGGAGATCGCATTGCTTAATTAAACTAACTTTTCTTAGGTTTCCCTGGCTCGTCAAAGTTTTTAGCATCATTTCCTTCAGAATTCTCATTTAATGTTTTAGCTTTTCTACACTAATCAAATTGACTGAACCCACTTTCCCTATAAGAAATGAATGATCTTAATGGTTCTGTGAATGGAGAGGGGCAGTTGATAATAGGTGAGTTTATGGTTGGAGGTTTAATGTCAGAAGGCAGTTGCAACAGTTTAGGCAGTTAGGTTTATTAATGCTATGGTCTTTTAAGTAATTCTGCATTATTGGAGTCAATATCAAAGCCAGAACTAAAAGAATTATGCATTGCTATTTTAATAATTATATTATTTTTGAATAAATTATTTTATATATATTATTATCTGAATACCACAACAAAATAATAATTAAAAATGTCTAGACTATATCCACTTTTAATAACAATTACTATTGTCGCATCTTCGACAATTACATTAAATAATCCCATTCAGGTTGATTATCACAAAGAAAAATTAAATCAATATTTCATAGATCATAATAGTTAAATATGGTTTGAATTTGTAAAGTCAATAGAAATACTTAACCCAAAAACTACTATTTGTTAAGTGATGCCATATTAATTTGAAAAAATCAATCCAATCTCCATTTAATTTGATAATATTACCTCATCTTTATTTGATAATGAATAAAAAACTCTATTTGTATTAGAGTAGAAGTAGCTTACTGTGATTGAGATTACTTTTACAAACTTTTCATTGAGCACATATCACTATAGGATAGGTGAAACTAATTATATAAATAAAATTGAAATGACTTCCCACCAGATTTCTAATGGAATAGATTTAGCATAAATAGAGGATAATTTTATTTTAATTTTAGATGATTAGTAAAAACTTATTCTTTTTGATAAAGTTACTAAGAATTTTGAAGATATTTAATCATTTTAATCTTAACCTATTTGGATTACAAGTGCTAATGGGTTTTTATTTGTGGGATTTGAAGATAAATTGATTTAATATAAATTAGATTAAAGAAAATTAATATAAATAAAACAGCTAGAATTAAATTTGGCTAACAGTTCTATTCTAAAGATGTAATAAAGTTCTATTTTCATATCATTTCCATTTTATAAGGTTATTAAAGTTACATACAATTAAAATGTATTATAGGTGGAAGATTACTTAACTTAGAATATGGAAATCGTGAGCTTGGAAATATAAGGCCAAAATATTTCATATTTAACAAAAGATTATGTGTATTTAAATTCTGGAAAAAAATTATTTGAGTAATATGATAAACTGTTTCAATTCGTTGACTTAGTAATTTTGATTTCAAATAAAGGAATCATTAAAGTGATATCTGAATTTATTGATGAATTATGTATTGATTTTTGATATTTTAAAGCAACTCCCCTGTACATTAAACATTAGAATGTCAGTAATGTACATATAATGAACAACTTTGGAATTAATTATCACCTAATTACAGAGTCCCAAAATCTCATTATGATCAATGAAATCTCTCTTACTGAATCTTTTATTTAATGTGATGATAGAATAGGAGATAATTAAGAAGCTGTATCTTTTATTGCATTAGCAGACGGTTGCCAAGATAGAAGGACTATATCTTAGCCATCAAGCTGTAAAATTTAAGGAAAAATTCAATGTATACTTTTTAATAATAACCTTTAGTTAACTATATTTCTACTATATATTCGAAGTATTCAGATCTAATTTATTTGATGATTATACTACTAATTTCAGCTTCTTTCTTGATTTTATTAGCCATTTTTTATACTAGAAAGTACCAGAAAGAGGCAGAACAATATAATATAGTAAATTAATAAGACATTCTAAAAGTGGACCAATCAAAAGATTAAATAAATTAAGAATTTTGATTTGACATACAATTAACTTAATCATTCAAATTTTATTAGTTTGTAATTCTCCTCTTATTCTATTCCAATCCATCCATATTTTTATTTTAATTAATTTATTCCTTGCAGTAACTACAAGTTATGCCTTGCAGTTTATGGATTAATTTATTCTCTTGTAATAGGATCTGCGCAACCATTTGAAGTAAACTATTTATAGATGCTATCTTTTTCATATGTTTGACCAGTGTTAAATAGAATGGGTTCATTCATTATTTCAAATGATATAATACATATAAAAGCCTAAGGTATTGGTATATCTTAGAGCATCTTTTTTTAGGTTTGCCTTTCGAGATAATTCCAATCTAACTTCACCTTTCTTCTTTCTGCAATTTCAGCAAGGATACTTTTTAAAGATTAGACATCTACAAACTATATAATTTTCATACTGATTCTATCCATTTCTTGAGCTATCAAAAAAACCATTCTTCTTCCTTTTCCTAGATTTTGATTAATTAAAACTTTCAGTTTATTCTTTTATTAATCATTGTTATCTTTAATATTCTCATATGCTTTAAGATAATTAAAATTGAATACCCTAGTCTAAATATTACAGACCTTTATGAGCCTATTTAATTAGTTATTCACTAATTTCTGGACTCATTTATACTTCAAGTAAAATAACTGTTCCATAAATGAAGTATGCCCTTGCATTTGTTTAATCAATTTTTATAGCTTATTCTGCATCTTTTTTGGCCTCTTATAATTTATTTATTTATTTATAGACAACAGCTCTATTCGAGTAGTAAATGGAATCAGTACCATGTAAATTCTAAATAATTATTGTTTTATACAATGGCTTTGGTATAACATTCGATAGCTTTTTAATAATTTTTTTATGAGAAAAATTAATTCCCCTTAACTTTTTCCTCTAAAGATTGCTGCACTTTGTCAAGTTACAATGGACTTGGCGTTTAATTAATATTTTTCTAACTAGTTTCTTATGCTGAAGGTTTTTTCGCAGCTTTGAAAATTTTCCTTTGTTACTAAGGTTGTTAAGGTTACTAAGGCTACTAAGGTTGCTAAGGGTACTCCTGAGCGAATATTTCCTCTGCTTGATAGTTCATGAATAAACAATCTTCATTTGAGTGTGCTTATCCCATAGATGATTAATTATTTATTATATTAACTTCAAAAAATAAAAAATTAACAGGGTAATTGAATCAAAAAGAACTTTTTCGTTTGTTCGTTTCATTTCCGCCATCATAAGCGTGGAAAAATTTCATTAAATCGTCAACCTTCATTTAATCAATTTACTCATTTTCATCATAGTCGCTGCTATATATAGTACTAACTTTCAAGTCTTTGTTTTTTATTCCAGACCTATTTTTTGGATCAATTGTAGTGTCTTAGTTATCACACAATATATGATTAATGATGTATTTAAATAAACGAATTACTTAAGTGTCCTAATTTAGTAATTCATTTAATTACCTAAGAGCTAATTTTAATTTCTTCTAAAGAACTCTTGGGATTGTCTTTTAAAAACTACTTAATAGCAAATAGCATAATTGCTGCTATTTTAGATTTAGAAATATGCCCATTGAATGGTTCCAACAATGGAAATGCGATTGACTTTACACCTAGGTTTGCTGCTAATTGTAAACAATTAATCATGCATTCATAGATGTTTTATCTCTCGTGTGTTTATTATGAGTCAATCATTTTATCTGTATATATATGGACTCCATCTATTTATTACCTTAAACCCTCCTGTAATGATTCACTTGGTTGAAAATCAGTAGAACCATCAGTGATATAAGAACTTTTTGGCATCATCATAGTAGTTTCACAACCGCTTGAAAGTACTGTATATATAATGTAATCAAAGTCCATCTATTATTGTTGCCTTATATTAATACATCTCCTGCATGCGTATGTACTACTTATCCTAATTCCAGTTTTCCACCTTCATTTAAACGTACTTATTTCAGTTCATTCATTACAGTCTATCCTCCATATTTTCTATTTTAATTAGATATAGATATACTTAAGTAGATCCTCCATGTTTTATCCCATTTTTAATCTCGTACTTACAATAAGAACTATTGTGTCTACATCTTCATTAAATAAAAGCTTGCTGTAACTTAATTTAATTTGGCAACCAGCAAAGGATGCATGAGCAGCAATATTAGGTTATAAGCTCATTTTTGAGCTGCTTCCAAAATGGTCAGAGCCAGAACAACATAATGTTTTATTACCCATATTAATATTATTTATTTAAATAAATTTATCATTACTAATACAATTCTTAGGAAATATATGTTCAATTAATATACTATTGAAGATTTGAATGCTTAATTTATAATTTTGATCTTTTATATTGGTTTTAGTGTAATTCTATTGAAAATGAATTTTGTATTGTAAATGAAATAATTTATGTCAACTAATTCAGTCTCTTTTCTACACTTTAATGGTAATAAACCCATCTTCAACTAAATGATCCTCATATTCTTCTAAAGACTTTATTATCCTATAATAATATTATCTTTATATATATATACCTTAACCTCTCAATCTATCAAGTCTTGTATTTAAATCTTAAATTAATCTTTGCTATTCGTTGATTTATTAATCCTTAGAATTCATACTCTCTTCAAAAGTTCCTTGGTCTCTTAATCTACTATTTTCTTCAATTAATTCATTCATTTTCTTCAGCAACTCATGATCAGATTACTAAAATTTAAAATATTTAACACATTGGCTAGATATTGACTATTCTTTAATAAAATTGATTCCATTTAGGATTTTCCTAAAGAATCTCTAACAGGAGTCTATTATAGGAAGCTTGAATGAGATGGTTGGAATGAACTTGTATCCGTAATCCCTCTTCCATAATGTTCAATATTAGTTATTGCTCTTTATCTAACTCTGTCATATGCCTTTAGTAAATTATTTATCAGCTTTTTGCATTTAACTATTTATAAAGAATTCAAGCTGGCTGCTTTTGATGTAGTTGAAATGTCCCTCATTCTCCAAAAGGCTATTTAAGGAGTGATATTTGTGTTCTTAGCAATCATTTCAGCTACCCTCTAGAACAATTTATTGTAAAGTTTAGGTCCTTTCCAAATATCCAAAGCTTCTTTCATTAATTCCCTATCTTGTTCTAGATTTAATAAAAGCAACTTTTAAATTGCAGTAAATACTGAGACCATATTCTTCTTGACAGCTCTCATATTCCATCTTTTGGAAATATATTCTTAATTTTATTTTCCCAAAATTTTAAAATAACAATATAGCCTCTCTGTTCAACCTAATTTCTCCTTCTTAAGCAGATTCCTTTTTATTTGTCAAATTTGATTATAAACGTTTCCATTCCACTTAGGCTACATTTAATTGGTTCATTTTATGCTAATAGAATAATTAGATTGCAAGTTTCTTCTTATCCGAAATATTGAAAGCATCTACTACTCTATGAAATTCAACAATTTTCTGCCATTTCAAAAATGATTTCTTTTAACACTCATGCAATAAACAACATTTTATTTAAAGCAAATTTTTATCTTGCCTATCCATCAAGATCAATATTTTATAATTGATTGAAGGTATCCTTTCTAAGCATGTGAATTTTGAATATATTTAGTGATTTTTCGAATACGCTTGCTTTTAATGAATCTAATTCTTTATTTTCGGGTAGAGCTTTCCATTTTTAGAAGGAAACTTCTATTTACCCTACCTATATATGAAATAATTAGATATGTATTTTTTTTATTCAGCTTATTTCTGTCTTTTCAAATAAAACTTTCTTAAAATATCTCTTAATCTGCCTTGATCATTTGTTCTCAAATTTCTATGCAGAGCAAATACTAATAACTTCTTCTTCTCATCATCAAGTTATGAATAAATTTAGATTACTTCACTAAATTTTTCCAATGGAGAAATACCCATCTTATCATTAACATTTTATTCAAGACACTTTCTTATCTTTTATTAGGTTTAAATATCTTTTAGACATGTCCTGCTAATGTGAGAGCTAGAGTTTAAAATAGATTTGCAGTATATTTGCAAGTTTCTATTGATTTATGCAATTTATTTATATCTCTCCAATATAAGAATAATCTTTTATTTTGGCCCATGCCAAGAGCCAGTATTTTTCTGAGGCAATATAATTTTTTGCTACAACTAAAAATAATAAAGATGCAATAAATAAAACTTTAAATATATTACCTTCTTGATACACATGTTTTAATGGTTCTAAAGTTGCCTTAAGTCTTCCTCTAAAATGTAAATCTAATATCCTTTCAAACTTCCTTGCATTTTTTAATTATTCTGTATTTTAAGGTCAGGTAAATTCTTCCACTTTTAGAAGGCTACAATGGCACCTCCAAATTTAGTGGCAAACAATTTAGAAAAGAATTCTATCTTGAGCAGCATTCATACTTGAATTTCGTTTAAATTTAGCTAATATTGCTCTCAATTTAGCTACATCATTATTTTTTAAGAAATTGTTTATTGATTCTAACAGCAATTTCTTTTTCTCTTCATTCATAGCCCCCTATAATTTTTGTAACTTTCCATCATTATACTATTTCATGAAAAAATATCTCAAATTGCTGTCAAAATTGCCAATAAGTTGAAGCTATGCTTTTTCTTTTTTTTATGATTCTTCATCTGGCTTTAATGGAGCATTATTATTCTTAATATGCAATCCCAAAAATCCAAAAAGATTTATAACACATTTACATCTCTCTACTTCTCTAATTAAGGAAATATTTTTATTCCATTAATCTAATGTTCTTTATTATTCTGATTCTTAGGTCTTTATCATAAGCATTACTGCCATTTTCTTAATTTCCAAAGCATCATCGTATTCTTCTAATATGGGATTCCATGAATATTTTCTTGCTATGTGAATTATAAATTTATTTAGAGATTTTTCAAAAACACTTGCTTTAACTTTTAGATCATTATTATCTTCAGGTAATTATTGTTATTGTTTTTATCTATTAAGCACAATTTTTATTAAATATACTTCCATCTATTAAATGATAGCCAGGCTTAAGATATCGTATTTCTATTTATAATCGTAAGGGCTTTTCTTTTAAGATTTTGTTCAATAGCATTTTGTTAAATCTTCTCAATACTTCAGTTAATGCATAAAACTTTACTTTAGATCCTGCATTAATCCATCCAATCAATTTTTATTTAACAATCTGATCATTTAATGTAACTTTAAGTTATGAGAACTTATCAAACATTTTCATCTCCCAAGCTTTTCTATGCAAAAATAAAAAGGCTTTTTTTAAGTCACTTTAGGTGACAGCAATAATTTTGTTAATGCAAAATTTTTTTTAACTTATCCATCTTAAAATTCATTTTCTATTTGGTCCCAAGAGTTTAATTTAACAAATCTAAAAGCAATTTTTCCAAGTGAAATAGCAAATTTACTTACTCTAGCCTAGTTATTCAAGGCATCATCCCCAGGTAATGATTTCCATTTTTAAAATGATAATTCAACTTATCCTATTTGAGTTTACAGAACTCTTAGATGTATTTTCTTAATTAGCTAATTTACTTGTTACCCAATGTAAAATAGTTTTAAAATTCTTCTTAATCTATTCAAATTACAGTTTTTAATGAATCTTTAGAGATTGATTAACACAAATTTCTTTCTCTCATCTCCCAATTTTTCAGATATCTTTTGCTATTTATTAAAATTTTTCCATCTCAGAAACGCTATCATCAAATTATACGTAAATGAAGACATTAACTTCACCAGACATTTTTCCTTAGATTCTGCATCCTTTCTTGTATATAAAAATGCTCGAATATTATTTCTCAAAACTTCTTATAAAGAATCAAAAAAGTTATTTGTCTTTTAACAAGCTATAACAGATTTATAAATTTTATTCATGGATTGTCATTAACGTACAAATCTCTATGGAGCACTTAATTATTTGACTAGCATTTATTTAATACACAATCTTTTACATTAGATACCTTACTTAACAACCCTTTTTCTGTTTTATTGGCCGTGTCCTCCAATCTTGAGATAATTTCTTATTTATTAATATTATCCAGGGAAAATTTAATAATTGTAAAAAAGATTATAATCTTTATTATTGTAAGATGAGATTAATCAATTAAATAAATGTTATATAAATATATTATTAATTATTCCATATCAATATGGCATATACTTTGGAATGCTTTTCCCTCTTTTTTCTTCTACAGAACATTGCTAGAGGTATTTTTTTAGCATTTTTTTTTGATCCACCTCCATTCTCCATGCCTAAAATACTGAATACATCAAAGAGTGCTAAGTTTCTTATTCACTTTTAATTTATCTATATATAGGTATAAAATTTACAATTTTTTTTCTAGTTTTAGTTACTTAATGAATTCAGCTCCAATAGTTCTATAATGATACAAATAAAAGCCTCTGAAAATTTTCATAAATTGTTTTCTTTAATTCGTTCTTTTTAAAAGTTCAATAATCCACATTTAAAAGTATACATTCACAAGATTATTGTTTTGTTTAGATGATAAATATTCAAGTTTTTTATTTGTGTTGTTTTTTACTTATTGTAAAATTAAAAGAAGTTAATATTTTAGTCTACTTTAATAGTGTAATTCTGCTTTTTTATTTTTAATTTAAGATTTGACTTTGTTAAAATAATTTGATAGGTTTCTCTCATATGAGATGCCTAGTATTTTATTAAAAGTGATAACAGCTTTATTAATTCTCCATTATTTCAGATATTGCTTTTATAATTTTCTTTTTTTACACTTACTCAAATATTATTATTTACTTGACTTCAAGACTTTTTTAAAAGCTTATTTCATTTTCTATTTGATAAGTGAATTAAAAATATCATAATATTTATTGGCCTTTTCTGTTTTCATTTGATTCTAGGATAATATCTCCATAAACTTAACCACATATTACATTTTATTTTATTTCGAATCATAATTTTAATCCAATATATTATAGATACTCTTAGCTGCAATTCTTTTTTAACTTTGAAAAAACCAAAATAATAGGATCTTCTATTTTTTTTTGTCATCTATTTATTTAAAGATGGTTTAGTTTTTATCACCAAACTATTTAATGATTTTGAGGTTGTAATACATATTTCTTTTATAAATTTCTCCTAATGATTTACAGATAAATTTATATGCAACAGATTCATTTGTTAATTTAGCCCACAAAGTTAAACAAATTATTTGCTTTCTAATATTCTTTTATTCAAGATAATTATAATAAATTGAATCTTATTATAGATGTCCAAAAATAGCATATTGTTTATTTTGTACTAATTTATTAAAAGTTTTCAAAGCAAATTCCCCTTTTAGTTATTTTATCTAATAACTTTGCAAATGATAAAATAATACACTCTAACAATGTTAGTAATAGATTTTATTTGTTAAAATGTTTTCAAGTTTAGATTGAAACTATTTTAATTTTAAATTCATTTTTGATAAATATTCCCACCTCTAAAAAAGCCTCGATAATTTACTCTTACTTAAATTAGAATTTAAAGTATATTATTTATTGATAACAAATAACTTTCTAGCTTTCTTATAAAATTATTCATTCTCCTTTTTTTCAAAAATATTTTGGAGTTTGTTGAATCCTCCAATTTGATTTAATTGTTTTACCCATTTATGGAAAATTCTTTATTTTTACATTTTAGAGCATAATTTATAAACCTTCATATCTTTGTTAATTTTCTTCATTCTATTTAAAACGCAACTTTTAGTTTTCTTTATTGCATTTTCAATAGAAAAGATAATGGTTTTCAATGAATGAGATTTTTGATATTATTTTTTCCATTATTAAAAGTATTTAAATAAAAATTGATTTTATTATTTATCTTAAATTTCTATTTCTTTGTTATTGTCTATTATTGCTTAGATCGAGAAGATCATATTATCCTTTCCTTTATTTTCCATCTGTAAAAGAAAGCGTTAAAATTTCTTTAATTTTTATAGTTTAGATGCCCACATTTTCAAAATTTTTCTTTTCATTAAATTTATTGAATTGTTCTTAACTTAAACACTTCTATTATTGAGTAAAAGCTTTAAAAATTATTTTTTTAATTATTTTACTCTTAACTTATTCAAAATTTTTGTTAGATAAATAGTCTTTTAAGATGATTAGGTTGAATCAAACCAGTGCAAGAGTACTTTTTTAATTAAATTTTGTTTGTAAAATATTTTTGCATTTTCAATTCTATTATTTGAGTCTAATTTTTTAAAGAGTTTCAATTTTTAATCCCTTTATATATCCTAAATTGCTGATATCATAAGTTTTGCTCCTTATTATTTACTAGTAAAGACTTTCCAACCAGCAAAGCATTTTCTTAATTTATTCATTTTCATAACTTAATCTCTGGGCCTTTTCTTATGAACAATAAGATCTTTAAAACCTTTGAAGTATTTTTATAATAAATTTTTCTTTATTTACAAAACAGTGATAGCTGTAAGATATGCTACATTCTACTCAAATGTGAATAATCTTCTCATATGTTTAAAACTATTGGATTTAAGATGATATAATTATCGTTTTTTTATTATTTCTGTATTATTTCTTTATTTGAGTTTTTTCCTATTATATAGATTACCATTAATTACATTTTATATTTATTTAATTGATTGAATGCAAATTTCATTAAATAAAATATTCTGCCTTATGCCATATACTTTTTCTTCTAAAAGTCTCTAACTTTTATTAACTAAAAACAATGAAGATCATATTACTTGCATGTGTTTAAAAAATATTCTCTATTGCAGATTTGTAAAACTAACACAAAAACTTTCAATTTTGCCTTTTGATAATCGCTTTGCATTCCAAAATTTCAAAAATCTTAACTTTTACTTGTAAACAATAATTGGAAGATTTTTTTAATCTTAAACTTTTTAGATTTTCTTTTTCCATTTATAATCGTTCAATGTTTTAAATACTCTAATGTAAAAAACAATTTTACTTTTAATAAACCTTAATAACATGTAGTTTGTCGAAGTTATTTCGAATATTTCTTTAATAAGAATGTTTTTAACCATAATTAAGCCAGAAATAAAATGGTCCTGCTACATATTTTCCGAATAAACTTCTTTACACACTTCTCTTATTACTATTTACTTACAAAATTTAATTACATCACTTTTTATCTGAAATTATATGCTCTAACTTTCATATAATCAAAGATGTGTTTTACTATGTTATGTTGATGAAGTGAGAGCAATTACTTATAAAACTATTGTTTTTTTAAGTGATTAATAAGATTTATTCTTAGTCCTCTTATAACTTTTTGTTTGAGTTTTAGAGGGTATTTGTTCTCCTACTTAAATCTAATATTATTTAACTAAATTATAGAATCATATTTACTTTTAGTTCTTTCACAAATTCTTTTTAGTGTTTAGATCTCATTATTCTGACTAAGTTCTTTAGCCATAAGGATCTTTAAAAAGCAAGTCGATATTTATTAAAGTATAAGTAAATTTAAAACTATTTGATTTATGGGATATTAGCAATATCCTATTTCCTATGAAATCTCTTTTCTTTTGCCCAATTCAACCAAAAATTAGTTAATCTTGGGATAATATGTAGATATTACCTTCTTAATTTATTAACTTTATAAATGGCTCGAGCCTTGGAATTAAGTTCTTTTTTCATTTTTTATTCTTTGGTATATTGTTGTAAAATATTAAATGGTTTGCTTATATAAAGCATTTGTAAAAATCGCCCAATCTGCTGATATTATCTTAATTAAATAAATTATTACTCATTTTTCTTCTCTTTTATTTAAATATTGATTGCAAATCCTTTGAATCCTTTTCTTAACAATTGGAACAGATAAACATCATTCAACTATTTTTTATAATTGTTTTTATTCTGGATTACGGTGTGAAAACATCTTAGTATTCTCAGAATTTTCCTTTTGTTCTAATAAATTAATAGATTATCAGCTGTTTATTTTTGTTTTCTATTAAAATCCTTCAGTCGGAGGTATTAATTCCATTTTTTAAAACACTTTTTCATAACAAATTAATTAGTTTCTCGTTTTTATTGATTCATCACTAGGTTATTCCATAAAGTGAAATACAGTTTTTATAATTTTTGTTAATATAAACCATAAGCTAACAAGTTATTTTAGTGTTTATCCCTGCGATGTTGATAGTATAATTTAAATTTCATAAAGCAAGTTTTCAATGTTTCTTAATTTTTGAGTTGAATCAAACCAAAACTGATTTTATTTTTTGAATTTTTATTTTATTTTGCAAAATGAAAATTGATCCATTTTTCAAAATAAACTCTTAATTAATTGAGACTATAAAAGTGATCTGATTAAACCTTTTTTAATCTATTTTATTTATGTTTAATTGAATATTTTCTCATCTTATTAAAAGCTCTCCAGAGATAGTTGTGTTTTCTCATGAGTAACACTTGATTTCTGGAATTCTTAATTCTCTTTTTCCTCAACCAATTTTGTTTCTAAATATAATTTCACAATATTACTAAATTGTCAAAATGATGGAATAATATTTTAAGTATTTGATTTTGTTGAAACAGTTGGATATCTTTTTCAATTTGGAAAGAATCTTTCAAACTGAATTTAGCAACTTTGGATGGTTCCGCTTAAATTTCAACATCTTACAACAATTTGACAGGTTCATTGTAAAGAAATATAATTTTATTAAAGGCAAGTCTATAATGCTGCATAATTTTCCTCTGTACTACGGATATAAGTTATTGCAATGAGTTAATATTGAAGGAAGAGATAGTCCTATTTGTTCTATGTTACTTTTCTGATTTTATATAATCACTTTAAGCTGAACGTCTCTTTCCGTCAGAAATTTGTTGCAAAATCTGATTGGTTAATCTAGTTAATAAATGGGAAGGATTACTCTTTTTGGTAATCAGATTAAAAATCGGTTAACCTTGATGCTCTGGTTTCAAAGGTTGGCGGAGATGCAAATGTAGTGGGACTAGTAAATTTTTAGACTTTGTCCAATCTGCTGGGTTAGATCCTATTAGTTTGATTTGGGTTGTTTTCATCACAGGAGGTTTTTACATCGAATGAGAAATTTAGGCTGTTTAACTCTTTAAGTTATTTCGGTTTCAATGGGATGTATCTTTAGTACCATTTGTCTCCATCATTTCGCGATTCTGTTATGATTTGTTTATAAACCTTGTCATACATATCAATGTCAATTCTTTTTGCTCCTTATTTTAGTAATAAATTATTACTCCTCAATTTGTCTAGCACATCCAAAATGTTACTTAAATTATAACGGCCATTCACTTCAGCCATTATCTCTTACATAACAGGCTCCATACTTGGTTTAATATTTAAATTTGAAAAATATATTAATTATTTGTTATGATTTAAATAATATAAGCTCAAGGCTAAATAAATTCAGTATTTATTGTTCAAATGGAATCTACTCATTGAACACACAAGAAGTGAATTAAATGAAAACAATTTTCAGAAGAAAATGCGAATCGTCAAATTTATATATAAAATTATTTATATTATATAAAAAATGAATGAAGAAATCGATCATCATTTAGAAATGCAAGAGACTAATGCTATGTTGCTTTAGTAATTTGAAAAAGTGACAGAACAATAAGAAGCAGAGACTCCAAATAAATATTCTGATCATTCAGATCCACCTTCGCCCACTAAATAAAAATCTAAAAAGAAGGAAAGAATTGTTGAGAAGCTATTATAAAATAGAGCAAAATTCAATGACAGGACAGCGTTATTTAATTTAATCAACACTTTACAAATGGTAAAGGCATTTTCTAAGAATTTAGGTTATAACTCTATACAATCTTAGCTCAATTATTAATATAGAAGGATAAACAAATTTAAAATTTTATGACACCACTCAGATCTATAGCTATTATGTTTGGAATAAACAAGGATTCTCTGTTTACTACTTGATTATCATCTTGATTATGGTTCACATTTTAAAATTGTTAACATGTTTGGTGGGTATCGATAAAATTTAACAAATTAGGTTATTTTTGTGTTGTGCAAAAGAGTGAAAAACTGTTAACCATCTTCATGATGTTAACTTTCACTTGTGTCATCACTAGAGGAATCATAACTATATTATTACTAATAGATTATAGTTAGATAGAACTCACCTAATCATATATATACGGAGATTCGGATAAAGTAGCATAATCTTAAGGAGTGTAATTTATCATAGTTTTGGTCCTTTTTGTTGCAGTAGAGATAATCATGGGTTTGTAGAGTCTCTTATTGGCAGGCTAGGCTAAGAAGAAATATAAATGTACATTAATTCATCAATATAAATCAAGCTATGCGTATCAACGAAAAGAAAATTGCTGCTCATTATTCAATTGCTTATTAAATCATGTTAAGGTAATTTGTAATTTGATTTGTTGTATAATAAATATCGATATTATGTATATAAAATATTGGACATTCATAAAATATATCATATCCCTGAACAGTTTTCCTTTTTTTATCTCATAATACCTATACAAATTGTAATAGATTTAATTAAGAATAATTATCATATAAGAATAAGTTCAAATAGATGAATTCCTCCTTGATGTAGAATTTATAATAATTCAATTATTGTATATTTCTCTCATTTTTGAATTCAATTAATGGGATCATATGTCCATAATTTAAAGTTTTGCTTATTATGAAGTTGCAATTCAAGTTCCTAATTTATAAGAATGAAATTAGTCTACGTTGCGTAAATAAATTAGGTAAACAGATTAAATATATAAAATTATCAGTAGGAAAACAATAATTTATAAAATGGGAATTTGTGGAAGCACTACGAAATAACCAATAGATCAGATTTGTAAATTGAGTCAGCCAATCATAACTAGTGGTGAATTGTAGATAAAAGTGTTGTTGAAGAATATCAAGTTGAAGATGCCAGATATCCGATAATGCTCTATTGAATTCGATTTGGGTAGATGTAAGTATACATCACCTGTGCATGTGAATAATGAAGGAGAACATTATGTAATTATTATTTGATAGAAGCAATTAAGTGGCGAGCAAGTTTTGATGGCTTACTTCTGATGACTGAATAATAAATGAGAGAAACTAATATTAAGATTTCAGTACTAACATCATCAGTGATTGGTTAAGCCTAAATCAATTTGTTTGAAACTGCTGTAGGTCCTTTCCATTTTGAGTTACCAATACGAGGCTAAAATAGTGGGAATGTGAGTTTCGATTTGAAAATGAATCAAATTGTTCAAGCAACTCTATAGAGCAAATACATTATATGGGAATTGAATTAGAGCTTGAATGAGGTTAGATACAATTACAATCTGCGTTTGGTGGTTCAAATAAATGACTATTAACAAGACCTCCCAATTGTCGTACATCTCTGAGCATTCATCTACCTTTACTAATCCGAACTATAGAAAACAGAACGAGAAGAAGAGCACACAATTTTAAACTAGTCGTAAGAGCATCTTAGACCAAGATTCTATAAAGGATAGTTTAACCTCCTTATCAAGACTCCCTTCATTAAAAAGTCCTCCAAATCCATCATATGATTCTGTGGCTGCAACCCCTACTCATAAAGTATCTAATCACTAATACCGTAGGCAAATCATCGAATTGAATGGGATCATATCAACGACGAACTTACAATGATAGTAGAATTGCCAATCCAGGAATTTCAAGGCTCAGCACTTCAATTGTGTTTATGGTCTATTTCTTCTAATAGAAGGAGTTTGGACAATATTAAGTCTCCACAAAAGACTATTATAAAGAAAACAAAAAATCAGCATGACTCTGAATACATGGATTTGGAAATCTAAGATCATCATCTTGTAGCAGAAACCTATATCAATTTGTCAAATATGGAAACAAGTGTATCAGCCGAATAGGGAGCCAAATTGTTAATGATCAAGAGCTATCAACCTAAATCTCTTTGGTATCATGGTGTTGAAGTCGGTAAAATTGATTATGAAATCAGTGTCCGAATCCCAAATCATCTCTAATAGTCTTCATTTGGGGTTTAAACAGATAGGGGAATTGTTTCTTCCATTTCTGTTGTTGGAAATGTAGAAAACATCAGTGTTACTGAAATTAAAATGATATAAATGGAATTTTAAAAGTTATCTAGCAGCATCTTTAAGATGGAACACAAATCTCTCAATATTGATGAAAAATTAAAAGTTAGGTAAGAAATGGATCAAAATCTAACTCGTTTAGCATAATTTCTTGGCCAATCTCATGGAAGTGCTATCAAAACTTTCTAATATAAATCAGAGGATGATTTAATGAAAGCTTAATAATTACTCATTTAAATCTCTATTCATCTAGTCGATTATTCTAAAACATTATCCACTTTTGACTCTTATTATGAATGTCTCAATCAAGTCTTAAGTCGTGGCGAATTAATGCTTTAACAATTGGGATTTTTTAAGGCTCTTAATAAAAAATAATCTAATTAGAAAATTGAAGTGTGTTTAAACTATTAAACATTCTTAATCAATACATTACGTTACACTCTATCTAAATTAAGTTAAAAGGATCCTTCAAATGAAGCCAGAAAACTCTATATCAAAATCTTAGTCATCAGTTATTTCAGAATACCAGAATTCAGAGTCAAATTCTTAGAACTTATTAATAAACCGAATGATCCTCAATTAAATGAATTAAGAGGCACCGAATTTATACAAGAAGATGATCCAACCAACATAGATAAAAGTACCAAGAATAATATTTCAATATTTGATTGGTAGAATTATTTTCATACTTATTTGAATGATAAAACTTAAGGAATTCAAAATTAATCAGCTCTCAATTAAATCCTAGATGATGAAAGTTGGAAGGAAAACATAAGGCATAGGTCGATTAATTTTAGTTTCTTTGTTGAAGAATGGGCTATCTATGTGAGAAATATTCTACAAGTGAAAATACTGCCTTGGCAAGATATTCCAGGATATAGAATTTTAGTTAAAGCCTTTATGTGTGAATTAAAATAGTAAGATTCAGTGCCTGATGCTATGAAAATAGGCTTGAGGAGTTTGATGCAAAACGTTAATCTCTTAGGGATTATAGTTAGTCTACAATTTAATAAGACAAAGTAAGTAGAATTAAAAATTATTCTAGTTTATACAACACAGAATAAGTGATTGAAACCTTTGAAATTTTGGATATATGCTTCTCCACCTTGACTGCCATGCCTCCTTACTTTGATTACCCATTCCTTCTGAAAGGAATAAAATAAATCATCATAGATTCAGAACATGCCATTTGCATTGCCAAATGTCTGTGGTTCATCTATAATATATACCCATTACTCTAAAGTAAACATATATCTTATCAGTCAGTGGAGTTTAAGAAGGATCTGTGCGAATTCATCTTTGAGAAAGCTGTATTCAAACTATTTCTTCATTGGAGCAAGACCGTAAGAATGATGTTTCACTACTTTCTACTATACAGAGTGTCACATCAACATAAGAATCCTAAAGTTGGAGGATTAGATGAGGAGTAGAATTATAATGTAAATAAATAGGTAAATTATATAATAATACACTCTGATCAATAGACCAAAAAAGAATCAAAGCTACTTTGAAAATCGACAGCCTCAATAATAGTTAATTGTAATTATGTAGTACTTATTATCCAATAGTCTGATTACATCTACATGAAGTACATGAGATTCTTAAGCAAAGTTGAATAGGCCAAAATAAATGAAGGAGAGCGAGAATATTAATAGGATTATAAGAGTTATTATTAGCGATTGGTGACTAAGAAGTTGAAGATGGAGCAGGAATAGAAATTACGATAAGTCGCAGAACCTAAGAGGGAAAGTTTAAAATTAGAACGACTATAATCTGAATAGGAAGAATAAACATAAAATTAGTTGAAACCAGTTATAGTTCCCAGAACAGTAATGCATAAAAAATTAAGTTGTAAGAACATTATAATGACTTTAAGTTAAACACGATATTGAAATAACAGACAAATAATAATAATATGTTTTAATATCTATTAGAGAATTTGAAGAATAACTGAAAAATTATAATAATTGGAGATAATCTAATATCAAAAAGGTCATGGGCAAGTACAATGAGGAAGGTTCAATATTTAATATATTCAAGATAAACACACAATTCATCTAACATTCGAGGTTCCAAAAATGGATATTCTTAAAAGGATTGACGAAAAGGAAGGAGCATGAATTTATCTAAGAATTATCAATTATGTCAATATATATACTTTTACTTTCTAATTATTTTAGGCTAATTTTATTTCCGTATATTTTATAAAAATTAATAATATAGAGAGTACAATGGAAATTCTAGAATTTATTTTTCCAGAATGTGCCTTCCTATTTAATTGAACCAGAGGTTTTTAATGATGTATATTTATACAAGAACCAAATCTGCGAGTCAATAATTACTAATATTTCCATTATATTATCGGTTATTTCTACTAATATTTTAATAGAAAATCCAGATTTCAAATTCTAGTCCAATTAAAAAAAAAAAAACAATAATTAACATTGCTAAGAACTAAAAAGAAATGATTCAAATGGGATCAGGGAAAGCATTTTTAAAAGAAATTTAAGCTGGTGATAATGAAATGAATATAAATCAACTTTAAGAAGAATTGGACACAAATATTTTTACTGTTAGTTTTTCAAGTTTGGGAGAAAAGGATCGCCAGAATTAAGTAGTACACTAAGGAGATCCTTTGTATTGTTAGAATTGCAAAGGAATTCTGAATAAATTTTCTAATCTATCTCTCTTTAATAACAGTGGAAGTTGTTTGTAACTTTCATGGAATTGTGAGTTTTGTACTCATCTTAATGAGATTTAAATCCAGGACGGTGATATTCCAGAGAAGGAAGAAGCCTTGTACTTGATTCAAAGTCATTTCCAGTAATAGAGTTAAAAATAAGAAAAAAATTCAATAACGTTTTGCATTGATACGAGCGGTTCAATGTCAACTACCACAGAAATTAAAGGAAAAGTTTCAATCAAAACAGGATTAACTAATAAAGAATAAGAAATGCTGAAGTAGTTTATTTAGCCTGGAACTGAAGCTCATTATTTGAAAAAATAAAAATAAATTAGTTATGTATCTAGAAAGCAATGTCTTCTTTCAGCGATTGAATAACAAATCAAAAAATTACAATAACAAAACCCAGAGAAGGTTGTAGGATTGGTAACATTTAATAATGAAGTCGTTGTTTATGGAGATGGGTCATAACAGCCAATTAAATTTTAAGAATAAGAATTATATTAAGAAGTCTAAATTAAAACAGTATTAAGCAGATGTGCTAATTAAATGATGTAAAATCCAATTAGCAAATAAGCGGATAATATCATCAATATTTGCGAATAATTATAGGACAATGGTCAAACTGCTTTGGGTCCAGCTTTGATTTCTGCTTTGGAATTAGCAAAAGTAGGAAAACCTGGATCTATGATTATCATATGCACAGATGGGTTGGCAAATTTAGGGATCGGTGCGTTAGATAGTGAATCGAGTAAGAGATTTTATTAAGAGCTCGGGAAAATGGCTGCTGAAAAAGGGATAATAATATCACTTGTCACAATAAAAGGGGAGGGGTGTAAAATAGATACTTTAGGAGAGTTGGTTGAAAGGACAAATGGAATTGTAACTAGAGTCAATCCTGAAAAAATAGGTGAAGATTTTGCGAACATTATTAATGATGTTGTTGTTGGAACATAAGTTGAATTAAAAGTAATTTTGCATAAGGCTCTAAAATTCAGAAGGGAAGACTTAATAAAAGCAGAAAACAATACATTAAAGAAATATATAGGAAATGTTACGAAATCAACTCTTTAAACATTTGAGTATGAATTAAAATCAGAATAAGAATTAAAAAAAGAAAATATAGACATAAAAAAATTAAAATAAATTCCATTTTAAATTAGAATTACTTATACAAATTTGAAAGGAGATAGAATGATGAAAGTTGTCACTAAATTAGTCTAAACAACCTAGAATAAAGTAGAGGCTGAAAAATCAGCTCAAGTTGAAGTCATTCATAAAAGATTAGCTTAAAAAACAGCATAAATAGCTAAAAAAGGCAATTATGAAGAAGCATAGACGTACAATCAAAATTGGAATCAATATTTGCAAAAAAATCCTCATATTAACAATAATTAAATAAATTAGCAGAAGAATTTAATTTATTAAAAACATAATGAAAAATTGTCAACTGCAATTAAAAATTAAGAAGTTCGCAAATAAAAATCGATGTGCTTTTCAGAAATAGAATAAAAAGGGAATTCTTTGAAATAAAATTCTGAACCTTTTAATTCAAAAGAGATAAACAATGAAAATTCAGAAAGTATTCTATTTGGAAATTCATAATCTATAAATACCCCTTTAAATAAAGAAAAAAATAGTAAAAGAATCGATTAAAATGAATACAAGCAATAAAAATTCGACACACCAGGTTCACAATCGAGCTCAAAAATTGAGTTTAAAAAAATATCATCAAACACTATTAGTACAATCGATTCAAATTTCATTAACAGAAAAACTAACTCTAGCCAAGATTCCAGCTCCTCTAACTAATCTGACGAAGATTAAGATTAAGCAACTTTGTATTTTTATGACAAAGGCTAATTTTGACTTTTTATTTTTATTTTTATGTCTTCTAATAAATATATCGAATAATCTCCAGAAGTCTTAAGTTAAAGAAGTTCATTTAGACATTCATCATTTAATCAGAGTGTTCAAGAATTCTCATAGTATAAGGAAAAAATGCAGGATCTTATGTTGCCAAATGTAGAATTTATAGATCCATAAGATTTTAAGAAACAAAATGAATGTTTTGTTTGTGTCATTGAATTTACTTAGACAAATAGACAGCATCATTGTAGGTAATGTTATTCTGTTATTACCTTTTAGAATGTGTGGAAGTTCCTGTTGTGGATAATGCTCTCAAAAAACAATCAACAAGAATAGAGTTTGCGATATCTGTTATATGAAAGCCTCTTAAATAACTGCTGAGAAAAAAAGGAACAAATTTTTACAATCTTTAAAGGATTCTGCAAAAAAATTGAAAAAACATATAGAATAAGCGTAAAAAAAGAAATAAGAGTTGTAGAATGAACGAGATGCTCAATAAGACAAATAATAGATCGACTTAAGAATATTAGAAAAGGAAACTGAGGACTATAGATTAAAGTATTCCCAAAAAACTTAAGATAAGTGTTAATATGAGCAAGAAGTTTAGGAAATTAAAAAGAAAATGTCAGAATTAAATGCTCTTAAAGAATAGGTACAGTAGGAGTGCTAAGAAAAAGAGCAAGAAATACGTGCTTATGACACTAATCTATATTTGAAGGAGCAAGAATTAAATGATAAAAAGACTTAATTGCAAAGATTAAAATAATAAAAAGAGGAATTAGAAATTTTGTCATAGAAAATTGAGTAAAATCCAGATATAGCAGAAGAAATAAGCATACCTGAATCAGTTTAAATAATATAACAAGAGAAACATTAACAGTAAATATACAATACTAATATTGACATTGATGATATTATGTATGGAAACACTGATAATAGTAAGGAATCCTTAACCTTAATCAAATAAGAATATCCACAACAATAGTAAAAAAAGTAAAGTTCTACAAAACCAAATCCATAGAAGTAGAAGGATGAAGAGGAGGGGGAAGAACAGTATAAATGTGATATTTTTTGATAAATAATATTAAGTGAATATTCACTAACTATCTAATAATTATTATAGCATTCCTAAAGTTTTTTGGAGTTAATCTTTTGCATTTTAATATTTTTTAAAGTCTACTTCTGAAATTGCTTATTATAAAATAGTTTTGATTTAGTTTCTCATTTAGGCTTATTCCATTGGTGATAGTTTGGTTGCTTAGGTTTTCCCTTATTATGCTAAAATTAAGATTTGAATGCTTACATTATGGTTGTGCTTGAGATGACATTTATTATTAATTTATTAATTATTATTATTATTATTATTGTAATAATTATTATTATTGTTATTATAATTGCTGTTATTATTACTAATATTACTATTATTATAACAACAATTATTGCTATTATTATTATTACAATTATTATTATTACTATTATTATTACTATTATAATTATTATTATTATTATTACTATTATTAATATTATGATTACTATTGCTTCTATTAAGATTACCATTACTACTATTATTATTACAACTATTATTAATACTACGATTATTATTATTGAAGTGAAGTTTATGGTGTTTCATTTTATGGGACCCCTGGTTTAATAGGTTATTGTATTATTGCTGGCTGCTCTGTTTGTTATTATTATAATTATTGCTGAGTAGTATTTTATTATTAATGTTATGATATTTAAAGTTATTTTTATGCAATTTATTCAAGCTCTTCTTCTATGGAATCCTTAGGTTTAGGTTAAATTAATGTTGGATCTTTCAGTTTTTTATGTTAGTCAACCATCTTAAATTTTGCGTATTTTTCTATAATATTTAAATAGCAATTACGCTTTTCCAATTGATCCTAATTCAGTGGTTCAAAGTATTGGAGCACTTCAATAGCCTTTTAAACTGATCCAAACATATGCATGAGTTCTTAGGAAACCTCTCCGTCTCTTTCTCTTGTGTCTGCATCATAGAAGAATTTATAAACGAATTCTGTATAATGCTTTTTGTTTTCCTCTTTATTTTACAATTATGGATTCTAGGTCTTTAAACTTTCCAATTCGCTGATCAATTATTACAGCATTTACATGTAATTCTTAGAAAAGGATTATTAAGAATGATACCTATTGCTGAGTCTTTTTGTAGAGTGCATGTAATCTTTATGCAACATAAGCTTTGGTTATGTAAGCAAAAGTAATGTTAAAAGTACTAAGTTATTAGGAGTGTTAGAGCAAACCTTGAATTTGCTTGAATTCTGGATTTTGTTGCATGAATTAATGAAAAAATATATGAATCTGTATAATTTGGAAATAGTATTAAAATTTAAAAATGGATGAAGATAAGCAAGAACCAAGCAGTGACCTTTAAATGAACCGCACAGAATCTTAGGCTGGATTACTAGAAATATAACCTCCTTAGTTAGGTTAATAATAGCCGACTTTGGAATTGCCTGAGGAGGAACAACAAGATGATTTTAGTAATTGCTATTTTCTAAGTATTAACTTTAGAGACTGCAAAGAGCGAATAGGTACAGGGAGATCAATAGGTGTAGGAAGGTCCATTAAAGAATGAGTCTCAGATTGGGACGAACTAGCAATCTGACATTCATAATTCATTAAAAATAAACGAGAACGTCAAGAACATACTAGAAAAATCAGTAAATTAAGATCCAAAGTAAATTGGGAATGATGAAACAAAGGATGATCCTCAAAACGTTATTTCAAATTTGATAGATGAAGGTTACTACCCACCTGATGATTGGCAGCCTGAGAAGCAAGAAGAGATACAACCTTATATACATCCAGATACAATTCAATTCCATGATTGTTTCGGAATGGATTCAAACAAAAAAAGCAATTTGTGGCTAATAGATTCACAAACTTTTGTGTATGCAAGTGGCATCAGTTACCATTTTTATAATTTTGTATAAGGAACAAATGAAACATTTTTCAGTAGAGATGGGGGTGGCATTGGAAGTGTTGCAGTCCATCCATCCAGGAAGTATTATTCAGTGGCAGAGAAAGGAACATTTCCTAATGTTTACATTTATGACATAAGTCATAGATTATATCGAATACTAATGAAGGGAACCGAGAGATCCTATTCAAATACATGTTTCTCCAAGGATGGTGATAAATTTGCAACTGTGGGTTCATCTCCGGATTATTAAATTTGCATTTGGGATTGGAGACAAGAAAAGATCCTATTGAAGGCCAAAGCATTCTCTCAGGAAGTGTATAAAGTGGGATTTTCTGAGTATAATGTAAATCAACTGGGTACAAGTGGAATGGGTCACATCAAATTTTGGAAAGTTGCAGAAACTTTTACAGGTCTTAAGTTAAAAGGAGAAATCGCAAAGTTCGGTTAAGTTGAATTGTCTGATGTGTATGCATTCTATCCATTCCCGGATGGAAAGGTGTTGAGTGGAACTGAGTATGGTCGTTTGATTCTCTGGGAAGGAAATGTCATCAAAGTAGTAATTGGGATATCAGAAGAGGAACCATGTCACAGAGGAGCTATAGAATCAATATTCCTATATAAGGATTGTATAGTAACTGGAGGTAAGGATGGATTTCTAAGATCTTGGAAATTAACAGAATTGGATCAAGCGGAAGGAGATGATCAACTCAATTATTTTACTCAGCCCATAAAATCCTTAGAGTTGATTGATGATGAAGAGAATGCACAAATTATTTAGGTTGTTATTGATGACCATTTTTGGTTAGTTGGCGATTAAGGGGGTAGAGTTTGGAGAGTTGATTGGGAAGCTGGCAAGACTTAAATAATCTACAGAAATAATTCAGGTGCTTATTTAGATCTTACTCCTTCGCCCTAGTTGAATGCAGCAATTACAGTAGGTGATGATGGGGCTATCACTTTATGGGACTATGTCAAGTGTGAATAGACTTACAAACGTAAATTTGCTAAGAAAGCTATGTGTATCTAATGGATGCCATTTACAATGACTAATAAAGGGAGAGTAGTTGTTGTTGGATATAGTAATGGTATTGTTAGATTTTTATTGCTCAATTAAAATAACTTCGCATTATTGAATGTGTAAAAAGTACATCCGAATCCAATTTAGAAAATAATTGTATCCAGCAACACCAATTATGTGGCTGCTTTATCGACTAAAGGTGAGATATTTATTCTCAAATATTCTGATTCCAACATCCAAGACATTCAAGCATATTGTTTATGGGAAACTAAGCTTGGTATCAATGATATTTGTTTTGATAAAACAGGAACTAAAATTATGATGGCATGCAAGGATGGATATCTGTATGAAGCTATAGTACCTAGCGATGTTGATAATAGTGAAAATTACCTTTAAGAATTTAATGCTACTCAATATTTAGTTAGAATGATGGAATCTTAAAAACCTAAGAAGGAGGATCTCGATTTTTAATTTCTAATGAAACTGAAGGATGACAAAATGCCAGATGTAGAGTGGGATCCTGCAAGCCTAATGAATGTTGTGTATTATGGAGATAAGGTGTTTTGTACAGCAGAAGGGAAATATTTAGGTTGTTGTTACATCATAGATCTTAATAAAGATAGACCAATCGAAATGATTCCGATATAAAAGATGTAGACTTATCATTTGGACTATAAAGATGATGTATTGACTATAGGATATAAAAATGGGCAGTGGGACATTCGTCACAAAACAGATTTTAATAAATAGATCAATAAGTAATCTCATGATATGGATTATGGACGTGTTCGTAAAATAAGTTTGACCTTTGATAGAACTGGAGTGTTGAGTGTAAGTGATGATGGAACATTCTATGTGTATAAGTTAGATTTCCAAAGTTTCTTAATGCAATTGAGTGGTACTGAAGTCCAAGATTTCTAATACCCAGAATTTACAATGGGTATCAACAGTGGAACATTTGTGGAAGAGATTGCATTTGAGGAGCCTCAAGATATATTGGATGATACTATATACTCAATTTAATAAGCTAAATTATTGGCTGAGGAAGATAATCGCAGGAATGAGGCAAATAAGAAGAAAGAGACTGTCAAATCCCGTATTTAGTAATTAAGAGAACAATTCTCACAAGTGAGACAGAAGAATCAGACAGCAGAAGAAGCTGCAAAATTGACTGAAGAGGAATTGTGTGTGGATCCTGAGTATAAGTAGATGTTGTTGGATAGAGTAGCTGAAGATGTGGAGGAAACCAGATTAGAGTTAGAGTGGGATAGAACATTAGCAAAAATGAAGGCTGATAAGCTGAAGACATATATGATAGATGAACTAGAGATAGATAAATTAATGGTTAAAGGATTCAGGAACCATGCATCGGTTTAGACATTCAAAGTCAAAAAATTAAGCAACTTCCTTATTGAATAATTGAAAGAGACTTATCGTTTGATTGATGAAGAACGAAAGAATCAAGAAAATTAACCTTAGATTGAGAATAAGATTTAAGAAAAAATATAAGCTCAATCATAAATCAAAATTACCACAGTTGATATGAAAGAGGAATAATAAAAGGCAACAATTTAGTAATTGGATCCTGATTAGAAGATACCATAGGCAAAGTTAGAAAGGGAGAGATTACGTTAGGAGGAGGAAAGAATTAAGAAGGAGTAGGAGTTACTTGAGAAATCAAAACCAATTGAATTGGCAAAGCCAGAAAATGCTCCAGATATTTAGGAAGCCATTAAATAATATGGGGATTATAAGTTGAAGAGTTCGCCTAATTTTGAAGTACCTGACAATTAGAGGATGAATGTCAGTAAGAAAAGAAAACACATTTACATGTTAGAAGAGTTTATATATAATACTAAATTGAAATTCAATTAATAATTATTAAATTTGAAGAAAAGGAAAGTGAATTTGATAGACAAGATAAAGAAATATAATTAGTCAATAAAGAAGATCAATGAATAATTGGGAAAGTAAGAACAATTATTCTAACCTGAGATTGATAAAGAATTGGAGGATCCCCATAGTTTTATGGAAATTAGTGATGAACAAATAAATGAGTTTATCAGTAAATTGTAATAACAATAATAAAAGAAGGATGAACAAAAGAGGATTGCTCCTGCTCAGATTTCCAAGCCAACTGAATAAAATTAGATTAAGACAAGAAAGGGTATTAGAGTTTAGTAATCAAGTATGGAAGAAGAGATGAAGACTATTCAAGATATGGTATTGAATGCAGAGAAATAAAGGATGATTGATGAGATGTAAGAAGAAATAGTGTAATTTGATAAAGATGTTGTTAAATGTTAAAATGAGAAGAATGTTCTTGAAAGTGATATGTTGATTGCTCAAATGAAATTAGTAACATATTACTAAGAATTAATCATTTTAGAGGATATGGAGGACTTTGATAATAAGTTAATAAAAGAAGTTTTGGATTTTAAAAAGGAAAAGTAGAATCTAGAATCATAAGTGGAGAAAATCATGGAGAATCTGGCAACACTATAGAAGAAAGAATAACAAAATGATAAAGATTTGATAGAGTAATTGAAGGCATGGAAGGAGTTGGTACATCCTGATGATGAATAGAAGAGAAATAAAATTCATGATTATTATCGTAAGAAATTCAAGAGGGAGATGTAAAAGAGATTGAAGAAACAATAAGAGAAGGAACATTCAGATTCTGAGGAGAACGAAGAAGATGAGGAAAATGAGGATGATAATGATGATGATATCGTATCTGATGATGAGGAGGAAAAGCCAGATATCTCTCCTGTTGAATAAGATCCTAAAGTTAGAGATGTAATTGAAAAGATATGTGGATTAGAAGAATAGTAGGACAATTTCAAATAGGAGAAAGTACAGAATGAACAATAGAAGTCTAAGTTGGCTAATAAAATTGCTTAGAATGATACCTATTTGAAGCGAGCGAATGATGATTTGACTTAATATTAGAGGAAGAAACTATAAAGAGTAAATCAATTGGATGTGAGTTTTGTGTTGAAATTATCGCAAGTTTAAAATCTTAATGATCAAAAGCAATTACCTACTGATCTGAATAAATCAATATTATTTACTGAATATGATTTTTTCAAACTTTGCAAAAGAATTGTCGAATTGAAACATGAGCAAGGAAAAATTACAAAATAAAAGGTTTAAAAAGATAAAACCAAGAAGATGCAAGAGAAGGAAATTAAATTGAAAGATCTCAAAATTGAAGATTTGAATAAAAAATATGAAGAGAAGCATATGCTCAAATTTGGAGATATCATTGATCTAAAGATACTTGATGCTTTGGAACCGACCAAGGCTGTCTTAGATATGAGAGCATAATTTAATTAGGAGGAGAAGGAGGCTCAAAGAAAGGTATCTAGAGCCAAAGAAGAATTGTCGAAAATGAAGCAATAATTATTAGAAGTGAAAAGAGAAAATACTAAGATATTTACAAACATTACTAAATTAGGAAAGCAACAAATGGATTTAAGTAAAAAGCTAACTTCTGGCAATAAATAATTGTTTAAGGGTGATAATAAGGAGAAAAGAACAGATATGGAAAGTGACAGGTAGAGTTTAGAAGATCTAGTCAAATTTTTGGGTAAGGAAATAGAGGACCTAAAGAACGAGATTGGATTATATAAAAAGAAAGGTAAATCATTTGAATATTTAATTAGGTGGACATATCTACACGAGCATTACATAAACGAATCAAAACTTAGTTTAAAGATGATTTCTATCTTATTATTAAAATCAAACTATATCATAATCTTCTTCATCATCCATATCCCATTAATTCTGAGCTGAAGGCTTGAAGTTCTTTTGTACATCGTATTTGTAATTCTTGTCTCCTGGTTTCACTGAATTCTTCTTATACATTGATTCCATAATCTCTTTGTGTTTCTTTAATTCTTCAGTGGTCATCTTATTTAAATTCAACTGATTATAACCCATTTTTTAATATAACATCTTGTATTACTCGTCTGTGATCTCATCTTCTGAGTCCTCCTCTTCATAATTTTAATCATAGCATTCTTCATCTTCATCCTCATCATCATCCTCCAAAACAGGTTATTTGCCTTTTTGATTCTTCATAGCATAATTGTACAAATCCTCTTCGGACATTCCATAATCTTCAATATCCTTCTGTAATTTAGATTAGGTTTTGGACATATTCATAGATGCTTATGTGGAGGAACTCAAGGGCCTTGTAGAAGATGTTGGTCGTTATAAAGTAGCATTAGCATTTACATTTGGCTTTGAAATTTATAACCTTTTTTAAATCTTTCCAATCAACTCTATTTATTGATGTGACATTTGCTTACCCAACAATTGCTTTTCTGGAATCTTATTATTCATAAAGTACATAGCGTGTTTCTTCTTCAAATATTCCAAAGCATGATTAATAGGAGTATCAGGCTTTAATTTTAAGAGTTTCATTTTATGATGATACAACTTCCCTGAGGATGGTTACAAGTATTCAACAACTAGATTATATAATATTGAATATCAACTGATCATTGGAGGATCAAATCTGATGGCCAATCTTTTAGGTTCCATATTTGATAACTTTTTGCTCTTATCTCCTGTGTCATTCTTCTTAGTTCCGCCAGTTGTAGCCTTTTAATTTATATCAAAATTATATGGGTCTTTTGCTGCGGTTTTAGCAAAATTATACATAAAATATTAACTTACAGATTTGAATTATAAATGGGTCAAAATAATTGTACTCCCAATATTCCAGGATTGGAAAACTGCTATGCGAGATACGAGTAAACAGATGAAAATAAATATCCTTATCTAGTAGCAAATAAACATAGATTGGCAGAATCACAAAACTCATAGATCTTTGAACTGTATCAAAAATAACAAGATCAACTTCGATGTTATCTGCAGACTTCTCGTTAGCTCTCTCAATCAACTAGACGCAATTACGAATTTGAAGGACGCTTTCTTAAACTTCCATCACATCTCATCTGTCACATCATGTATTTCGTTATTGACGATTACATCAACTTATTGCTTGTTAATACATTGTGGTACACAAGATTAAATGAAGCTTTTTCAAAGACTGTCAGTATAGTCGATGAAAAATTTTAACAATCACATTCCTTTTTAAAATTAAAACAGTCCAAAAATGCATTTCAGACTTTTCAATTCGGAAGACAGTAAGGTTTTAGATTGGATAGATTTCTGATTGCAGAAATTACTCCCGGGGTCGAAAGTAACATTTAATATTTATAAGAGATTCTATTGTTAAAATATCCTACACTTACAACTGCAAAGGACAAGAAAAAGCTTTTTGTTACAAATTTGGGATTCTGAGAAAGAACACAGTCAGAACCATTTGGATTGGAGTGGATCAAAGCACAGTAATAATCTATATCATATGGTTTAGAATATATATGATAAGCAAACCGTTCCTGTCATCTAGCCAGTGCTTCCCTTTTGTGTTGGAGACTTCATCAAAATTCCATTTACTCTATTGAACCTTCAGGGATAAGTCAATTTATAAAGTATTAGATGGAATAAGCCATTAATTGAAAAACTTGATGTTGGTATTTTTGGAAGTAATTAATTGAAACTAGAATTTATTAGATCCAAAACATATCACAATGTAACCACCTCTTAGATTCGAACCTAAAGATGCCGATTGGACTCTGTTTCAATACTTTGATCATCCAATGAAGAAATGCTTTGATAATTTCAAGCAGATAAAGTTGAAGGAGTGTAGATGTTGCGGTAATGGGTTAGTTATTAATCGCATGAACTACACTTGTGTTTAAGAGGGTCACCTTACGATTCCAGAATTAAATATGAAGATGGTTGTCAAACAAGGTTGCATTACTAATCAGGTAAATAGAGCAACTGTTAGTTATGAATTGGATAATACGTTGGAACTACGAATTGGAGATCTTTTAACTTTGTACTACCTAAGAGGAGGTGACTCCTGATCGATATATAATAAATATATTTATTGAAAAATATTAAATTAACATATATCATTAGATTATAGATTTATAAGATCATGACAATAATTCCAACTATAATAGAATTACAAATTTTATGTTAATCATAAATATTGATATCCATATTTAAAATGTTTCACAAGTATAGTTGATATCGAATATATTGATGGAATAATAAAACTTTGATGAAATACATTATAAAATAATTCGATTTGTTTGGCCATTATTATTTAAGCATAAAATGTGTAAATTGTTTATATGATAATATATATTGATTTATGGTTTCATTTTTGTTCGCCTTAATATTGTTTATAAGTATTATAATTCGAAGTCTCCTTTTATTTACTGCGAAAATCGTCATAAGACTCAATTTTATTAAATACTATTTTATTGGTTTTCTACAGATTCGATTAATTTTAATTGTATTCTCCTTGAATTTGATATTTGTTAACTGGTGGATAATTATATTGTGATGTTTTATCTTACTTCATAGCATCACCTCTAATTTTGGAAATAATAAATACTAGAATTGGTATTATGGATTTGGAAAACCTTAAACTTGGTTGATTTACATATTACTAAACTGAGCGGGTTAATTTGTGCTAATGTTTTACGGTTTCTTGTTTAAATAATAATTTTCAGGTTTGGTGGGATCAAAATCCATATTTTTCAATTATTGGCGAGAATAACTGATCAAAATTTCACTCTTCTATGGTTATGGATTTACTTGGCTTTCATTCGGATAATTCATCATAGGAAGATAAAAAATAAATAATAATAATTAAAGCTTGATAAAGAATAGAATTTAGGAAAATGGAATTGACTATTTATTCGAAATAATTGGATCTGAAGTACAATGTCAACATTAGAAAATCAAATAAGGTGAAGGATATTGGTTTGAAACTCTTGCATCAGTTTGGATATCCAAAAACAACAAAGTTCTCAATTTATAATGAAGATAAATTATTGGAATCAGAAAACTTACTTGAAGTGTATTCTCTCAATAAATCATCAAGATTATCAATAATATTTTCAAATAAATTTGAAATCACTCTTATTCACAATTTTTTCGGGAATAAGGAAATAACTATAGAATCTTGGGATTAATTTACACAAATCAAACATTAAATATAAAGGGAGTATGAATTCTCTTAAAGCTGTGAGGTATGTCTAAGAACGAGCAACCAAATTTATTGTTTGGAATTTTTAATTATTCATGATAACATACATAGTGCTACAAATATTTAGTGGGATGCATACGAAATGTTAAAATACGTATACTAAAACACACAATATGAAATGAAGATTGACATCTCTGATGATTGGGACATGATCGCTAAGTAGATTAAAGAGACTCAAAATATTGATAAAATTATTAAAATCGATTTCTTGGTAGCTCAAAGCAACAAATCGATTGATCCAACAGAGAGATACTATCAATCGAAGTTCTCTCCTGATACAATATTTGAAGTGACAACTCCTGTTGAAGTCACTCTGTAAATAGCATACCTGGAAGCAATAATGATAATAAATATTAAGTAAACAGATACTGTGAGAGATTTGATTAAAGTAGCAAAAGATGAACTCAATTTGTAAAGGTATAGACCATTTGAGATATGTTATTAAGGTAATAGATTATAGGAGGATTAGAATATTTAGGATTTGAATTTAATTTGGAACTCCATGCTGGAATTGAGATAAGAGAAAATAGATAGCATTCAAGTGCAATTTAAAAATCAGAAATACAATTAACTAATAGTGAAATAAGTTAATAGTGATTAACTATTGATAAGTGTTTTGAAGGAAATAGCAAATGTCAATTGCAGAAATTGTACAGATTTCAAAGTGACTATCAATCAAAATGAGGTTGATTAAAATCAGCCATTCTCTGAACTGCAGATCTCAAATAATTAAGTAATAGAATATGAATGCGACGCAATTGAAATTAAATTTATAATTGGATTAAAGACAATAGAATATCATGCCAAGAAATCACACACTATCTAAAGTTTGGAATAGGAAGTTAAAAATAGATATTAGGATATAATACCTGCTAATTTCTCTATTTATAATAGTAATGATACTATTTGCACTAAAACAATTGAAGAAATGGGTCTGAGATTCTTGAATGCGAGTTTCACATTTCTCCCATTTGGTAAATTTGAATGCGAAATCTAGTTTGATAATAAAATCGAAAAGGTAGAATGTTTTTATTATAACACCGTGGAGATGTTAGAGTAGATTATTGCTAATAAGTATTAAATAGAGGGCAAGGACATTCAATCTTTTTATGGGTATTAACCACTTAACAAAGATGAGAAATTAAAAAACATTTTTGTGAATGATAGGTTCGATATTGTTATGCAAAAAAAAGAATAGATATAGTTATACTTGTAAAGTATTGATGCAAGTAAATAATAAATCGTGAAGATTAATATTGATGATCCAATTGGGTTGGCATTGGAAAGGGAGGGATTAAGAAATATCAAAGACATTTTCTTTGACAATAAAATTATAGATCTCAACAGTAATTGCCAATAATTACAGATTGCCCCTAATTCAACTTTGATTTTTGAATTGCTTTAATGACTTTATCTTGTAAGAAAATCAATTGTTTAAGGTTTAAGAAAATAATAGAATTATATATAAATTTATTATTCTTTTTGATCATTCTTATTGTATGATAGAGGTTACCTTCAAGATTGACCAATTAAAGATCAATTTATCCTCGACAGTTAATCCACAATTATAGATTGTTTCATACGTTCGTAGAATATTGCACCCGATTGGAATGGACTCCATCAATTGGGAAAACATTTCATGCTTTGTTACTTACAATAACTTAGTCCAAGATCGCAACAAAACTTTCATTGAAGCAGGAGTTACAGATCGTGGGGTTTTATAAATTAGACTTTCCTTGCGTATTAGTATTGAGATTGTCAATAAGTAATTGCAATTCTAGGATATTAATGTTGATGCATTTGAAAGTACTTAAATATTTAAGGACTTGATTATTCGAAATTACCTGAGGAACACTCCTTATGAGATTGGCATTTTCAATGTACAGGATGGGAAACAACTGGAGAAAGATACCTGGATTTAAAATGGCATAGGAAATTCTATTCCTGTCTTATTGAATATTTAAATTAAGTAAAGTATCAAATGGAAGGGAGAAGTCATAGATATTAACTTCAGCATATTTTCACCAATTTACAAGGTTATTCAAAGCTTTATGTATAAACTCAACATCAATGGCATCATTTCCTTTTAGTGTCAGAATTCACTCCTCAAACCAGAACTATCCTATTTCAATAATAATCTCCCTATTGATGCTGTATGGCAAGCAAGTATTCCTAATGAAGTGGTTTATAGAGTCCTCTATTAAAAATAATCAAGAGAAAGACAAATAATTTTTAAAAAAGACTAATAGATTTATGAGATAATTAAGATATTAAGGAAAGAATTCAATATCACTAACCCAAATAAAATCACCTTGATGTATCACTGGCCTCTGGATCGATTTGCTACTGTTGCTTCAGAAGCCATACCAAATTTTAGTTTGCTGAAATTGGTGGAGGAAGATTAAAAAGGAGATTTGCAAATAATTTTATAGCCTATTGGTGAGAATTCGCATGAATCTTCTTCAATTCATAATGTTCGATACGATACATCACTTGAAGATTTATCTTCTAAAATTTAGCATACATAGAATGATGATGTCCACTTTTTTTTGGAAACATAAGATTCACAATTGCAGCCTAAATCCACACTGGACTAAATGAATGCCTATTATGGTTGCACTATATTATATAAAGTTGTGTAAAAGCCAAGGCCTAGAATAGTAACAGTTCAAACCCAATCAACAACAAAAAAGTTTGGGGTTCTAATAGTTAATCTCAACATAGTTATCAATGTTGATATTGCTATAGAAAAAAATGATCTTGAAGCTCTGGCCGAAGTATTGAGATATAAATTAAGCATTCCTAAAAACTAAATAATTTAATTTTCCCTGGGTACCAGATTATTTTAAGAAAATTTGAAACTCGAAGAAATCATGGGCGGCAACTTTGAATACTTGCAAGCACTATTAAGTACAAATTTACAAATCAAATTCAAAAACAATAAAACAGAATAAGTGACTACACTCGCAGTGAATTTGGAAGACACTCTTACAAAAGTGAGTTCGAAATTAAAAATGAATGCTTTATACTCGTTTGAAGGTAAGTAATTGGGTGGAGATGAAACCTTTGCTTAACTAAGAATTCAGAATAACGGTGTAATTTTGTATGAAGAAACACCTACTCCACAAGACTAAGCTGAAATCATTAATAATCCTTCGGTTTAAAAACCTTTATTTATAAATGATAAACTGCATGAACCTTCAGAGTCTATGAGCAATGAATTTACGAATGAAAAAAAGATACCTTAATAAATACCTAATTAAGTTTAGCAAGATGCACTTAATAACAGCAATAATGATTAGATCACGGTCAAGGCCTCTGTCGGCGAGAAATTGTATAGATGTAGGGTGAAAGGAAATTTGACTTGTGAAGAACTCAAAAAGTTCATTTATGATTTAGCAATTTAAGGCGATCCATTAAACATTAAGTAGTATAATCTTCTGCAAGGGGACCAAGTTCTAAGGGACGATCAAACAATTTCTTCATTAAACTAAAAGGAAGTTGAAATACAATTTAGGCTAAAATGATAAATTGTTTGATTTATTGATATTATAATATAAGCATTCTATTGAATAAAACATTAAAATAATTATTAATGCAAATTCCTGGAGATTTTGAAGCTTAAATTAGAATCGTCAATGAACAAATGTCCATTGATTAACCACAGATGGAATAGGAAACCGAGGATAAAAATAAAGAACAAGAAGAGGAGTTGACTGAGGAGCAGAAGGAGAGAAGAAGAAAAATATTGGAAGTCCAATTGGCCAATAAAAGATTATTATATAGTATACATAATAAGGACATGGAAATCTTTAGGGTTAAAAAAGAAATTGAGGATCAGAAATAGTTATTGGCTGATCTCCAATAACAAGAATTAGAATATCAATAGCAATCAAATGGTATTTATATATAGAGGATAGAGAATCTTAGACAATTGTGAAAAGTATGCCCTCAATAAAAGCAATTCAACTTCAAATGAACAATTATCTGCATCTAACAAGGAATTGCAAATCCTTAATGATTCCTATCTATCTCACAGGGCCTTAGTCTCGTATGATACATACTTGAGAGGAACCCTTAGGGAGTAGGATCGAAAAATATATGAGTTGGAATTGAATAATGCAGACATTAGTGAGATATCGGCCAGAATTGAAAAAATAAATAAGGAATACGAAAGAAACATTCAACCTCTTGTTGTTGGAGACTTTAAGACATAAATAGATGCGGACATCAAGAGTTCAAAAAATTAAATAGATGCTTTGAGAAACTAATTTAAAGAAATTGTAGATGATATTGTGAAACTGCATGAAAAACATCTAGATAACATAGACATGTATTCAACCTTACAAAGACAATTATAAGTAATTCTATCATATATATTTCTTTAAGGAATAATTGTTAGCTAATGAGTAATTAGACTATGAATTAAGTCAATTAAAAAAGAGCAAAGAACAATGTTGATTGATATATATATATTTGGTTACATTTAATCACAATCATTCTGAATTTTCAATTATTTTAAGATTATTCTTTCAGTTTGGATACTTTTAGGATTAAATTATTAATGCAAATAATTTAATTCAATATAATGATTATAATTATAATATGTATTTAGTTATTCAAAACAAATTGCCTAGCCATTGCCACATATTGTGATTATCCGAATAATTTGGGACAGAAAAAACAATCTACTTTTTAGTAACTGGAAATAAATGATCCAAAGTCAATGAAAATGCATCATCAAGCATTCGAGGAATAAGTCCTTACAGTAATTGACTGGATTCTTCTAAACAAGGATTTGAGTTAATTTCAATAAGCCAAACCTTAAAATCATCATCTATCATATAGTCTAATCCAAATATCTCGAAACAGTATCTCCTTCCGAAAAAATTGATTTTCTTTCTAGTCGATTGGAATGCCCTAAGAGAAATTTGTTTAATATTCTCTACTATCTTAAATGATATATAATGTTTGATTACCAATTTGTAGAAGTCTCCTTTACTTTTAAAGTATGCTGCTGCTTAATCAAATGATAACTGATTTCCATCTTCCAATTTCCCATAATTTGGACTCTGCTTTTATATAGCATTATTGGTTAAGTGCACATATTAATTTTATACATCCTTGGTAGTGTATTCTTCAGATGCCATTCTGATATATCCTTGTTCGAAAAAAAAGAATTCAAGATCTGAGTTCAGTAATCCCCAGACTCTGATATCAAATTTGCGATTATTAATTAATAATGGTTTTTCCAAATATTTTTGAATGACAATTTATTTTGATCTAATGATTTTGCCATCCTTCTTTTATTGCTTGCCAGTGATATATTGATTAAGCAGATGAGCCATTTAATCCAAATCTTTGATCACATGTATACCTCTTCCACAATTATATTGTGTTGGCTTCAAAATCCATAAGTAATCATTGCCTAAGAAGGTACTAGGGATCTTAGATTTGTTAATTTAAACAAACTTATCAGTTATTTGCATGTAAGTGTTGAGATAACGTCTTATACTATAAAATTTATTCTGCGTATCGTTCAATTTAATAGATGAGGGAGCATTGCTTTCGTAATATTAAAGAAATTGTAATAAACTCATATCTGCCTTTTCGTTAGTGAAATCTAAAACGAAGGTTAAAGGAACGAAAGTCATGATATCTATTTGGTTTTCCTATTTAAGTTAGGCTGTACTTCACAATAATGTTGGAGATTCTTAAAGAGATAGCTTTTCTATGATATTTCTGAATGAAACTCAAAATGATTGACTGCCTACTTGACCTTATTGCCTGATACAAGTTTATCATACTAATACCCTTTTGAATACAATGACCACCTAAAATTTATTGATGAATCATTCTTATTGGTTGTGAACATCCATTCATTTCGTTTAGAGAGCACCCTTTGAACTACTTAGTGGTTGTTACCAGTTCCTAAATAGTATATGTAATAATTTTGGATTAAGGTTGGCAATAATACAACCTTCTTTTAATCACTACTTTTTGCTCCCTTAGAGACGACGAGTGATTGAGTTAGTTTTGATGAATCCTTGAGCTCAATATACTTGGATGGTTAGGCCATTGCTAATTTTTTTGGATTATTTAATTGAAGCATCACCGCTATTTAATTTTACATGAATCTCATGTAACGAGCTGAATCAATCTGTTGAAGATCCTTCACTTTTAATTAGGGTAGAATCATGTTTATTATATATATGATAATAATTGATCATGTAAACTTCTTCCATGGGTTTTCGAAGAAGGAGTCCTTGATCAAGTGATCATAACTCTGCCCGTTCCACTAGAATTTCTCCTCCCATTTCTTGTCTTTCTTATTTCTTTTCTTATCCTGAGAGTACATTTCCTCATTTTTACGAGTATATTCTTTTAAAAAAGGAAATTTATCCATAATTAATAAAAGTAATCATTTGAAACCAGGGAGAACCTTCGGCTTGCCCAATTTTAACATCTTCCTCTTATTTAGGTACTTCATCGACACGAACCCCAGTCTCAAATAAAATCTATAAACATAGTTAAAAAATCAAAATACCGCATTAAATGATTACAATCTCTACCACATCTCTTATGGAATGCTTACATCTTATTCACAAATCTTTTGAACTCACTAAAATTCAACTAGCCATTCTTACTTTGTTGGATAATCATCTCCACAATATCTGGAGCCTTATTTAGATTTCCAAACATGGTCTCCATAATTTTATCATCCACTTCTTAACCCAACTCGTATCCTGGAGTCCTGTTGATTGCCTTTTGAATAATTTCCTATTCGTTCTGCTCAGGTGTCTCATTTATCATTTGATCATAGAACAGTTTTTCTTCCTCCTCTTTTTCTTCCTACTCCTATTACAATTTATTTAAAACTAGATCATCCTTTGTTTTATTCCTAGGAGTGTAATATTCACGAGGAGAAGTGGTTTAGGATTGTGTAGCTATTGTTGTGTACATCCTTCTATGTTGCTAATTCAAATGTTTCTCCTCCTATAAGTCGTAGATTTTTTATTTCAAAGATTTTCTCCTCTATATATTCCTTTGTTCTTTGAATTGACTATTCTAAATTTAAGTTGAATTTTATTCCTACTCAAGTTTCAAACTTTGCATTTTGGTTTTGTGTATTGATGATGATGGAGAGGGGAATACATTTGTCTGATGACATGACTATTGATTTCGAGGAGATGGTAGGTTGGAATTGGTGGTTGATTGAACTGGGGAATTAAAGTTTCCTTATCCCATGGTTCCAGCAGAATTGAAATTAAAGGTACTACTTGTAGTCAACTAATGTTACAAATTCACCTTACTATTGGATCTTTATTGTTATAGCTATTAATTATCGATTTACTCATTTTCTTATAGGGAATTACAATGCTTTTCAGTCTAAAATAGAATTGACATCATTGTTAAATCAGTCTAAACTTATTAATCCTTTAAATTTAAGTCGCTTTATTTTACTTTTTATTACTTTTTTTCTGATTTAATAGAACTCTATCTGTTGATATTTTAGGATGACTTTGCTTTAGATAGTGGGTAATGAGGGGACAATTAATTTAGAGAGGATACGTTTCCAGAGTTTCCAGTCTTTAGAAAATCCATTTGATTAGTTAATTATCCTAAGGAGTCTTTCTTTTTTTAATTACTGCTAGCAGAAGACATGTTTCTACTACTTGGAATTTATTACTAATATGATTATTATTCCGTTGGCATACTGACTTTGATTGCAGGTTTATCATTACTGGTTTCAATTTCAAAAGAACTCTGCAATTAATTATTGCTAAGAATATTCTGTTTAGATTTATTCTCTAAGTTTCTCATTGATAATGTTGGATCTATATTGTTTGAAATTTAACTGTTGTCTATATTGTCATTTTATAATAAATCATTTTCTTCAATATCCTTAATCAAATCAGCCAATTCATGTATTTGAGAACTAGCTCTTTATTCCAAAATAAATTGCATCTAACTTAATCTTCTTGTTTGATTGTTTCCATCTAAAACATTAACCAATTTAACTAGTCTTTCCATTTGTTAAGTCTTCTTTTAAATTATGAAATTGTCTTTTGGGGTTAAATGGTTTTATTATTTTTATGATTATTATAAAGATAATTCTCTGCTTGTGGTTCTTGGATATAATTATCCTGCGTTTCCTAAGATTTCATCATTGCTGCTAGATGAAACTTACCCCCTTTCATTGTCACTATTCTTTTTAATTAATTTTGAATATTCTCTAACCATATTATCCAATTTTTATTTAAATTCAGACTTTTCACCTTCAAGTTATTAGAGCTACCCTTGCATTATTTTGCATTGCATCTCTTTCTAATTATTAATTATTTAGAGATCTAATAATTGGTTATCCTTTTTCTAAATTTCATTTTGTATCTATTCTAGTTTGTTTTTTAATGCCATAATTTCATTCACATATTATGAACAACGACAATCGTCTTTATTTTTATTTGGTTTTTTCTTTTACTTTCCCTTCATTTCATTTATCATTTACTATTGCTTTTCCTTCTCTTAATGTTTTTACTTAAATCTATGAATTATAGCGACTGCTGTCTACTATTAGATATGATGGATATGTTATAGAAGCAACTAAACAGCGTGATCATAATTTTGAACACCTTGATTCTCCAAATTCACTGACTTCAATAGCTATTCCAAGTTGAGCTTTTTAAATTGAATGTCTGATATAACTAAATCCAATTGCTCTGGCTTACCCTGAAACTCAATATCTAATTATTTTTTATTAGCCAAGGCATCACTTAACATAGAGATGGTTTCATTAGTGAATTCTAACCATTCTCTCATTTCCTCTTCTTTTCTCAAAAGATCGTTTGATGCATTCTAACAATTTTAATAATAGTCAATGATAGTGCTAGTACCTACATCTTGATAGGTTCTTAAAGGTTTGGTCCCTTAACCTTTGGATTTATAATCACTCCAAGGGATTTGTTGATAATTTTTGATTTGTTTTGATGTCCCCAAAGAGTCGAAAATGTTAACACTTCCTAATTGGAGTGCATTGATAAATTCAGGGATCTAAGGAGTCAACAAAATTTATTTGGGTTCAGGATGGGGTTTGATTTGAGATTGGGCTGCTTCCAACATTTCTCTAACGAGATTAAATAATTTGTCCATGATATTCCCAAACTCAATGCTGATTTCTTTCTGTACAATTATTACACATTCAGAAAACACTTCATAGCATTCAGTTTCAAGTTTAGAGTTGTTTATCTTACTCCTTCTCTAGAAGTGATCAACGAGACTTTACAATCTCTTAACTTAATCTTCCATATTTTTATAAGAATGTTGAAATAATATAATCATTTTATGCTACCAAACAAATTAATTATTCAAGTGCCACCTATTTCGCTTTCGAGAGATCTCATGATCCTCTGATGGAGACTGTTGATAGAACTAAGCATGTGTTATTCGAACTTCAAGAGAAACAGGAGGTCCTTGGTCATTTGTTGTTTGATGTTATTTTAGGATTGGATGGAAGTTTGCATTAATTTAAGTTTTTCCTTGTTGTTCTTTTTGTCACTCTTTGAAAAGGAAGCATTGGGCTTATGCTATTGGAATCTATCTAACTCAATAACATCATCATCAAAGTTGAAAGAGATCTCACTGTCGGACATTTTAAAATAATAAGATTGAAGAATTTAATAGCATATATTAACATCTGAACTGTATGGTATTATTTAGGTTTATAGAATATGGGGATGAAATCACTTTTTAGGCAAAATCCTCTACAATTTCTATTAATCTTATTAATTGAACAAAGGAGCCAATCTGGCAGCTGTTGTTGTTGTTTGTACTTCTGTGACTGTTCTTGACTTCATTCTATCTTGTAATTGTTAATGAGCCTATTGAATCTGATCAATTTGAGACTAAGTTTCAAATACTCAAATACATCATTTCTGCCAGTCAGAATTTTGTCGTAGAAATCTCTTAGTTCTTTACTCTGTTGAGAGCCTCGGGCAGACACTGGCTGTTAATCAGTAGTAGGAGGAGGTGGTTGTTATTGAGCTGGTTGCTAGTCCACCGTCCTTTGAATTGGTAGGATGGGTCTGGTTGCAGGTGCTTAAGACGACTTCTCCTTTAGTTTGGTGAAGAATTCCTGATCGTCCTCAACAGTCAGTTCCTCTTTTACTAAATTCTATTATGATATTGGGAGAGAGTCTTTACTTTTTTCAATTGCACTACAGGCACGCTCTCTTCGTATTTAATGACACCATTGGCCAATTTAGTGAAAGTGCTCTTGATGATGTTTATGTCATCTTGACCCAGGGGTATGAAGAGACTTTCGAAATCTGATAGGTTTTTGTGTTGTGATGTTTCAAATGGCATGTTATACAGACGATGCAATACATACTCGTACATTACCTTGATGTTGATCTTCTGCTTCACAGAAGTGAAAAGCAAAGTTGCACCATCTTATTATAAGTATGTTAACTCTTACAATTCACACAAAATTAACGTAAACAAAATTAAATGATTTCTGCCTTCTAATCCCAATCCTTCCCCTTATCATCTCTCTCCAAGATGTCCGATTTATTCACCATCACCATCAAAGGTATTCCCAAATTTGTCTTCAACAAACCTTCATGCGCCTAACCTCCATCCATCTATGACATATATTGCATCACTTGAATTATATATCACACTCATATTACCATTCGCTTTCATCTCTTCCAATTCGTTCAAACTCAATCGCAGATCAGCCATCATATCCTACAACACACTAATCCATCTATCCAGGTCTTCCATAAAGGTCCAGGGCTCTTGCATGTCCAGAGCTATTACAACAAATGTATTCTTGATATTTTTGTGATTCAAAATCTGAGGTAACAAATACTTCTGCCCCTCTTCTTCTAAAATATACACATTCAGACGAGCATTCGTGTTGTAATCAGGGTCGCGAAGGTCTATCAAATTTAAGAAGGCATAATCCACTATTGGGGTAATACCTTTTTGTCGAATAGCATCTAGAAATTACTATTAATCAATTTACTCTTGTGAGTCTTCGTTATTTCAGCTAAAGAATCTAACAAACTTCTTTTTCCACTACATTTCCTGCCTAAAATTACCAAATTCTTATTTATGAAACCTCCCTATCTACTTTTCTCAAATAATAGTTAATTCCAAACATTCTCTTTTTTACTCATTAATTTTAATATGGGCAATTGTAAATCTTGTTCTCAATAACCATCACCCGAAATCAATTCAGGCGATATAGAATAGCCTGGTATTCGCAGTGATTCAATACGCAAGATTAGTAATCTGCTCAATGAGTTTGAAACTTTCCAAATTATCAAAAAGACTTCATATTCATATATTTAGGATGCTGCCTTCAGGAATGGAAGAGTCATTGCAAAGAAATTGATCAATACACAAGGGACAGTGAAACCTATTAACTTATAATAACTACATGAAGTAAACAAAGGGTTGGAATAGTTGAAAGCCCTTGCAAATAAATAAGATAAATGCAAGATTGAATAGTAAATGAAATTCAAATGTGGTTTGGAATTAGGAGATAAATTCCCTTCCATAAAATTCCACATGCTACTAAAGGGAGAATCCTAAACACTAGTGCTGAAGGAAAACACTTATACACTTATTAAATCTTGGGGTTAAGGTGAATAGATGGTCAATTTCCAACATGCAATAGAATTGGTTGAGTCCTTCAAAAATGTTCCGTTTCAATTGATTGGCTTAACCAGAGGCAACGAAGAATAGCAATCAGTCTACGAGGAATTAGTGAGATCCAATTCCGGATGGCAACAACATGAGCACATCTATGTTCTTGCCGAGGAACCTGAAAATCACATATTCGATATCTTTTATTAGGAATAAGCCAATGATATCGAGGAAGGATATCTTGCAAGTGCACTTTTGTTTTACGGTTAAAATTTAATTTGGAAAAGATATACACTGGAGTGGGACATATCAGCTGATTCTGACGAAGTGGCTTTGGAAGTGACCAAACTTATAAATTCTGGAGTCAAACAATATGTAGGAGTCAAGGAAATGAATTTAAAAAGCACTATAAACAAACAATAGTATCTGGAATTCAAAAGATTTATTCTGCAATAGCAACAATAACAAATGTTTACCAGAGGCTTAGAAGTCGCTATAAATAAAAAGACTATCTATGGCAAGGATAGTAAGCAAGTTATTTATGAGAAACCAATCATTCAAGTGGCATGTTCACCTAAGTCACTATAAGTAACAGAAAGTTTCATCAAACCTCTTTAATAAAAACCAATAGTTTGGGACATTTAGATTTTGAAGAAAATGCTATCTTAAAAAATTAGAGAAAACAATCTCAATATCGAAGCTTCTTTGGAAAAGCAGATTAAAATATCTATCAATTATGAAAACAGTTTGATCCAGATTCCTAATTGGGAAATGGCTACACTCACTCCTTATTATAAATCTACACAATATATCTCGTAAGTCAAGCAATGGATACATGCTAGAGATAGTATCCTAAGTGAAGTTTAGAATTCACATGACCCTGTGCTGTAAAGAGTTAACTAAATGATTTATCAATTTTTCAATAATATACCAACTGTTGAAAAAGTACTTAATCAACAATATGGCAAAATCCCATATGCAGAAAAACGTAAGCCTCCATATGAGGAGATGTCATTTTCGAAGAGTTTGGGAAATGAAGAAATTACAAGAAAATAAGATAAATTATTATTTATTTTATTGATTGATTATGAAAATGATGACACTTTGGATATGTTGAAGAACTTAATAAAATATAAGAAAGAATATTTTATCTAACTGCAAATTGCTGTATTAGGACACATCAGAGCGGAGTCTTGGACCAAACTTTTCTAAGCCTTCATGGAGAAACATAAATTACATGAGGATGCCTTAGACGGCACTATTGAAACATGGTTCCCAGTTGAAGACAAAATTGGATCAATTTCATTTAGTGCTATTCTCAGTAAAATGTATGGTATGTGTTTGGAAAAGAGGGATTGTATGTTAGTTGATTTGGATAATCAAGTTCGGGTTATTGATTCAAGTAGAAGGATTATTCCTAAGATTTCTTAGATTTTGAATGATCTACAAAACAAAAATTAAATCTAAGAGTAAGAATCTATGTAAAATATCATTTTTAACTAGAAACTATTTGAAATCCTATTAGCAATTTAAGAAATCTATTCGAGACAATCCATAATTGTAGGAATTGACTCAGAAAATAAAGGAACAATGCAAAGATGATGACTGTTTGATTGTCTACGAGTAAAGAAAAGCCAAAATTTGGGATTTTGAGGGTTCAAATTTGAACGAATCTAGAAAATATTAATAGCCTACCAAAATTCTCAGATTGATACCGAAAACATCAGAAATAGATGAATTCACTTAAATTATTTCCAATTCGGATTTCTTAAAGTTGAAATGATTAAATATGCAATATATATATATCTAAAAGAAATATTGAATTTCTTCTCATAATCCTTTTTCTATCATTTTTCAAGAACTAATTAATTTGAGAAAATATCAAAACCCTAATATTCTAATATTCGAATAAAATATTATTATCATAGCAAAAATCGATTTAAAAAAAGTAAATATTACATATATTTATTAATATGATTGATTCAGAACAAATATACCAAAAGAAAGGACTTTTGAATTGATTTTCAATAAAAACCAGGCTAAGTTTTTCATAAAAGTGGAAAGTTAGCTTAACAAAATAAATTCCTCAAATGTATCAGCTTTAGTAGTTTGAATATCAATTTAATTAAAGATGTCGACAATTGAAATAAAATTAATTAACTGTTGATTGGAAATAAATATTTTATAATTCTAAATGGGCATTTGCTGTTCTGGGGGCTAGAATCGTCCTAAATAGAAAGGTGAACATAAAGCGCAGAATATAATCAATGTGTATTAAGAATAGCAAAAATAAGATGAGTTCTAAGAATTAAGTGGAGAAATTTAGGAAATTTTAGAGATGTACTTGAAGCATGAAAAGAATTCTCCTTAACACAAGTCATTAAGTGAATCAAGTCATTTAAAACACAGTCTTGAAATGCCTAATACTCCTTATTTCAAGAACAACACAGATTCTGAGGACTAATTTCATTTTCTTAGATAAACTAAATAATTAGAAGAAATTAGCATAGTAAATTAAATTTAAGATTTAGGAAGCGCTTGCCACATAAAAGCAGTGATTACTTACCAGCTGTTTAAGAAATTAATCAAGAAAAATCATAGAAACAAAATTTGATAAAAAATCACAAATTTTAAAGTAAATGTCCTATATGTTATAATGATCATATCTGGTTTCATAATTGCAAATAAGATTTCATTTATTAAGATGAGTTATTGTTATTGTGTTAACAATGCAATTTCAAGACTCTTATAACAGAATATGAGTTTGTTTGTCTAAAAACATCCGAAAGATTTAAATTCACAGCAAATTAAATTAGAGAATTCTTTGTCTGATGGCATTTTTATTTATTTATTTTCTTAATTTTCAACTTGAAAGGCAATCAAATTCTAAAGTGAATCAAATTTCATAACACCTTATTATTTAATCCTTTTACTAATCATATTTTGAAAAAATATTCATTTATTAATTTTTGATAATATAAATTAAATGATAACTTCACCTTAAGAGATGAGAATATTATCGAAAAGATTCTTTGGTAACAAGATCATAGATTCCATTGTACTCGAGGAGATGAAAGAATAATATTAAAATAAAGAGAGGATAGCAAGTATCATTTAGAGATGCTATCCTGAAAGTTACAAGTTATATTCAGACTTAGGTAAGAAAGAAATAAATTAAATATAAAAGATCCTTAGCTTTTAAGTATCTTCGTTCAATATTTTTTGAACTAACTTAATTTTGTGATTGAAAAAAAGTATATATTTTAGAGAGCGACATGTTTGTTGGAATTGAGTGTGCATTTATTCAATATTTCATGGGAAAAAAGGTGGAACAGAGAAAAATCATTTGAAGAATTCAAACAAATAATTGTTCGACATTCATTATATAGGTTGTTATTGATTTTAATAAGTACAGACCACCGCATAATGTTTATATATTTAGTTTGGAGAACTTGAAAGAGATTTCATCGCATTTTCTATCTACATTCTTTAGATTCTATAGAGCCTACTTCTTCACATTCACTCCTTGGGTTGATATTGTAGTTACAACATATCAGAAACATTAAATTAAAAAGGATGTGAAGGATTTAGAGTTGGAGAAGTTGAGATAAGAGGCAGAATAATATAATGATCAGATTGATCCAGAAATGATGGAATAATTAATGAGTGGCAATTCAATATACTAGATTCCAGAAAAAAAGAAGAGGGAAATGTTAGAATAATAACAATAGAAGGAAAAATAAGAAAGAATAGATAGAGTGCTTAAAAAGAGATTAGAAGAATTGTAATAAGTGTTTGATTAAAAAATCAAGGAACAGGATGAGCATTTCATTAAGTTAGCTGAAGATTTAAAAAACCCAAAAAAAAAATGATTCATAAACTATAAATATTTTAAATTTATTAATTATTAATCATTTTGTACTTCGTTCTATTATTTTCTATAGAAATACTCAAATCATTAGTTAATTTCATTAAGGAAAGCAAATTATAATATAGTTTGAGCATTATTTACACTATTATATAAAGATTTCTAAGTTTTCTTATCATAATATTGTTTTCTTTCCAAAATATATAACTAATTAACAATTGTAACTTTTTAATCTCAATATAAAGAATGATATCATTAGTTTTAGTTTAATTTTTTATAATTTAATTTAAAAATATATTGATTTTGGAGAAAAAGTTTAAATTCTGAATTTCTTATCATTCATAATTGTTATCCTTCATATTAAGTATTTTTAGATTGCTTCTATTTTTATTTAAATCTAAATGAAATTAATATCACAACCAGTGCACATAATGCAATAATTCACAAGGTTGCTTATTATCAATGATAATATTTAAATGCAGTTGCCCTTTCCGTATTGATAATGATAGAATTACACTAAAAACAGCTGTTGTTTATAAACTTTCCTGATCCAATCCTAATATGACTGATGCAGTTCTCAATTTTGAATTGTTTATAATAAGTATAAAAAGTAAATAGAAGATATTAGCAATCTTAACAAAAGATATACTACACATCTTCAATAATTAGGGAAAAATTCAAATGGGATGAGTAATACCAGGGAATTATATTAAATTTTATTTTACTTTGCCTATCATAAGCTTAATTGAATATATAAATATTTATAGCCTTTTTTAACACTCTGAAGGTTGTACACCAAGACAGATAGATTCATAGTAAATTTTATAACATTCGTATGCCTTGATTGTTATTAAATTCCTATACAAAAATACTCTAAATCTCATTAGCAAAGGGCGGAAACAAAATATTAAATATTCAAGAGTATTGTTGATTTTTTAAATTAGGGTGGAACACTAAAATATGGAATTTACTAGGGATAAACTACACTTCTGGGCATTTGTAGAATTTTGGAATTGATCCAAGAGAGAGATGTGTTGGATTTGGTCGATTATAATAGAGTAATATATTTGAAAATTTATACTGTGGTTAGAAATTTTATTCTCTTGTATTTTATTATAAGATAGAAAAGATATGATAACTTATAATGATGGTACATAATATTAATAAAATTCATTCATTCTCATTAATCAGAAAGCTGTGAATGAAAGTTACACAGATCTAAGGGGAATATATGAATATGATACCTTCCATTGATCTTGGCATCTTGGAAATGTCCTAAGACACTAAGACTGCATCCTACGTCAGAATAGAGTATTTTGCAAGAGCTTTGATTAATGAATCTATGAATTATAAAATATAGTACTTCATGTTCTAGATAGGGGTCATACATCCAAAGTATTAATACATCTACTCTATGGTGACACCAGTAAGACCTGTAATTTAGATTGCGTTGGACAATTGTTGAGTAATGATTGCTTTTCTCTCATTGGGGGGTAGGGCTACTTAACGAGCATCCTGGGGTAGTTTTTCGGAGATCATCAAAGTCATAGGCATTCCCAAAAGAAGGCCTTTGTTGAGTAAGTTTTTGACTCGATTTGCTTCTTCTTTGGAGGCCAATTGGAGGAAGGCTCCATAATGGCTTTGATAGATGGCATCTACTCTTGTGACTGTACTAAAGATGTTGTACACCACTCGTAGATTGGTGTTGGGATGCTGCACTACCAAATACGTTGGTAGAGGAGTGGGAGTCATTAAGAAGGGACTGCTTTACGTTTGAGGATGTGGAGTGAAAGGACTGGCTCCACAGGAAAAGGGATTGCTGGACTCATTACAAAAGACTTCGTTGTAGTTGTCATCGGAATGGACAGATTTTTAAGACTTGGGCGACTATTCGGAGGAGATGCTTTCTCCATCTGAGAACTCCTCTTTGTCGTCTTCAGACGATTCCTCAAGGATTTGTTGTCTTATGGAGTCAACGGTGGAGTGCTGAAAAGGGGAGGGAGAGGGTGTTGTGGTTGAAGATATGATCTATTTTTGTTTCTTGCCTTCTCGTTGGAGCACGGAAGCGTAATTGCGTAGTTGTTGCTAATACAGGACGGTGAGCTGTTGGGTTTGATTGCGATACTCTTGGATCTACTGGATGAGGGAAATTTGTTCTTTTAAATCAGTAGTCTGATTGAGCTGAGTAATACATTGATTCAAAATATCAAGGTTCTGTTGTAATTATTAATTGAGGGAATTTGAATCTTCCTTCAGTTGTTGGAAAAATTACTATTTGGATTGAAGAGTAGTGTAATCTTCGATGTTTAAATAAAGTTATACCTACGCCGCAATTGTTGTTATTCTAAAACACAAGGGAATCTCGTTAGCTAAGGTGGACTCTCATTTTCAGTTAGTAATCGAAGAGAGTACCATCTAAGATAAGTGCTTATTGAGCCTGTTGGGCTGTTTCGTATTCGATGAATACTTTCCAGATGATTTTTCTTTCGAATATTAGAATCTTAAATCAATGAGAGACTATAAATACCTTTTTAACTTATCCGAAGACAGAGAAGGTTCTGAAAAACTGACTATGTTCAAGCACTTTCCCCTATTTATTGGTGACCAACACCAAAATCACGGGGGTTGGTGAACTAGGTGATGGGGAATTCTTGTTCATTAAAAAAATAATAATTGATAAATCTAAATTTTACTTTTCCTTTTAATAGTCATTTTCAAGAGCTTTTTACTTTTTTATTGTTCTTGCGATCTTCAGCAGGATCTTTCTTGTTCTTCTTCTTCTCCTACTCTTGCTCAGTCACATATTGAGCTACCAAACTATTCACTATGGAAATCATAAAGAAGCCTATCATAAGAATGATGAAATAATCCCACAATTAAGCCAACAAAGGTTTGGTCCCTTCTTTGAAAAGAGAAGGATCTCTTAATTGTTATCTCTGCTTATCAAGTAAATCACTTAAAAATTAATATATAAAGGGAATATATTTTTGGATCAAGTTGAGTAACGCTTTGACTGGTTCCTAAGAGAAAACAAACACAGTCATTGGCAACTAAAAGAGAATACATCAAATTATCTAAATACCTGAATGTGCATTTTTATGAATGCCTTTCCCAAAACAGTTGCTCCGAAGAAAGTCCAGAAGGAAATCAGAAAGTGACCGCACGTGATACCTGCCAAACAAATAAGGGATTTGGAATTGATGCACATAACATCACAGTAAGGAATGCATTTTTCTATAATTTATTGTAAATAAGCAATTTCATTCTATGCATAAAGGAATCTAAATATTAGATAGATAGACAATCTTACTTTCATCTTTTTTCTCCAAAAACTTCATCCAACTCTTCCAATTTCTTGTTAGCCCAATGCAGCAGCTCTGGCAACAAAATATGGTGGCAATTCACCTAATTGCGGTACCAATTCCAAAAAGAACTGTCTCAAAATACACCTGCCTTATAATGTCAAACATAGTAATGCCAGTTGCTTCTTTTGGACATTCCACATATTGAGTAGCATATTTAGATGGCACAAATAAAGGTAACGCATTGCACTCATAAGCCTGAATTGTTGTCTTAGCTATATGAGGACCCAAGTACAACACAAATGTGTGCAAACCAGTTCCCAAACCCACAGATGACATGATTCCCAATACTAGCCAATATAACATAAAATATGCAATTTCATCAGCCTGTCTTACCAACTAAACAATATTCATATTTAGATTATACTCCTTAGTGTTCTCCTTCCACAAATCTAGGAGCAATCACAACCAAAGTCAAAAATCCAATGATGTGCCAAAATTTACTTAAATATTTTACTGCATCTTTGGCATAATTAAATAAGACTATCGTAAACAGATACAAAGTCTTTATTGGATTAGAAAACAGTGTAGGGGGTTCAACCATTAATTATATTATTATTATATTTATTTATACATTCAATGATAGAATATTGATCTCAATTATTCCTCTTCCTCCTCTTATGCCTATAACTTTGCTTATTTCTCCTCAATGGCTCCCTCTATTACACTTATCACCTCGTAAATATCACTGCTATAAACCATCTACTTAAATTTCAAATATTCTATCATTCTATTAACATCATTCAATTCATCTGCATAATTAAATTATTCAGCCAGTCGTTTACTCAAATGTTTATTCACAGCATTCTATAATACATTTCCAAATGTATAGGCCTTAGTCGTTTTCATCCAAAACTAATAGGCGATAATCATGTCAGTGACTCCGAGCATAAAAGTCACAGGCTCCATCACATCCCAACCCCAAACCACATATGTTCCATATTGAGTAAATGCTATTTGCATGAGAATGTAAAAGTAAATCTAATACAAAGTAGTCTATTCCTTCATTTCCAACTCCTTTATGATGGAATCCTTCAAATGAGCTAACCGATTCTATTTGCCTTCCAGGAATGAAATCTACTCATCAATTACCTGCTTCTGTGCCTGAGAGTATATACCCAATTTCATTATCACCTTCTTTATTATCAACATTATCAAATCCTTATCATAAGTCAACTCCTTATGTTTCTCGATTTCAGACAATAGTTTTTAGATAAAATTGCTCAACACAACCTTTGTTCTTTAAGGCACATCAATTTCTTAGAAATATTCATGCAATGCATGTTATGTGATTGGATAGTTATCAATCAAATCAATTACCGGAGGATTATCTACTTTATTAAGTATTATGTAGTTTTCTGTCTAGTTCAATCTTAAAACCATGTCTTCTGCCAAAACCAATTGCATGGGCGTGGAGGATGCATATTCAACTTATTCATCATTCGTTGTTTATTAATATACTCCAACACTCTTCACATCATCGATCTATTTCCTGATGGCCTATTGGAGTTCAAGAACAGTCCCTTCAGCTTTGATGAACACCTTCTTGCTGTGGAAGTAGAAAAATAAAACTAAAAAGGTTGCTATTAAACAATGATACCCTCTTACTTGAGATTAAGGTTTTTACTTTCCTCTTATGAAAATCTCTACAACATCAGAATATCCTAGAAATTGTACCTCTTTAATGAGCAAAATCTAAAGAGACTTTTTAAAAGCATAATTTAATTATTATGAAATCAGCACATCTCAGCAGATCTAATGGACATTGGACACAGAACCAAAACAAACCCTAACCATTGCCCTAAGATTATGTATTGATCCTGTGAATCTAGTCACTCTACTTGAAATATTATCCATAATAACAAGAAATCCTAAAGTTAAATTAAAGACTTTAGAGGGATAAGAAAAGATCAATCAAATAAATCAGCAGAAAAGTTTACATCACTTAAAACTCTTTTAGCTACATAGTCTTATTTGTTTTATTACTCACCTTATTGTAAAGATATTTCAACATTCTTATCTTGGATAGTAACAGAACATAAGCATTTATATAAAATCATTATATTGATTGAATTTCTTTGTTATTAGATATGTAAAATTGCTTATAATTTTAGATTAAACATAAACCAAGATTAAAGAATATCTAAATTATCTAACTGATACCTATTGTATCTTAATGTAGGTTCTCAAAAGTTGAAGCAAATATAATAACGGTTTTATTTAATTAAGCAATAAATGATAAATCATGCAACGAAAATTACTACTTTTAAAAATTCATCAAAAATTTAATAAGCAGTGTGGCTCATTTATTCTTAATTAAATTTATTATGAGATATTATTAGAATATGATAGAAAGATATAGAATAAACGCCATTATAATAGGATAAATTTTAGTTATCTTAATGAAGCAATAATTGGCACTTAAATTTGCATGTATAACAAACTAATAAGTTCTTAACTTTCTAAATTAGATGCTTATTAAGAAAATCTTAATATCAAATTGAGGAATTAATGAATATGATAAATTTGCATTCATTTTGCTTTTCAGATTTATATAATTATAGTTGAGCAAATAATAATATTCATTTGAAGTTTAATCATTGGATGATAGATAAATGAACACAATCAGAAAATTCTTTTGATTATTCTCAAAAATTTGTAAACCTTGAAATATACAATATAGAAGATATTCAGGAATTAACAAAATCAATAATTCTAGAGTACTAGAATCTCATTGCAATTTATAATTATAAACGAGCATACGATGAAATAAGAATAAGAGTGCCAATTATTGATTTATTTCAGATTTAGGAAGTGAGAGAATACATAAAATAATAACGATTTGTATATACCTAATTTTGGAATGACAATAGTATTAATATTGTTTTTTGAAATGATTAATAAAATTAATTATTTTATTAAATATGTCTAGAGAATCATCGATTTCGGAAGGTGGAGGATGGGTTTAATGGTTTTGTGCAATGGAAGATCATCAATTTTTGTGTGAAGTGGATGATGAGTTCATAAGAGACAACTTCAACTTGTACGGTTTGAAGAGCAAATTCAATTTTTATAAGTATTTTTGAAATGTAAACATTTTAAGTGAAGCTTTGGACTTGATTCTGAGTTCTGAAACACCTGATGATGAGGATTTGGAAGATGAAAGATTCTTGGAAGTATATTAGGAGGCCACAGACTTATATGGTTTGATTCATGCAAGATTCATCATAACAGCCAAAGGTATTTAGAAATATGGATGAAGGTTTGAGTATGATGAAGGAGAAGTACTTGGGAGGTAAATTTGGAGCTTGTCCAAGAGTGTTATGCGAAAGATAGAATGTTTTACCGGTGGGGATGAGTGAGGAATTACGTACTTCAAGAGTGAAGGTGTTCTGTCCTAGGTGTGAAGAGGTTTATATTCCAAAGAAGAAATGTCCTGATGTTGATGGCGCCTACTTTGGCTGTTCGTTTCCGTCGATATTTCTAATGGTAAGTATTCAATATTGAAGGTTTTTTAGAACTTCATTTAGGAGATTCAAATTCCTGCAAACAATCAGACTTATGTGCCTAGAGTGTTTGGATTCAGGATTTACAAGAAAAAGGGGTCTCGTTATTAGGATACTCAATAAAAGGTGGCTGAAATCACTCATTATTCTGAGGAATAATTGAAGAAGTTGAGAGGGAAGAATGATCAACAAGCAAAAGAGGATTATGTTCAAAAGTGAATTAGTGTTTTTGTTTTTGTTATTAAAATTTTTAAATCTTTTTTAAAATAAATGCCTAAGGAAGTTCAAGATGTCAAGGTGTTCCTCTCACTCATGAAAGGTAGCGAAGCATAAGGAAAAGATGCTAGCAAAGAACCAAAAAAGAGTATGAATTTCAATTTATCCATTCAGACCTCTATATCAAAGAGTCAAAGAAGATCACCAAATTCAAGTTGAGAGGCAAGAAATATCTCTTCACCTTCAAAACAGCCGATAAGAATAAGGCCCAAAAAATTCAATAAACACTCCCATAGAGTATGATATTCATTCAAATTCTTAGATGTTAATAAAATTGTTATCGGTAATGGAGGAAAGAAATAATAAACCAAAAAGAAGTAAAAGAAATGAGCACTGATTTATTACATATACAGTACATTATTTGGAGCATATTTAATATAAAAGAGTTTATTGCAATCATCGAAATACTCTATACAATTCTTTTTGGCTTTCTGATTTCACTCAATAACACACAATTTATTAAATGTATTTTGAGAATCAACAATCTTAATTATACTCCATTATTCACATAAATTGCACTGGGATTAATGTGAATAATGGTGGTAATTTAGTTCTTTTTGCAATAAATTTTAATATTATAAATATACAAATAAATCATTTTGGTTGATTAAGTCTTTTCTTAATTTCATCAGTAATTTATTCCGAGGTAGCAGATTTGTCAATTAGTATTTAAAGTATTTCATCAGCTGAATATCTAAGTTATATATTGACACAAAGTAATTTTTCAATCATATGTCTTACATATTCCGGTAAAATAGTTAATTTTAATTCTTTCCAAAATTTGCTCCAATCCTCATTTTTTATTAACTTCCACCAAGCATCCTCAGTTGATGGATTATTTGATTCAAAGGGAGGGTGTCCTGTAACCATGATAAAGTAAACCACACCCAAGGAGAACATATCACATTTTTTGAGATCTTATGGAATATGCCAAATTTCAGGTGCTGTGTATCCTTCACTTCCTGAGATTGTAGCTTTGGGAATGGGAGTGGATCCATGGATTTTAGAGAACCCCAAGTCACAGAGTTTAACTTTGAAGTCTTGAGAGATCAGTAAGTTATCTAACTTAATATCACCATGGGTAATTCCTTTGGAGTGAAGATAAGAGAGAGCTTCTGCAATTTATAGAATGATTCCATTTGCAATAGCAAGGGGCAAAGGACCTTGGAGTAGTATCTTGTAGAGGGAGCCGAACGGCATTAATTCAAGTAACATACAAGAACAATCTGAACAATATCCAATCATTTGGATTACATGCGGATGTTGAATGTGGCGAAGGATTTGGATCTCGTTCTCTTCAAAATATCACTTTATAATTACGAATAGGTTGATGGCATTCTACTCAGTTGTCTGAGCCAGACATTTTAATGCATATTGTTATTTAGTTTGTTTGTCCATAGTCAAAAATACAGTACTATCATGGCCTTTGCCTAATAATTTGGAAAAATTGATTTAGTAATTTGCCGCAAATTGCTCTGGAGTAAACATCAGATTATTAATCATTTTTATTAATATCACAAATTCCATTCAGAATGCTTTAGTAGCCATCATTCTTCCCAAAATGGCATAAAGATTTTCATCTAACAATTCGTCAACCATTCAATTCCAGATGTCTTTTAGGATCCTTCCTTCCTGTATTCTTTATTTGGTTACCTACTCTCCCTTTTTCGATTCATCCTCAACTCTAAATGCTAACTGAATTAAATACCAATTAATTTGTAATACTCACATCCCAATTTTGACATCTCCTCAACGCATTATTCATTTCTATTGCTATTTTCAATTGCTGAATTGCATCTAAGTTTACTTAAGTCAATTACTTCAATCCCTGTTCTTATATAAGTTCTGGAATAATCTTCTACTCCAAATCATTGCAATTAAATTTGATATCGATCAAATAATAGTAACTATTGAATTCATCTCAACACTGCTGCTAGTCCAGGTTTTTGAAGATGGCAGTATTGGAAGTGGTCTGCGTGGTTCCTATTGCGTGATCATAATTTATTAGGGAATCAGTCTAAATGGGATCGATAACAACTGCAATAGATTTCTTATTTAACTATTCATATGATTAATGTGTATTGATGTCGATTGGAGAATAATTGGCATTACCACTTTATAACCATCATCCATATGATTAATGGGAATGATGCCATCCTATGCAATTTTCATTCTCCCAGTTAAATTGAGGTGTTGAACCATTTTTTATTGAAAAATAGGATTGACAGATTCAACAGAAACACAGCTGCCAATTTAGGGCATCAAATAACATCATAGACTCCGATGTGATAATCATCTACTATATCTCACAATAGGAGACCAATGACTTCGATGAGGATGCCTGCTTTAACATGCTATCAATTGTTTTGATGCATTTACTTTGAGCATTTTAATTAAGGCTAGAGCACTTGATTGTATCTTAATTCAGCAGTATCTGGGATGGTGGTTTCTGGAGGTACATTTTGATGTGCTGCTCCTAATTGTTACATTAAAGTCTTGCAAATTGATATGGAAATACGAATTTGAATAAATATAAACTAATACTGATATTTTGATTAAATATGTTAATAGTTTTGGGGGGAATTTAAAAATTTAAATTATCAAAATTTGCAATTTGATTGGATTTTTGTTACTTAAATATGTTCGATAACATTTTAAATATTTTAAATATAAAGCAAAAATTAAGCGCAAAAAATGGCATAACAACAATAGGTTTAAGTTGCCGCAGAGTTTAAATTAGTTGTCGTAGGTGATGGAGCAGTTGGTAAAACAACTTTTGTGAAGAGACATTTGACTGGAGAGTTCGAAAAGAAATATCTAGGTACTATTTTATTTGAGTGTGTTTTTAGCCACATAAGGAGTCGAAGTGAGCCAAGTTATATTCTACACAACTCACGGTCCTATCAGATTAGTCATCTGGGACACAGCAGGACAAGAGAAATTAGGAGGACTCAGAGAAGGCTATTACATCGGAGCTAATTGTGCAATCATTATGTTCGATGTCACATCAAGAATCTCCTACAAAAATGTACCCAAATGGCATAAAGATCTCACCAGAATCTGTGAAAACATCCCCATTGTCTTAGTTGGCAACAAGGTATCTAATTCCTATTCATTCTCCTTTAGGTTGATTCCAAAGACAGAAAAGTCAAGGCAAGATAAATCACTTTCCACAGAAAAGTCAATATCCAATACTATGATGTCTCAGCCAAATCTAATTATCAATACGAAAAGCCCTTCTTATATTTATTGAGAAGATTGGCCAAGTATTTAACTATCTCTATTCTAGTGATACCAACTTAGCCTTAGTCTAAGCCATGGCTCTCTTGCCTCCTGAAATCCCCATTGACCCAGAATATGCAGCTCAAATTGAAAAGGAAAGATAAAATGCTGAAAATCAACCATTACCTGATGAGGAAGATGACGAATTCAAATGATGTTTCAATGTTCATACAATTATCATAATTTAATATAACATTATCCAAACCAATAATCAAATCACTCACTCACATCTAATCGAAAAGTATCCTTAAATTGATGTATTCAAATTAGTAAACTTAGTAATAAAATCGAGATTTCTCTGTTATTAAAAATATATAAAAACATTATTTATGTAATAATTGGTTAAAAAGTTTAATACAAAATTACACAAAAGAGTCCAACAATTCTTTTACCAAGACGACACAATTCAGATTGATGAATTATAAGTTACACAAGCTTAAATAGCAGAAATGGAACAAATTATACCTCCTAAAGATATTATCCTTGACTTTTCAAAAAGCTATTTCCATTAGATTGATCAGAACCTTGAATTAGCTCCTACTACAAGCACCATATTCTATTGTTTTTTGAGTCTAAAGAAAATAATTGAAATTCCCAACAATCCTAGCTATGATAAAAAATTACTTGACTTAGATGAAACTACTTTAAAGGAATCCAATGACGGTATTGGTGAATCTCAAATAGAAAAAGATCGCCTTTAAAACTCTTAAGAATTTGTTGCTTAAAATATGTCTTTTCAAGCTAAATGTGAATATCATACTTAATTATTTGAAGCAATTCACTTTTTTGTCTCAATTATTCAGGAGAGACTGTCTGTGGATACTGATTTCATGCAAAATATCGCCTTAGCAAAACCCCTGCTCTACGATATTACTTAGATTTATTTAGTTTATTATTTACGTCTTTATAGAATTAATATTGAAGCGAACTCACATAAATTTTTCTTAGAATATTACGAAAGAGGATAAACTCTATTCAGATTAGCATGTCTTCATTTTAATTAATATCAAACTCAAAACCTATTAAATCTACTTTACAATTTTAGAATAGTAACAATTTTAGCCATCATTCTCTCAAATAAATTATAATACTTATAAAAAGTCATACAAGATTTCTTAAACTATCACTACTCGACTTTGGAAAATATGGAATCACTCTTTAAATTTGAATAAACCCTTAAAAGTACAATTTTTGAATATTGCTTAAGTGTTTCAAATCAAAATATGTTCCAACAAATGTTTTAAGAAATATTAACTTTGGATCAGAGGTTTATCAACAATTGTTACATCCTAGAATTGAAATGGTTGTTGTTTTCTAGGTATCTTTCATCAGATATTTTGGAAGAAACGAAAAGATCACTAATCGAAGATTATATAACAAATTCAATGTAATGGAAAGATTAATTTCTATAACTAATTCGATTGGGTTCAAAAAGACTCTTATTTTTCTTTATCAACATAGAAAAGTTCTCAAATTCTAATGCGATTATAACAAAATGGTAGGAGATAATAATAGACATAATTAAATCTTGTTTTAAGATTGAACCAAATTAATAATTTGAAGAAGAGTTCATTGAACAACTCTTTAAATTTATTTTGAATTCCTTATAACATATTTTAAAATATAACCAAAAGAAGAATAAAAGATCAAATAAAATATTGTAATTATTGGAAGATTCCATTCACCATCCCTTGGCTAAAGAATATAGATTTTAGAAAAAATTATTAGACATTCTCATCCTTAGTGATTTAGCATGTTATGGTGATAACATTGAAAATTATATCTTCAATTTTGTATCTCCATCGTCTTTCACTTTTGATCCCATCAATACAGCAAAATATATTTTGATTTGCAATTAAAATGCCTGCAGGTAGAAAATAATAAACCATATTTATTATTCAATTGTAAAATATAAAAAAATGAGTACCATGGATCCAAAAATAAATTTATGTCAAGTAATTCAATAGCTGCATTAAATGATTGCTTTCTTTGAATAGGAGAAGACTGTCAATCAAGATGTCAAATTTTTATCATAATAGATAAGATTCGCTTTAAGATCAATTCTGACGATTTTTGTAATTAGTGATGAATCGATTTAATAAGACAATACAAATTCTTTACTTAATTAACATCCACTTTTATTTTTAGAAAAATCGTTTTAAGAAATTGAAGTACATTTTGATGTTCCCTCAAGAAATACTTTTGATCTCTCTTGTGCTTTGCATATCTCATAATATTTGAAGAAAGTCTTAGATTTTGCAAATTCAACGCAAAATTGCGAATTGGAAGATTTATATGACATTTTAACATGCCAGCTCAAGATAATCAAAGCAATACAAAAGTTTTTGCTACTTGATAACGATATAATAGCACTAAATCAATTCTTTGACAATATTGATTAGTCTCTGTATAAATTTATGGTTAAGGTCTTAATATAAGAACTTTCAGCAACTCAGATGAAATTTATTTTTGAAAATATCATCATCTTAATATTTGAAGATCGAGTAACTAAAAATTTGAGTAGCATAAATGAAAGTATCCACAAATACTTCAATTATCGTTTAATGAAAATATTCTTAAGCATCATGTTTGAATGTGAATTACCAGCTGAATATAAGAAATAAATTGTGGATAGAATCTATGAACTTGTCAATTATAATATCCTTTAATTTTCTTCAATTGTGAACAAAATCATATTACTCTTAGCCATAGAAAAGAATCAAGGATAAGATCAAATAAGACAAAAAATGATTGAAATTATTCAGCTTATTTGTGGAACAAGCTTGTCTAATATATAATTAAAATCCCTCCTAAGATTATGTTTTGGAGGTTCAAACAAATTGCTAATATTCCGCAATTAAATACCTGATTATTAATAAAGCTAACAATTAGCAGATTCAGTCTTTGAAAATGACAGTGATCTCATTAATATATATTTTGAGCCATAACTGAAACTTGTAGATAATTATAGTTTTAAATAAGGGTTATCAGATTTTCTATCTATTTTCAACAGCCTTTTGGAAGAAAAAGATTCATATATACTTTTTAAAGATTTTAATTCCTATATTAATTTGCCAATCCAATTCCCTATTACCAAAGGATTTACAATCTATTTTGAAATCCAACTTAATAATCAAGGATTTTAAGAAGTTAATGGATTCTAGGAGTCACAGGAAATAATAATTCCTTAGGAAATTAGGTAACAATACTATGAGATTGTGACTTTGTATTCAGAAAAGATTTTCAACAAAATAAGTGGAGTTAAAATTTTAATTTCCCAGAAATGTGTTTAGATAAGATAATTTAAATTTGTAAATAAATAGGAAGCTTTAGTGCCAGTATTCTAAAATTACGAAATCAATGTACCAGAATCACTCAAATATAATTACTAAATAAATTACAAAAATGGATCTTTTACTGTTATTGTTAATGGTAAATTATGCAAAAGTGAGTAAAAAAAACTAATGGAAATTAACCAGATTGTTTAAATTGATTTGGGGAAGAGTATGGAATCAACATGTACCCTTAGTTATATCTTTGCAACTCAATAGTTTGATTACGAGACTAATATCTTTAGAGGGAAAATGTTCAATTTCATTCTGACTGATCAAGTACAAAACGAATCCATTTTGGAATCACAAGTTAAAACTAAGTAATTAATTAAATTTTCTAAATTTACTAAAGTGGTTAACCCTTTCGTATTGTCGGATATGGTTGTACAAGATCTATTTGAAGTCAATGATACTATTTAATATAAAGAGATTGAGACGCATAATAATCAAATTAATTCTATCTCGTGTAAACAAATATCTAATGTGAGAGATATTTTAAAACATAGTAATATTCAATCTTTAATATTACATGTATTTCAAGAAATTTTGAATTAGAAATAAATGAAAGAATATGAAAATTAAATATCAGATCTATTAAGTATTTTACTAAATAAGATAATTTTAAGGGATGAGGAAATACTGAAAGTTTTCTTTAAGGAGGAGTTCAATTTATTTATCTAAATACTTAAACAATTGACTTCAAAAGTAAAAATTTAAAAGTTACTTTAAATTTTAGAAAATTTTAATGACAAACTAAGTGAATCCTATCAACAATATTACTCAAAATTCACCAATGAAGTTATATATAATTTTTAATTTTTTGAAAAATTCATAGAAGATGAAGTCATATTAAATAATTATTTTATGAAAACACTGTAATAATATTAAATCCCATTCGAAAAAGTAATAGACCAAATAATTTAAAATTCAAACTTCTAGATTGTTACAACAAAATAATTTTTTTAATTTTTGAAATCTTACATAATTTGGCCTTTTTAATCAAATATCAAAATCAAACACGAAAACCTATTTTATAAATTTGTCAATGACATGCAATTGTTTGCTAAGCTCTTTGAATATCAAGATTTAAGTTCTGATTATCTTGAAATTATTGAGCTATATTTTAAGATAATTAGTTCAAAGTTTTAGTAAGCCATGAGATCAAACTTGAATAAATACTCTTAAAATACGTTAATAATCAACTCAAAGAATGATATTTTGTATCTTTCTGCTTTATTGAATGCGTGTAAAATGAAAACATATTAAAATATTAATTTTGAAAATGGGAATTTTATTTACTTACTAATTCATATTGAAGATTATCATAAAGAAAACCTCCAATATAATCCAAATATTGTAAACTCACTTATCAGCGAAATATTTTACTTTAGAGATTCTCTAAGAAGAAATCTGAACATTATTCAAACTATAATCGAAGAAATTAAAAGTGTGAACTCCCTCTGCGCGATTATAAATCTACTTGCTTATGTTTTACATGATAATATCTAGATACTTAACAACAAGTATAAACCTTCAATAATCGATTAAATATGCCTAAAGTTAACATAGTAGCAATAGGATCTTCTTGAAATCTCAAATAATACTATGCTAGAATTACTTTTTGATTCCTTGCGTTATAAGGATCTTCCAAATACTTCTCAAGAAGTTTATGTACAACTCCTAAAATAAAAAATAAGCTGTTAACATCTCAATTCAATTGATTTAGGGAGGTTAATAAAAATATATTCTCAAACACCTGAAATATTTTATCGGTTATTACATTTTATTAAGAATTCCATATAAATTCAAAAGTTGCTAAATTAGGTGGTCATATTGGCAAACCTTATTAAAATGTTGAATATCATAAAAAAGGATTGCTTTGCCAAAGATCAAACCTTTGAATCTAAATAATAATGTTCGATCTTGTTAAGTTTCTACATAGAATATTTTTAATAGAAGAATTTCTTCAAATTCAATTTAAAAAAAAAGTAGAAGGAGAATTAGCAAATAGAAAATTAATTAAGTTGTGGAGGGCTATTTGGACTCTTCGCTGAGATCTTCTGCTAAGCATTAAAAAATTAGTCATAAGAATTTGTTATTGATAATATTTTAAAGCTTTTACATGTCTATAAAGAAGAGATGAATAAGAAAACGGATGATTCCTTTGTTCAGGAATTATATGGGTTATTCAATTACAGTTCAGACAAAAATGGAATTAAATTTCCCAGTATTGTGAAAGTTTTTAAAGATATTAATCAAAATGCATCAGAAGGTCAACTCAAAAAGATATAAGAGGTTATTAGTTAAATTGAATAGCAATAGGAAACTTAATTTAAAGGGAATCATGATATTGTTAATTCAATGCTGGCTGAATTTAATAATTAAATTAAAATGATCGAAGGCTATCACCTTTAATTAGAATAAAAATATGAAGAATATAAGAGGAACACACTAAAATTCATTGAAGAGGATTCATCAAAAAGTATAAGTACGAATACTACTTTTAATATGTCGTTAAATGTTATAAAGATTAAGGATGAAGAAGATTAAAAAGAATCATCAGTTTAGTAAACTTCACAACTTAATTTATATATTGATTTTAATCTTTGGAATAATTTCATGAATTTAACCTCTTTAAGATAATTTATTAAAGGACTTAATGAAGAGATTTTATGGAACTAGAAAAGCCAAAAAAAAAATTATAAAATTAAGTGGAAACACTCAAATCTAGTTGATTATGAAAATAAAATAATTTTCAAAAAATATATCTTTATGAAAAATTAAGCGAATGATTAAAATAAGTTGAATTCGTTCAATCCTATATTTGAGTCTAAAAGAATTAGTGTGAGTGAAGATAAGTAAGAATGTAAGGTAATTATTGGGACTTTAAAGAATATTTTGGATAAATGTGAGGAAGTAAGAATAAAAATTATGTAATCTGGTATTAAGTTTTTTGATCCATTTAGAAATGAGGAGATTGTAATAACGAATTAGAAATGTAAGGTGACTATAATGAAATATCAAAATTAAGAGAAAAGCTTTTTGATAAAATAATTTGAATAATCTTATCAAAGTTTTTACTTTCTAATAATAAATGAAGAAAATCAATTCAAATAATTGAAGAAACATTTTTAAAACCTGGATTTGTTAAAAACCAAATCAATTTCTGAGATCAAGAAGAATTTAATCCAAAAATGGCAATAAGGATAATTGTCAAATTATCAATATATCTATTTAGTAAATTAGCATTCAGGTAGAAACTTAATGGACATAAACAATTATTTTATTTTCCCTTGGACAACTGTGCATTTAAACAATAGCTTTATAAAGGTCAGTCGTTAATTTTCTTAAAGTATTTTTAGTCAAAAATAGGCAAAAAACCAAGGATATTTCTACTCAAGTGGAGCATAATTATATTATTTTTTATCTTAAGGATAGGAGAGAGATTCAGTAAACCAAACTCAAGTAACAAAGTCCATTGAAAATTCCATAGCTGAAATGAAAATAGATGGGAAAACAAATTTAATTAAATTTATGGATGAATTATAAAAATTAGGGGAAGCAATGCCTGAATTTTATTCTAATCCATAGTTTTTTTCAGATTGCATATTGCCAAATTGGGTAATAACCTAAACACCTGAAGAATTCATTTATATCATGAGAGCTCAATTAGAATCAAGAATTGTCCAAGAAATATTACCATTTTGGCTAGATTTGGTATTTGGAATCCAACCAACATTAAAAGGACAGCAATTCTAATAGTAACTGAAACCTAATGAATTTGTTTCTCAAGTAGAATATTTATTTAATTTTAGAGTTAAATCAGCCTAGATAGAAATCTAAATAGAGCTATTATGAATGCTTAAGATAATGGGTAATCGATTAAGCAATTTTTCACAGAAAAGCATTTGCCTCGAAAAATATGTATTAGTTAACTTTATGCTAGTTCATAATTATTTTGGAGATTAAGCCTAGATAAAAATGACTACAAGAAGATTGCTTTACTAAGGGGATGAGAAAATAATTTCGAGTTACTATTATTCGTGTCACCAATTTGTACTAATTACAGAGAAAGGAACAGCAATCATTCTGGATGTGAATGAATAATTGTATTCAAAAATGATTGTTGAATCTGATTGTTTGATGATCAAATAAAAGAAATAATTAGAAACCAAATCGCCATTAACTCATTAATTAATATGCTTCGTAGATTTTGATAATTAGAATTTCCCAGACAAACAGGAATCTCAGGCTCATGTTATAGAGACTGAGAAATTGAGTTTATTTTAAAGTTGTACTATATTTTTCATTCTTGGTGGATATCGTAATGGAGAATTTAGATCATACAAAGGGAACAGTTTGAAATATAAATAACATAGCACTTAAAATAATTCAAACATCCAATGCATAAGAATTTGCCATGCAAGATGTGCACTTATAATTGGACAAGAAGATGGTGGTATTTCTTTGTGGGAGTTGACCAAAGAGTATGAGATTTCATCTACACCTTTTCTTGTCATATCAACTCATGTTTATAGTATAACTAACATTGATTGTTCAACTTCTTAAATTTTGAGCGTAGATTTGATTAATGAAGTGCATATACACTATTACAATGGCTCACTAATTAAAAAGATACAATTAACTTGTTATGGGAGCATTACTTATTGTTAGATTAGTTACACAATGAATTTGTACATATTTTTAAATAGTTTCAACAAACTCATGGCTTATAATCGAGATGGAAAAATATTCATCCACCCAATAGAAATCCCTTAGAAAATTAATAATATCATACCTCTGACTCCTTTTTCATCGGAATTCATATATATGACTGATAGTGGGTTTTATTTTGATGACATTTTTATAATGAAAATGAAATAGGATGGATTGGTTATTGAAAAAAACCAGGATAAAAAGATTTACGATTAAAATTTTGCATTGATTAAGGCCATTCAGGGTTAAAAGTTGTTGCTAAGTGACAGGAGTGGGAATTATATCACGAGCACCTAAATAATATTTTAATAAAGTGAGTTTGCTCAATTAAGATTCTAGACAGTAGGGTGCGACAACGGGAATTTTTGGTGCTTATATAATGATGAGGAAAGTAATCATTCAAATTATCGTTTATAGTTCTTCATTATTTTGAGAAAAAGTTGTAAAGATCAGGTCTTAAATGAGATCTATTAATGCTACTCCCCTCAACTTAAGTTTGAATAATTAATATTTATAATTATATTTATATTATGTTCATTTATCAATCCTCTTTTTGAATTGAAGTTTTTAATTCTGATGTTTATGTTATTTCATTAAAATAATTAATAATATCTACAAGTACTTTTTTAGTATTTATTATCTATACTACTATATAGAATTGCACTATTTAAATAGTCCATCTGATAATAAAAGATATTTCTATCGAGAGAATGGAATGGGAGATACGGGATATAATTTATTAAAAACTCTTTGAAATATCTTTAAATTCTCAATTAAGAAAAGATTAACTTCTTCCAAGTTGATTAGTATATATTAAATTAATGTAAGACTTAAATCGCAGTGATGGAGACGAGATAGTTTTTCACATTACCAAAAATGCTTAGCAATACGAGCCCAACATTACCTTGGATAACTCACCCAATGACAAACCTGTTCAAAAACCAATTACATTTGAAGATATTAAACTAGTATCTTCTGTCTAGGTTTCTGGAGACGGGCATTATTAGTCTGTAAGAATTATATGCCCAGGATGTAAGATGAAAGTAATTTTTTAGATATTATTCAGGTGAATTCAGTCATTTCAAGAAGAATTGGATCGTAAACCTTTCTAGCTGGAGTCCTTCTAATCTTTTGTTCTTTTGGATTCATCTGTGTTACTTGTATACCATGTTTGGTGGATGATTGTAAAGATGTTTAACATTCCTGTCCTAATTGTAAATAATACTTAGGAAAGGCTAAGTTTAACATACTTGATTGACAAAAATAATGAATTAAACATTTTCTTTAGGTTTGAATTTCAATTCATTTTATTTTCATAAACGTTTTCATGTTCAAAACACACCTTCCAATTTAGTATAAAGAGTGATCAAATTCGATTAATTATCATTGTTGCACTTAATACCAAGTTGGTTCAAATCTTAGTTTACAATTAAGGTAACTTTTCAGGTTGGAAAAGGTCGTTCATTTTTTTACTTCAATTATAATGTTATTTCATATAAATTATAGAATTGAGAGTAAATCCTAATATAGTTTACGGAGTCCTTTCTATGGCAATGCAGAGTCATAGATTAACACACTTATGAGGAGGAAGTAGAAATTCAATATACAATATAAATGTATTAATGCTCATAATTTATGATAATCGGCTTAAACAGTAATTTTTAGAATTATTATAATGTCATGAATTTATATACACAAAGTTTTAAAACTTAAATTTGATAAGCGACAAGCCATATTAATTTAAGATATCATATGTTTTGATATAGATACTTATTCATTCAGTTCTAAAAAATTCGGTGATTAGCTTTTATGATTGAGTGAAGATCTCTTTGTTAGGATGATATTACAAGTCTTCAATTGCTTAAATTAGGTGATTTTGTTGCAGTATAGCTAGTATAGGATTCGGGACATTCAATTGTGTTTACAAAGACAAACCATAATTCATAAGTGAGGTCACACATTCCAATCCTTGTAGAACTATGTAGGGTTCTGCTGATTCGACAGTCGATTTTAGATAGACAGCAAGACCCAGACTAATGAGAACTGTGATATCTTGTTGGTTTCCATACTTTAGTATATGTTGAACTGATTTGATTACAAGAGATTAATTAATTGGTTTATCGGTTGTGAGAATATTAATTAGTTTTTTAATTAATTCCTATTGTTAAAATATCTATTGGATCACATGATGTCCCTATTTGCATAGATTCTGTAAAATGTATAAGACTGCTGTGCGTATCTTTTGATATTTGTAATTGATGAGTTTATTAATAATCTCCAAGATGGAAAATTGCTGGAAGATTGCATACAATTACTGGAAATCTGATAAGTATTTCATTTGGAGTAGAGCAGAGTAGAATGATTCAAAGTCGTTTTCATTAGTAAGATATTCATTCAAATAATTAAAGAGTAATTGAAATATTTCAAAATAATTAATGTCTTTATCATACTAATCACACTGCTTGTTGATGATAAATAAAGTTTACAGTATTTCTTAACTTTTGTTAATCTTCAAATGCTTCAAAATTACTACTACTTAAGGTTTGAACTGTTCGGGAATGTTTCTGCATAGAGTTTAAATAAGATAACAAACATTATGCAATAAACTATCCTTCATTAATTAACATAGAATCTCGATAGTATTCTTACTCAGCAAATAATGCTGGATTTATTATAGTTTACTTGAGACATTCCCCAAATATCCCAAAATCAAATTAGCCAAGTCATCTATTTGTTTATTCTCTATCAGCAAATCCAATGATCTCTCAATTGACCATTGGATGTCTTCGACAGGCAATTGAAAATATTCATCATCTTATGTCAATTGCAGATATATGGTAAACGTATCAATATAGTAGGATTCATCATTCAATAGATCTTTGAATTGCAGAAAGTTCCTCTAAGTCAAAAACAAACTGTGAATGCGATTCCGATCATCAATGATATTTGCAATCAAATGCAATTTCTATGAAATCTCATTCATATCTTTCTGAGCATACACGTTTTTCAATTCATTGAATAAGTTATTAATTGAGAAATTCAATTAAGAACTCTATAATCGCTGTTTCGGTATATACCACATCCTCTTCTTCTCCAATTATTCCTCAATTCTTTCCTTTCTAATTTATAACCTAAATTGTTCTCTCATCTCTTAAACACTCTTTGGCTGGTGTTGCTTCTAAGTCTTCAATGTCTAAGGCTGATATTCTAATTCATCATCTGATTCCACTAGTTTTATTTCATCCATTATTTATAATAATAATTAGACTATTCATTTAAAAACTCAATATACACCCATTTCAATGATAGTCTTACACAATTATAGAACATTTCTCATTTCTATAAGTAAGCAATCAAATAATTTTTGATATTTAAATCTGAATTTCCCATATCTTGAAAGTATCATGATTATAAATACTTATTACTATTCATTTTATTTTTTATTATTATATTTAAAACTAATCTAAATGAATTTGTATGTACACATTTTTCTTTAATTTTAATTTTTAATGATGAACATCCATCATACTATCTTCTATCTGCTAAATTTCTCACTCCTTTGCTACTTTTGCTTGAAATTAATATATTTATAAATAAATACTATTTCTATAGAAGATTAGTTTCTTTCATTTTTATTAAAAGAGAGATTTATTGAAAATCAAATTGATATTACAAAAATATGTTTACAATTTTCAATGGAATATATCAAAAAAGGAAGTGATACAAGATTAGAAGTTTTATCTCTATTTTCTAATCATTTGAGTCTATTTCTATCTTTCATTTATGAATGATTTAATTTTTAATTACGTAATGAATTTATCAATGAGAAAAGGAAACACTCTACCGAAAATTCGGGGGTATTCAATTGATGTAAAAGGATCTTAGTCAGCTCGAAAACATAGTAATATCAGCAAATCTGTAATTTAATAAATTCAATATACCTAAATTTATGAGAAAAACATACCCATTTAAAAATAATTAAGATCATTTCTACAAAATAGTGATCTATTTAAGCACAAATCAATTAGATTTTATGAAAGTTATGCGAAGTTTAGAAATTAGATCTCATGATTGAATATGATTAAATTTGTTTATATGACAAGAAAATTGACTTTAAAAATTACATAAGTTCTAACACCTAATTGGAATATAATTAAATTTGTCATTATTTCCCAAGTGTTATATTATTTGTTTGATTGCCATTTGATTGTTATTGCATTAGGGGTTGATAAAATTAGTTTAATCTTCCAGGACTTAATTGAAATTGATTGTTTTAATAATTATAGCCTTCTAAATACATACAATAATATTTCCTGAACTTATTCATGTCACTAGGCAAATCATTCTTATTATTTTATAATATCTACTCAGGAGTAATAATCATTTCATTTGTATTGAGAACTTTAGATAAACACTAAATCATAAATAAAAATACCAAAGCTCTTAAAAAATGAGCTTCATATGAAAAATAATTACTCGATATTGCTTCTTCAAAGCACCTCTATGCTTTTTCATATTCTTCTTATAAAAATAGAATTTATCCCTATCATTAATAAATATGGATGGTTACATTAATTACTTGTTAAATAGAATCACAGTAATTTTTCAAATCTAGTGCCTCCACCTTAAGATTCTCTATATCCTTTTTTGCAAATAACAATTGGACTAATTAAAAAAGGTAGAAAATACTTTTCGATATATGATACTGAATGTTTTCAATATCGATCTCAATCGCCTAATTGATAGAATTTATAGAATTATCATATTATTTTAAGTAAAATAAGGAGAGTCCTAAATTATTAAGATTTCCAACCTTTTTGATAACATATTCTGGAGTCTTTTCTTATTTATAACAATTTGTCACAATCTTGAACTGATGCTTTATAGTTTCCATTGAAAAAATTATCATCTGCTACTGAGTATTCTATAGTCTAACGAACAAGGCGTGCTTAGATTCATTATAAATTTACCTCTTTCTCTTTAATAAATAAAATTGCCTTTATCTCTTTCGAGTAGTTAATCCAGAATTTTAAGAGCTTCTTTTGCGTTTTAATCATGTTCCAGGAAACTTTAGTCTAATATTTATAATTCATAATTAATTACATTGAATTATTAAATGAGGAATTAATTGGATTATTTCACCATTTAATCGTTCTTTATAATAGTATATATAATTTTACTCATTTCTAGTTTATATATTTCATTATGTTAGTATCTATCAATTATATCCTTTAGAACCTATTTTGCCTCTTACTCTTTATTCTGTTCAAGTAGTTTTACATCTTAAGTAATATCTAAATGATACAATTAGTTGTTTTAGATTTGATACAGAAATCTAAAATAGGATGACTTCCACACTTTTAGACAGTTTCCGAAATCAAAGTCAAATTTTGTGGGTTAGAGATCTTTATGCCTTCTATTAAATTTGTAAATGTCTGACATTAAGGAGCATCAATTAATTCTTACAAGAAGGAGGTTTATTTGTTAATTTATTTACTTAGTTCTTAGGTTTTGTTTTTAATTTATTCAAGTATATCCTAAGTCTTTTACTCTTTTTCTTTAAGAGTTGAGATAGCACTATTAAAAACATTTTTCAATTCCCAAATTCTTGTAGTTTGATGATTATGATAAATTTATGCACAAGTGTTACAGCATATTCTTGTCTCTAGTTTGCACTCAGGGTTCTTACAGTAAACATCAATCTTTTCTCCGTGTTTAGCACAAATTAAGGGAGGATCGAATTCTATCATATAATTATATTATTTAGAAATAAGTACTCAATAAAAATATTCAATAAAGGTATTCAAAAAAGTTATTCTATTTAAGAATCTTTTTAACAAAATCATAGAAACTGATTATTTGTATTCATTAATTAAAGGTCTTAATCCCTTAATTAGTCCGACTGCTACAAAATAATTAAATTGGAGAATGTATTAACAAATAAATGCGTATAATATTTAAAAAAAACTAAGCTTAAAATTATTTATAAATGCAATTCTTTTCTCAAGTTATGCGAGGTCAAATATACCCTTTATATATACAATAATATCCTATTATTCTTAGTATCTCAGTTAATCTAATATAAATTGTGAATATATCATCTTTTTTTGATTTCTGTTTTGTATTATATTTAATTTTATAAATTTTAACCTATAAGCACTATAAATTAAATTAATTTAATTTAGAACATGATAAAATAATAAATTTATTCAATATTAAATTAATAGATATAGAATAAAATTAAATTTCATTAAATACAATATAATATTTTTAATCAAAAACTATGTTAAAAAGTCAGTTCTTGAATAATTTAATTAATGAATTGTTTCTACATTGATTATGCTTGATTGATTAATGATGCGAGGAACTTTAATCCACTCTAACCAATCTACTTGTATTACAATACTATGAATTAGATTTTTCGGATTCGACAGTGCTGTTTTCAGTAAATGTTATCGATTGAAGAGTGTCTCTCTTTTCAGATTGTTTATGTTGCAATTCTTTCAGTTGATTTTTGAGTTCAATTATCTATTTATCTTTACGCAATTTTATGGCACTTTGGGTAATAAATAATTTTTATTTAATTTCTTAGATTTCCCTTTTGATTTGAAAATTGGAATCTAGAATATCTGCATTTTTATTTTCGAATTATTTTCGTATTTGCAATTGTTCCTGATTCTCCTTAAACAATTGATGATATTATGATTTGAGTTTTTCATTCAATTCAATTTGGGAGAGGATTTGCATATACTGCTCTTTGGTGACTATGCAATTCGCGGTTTCAATATCAGGAATAGAGGGGTTGGAATTGATTTATTGAAATTCAGAGAAGCTAAATTCATGGGTTTGTTCAGGTGGAGAATCAAGATTGATTGAGGAGACAATTTTGGATTCATTTCCGAATTTAATCTCAGCTTAAGAATTATTAAAGAGATCTGCTAATTGATGAGCTGACAAATAGATCGGGTTTACAAATTAATCTTGCATAATATAAATTATATAAATGTGATGATATATACTTCACACTATCAATTAAACGAATTTATCGGGTCTATGGAAACAAGCAGGTGTTGCATTGATAGGATTGTAACTCATATAATGAGTGGAACGATCTTTCATCTTATTTACTCTAAAGAAGTTGGCATAAAGGGGTTAGGTGAACATAGAAATGGGTAATTCGATGTGAGCATTCCAAGCAGTTGGTGTGACAAATTCAGCAAAATAGGATATCTCATCACATTATTTATAAGTGGTTATCAAATTGGTACAACTTCCATTTGGATTGCCTATAGTTGCATAGAACAAAGCTCCATTTGGAGAGACTTCAATTTCTAAATATTCTGTCTTAGTTCCAATGAAAATTTCATCGACGTCATGTTGAAATAATGGATCATTGCAATTCGTCAGAGGAGCATCAATGTTTCTAAAATAAAAGGACATAATACGAATCAACATTGAAAAAGTCAATGACTAGTTTCTGATTCAAAGACTTGCAAATTGTGAAATATGTGAATTCCACATTCTCTGTTGTGGCTTCATTTTGATGAGCTAATTTGTATTATGTTGGAGCCCATTTGCAATTCTCAACTGTGATTGGATCAATAACAGCATTTGAAATGACGATGATGATGGCAAAGATTAATATCATATTATTTTATTAATAATCTCATTATTAAGACTGTCATTTAATTAAACATTCAAAAACTTCTCTTATTGATATATTTACATCTTCTTCGTATCAGTTTTGTCAAACAACTTGTAATATTGTCATATAACTATTAAATTGTCGAATTGAAATATGAATTTCATTTAAATATTCTTTGATCATTTATAAGAGATTCTTTTAAAATATTCAGATTATTATTCCGAAATTGAAGAGATTATAAATAATAAAGAGGATCAATTTATAATCTCTTAGAATTTGTGCAATTAATAGTTCGACTTATGAGTAAATAAATTTCCACTTCTTATACCCAAAATTATGAGTATTAGGTTTCAAACAACTATTAAGATTTCATGATTACTCAAATTTATTAGCTAATTGTTTCATCATCAATAAAAAATTGAGAAAAATACTTATATATCAGGTAAAATAGTATATAATAATATTACATAGATAATTTTTAATAAGGAAGTCGATTTAACCCTTTTTCTTCTGCAAACTTACCCTCAAAATAAATAGTATAAATTATACCAAATCTTGAATTAAATAAATAGTATTCTTTTTAAATTAAATACATTTTTTATAGAATATTTTGATCACCATAATTTGATGATTTAAGGTGAGGTTGCTCTTGTTTGTCCTCAACATATGTTGAGATTATTAAATACCTTATTGTTTAATCCAATTGTTAATTTTTGAATTAGACAGAAAATATATCTATATATACAAATAGAATTTTTCTTCATAATTTAATTAAAGTCATTTATAATAATAAAGAAAAAAATTTCTTCCGATACTTGAACTAGAATTAATATTAATATAAAATTAGGCAAAATATATAAGAAATATTAATATTTATTTTAGTAATTAATGGGTTGCTAGTTCAGTAAACCATCTGTAAATGAGCCCTAAAAAATAAAGCCTGTTGACGATATTGTTGTTATTCCAAAAAAGGATACTGAAATTCAAAACCATGGAACAAAGGTTCAAAATGAAACCCCTGTAAAATAATCCCAAACATAGCATCAAGCAACATAAGTTTCAAATAAATCCCTAAGTGGAGAATTGATTCTGTACCCATAAACGACTGATAATTTGGAGATTTTCATCAAATTAGGAACGAAAAAGAAATTAATTCATTTATAAGCTAGGAATAAATACATCGACACAGTCGAGGAAATAATTAGACAAATACAATTGAAATCCTTAACATTTTCAAATTTCTAAGTAAATATTATCTGTAATTTAGAGCATATGCTAAAAGCAAGACCTTAAAGTGATGGATGCTATGTTTTTAAGAAATGATAGTGATGAAACAATATTGACATTAATTTTAACTTATATTGATAACTATGAGATAATAACAGAATTACTCATCAATCATAAATTGCCAGAAAAAAATTATGAATTGCTTGATTTAGCTGTTTCTCTATTAAGAAAATTTAGACCCCAAAGTTAAATCGATAAAATATAAATGACTATAGAGTTTTTGGATGAGGTTAAATCAAATGAATAATTATAAAAAGTGTTTAATTCATTTGAAGATCCAAAGATATATAGAGTTAAAAATGCAATTATGTATGCTTAAAATTGCATTTCATATTTCAATCATAAAAAATAGATACATTTACTCCTTTTTAGAAAAATAGCCAAGTTATTTAAATAATCATTAGGAGAATTATTTTAAAAGCAATATAGAAGCTGGAAATAAAGTTTTGCTTTTAATCATTTGAAAATACCAAAAGCAATTCCAAAAACTACTAGCACAGTTACAAATTTAACAAAAATCGAACTTCAAATATTAAATTATAGTTTATTTCACGAAATAGCCAATAAAGAAAATTGGGAATTGTTTGTTCAATATTCAAATCCATATTATCATCAGAAAAGCTTGGATCAAAGAACTCCTTTCTGGATATTCTTTCAAAAAGCTCCGATTTCAATAATTGTAGAGTATATTCAATAGTATCCAAAATAACTTGAATAAAACATAAATTATATAACCACTTAAGGTTTAACATTAATTCACTGTTTATGCAAGAATAAGAATTTAAAATAAAGTGATTAAGAAACAATCAAGAAATTAATTGATATTTTAGAAAAGAACTCAATTGTCAAGACTCTATTGAATGTTGCTTATTAAGATTAGATTCCTCTCGTGTATTATTTGGATACTTAAAGGGTTATTTCATCAGATATGGTTAACTTCCTAAGTTCTACCTTAGTTAAATAATTTTCTATCGACAATTTAGAGATGGAATCCTATAAAATAGCTGATTCAATTCTCAATGGCAAAACATCATTAAGATCATCACTTCCCCATTTTTCAAACTTATCAAAAGTATAATTAATATAATTAATAACAAAAAAAAAACAATTGCTGTTTAACAAAGATGAAAAAAATAAATAAACCAAAGAATATCAAAATTTTACTACATTTTATTAACATTATATATAATTGGCGAAGTAAATTATAAAATATGGTTTATTTGAGTAGTTTCCATGGATTTAGAATTATTCAATTTATTCAAGTCATATCCCTTATGATATTGGCAATATAAGTACATCACTATTATATACTCTTTTGGTGAGTAAAAGATTTTAATAACTTAAAATTTAGATAGAGAGTATTTGTAAATCAATCGATTCACAGTAATATTAGCAAAAAAACAATCTATAGGAATGTTAAAAATTGGTGCAATAGATTTCAAGAGTACTATTCATTTATTAAGAATTGTTTAACTATCCAGAATGCTAGGAGTTACAATAATTGATATCGGATACTATATACAACTAAATTTAAAAGAATCCTCAAATCATATAAAATAAGATTTATGGTTTTTAAAAGAATGAATCAATGGCAGATAATCTATATTTACAGTATATAATGAGTATCAAAGCTTAGAAAGAAGAATATAATAAGTTTATTAATATGTTGATAGAGAGATTGGATAAAAATTTATTTAAAGGAAAAGAAATCAAAATAAAAATATTATTTCAAAATTACAATAATTTCTAAAGTTATAAACTAAATCTTCTTGAAAAATTGTTACCTTAACAAGATTAACTGATTATTCCATTAGAAATCTAAAGTTAGAATATTATTTAGGATTCTGTTAGTGATGAAAACTTTTAAAATTATTATGCTTTTAAGAATATCTTATAAGAAATAATAGATAAAGACAAATAATTCTACTGTTTTATTAAAGGTAAAACTGTTATTCTAAGATCAAATTCTATATGTTAACTACTTTTGGATAAGAATTCTAAATTACATGAATTATATAGAGGCTCATTTTTTAGATTAGATGCCTTATGGAGAACATCAAAGTTCATTAAATATGATAAATAATAAATAATTCCTTATATTTTAGATTAATAAAATTTAATTGTTTAAATAAATACATTAGAATAAAATTAATTAGAGTAACTATTTGATTGGTAATTGTACGGAATGAGAGTTAAGTTGAATTTAAATATTAAAAAAACATTAGCCAAATTATCAGTTAAATTATCATTAAAAGAATAGGTCATTTATAACCAAATAAAAAGTAACTAATAATTTTGGATAAATCTGATTATTTATGATGAGCTCAATTCTGAAGTCACAGAGTATTTTAATAGAGATGAAGATAAGCCTTAACTCATTAATTATGATTATTTCCCTCTTTCTGAAATTATTTCAAACAATTCTTATAAAAACTTACAATTTCTGATATAATTAAAAAAGATTAGTTAATATGAACTAGTATAAATGTTGGCTCAATAATTTTTTATAAGGCAGACTTCTGTTGTAATTTACTAACCTTTAAAGGAAAAGATTTCTTTATTTAATGCTCAAATGAAATTGTTAATAGAATAAATATCAACAAATACTTTTGAAATTTAAAAATCCGATATTTGTATCTTAACTAAATTTATAAATTACTTAGAAGTAGACACTTTCTCTCGATTTAATAAGCAACTTCTATTTGATTTAATCAAACATACAAATCTTGATAATTTAATTAACAAATGTCTAATGTACTAATAAGTGAGATCAAAGGAGTATTATTTTTCCCCAGAGTGGTAGGATTAAATGATAGAAATTATCTTGGATATTTGGAAAGAAAATTATGAAGAACTCCACGACAGATCATACTATGATTTAGGATTAGCACAATAGAGGTCTCCAGCAGTTGCTAAATGGATGTGTGAAAGGTAGATTTTAGTTGATAAATCAAAATTGGCATTTGCGACCAATCCTTTGTATTTTTATTTTTACTCAATATTTTTTCCAAATGAATGTTTTGAATATTTAGAGAAGATAAAATTAAATTTTTGGATGATAAGATTTTTATTTGGATATTTTATCAATTTAGATTAAAAGGCCTACCCAAATAAAAAGAAATTGGTTTACTAAATGATTAACCTATTAAGAAGATATGGCTCAATCTAAGATAAACCATTCATTTCAAACATTAAAAATTACGATTCCTTCTTTGATGACACTAGAATATTTTAATATCATCCGAATGGGGCATAAGGAATATCTAAACTTTAAGAAAATATATTATTTTAGAGAAGCTAATTTAAATATAGAAGTGAAGAACTAAAATATATGGATGTTATGGATTTTTAAGAATATATGATATTAAGTAAATAGGAATATTCATAATTTATCGACACAATAAATTTAGATGAAAATGAATATTTGGAATAGATTTCATTCTTTATTCACGCTGGAGTTAAAGATAAACTGCAAGTCATCTTTAACAAACTAAAATCAAGTGAAAGTTTCTAAAAGATTTACAATGTATAAATCTTTACAAAAAAGAAATGCTTGGAACATGAATTTGGATTTAAATTTGATTTTGAATTTGAATTTGAAATGGAAATATAGTTGAAATTCCCTTACTATTTTTCATTTTAAAAGTTAGAATGTGATTTTGTGAATTTTAAATAATCTGTAGATTATTTAGGAACATTTAAATATCTAAATGAAGAATTAAAGAAGTAAAAACTCGAATAATCATTATCTGTTGAAACAATCTAAATTAATGCCCTGCTTGATAGTTTAATATTTCCAAACACAGATTAAATAAAAATGAATTAGCAACTGATTAATATTTTAATATAGCTTTACTAAACCAGAAAATCAAATTCTAAATTCTAATTTAAATAAGTATAAAACAGAAGATTCAGTGAGTTCTTAGCTGAGAGAGCTGATCTATATATTAAATTATTAGGGACAAATATTTAAAATTGTGAGGTTAAATTTACAAAAATTTACTATTTTACCCCATTTTAGAGTGCCTTTTTTGAATAATTGCTAATCTTATTGTCGTAGGATAAAAATAAAGTGAAATATAATGTAAATGAAATTGCAAATTTGATTCTTAAAAATAATTTTAAAAATGAGTAATTTAATAAGATAATTTAAAATGGAGCAATGAACATCACTAATGTCAATTCAGTATGTAAATACTATTTTAAGAAATCTAATTTAATTAAATCCATAACATTAAATTATGAGCACAATTGTTACCAAGCAAAGTTCTAATTCTTAAAAAGTTGTATGACAGTAGAAGATTTCTCATTTGATAAATTACAAATTACAGAAATTGCATTTATTTTGAAGGCTCATGAATTCTTTGATAACAAATTAGTTTTCAATCAAAAATATTTGGTAGCATCGTTATTAAGTAATAATCTTGAAACCATTATTTATGCAATGGAATTACATAAGGATCCAGTCAAATTGGGGTTTGAATAAAATGTTTTTTAGATTTTAACAATATATTCAAATGAGAAGGATATAATTACTTATTATAATAAATTTGTTTACAAGAAAATATCCGATAATAAAAGGTTATTTTAATTGAATAATGTTCCACTGCTTTACTATATAGCATACAAAAGATACTCAAGAGTGTTTTATGAAGTTTATCTTAAATAACTACAACTAAATCTGAAGGAAAATGACATTAATTAATTTATATCAGAGTAATTATAATAGGTATGTTTTGAGTCAGATGCAAAAATTTATTAAATAGCTTTGTAATAGAAATCTTACTTTTTATTAGATTATATGAAATCATTCATAAAAGCATAAGATATCGAACAATACGTTTATATATACGATTTTAATGTAGTCGATAGAATCAAGAGTTACCCCATTTAATCTTAAATAATATAAGAATTCATCAAGTCATATTAACAAACGGAAAAATTCCACAAATTCTTTCATAAATAAGAAATTAAACTTCCTGAATAGGGGAACAAAGTGCTTGATGATTAAAATAATGCAAGAAAATATTAAATTGAGTTGTTAATATAGAAGGAATAAGCTACTTTAATGAAGATATTTGGATTTAATTAAGAAATTCTAAAATTTGTTGAAATTCATCATGGATTTAGTTTTTTAGTTTTTGAATTGGTGATGAGTTAATTGAGCCATTGTAAGGGTAATCCTTAAATTATCAAAGAATATATAAAGGATAATCTTTCTTAAAACAAGGCTATTAATAAAGATATAATTAATTTGGTTATAGAATAGGTGTAAGGGTAATATATCTTGGATCACCCAGTTTTTCAAGAAATAATTCAACTTTTCCCAACAGAATTATAGAATTCACTGAAGCCTTAGAATTTAATTCTAGAAAATTCTTTGGCACTTGCATTGGGTTAAAATTAATCTAATTAGTAATCTCTAGCTGAATTTATAACTAAGTAATTAAAAGAGTTGTATGAGTGTTAGGATGATGCATTTGAGGAGTACATGGATGCTAATATTTTGTTAGTGATGAAATTAATAAATAAACCATAGTTTACACTGGATGAATAAGAGACTTTCAGGTATTTAATCATAAATTTGCCTGAACAAATATTGTTATCAACTATATAATTTTTGATTCAAAACAAATCTTATGAAAAGAAAGAGATTACATAAAACACTCTTGATTTCTTAGTTTGTTTAATATCCAAGCGTATAATTATCACAAAAAGACCACAATTATGGAGTATTGTTTCTAATTGTAATAATTATCTACCAGCTTTTTCTGAAATCTTGTATCTCAAAAAAATTGAGAAATTATGTGAATAATTAAAAAACTATTTAATTTATTTAGGATTTATATAGAGAGATTATTAACCAGAGTTTATTGTTAAGTTTGAAAATGAACAAATGTATCAATCGGATGATTAGATTATCCTTCCTTTAGAATACAATAAAGACGAACTTTATTTCAGCTAAGAAAAATATGATAAACTAATTGAATAATTGAAAAAAATCAGATTAGAAAAGAATATCAAAGAAAATATCAACGAAATTCTTAATTTATCGGAGTATTAATAAAACGATATACTTGGACTACTTGAAGGAAACTATTCAATTGATGACATGGAGGCTCCACACTTAGGTTAACAAAATACCTTCTAGAAGTAGGTGACTTAATTCGATAAATAGTCGACGATCTTTGAAAAAAAATAAACAGAGAATCCAAACTCAAAGCAAGTTAAATAAGAAGATATTTAATTTATTAAATAGAATTATGATTTCATGCTCGAATTAGTCAATAATAACAATTATAAAGTGAGAGATTCAAAGGTGAACAAGTCATAAATAATCTTTATGGAGTATTACCATTTTTTCAACCCTTTAGAATCAATAGTAACATTAGAACAATGCACAGAGGCCGAATTTTTAAGGAAATATAATGGTAGGGAGTCCATCTCCTTTGTTATATCCCAGTTTTATTAATACCATGAAAATCTGAAATCAGCTATTGCAAATGAAGACTTGAAATAATGGCAAATTAATTACCCTTACTATGTAAAGGATGAAAAATTCTATAGTGAAAAATCCCTTTTCTCCACATACACAATCTAAGTGGTGTTCTAAAAACTCCACTAGTTTCATGAAAATGTTAAGTAATATGCTAAAAATCTAGGGGATGTTGAAAAGATTTAGTGGAGAATTAGTGCAATTTCCACTCTAGAAGTTTTGATAAGCAACATGATTGATTTCAACACTTATGATAATAAACCAGTTGATATCCTATCACTTTTGGACTCTATTTTAAATTGGAATACCTTAATAATGATTCTGCTGTAAGTTCTATATTGCAATATGCTTAAATACCAAAACATTTTATCAGTTTTAAGAAGAATTTATGTAGAATTCAATGAGATCTAGGATTTACCATTTGAAAATACGTATTAAGAAGGAGGGCTGGACTAGTATTTTAGATTTGGTTAAACTCATTATTTTCTGCAATAACAAACTCTGGTAGTTAGATTGAACATTATGAATATCAAGAAGTAACCTCAATTAAAACAATAGGTTTCCACTAATAGACAAAATCAAAGCCACAATTTTTTGAAATAATAAGAAATTGACTATTATTACTGCAATATTATAAACGAAGAAGATTTACTGTTTTAAATCTTTAATTCTAAATAGATAATTTAATATATATTTGCTAAATTGGATGTTGATCGTAAACTACAATAAGTTTCATAAAATCTCAGTAAAATGCTTAATAAAGATGTTATCATAACAGTGAATCATCAATCATTATTAGACATATTGTAATCTGAAATTCAGTAAATAAGAACTCTGAAAGATAGAAAGTAATAGCTAAGAATGCAAACTTAAATCAAAGAACTCCTAATTAAATTATCTGAGTTCTTTTTGGATAAATCTGAATAGTTGTTGATCGAATAGTTGTAAAGTCACAATTTCGAATATCAATTTTAAACCAAACTGTCGTCGCTTCTTCATTCATTAAGGTAAGGCTTCAATCGTTCATAGGATGAATTACCGAATCATCGTAAAATTGTGGCTGTCTAAAAAGCAAAAGTCATAACGAAGATTAGATATCCCAATCGAAATTGTGATAAGATTATTAGTTTATACTTTGGATTTTAGTTAAAGCCCAACTTTTACATGTCTAAGAATCAAATTGGGGATCTATTAATAGTGGTTCACAAGAATGAATACCAATATCTTTAGACAACTCTATGTTAATTGGTAGATAATAGTAGATAAGGAAAGCTAGTATTTTATTAATTTGATGAATCTTCAGTTTCTACCTTATCGTAAGAATAACTAGAATAATATTGTGCTATGTCGAATAAGATGAGGAAGAAAGATAGCGAAGATGATAGAATAGAAATCGTTGACAATGAAGACATAATTGCAGTGATATTGTTTGAAAAAGGATGGCCAGATGATCCAGATTTCATTAATAATATGATCAACTTATACGTCACTGATCAAAATGGAAATCTGTACTTTATTCACGAATAACGTTTGGCCAAAAAGCTGATTCAAATCTAAGAAACAGATAGTGAATCTATTAAGCGATAACTATTGGATATTGCTTTTGGTAAGAATTAAGTTCAAACCTACAGTTAATTCACCGTAGCTGAAATTATCCCAATATTTCCAAACTAAATCCTTTATGAATTTGAATCTGGAAAAACTAAGTAATCTAAAACTGAGGTCACGAACTGCTAGAAGATGATTATTAAAATAAATGATATAGATTTCTAAATAGATAAATTGAAATTGGATTTGTTGAATATAGCAAGTTATTTTGATTCAAATGACATTGCCTAGTATCATGTCAAATAGTTAACTCAATTTAAGGAGTCTCACAATGAACTGTCAAAAATCTAGATGATAATAAAGTTTAGTGATGATTTTAATTCAAATCCATCTTATTATTTGGATAATATCATGTAATCCCAGATTGCTTTTGTGGAATTTCAATAAGGGTATGAGACATTCTTTACTGATAAATACATACCTTAAGTTGAAAATGCTCTTGGTTTTATGTTTGACATCAATCAATAATAGATCAAGAAAAACTTATTGATGAGTATATTTAAGGTAATTGAATTTACTTTTGATCTTACAACTGAAAGTAACAATTAATTAATTTTCTTTGAAAACGGAGTCCTGAAATTAAAAACGTTTTTAATATAAAAGGAAGAAATAACTAAAAAAAGTTAGGTTCCTATCAAAACTTTAAGCATTGAGGTCCCCTCTGGAAATAAAATCGGATAGTTTCTTAATCAACTAATAATCAATTTTACTAAATACAATTTTAGTGATCTATTAATGGAAAAAGCAAAATTTGAAATAATCATCGATTAGAATTATGAGAAACAGTTTGAATAAGAAATCTTGATTTTGCTTCTAATGACAAAATATCTCCATAAATTGATTGCAATAAAAAACGATAAAAAGATTCTATTTCTGATAACCCAATAAACTTAAAAATCTATATAGCTATATTAGTTTTCTAAGGACAGAAATGAAGTGCAATTATTTTATGAAAGATTCTAAGATTTCAGGTTGGAAGACTTCTTATTAGATTATTTAAATAACTACACAAACTAGTATTAAAGTAGTTACAATGAATTGGATAAAAAGATACTAAGTAAGAACTAATTGATGATGTAATCAATGATTTTAAGTGCTGATGATTTTATCAGAAAGGAGAAACAACAAGTTTAATAATCATATGAATTGAACATACATTATGGATTATAAAAAATAAAAAAATTGGAAGGTAGATTAGACCCAAGAGATTTTGAAACAGCATTTATAATAGTGAAAGGGTAAGTATATCAAAAGGTTGTATGCATTAAGAGTTGTCAAAAATACTCTCCATTGGTTTAATACTTAAAGTAGAACTCTTTGGAATAGAAATGCGGATTTCCAATATATATATTGATCAACGGCTTATAGGAATACTTATCTTTGGATGAGCAATTATCAAAAATAAAAATAATAACCAAAAATAATGTTGAAAGACCTCTTTCTTATTTTAAAAATTATTCAACCACTTTAAAGGCCAAAGTAAAATTCATTACATCAAATATAATATTCATAGAGTTCAATTGTTCTAAACCACTTGAATTTACAATATAGACTACTTAGTATTAAGTAGCATGCATAAAACAGGATTACAGTTCTGAAATCAAACTAAAGTTTCTTCCTACTTAGGATTCATAGATGTATAAGTATTATCATACTGGTGTATGGTTTGAAAATGAATTCAAAAACATTGTTAAAAATGAGTAATAAAACAAAATTAAAGAAATTGTCTCTAGCACAACTAAATTCCTTAAACTCATTATGAAGTCTTTGTCAGTTAATGAAGATATGAAAATGTAGTAAAACCAATAAAATATTAATTTGAATCAGATCCTCAGTAATAATGTACTGAATATTTAAAGTAGATAATTAATAAATCAATCCACAAAAGTAGGATCAGAACGGTTAGACGTGATTGAAATTAAAGACAATTTTGAGAATATGGCACCCAATTTTACTCTTTAAACCATAGTTTTTGTGCACTCAATTTATCAAAAGATCTAAATAGTTCCTAATTATACAAAGGAAGACTTTGGATTGAAAATTTATTGGGAACCTCAAATTAAAGGGATCTATTACCTATATATTAATAACTATAAAGTGGATAGCTACTTTGTAGTTTTGGCTAATTCAGTGGATGTAGAAAAATCTAAATTAGATTTTCCTGAAAAACTCAAAACCATTCCTTATTATTAGGAAATTACATTTAATGTTTTCTTGAAGGATAAGTTACAAAATATTTATGGATCAATAGAGAATGCGTTGAATGCAGTTAAAATAGAAGTGGAAAGTTCTCACAAAAAGTCTAATATAGAGTAAAATTACAGTAAATTATCTCTGGAAGGCAAAATAGAGGTGTCACTGAGAGTGCTGCCAATAGATGAGGACGATATAACAGAAGTAGATGAGATAGAATTAGTTCTAAAAATCAATGACATAGAAAAAATGAGTAATATATTCTTTAATATTTTTAGAAAAGAAATTGGAGTTACAAGGTGTGTCATTCGAGAAGAATATGCAGGATTTCTAGAGATTGATTTTATACGACAATGAAGGCAAAAAGATATATAAAGTTGAGAAGTAACTTTTAATAGTACGTGCAAACTTCTTAGATAGTTTGCTGAAGTTAAAAGACGAGAAGCTTATTGGGCCATTAATGATTAAATTTATAAATGAACCTGGTTATGATTAAGGAGGTCCAAGGAAAGAGTTCTATTCATTAATAGGAAATGAGTTGAAAGGAGAAAATCTAAAATCAGAATAATATGGATATTTTAGTATGTTGGCACCAGGATATTACTATATAGATCCAAAATTTTTAAATATACCTAAGAAAAATGATTACGCATATGTTTTTGGGAAGGTATTTAAAATTATAGATATTATTTATAGTTCGTGGCTAATTCAATATTTAATAATCATCAAATAGGAATTCAATTCTAACCATAGTTTTGGAAAGTGATATTTTCCGAGAAAATCCAATTTAAAGATCTCAATGGATTCTTAGATCCGATAACATTTTAAAACTATGAAATGATGCTTTCATATGATGAAAAAACATTGGAGTCATTAGGAATTAATTTCACTTACTAGAAGAAAAAAGAATTGATTCAATTGATTCCAGATGGTTAGAATGTAACGGTGAATAAAGAGAACTGTTCGGTATATTTGGACAAAGTAGCAGAATACGTGATCCAGACACAGTATTAGGATATTTACACGCCATTCATTTCAGGATTCCAATCAGTTTTAGAAATTAAGGTACTATGTATTTATATAGAAATTATAGGATTTAAAGAAGTTCTTTAAACCGAATGATATGGGTCTCATAACTTTGGGAGTTCAAGATATCAAACCTGAATAGATTTTGAATATTTTGAGTTTCAAGGGAGGCTAGGACTATCACATCTCATTCTTTACCAATTATGTCAACACATCGAGCAGCAAGAGACTCAAAGAACTACTACAATACATCACGGGAAGTCCAACGTTGCCATCGAATGAGAAGTTTAAGATACAAGTTGAGTTCAAACAGGATCTCAAGGACACCCTAATACCAACGACCAGGACTTGCTTTAATTTAATAGAATTGCCGCTCTACAAAAGTTATCAAGAAATGAAATAGAAATTGGATACTGCTATAAGTTATGGATTGATAGGATTTGGAATTTTCTGAATTCGGATATTCAATAGATATATTTTATTCAATTTATATATTAAATATTCAAAGTGTAGTGTGGTTGATTACGCAATTTGTGGTGATTATTTTTAGATTAATAAATAAGGTAATTTGTGAAAAATTATCGGATCATTAAATATGAGTAATCAAAAATCTGAAGCTGATTAACAAAAGGTGAAATCGATTTCCGATAATTCCTTAGTGAAATCTCATTCGTAATCAATCAAAGATATAGAGTTATCAGTTTATAGATGGGCTATTTTGCTTTTGTACTTTTTAGTTGTATTGGTGAATGGAGTGCCATACGAAATATGCGTGCCTATAAGTTCGTTTATGGCTGAGATCTATAATGTATCCTTGGCGGTAGTTGCAACAGCCTCGACGGTGTTTATGGTTATGCATCCAATATTGTCATTTGTTGCTGCTTAAAGTATAAAGAGTAATCTACTTAGCAATTTCAAGTTATGGATGGGCATCTGCTACTAATTTAGGAGTAATACTAACAATTGTCGGCTGTGCTATTAAGTTATTGATAAACCAAGCAGGGTAAACAATATATATTTTATATATAGATTTTCAGTTTTGATAGTCGGGTAGGTTCTATGTGGAATAGGAAGACCTTTCATTTTAAATTCTCAAGCATCAATGGCTATGAGTTGGTTCCATCCTAAGTCGAGAATAATCATAATCACTCTGCTAAACGTAGTTAATACATTATCCTTGGTTGTTTCAGCTTAATTGCCTGGAATAATGTTTAAGGGTTATAAATTGGACAACGACCCAGAATGCGAGGATGGAAAAGACAAAATGTAAAGTTTATGCTTACTTGAATTTTACATAAGTTTGGCCATAGTGCCTAGTTTATTTATGTTGAGGAGTAGACCTAGTGAGGTCCCTGTGAAGATAAACAAAATTGAAAGAAAAAGCGGCATGTTGAGAATAATGCTGCGACTATTTAAGAATAGAAACTTTGTTTTACTATTCATTCCATTTAGTCTGTACTTTGGGATCTTAAAAGCCTACCTGGTAATAATGGAATTGCTGATGGCTCCATACAAATACGAGACTGATTAAGTGGCTGGTGTTGGTATAACAATAATTATCATAATTAAGTTTCATTTCCTTTGATTGGCGGATTGATAGCTTAAGGAGCACTGCCATATATTGTAAACAAGTATAAGGTACAGAAACAGTTTGTTCGTATTTTTTTGTTATGTTCAACACTATCAATGGCGTCATTATACTTTGCATTGTCATCGAACAATGTGGTCTACATTTATATAGTAATTACTCTCTTGGCCATGTGTGTGATGCCTATACTACCTGTGATCATGGACATGGGATGCGATTTGATAGCACCAATAGAACCATCATTCGCAGTGGGTGCCTTTTATATGGGGAGCATGCTATTCTTCGTGGTTTTCACTTACATCTTGACATTCATAACTGGAAAGGACAAGTAGGACAATAGAGTGTTGTACACGAACATTTTCTCAACTGTCATGCTAATCATTGGATTTGTTTGTAGTCTGTTTCTAAAGATCGATGATTCATATCATGAATTGGATGTGGAATAGGACAAGGCTTCTCTAGTTTATCCTTTAGAGAAGAGTCAATCTGTCGTGAAAGGAAAGGGGCCATCTGTGTATAGAGGAACATAATCGAAAATGAGTGTGTAGTATCAGAAGGGATCCATGTTCAGTGTACAGTATCAAAGTATGTTTAGTGCTCATATAACAATATCAGCATTGTAGGTGATGTGCCAATAATCCCAGGAGAGGAGGCAGAGGATCCTTATGAATAAGAACAACAAGAGTGAGTAATAAATTTATATATATATATATTTGGATTATCATTAAATTAAATAAAAGAGAAATAGAAATAATATCATAAACACTAATAATTCACTTATTCAATTGCTTCTTCTTTAACTACTTTAGAAAGTTGAGTGCTTGAGTACTCAATTGTTCATTCAATTCAGTTTTTTGGATCTATTTGCCAATGGATGATGTTTGCATTCTCTGTGTAGATCGAAACAAAGATCTGGTTTGGGATTGCACTCTCCCAGACCTGAGTCTTTTGATAAGATTGCTAAGTGCCTCTGGATTGTAGACCAATTTCTTTTGTTTGGTCTCGGTATCAGAGTTGTGAGGTGAGATGAAATACACATGTCGAGGTTTTGGAGGTTGTAAAATATCTAAAATTTAATCATATAGGTGAGAAACGCGAATAAGATCCTGAGTGTCTACTTTCGAGGATTCCAAAAGAGTGCAACATTGCTTAGCCTTTTCCCATAATTCATTTGGAGGAACCTGAGTCCTTTCCTAATCATCAACGGTTTTAGCATTCTCATAGATTATCTCGCTTTCAGCAATGTGTTTGCTAACATTGGTCATGTTTGCAATAGAGACAATTTCAAAAGGTATGGGATTTATCTGAATCTTTTCCAAGAATGAATTGATCGCTCTGTTCTTGACTTTATAATGTGCAGGATAAATTCGCTTCTCTATTCTATGACATAGGAATTGATATGAGTAATCAAATGTAAAATACTAACATTAATCTAACATTTATATAAATTGATATTATTTATTTAACATTACTATGTTTCATTATTAATTATATAAACAGTATGCATCACCTTTGTTCCTTTTGGTTTATGATTAAAGTTTGTTTCTCGATCTCTTATTCTTCTAATAAACTATGAGTGCTAGGAGGGACAACAAAAACAGAACACAGAACAAGATGGTCAACAACACCCAATATCTAGTGTAGATAATTAAACACTTACAAATTAGTAGGGTTGACTGTGCTCATTTGAACATTCAGAATGATAGAGGCTGAAGTAAGTTGATTGATGGCAGTCAGAGTGATTGGTTGTTCTGTAGCATTGCCAAGAAAGGAGAGAGTAGCAAATTCATCCACGATGTAAAGATTCAGTTTCCTGCTCTCTTTGTTCATATGTAACAGAGTCTACCCATTCTCGTCGGTGTGAAGAGAGAAAAATTGGTTTGGATAAGACTATTAGGTTTCAACTCCTCCTATCATCAATATAGGCTACTGTTTCTAACCTAGTTTATAGATGCAGATGGTGTAGGAATTGGCCTGATAAGCCAAGGCCAGGTAGTCTTTTTCCATGGAAGCCTAGTAGAACACATCGAAATCGGAGTATCTTTGGATCATTTCATCGATGTAGAGTTTCTGATAGACATTGTCTTCGAAGTACAAGACCAGAGATAAATGAGCTATTGAGTTTGTCAAGAGAATTATTTTGAATATCTGGAAGTTGTTTTAGGGGTCTCCATTCTTAATCACCTGAAGATATCGAACTTCATCGTCAATATTCAGTCCCATCATCTATTCTATTGGTTGCCTCAGAGACACTCTGTAGAGAGCCTCATCTGCTGTTATGCATTTGATTGAACTGTCGATGTAATGGAAATCTTAGATGAATAACCCTTATGATAAATCACTCAAGAATACTCTATATTTGTTATTAACCTTGTATGCTATGAAACTGGATGCAAAAAATTCACCGAATTTCCGTTAGTCCACACAAGGTGTGTAAGTATATGAGACTGATTTTGGTGGAGTAAATTCATAATGGTAAGCACAAAGTCTAGAAGTGTAATACATATACCCTCCAATTATTTGATACCCATCCAAAATCAGAAAGTTACCATCATCCAGCAACTCCAATTAGATAAGCTGATAACTCAACTTAAATTAGAAGGGTTCTCCGATCATTTGATATTGTTTGTCTTAGAATTTTATCAACTAGACAAATCCTTACAATGTGTTGGTCTAACCAGTTATTAGTATTGTATCTTTCTTACACCAAATCTTACCAATTTAATATTATAGGTCTAAATTGAAGTAGAAGGAGGGATGCTTGACATAATGCATCGAATCCAAAAATATCAATTGATTTGGGGTCAAAAATACAAAGTAATCGTCATCCAATTTACATTCACCCAACAAATTAGAATAATACTCTAGACTCTGAATTATATCAATCTTTTGAGTAAGCAAGATTTAATCTTAGCATTGTTAACATTCTACTTAATATTTAATTATCTGTCCTTTAAACCACCCATTCTATATTTTCATCGTAGCCTGATTGACCACCAGACTTTCATTGCTCACCACTGCAACTATATTTGTCATCAAATTCAAAAATGTTACATTCTATTTAAATTCTATTTGCTCCGGTGAATCAATAGAATCATATTGAATTACTATTTCCTTCTTGTGAATGTATTCATCATTCCATTATGATGATATCACCGCTTGAAAATTCCTATAAATTAATAGGTTCTTTATTCCAAACTTTGAACTTGCATGTATCGATAAACCATAAGTGTACATCTTTGCAATTCCCAATCTTAGAGTGTCCTTCAAATACCATCCTAAAGGAATGTGAGTTAAAAGGGATTCTCTTAGATTAACATCCGGTTAATATACTAATAAGACTGTCTATTAGAGAACTGGGGTGTACGCTCTTACTATGATTTAATCGAAGGATGACATCATCTACAATGGTGTTTACAATATGTAATGGAATAGTGGAATCTTCTTCAAGAAGGACACCTATCTTCTCCTCATACTGTACTCTCTCAGCTCCTATTGATGACCGTAATGTAATGCTACAAAAAATGAGTAACTTGTCAAACTCACCTCTATCTATCGACATTCTGGAAAGGAAAAGTAATTCACCATATTAAAGATATCATACATAAATCCAGCGATCAGAGAATCTTAATTAGCGATGATTATCATATTCTGCTTCTTGTCCACTCTCACAAATTTAGGCTTCAATTCGTACGGTTGAACATCCTATGATGTGATTGAGTAGACAAATTCTTAATTTTATAAGGAATATATTTGGATTTCTCCCTTTTTTTCTAGGACCACATATATGTAAAATTCCGTGAGACAAAAGGAATTGATCAATGAATTTTCATCCTTCAAACTTGTAGAAATTACAAATAACTTTGTGACTATAGATTATTTTAATTAAAAGATCTCAATCGTGTGTCTGAATTTAGATATATACCCAAAGATGACTACGTCTTTTTCAATCCATTAAAAAGAATCATTATCTAATTCTCTGTTCGGACTGAAATCATGAACTTTTTAACATCTTAATTCATATAAGAGTATGAATATTTAGCATTGGTATAGAGTGGCTTTAAAGCTTTGCACTTAAATCACGTAATAAGCATAATTCCAACTGGAAAACATACTAATAAACAACATGTTTTCAGGCCAGATGATGCCAGTAATTTTCATGTCCTCTAAGTATCCCAACTTCAATGAAATGCTTTGATCATTCAATTATATTTTAGCATTGATGTTGGATCCTGTCACTCCTAATTCCTTGAAAATAGATGCCTAGGGATAGGTTGGATAATTGACAAATGGCTTGATCTGATTGATCACATTGGTTTTCTGATACAGATTGTTATCTAAATAATCGTAAATGATGTAGTTGAATGTGATGGCACATTGTGATTCCTCTGTGCCAATCACTTGCAATCTTTGGAAATCATTCGAAGGTTGAGTAAAGGGTTTCATGATGAGCATTGCAGTGGAGGCGTAATACACTTGTTGAGTAGTTTGAGTGACCAGATAGATTATTGATTGCTAGTAGCTGAAGTCAAACAATATTGGGGTTTCAAATAATTTTGAATACATTCTTTGCATGTTTGAAATTTAGTAGATGCTGATAAAAGTGGAGTTGTATAGACAAATGTATTTCTGTTCTCTATTTACTCTGAGTCCAGACATATTGAATTAGGATAGGTTCAATGCTCCATTAAGCCAAAAGTAATAATCGATTTCTTCCAATGAAAGTACGTAGATAGAATTCTGAATTGTTGAAACTATAATTTAATAGGACAAATCTTCAAACATCAAGCTCATCGAATAGTAAGTGGAGAAGTAGGTGTAATTATGATGATGTACCAATGAAAAATGATCTAAATCAATACTCTCTAATATGATGACTCCTAATTACTTATCCAAAAGAACCACTTGGTCTTTTAGTGCCAATTTGGCATTAATGATTTCGAATGATTTGTCTGTTTGAGGCAACAGAGATGTTAATACTGTTTGATTTATGACTGTATTAAAGTCACATACAAATCCATCGTAATAATAGATATGGACATTGTTCTTTGTGAGGATCAATATCTTTTGTTCGTATATATCAATATCTAAGATTTAACTGTCAACCTAGTAGTAATTCTATTGCTTGGCAATCCAGAATCGTTTGCCATTCGCTAGCAGCACTGCATCTTTTTAGATCACTCTCACGAAAGAACATGGCTGATCGGTCTAGTAATACACTATCTCAACTGATGGGTATCTTATTTAATAAAGGGACTCATTCTTTATTAAAATGGCCTTCTGATTTGTATCAAATCCCACTGTCTTCATTGAGTGGATGTCTAGCAATGTAACATCGCCTATAAGACATATATGTTTATCTACTTAAGTCAACCTGGGTGACTTCTAAAAGCTGGAGGATTTGAAGTAGTTCGAAATTCCCCTCATTGCCATTTAATGAAAAGGTCAGATCTACTCCATAAAAGTATTTGTTCAAATCCCATTCCTTCCGCTCGTAGGTCGATGCATATATCGTTAAATCGTTTTCTCCTTGATTAATACATATTCATACAGCAATACAAAGTAAATGATGGAATGAACAATAAAAATAATAGCATTTATATAATATATATAATTCATTTCTTAATTGAGCAAGATTTTACTTTCTCCGCAAATCTGAGACTAGCAAGTGTTTGCTAAAAATCCTCTGATCTCGACGAAATGTTCACCATCATCAACGTCTTCGAACTGCCTTCCATATACTTATACAACGAGAAGGTCAACTTGCTATTTCTGAATGGGACATGCTGCTGTTTCGTATAAAGAGCATTAAACACATCGCCTAAAGCACTCAATGACTTATTGATGGCCTTGGTCTCAGTAAATCTATCCCCTTCAGTTTTGGCCACATTGGCCCTCTCGGAACCGGCCAAATCAATCAAATTTAAAGTAGAATTTATTTACTTATCCCCCAAATGTCCTTACAAGTTTAACTAAAATATAAAATGACTTCGAGATGACGCCTCATTACTAAGTGTATCTGCAACTTGTCTATTCTTCTTCGCAGTATTAAAATGATCTGCCACCTCCACTATGTCTTTGATATCCAATAATTTAACCTCGTCACACTTCTAATTTGTGATTAGATCTCTGCTCTACTCATTGTAAATCTCTTGAAAGCCAACTCTGATGTTCATTTACCACCCAAGTTCTAACATCCCTTGTCTCTCTTTGAAGATCTACTCAACAGCTCTCGGTATTACACCTTTATGAAAATCATCCCCCTACATGGTGTAGGTTTTGCCAGAGCCAGTTTATCCATAAGCAAAGATGCACACATTGTGACCATCCACTACATTTTGGACCAAATCTGAGAGTTCATTGTAAATCTCCTATTGATCTGCTTCTTAGCTAAAAATGTGCTCGAAATTGAAACTGCTTTCCTTCTAACAGTTGGTTGACTTGAGGAATCTCTCAGGAACTCTAAGTACTAAGGTGCATTCTCCATTTAGTAATAACATATCCTCTTACGAATTTGGTCTAACACGACAATAGACTCGTATGCTGCCTTTGGCTTCTTGGAGGAGATTGTTCCAGTATCTTTTCTAATTTTCAGTGTCCTTGAGTTCTTGTTGCAGTTGAATTTATTGTTGTTGACTCAATTTAAAATTGTTCATAAGTTGTTGCTTCAGGAACTTCTTCTGTTCGAGTTCTTCTTTGGTCTGCTGTAACTCAATAAGCATTCTGTCTTTGGCCTTTTGCATTTCGGCAATTTATAACCTTGATCGAGTTTGTTATTCAAATAATTCTTGGATCGATTGGATTTGGTTCTGTTGTTGATTCAAACGACTGGCATGGTATTCCAATTGATCCTACTGTTGATGGAACTATTAGATGGCTTATCTGTCGGCTTCGTCCAATTTGGATTGAAAATCTGATAGACATTCGCGGGTAGTTTTTTGAATTATTTGAGTGAGAGGCTTGAATTCATCGAAGTTTTTTTTGAATTCTCCTATTTCCTCGCTTTGGACTGCAAGTATTCTATTTTTGTGAGTGATGAGTTCGATGAGTTTGTCTTCGATGACCTTGAGATGATGGGTTCGGATGTCCTTGAGTTCTTTTTCCATTTATATAAATAATAAAATGGATGACTTGAATACGATAGTGGAGCCAATAAGCACTCTGCAGAAAATAACATTCGGCGAGAAGTTCGCTGAGTACCAGGTGTTACGATGTAATCATCCTGGGTTCTTGCCCTTGATAATACAGATAGAGGCTTTGATCACAGGGGGATGTTAGATGTGGTTCAAGATGTACTTGCATCAGGAGATCTTGGTAGGACATTTAAGAGACTTTTTAAGGAAGATGCTTCAGAATAGATTCGCCAACATTGCTCAATACAAGGACAACATCGCTCTGGTGGTTAGTGATTTCATAATCATCAAATGTATGTGTTATGCTTTATTCAAAGTCGATGTGCCTTTGAATGAAATATATTAAAAGAAGGCCGAGAAGGATGGGTGGCTTTACATCACAATCGCTTATGACTACTAAAAATGAGATTATACATACTAATATATTATATGAATTAAGACATTTATATCAAAAAACAATGGTTCATAAAGAGTCGAGAGGGGAAGGTCGAGGATTATTACATTTTGGACACCAAAGTGATATTCTGAGTCATCTATTTAGGAACTCTCTTCTGGTTCGTTCGGGAAGGTTTACTAAGCCAAGGCAAAACTCTTGAAAAATGATCCGATGAGAGCTGTGAAGGTGATTCCCAAAAGACTGATTGAAAACAAGGACAGATTCCTTTAGGAAGTAGAGATTCTGAGAAATCTGGATCATCCAAATATTATCAAGCTGTACGAGACTTTTGAAGATGTTCGCAACATCTATTTGATCATGGAGTATTTTTGTTGAGTTGACATCAATTAGACTTTGCACTGGTGGCGAATTATTCGATTAAATCGTTACTCATGGCTAATTAAGTGAGAAGGATGCACAACAAGTGTTCATTCAAATCATGAGAGCCATCTCCTATTGTCACAGCAAAGGCATAGCTCATCGCGATTTGAAACCTGAGAATTTCCTCTATTACGATGACAAACCAGGAAGTCTGTTGAAAGTCATCGATTTCGGATTGTCTCGTGTCTTCAGACAATCAGGTTAATAGGAGAAATAAATCATGAAGAGCAGAACTGGCTCAGTAATTATCATCACTTTACTTATCATAGACCTATTATATAAGTCCAGAAGTGCTCGATGGTTAATATGATGAATTGTGCGATATCTGGTCAGCTGGAGTCATTCTCTTTATTTTGTTGACAGGAATACCACCATTCAATGGGAATAGCGATGGAGAAATCGTTAAACAAATCAGAACAGGCAAGTTGAACCTCGATATAAAGGAGTTGTAGGTTGTCTCTGAAAGTGCCAAGGATCTTATTTAGAAAATGATTTGCAAACATTCTCAAAGATTGAATTCTTCACAGGTCTTATAACATGAATGGCTACAAAATCTCAGTTAGAATGATTTAAAATTAAGTCTTAATTTTGATTCGTTAAAGTAATTCACTTAACAAAGCAAATTGAAAAAAGTATTTGACAGTCGTAAATTAATAGATTGTGTTAGCTTAGATTGCAACTCAAGTAAGTTTGAATGAGATTGCAGAACTTAGCAAATTATTCTAAAGTCTAGACAAAGATGGGAATGGACAATTGAGTTTTGAGGAATTCAAAAATGGATTCAAGGAAAAGAAAAATGATTTGTTGCAATACTTCGAAGCTATTGATACTGACTCATCAGGGTCAATCGATTATAATGGTTTTCATAATTGATTTTTTATTCCTATAGAATTTATAGCAGCCATGATGGAGAGGACGTTCTATTTGAAATAAGATAAATTGTTGCAAGCTTTTCAAACTTTTGATCTAGATAACGATGGCAAGATCACTGCTTAAGAATTGAAAAAAGTACTCGGAGGTATTCTTTATGTATATATAATAGACAACGATTATTATAATAAGATTGATTCTAAGTTTTGGGAATCCTTAGTCAAGGATGGAGACTTTGATGAAGATGGAAAAATTGACTATCTGGAATTTGTTGAAATGATGAGTGATTTATGAAATATTTATTGATAAAATAATTATTATATTAATAACACACTTATATATTTGATATTTTCACGATCTAAAAATATTATAGTAAAGGATATTTAGAGATATCATATTTACAGAATGGATCTAGAGGTTAGCAATATACTCACAAATAAAAAGTGTTATCATATTACATATTTTTGCTCTCCACTTCAAAAGACAGTTATAAAATAGACTTTAGTCAGCTGCTTGTAGATGAGAAAAGTAGCTATTTATCCATCCAAAAGAAATTAAACAATTAATTGGAATATAATTTTAGACTCTTGGTACCACTTTTGTCCAGATTCAAATTAAAACAAAACTATTTCATTAATTCATCCTTAGAAAATATATCAATATATAATGATATATCAATTTTTAGGATAATTCAAAATAATTTTAACTCTAAGAATTAGCTTAGTATCTTCTGGATAAAATTTTAATCTATAATGTCTAAAAAGAAATAGACGCTCCAGATTCCTTGAAACACACCTGTTTACTTAGTAATCATAACTCAGAATCGAGCGTTGATGCCAACCTTTCCTACCTTGAGTGAAGCTAATAGAGATGATACTTAGAAAGGTCAAAAAGTGAAAATTAAACGCATATAATATTATGAATAAAATACAAAACTCAACCAATTAAATTTAACCTTACACCTATTCCTCCATTAACAAGATCAGCAAATTTTTCTTTACTTGGTGCTACCCAATTCTTAAAGTACATTCTCTTTGTTATTCGATATTAGAAAGGAAGAGGAACTCCATTATAATAAACCGATTTGTGTTAGATTGCTACTGAGGATTCCTCTCATACAAGCTATCTCAAATATCAGAACCAAATTGATTATGCCAAGAGAGGTAACAGCTCCCTAATCGGAGATATTGGAAGGACATTTCAGAGTATTTATATGGCCTAAAGAGATTAGGATAAATGGTTATTACATTTGTTGCGTACTTTATTGTAGCAATCTTATCTGCGATATCACCGTATATTGCCAATATTGGGTAGAGTTATTTCATCTTTGAAAAAGACGAAAAGAAACCTTCAGAGAACAGCATGGGTTAGTTTGTGATTCTACAGTTAATCTATATGCTTGCCATTACATTAATCAAGCCATATTAAATGTTTGAATAGGCAAAAATATAGTATATCCTTAGACTCTGCTGAGTGCCAAGATTCAAGGAGCCTTGCAATACAGAGTCATGTAGAAGTCACTAAGTTTTGCCATGTCTCTTTCAAAGCACTACTCTTTTGGAGAATTGCTAACCATTCTATAAGTGGATATTGTATAGGCATCCAATTACTACATTTACTTATTCAGTCTATGGACTTGCATTCCTCAATTGATAGTTGGAGGAGTGATCTTCTACGTTACCCTAAAGGAAAATAGCATAGTCCCTGCAACAGGGGCTGTTGTGTAAGTATTGTTCGGATTAATTTTTGGCCATTATTATGGAGTCATTCAAAAAAGGTTTATGGAAGCCAAAGATTAGCGTATTGAATTGGTTGATGAATCACTACTCTATGCTAAATAGATTAAACTAAATTGCTTAGAAGATTACTTTGAGAATAGAGTAATGCTTATTTATGCATAATTTTCTAGGTGTAGAAGCAAAGGAAAACTGAACTGAAATACTTAAGGCAGTAAGTTTGGATGGTTATCGCGATCAAATTAGTGATGCTTATAATAATGGTATTGAGTTGGGAAATAGCGTTTGTTGTTGCATCCAAAGTCAATTTTTAAATTATCAGTACAATGATGCAAAATTACATTAGCATTGTAATGACTTTGGACTCATTGCCAAGTATTCAGATTTGAGAACCTATTTTAGCTCTATTTAAGAATTATCAGATGTCATTAAATTCCATGAATAGAATTGAAACATTCTTTAAGGACAAAGATATTAAGATTCATAGCCAATCAAATGAGGCCAGCATTGAATTTAATAACGTGAGAACTGGGTGGAAAAAGTAATAGAACGAAGATACCATCTATGAACTAGACTAATCATAAACGGGCATGCTTTAGAGATAGGAAGATAAGTCTTAATTCATAGTTGAACTTAATATGAAGGTCTTGCCAGGCTAATTTGTTGCCATTGTTGGCAGTTCCGGATGCGGAAAGTCAACAATTCTACGTTCATTATTGGGAGAAACCTATATTGATAATGGAAATATATCATATCATGGACAAATCAGTGTGGCTTCATAAGAACCGTGGATTATTAATGATAGCATAAAGAATAATATCACCTATATGGATGTACTCAATGAAGAGAAGTACAGAAAGGTGATTGAATGTTGTTGCTTACAATAAGACATAGATGGTTTTAAATATCAAGACAATACCATACTGATTGAAAAGGGAGATAATCTATCAGGTGGATAATAGAAGAGAATCAACTTAGCAAGAGCAGTATACAAAGATGCTGATATCTATTTATTTGATGATCCATTAAGTGCTCTAGATATTAAGGTGAAGTACGAAATTTAGCAAAAGTGTTTTGAAGGGTATTTGAAAAAAAAGACCAGAATTCTGTTTACTAATTCATTGGCTAATTTGTAGAATTGCGATATGATTTATATATTTGAGGATGGCAAGATGATTAATTCTGGTACTTTTGCTGAATTAAAGAATATCAAGCAATCCCAAATTATAATCAACACACAAGAAAATAAGGAGTTGTTGGATAAGTAATTTGAAGAGAAAGTATATAAGACGCCTTAACATTAAGTAGAAACATAAGCTACTCTAATACAGGAAGAAGATAGAAATTAGGGTAATGTGGACACTAAAATAATGAAAAAGATCTTTGAGTTTCAAGGTAAGTCTATGATGGTAATCATCATAATATTTTATATTGGTATAGTAATGGCATGCCAATTATATGGGAATCAAATAATGGCTGACGATTCTATGTATTAATTGTTATTATCACAATAGACCAGATGAGGAATACAAAAGACTTGCCATCATTTACTATCCTATAATCCAAATTCCAGTGGTGATTGCCAACATAGTTATAATTTTGTACTTCCTTTTTCGGGGACTTAACACATCTGAGTAAATTCATGTTGATGTCATAAAAAGTTTATTAAAAGCATCGTTTACTAAATTTTACAACACAATCTTGATTGGAAGACTGATAAACAGGTTGGGCAAAGATATTACAAACATAGATTATATGTTTCCCAATGAGCTTTACAACCTCATTTTCAATATCATATCCTTACTTTTGCCTTTGGTAGCAAGCATCATTTATTTGAATCCAGTGGCATTACCTGTTCTGATAGTGTTCTTCCTTATTATGATAGCACTCACTGTCATATACTATAAATCACTTCGAGAAGTAAGCAGAATGGAAGCCATTTCGAAAAGTCCAATCGTTTCATTTTATTAATAGATTCTACGTGGAATCTTGTTTGTGAGAAGTTGTTTACCTCATCAGGAGGTCATAGATCGTCATTTAAAAAATGTTGACTTGGATTTGGGCAATCAAATAAATTTAAATGGAATATAATAATGGTATTAATCAATTGCAGGTACTGTAACTAACATATTCTAATCACTTCTTTTTATTGTTTGTGTAAGTGTTATTCATTACTATTATAGTTCTATGCCGAAGGTTCCACTCCATTTATGACGTACTTGATCTTATTACAAATGCAGAATGTATCGCAATTATTATTATTGGTGGCCATTTCGTATGGTAACATCCTTATCTATTGTATCTCTTTCGAAAGATGTCTACATTTAGCAAAGTAATGAGGTTTTTAGTAACTATTAGTTAAATTCCTTTAGAGGAGGAGGAGGTATAGGATTAAATTCAGGAGGAGTTGCACCACTCGAATTATTTGATAGAGATGCAGAATTGCAATTTCTAATATCGACCAAGAACCAAATAAGTATTAAAATAGTTGTCATTGTAAGTGAATACCGCTGAAAAAGTAATTGATAACAATAATGCAACTAGATTGGTATTGTGGGAAGAACTGGGGCTGGAAAAAGTTCGATAATAATGGCATTGACGTAGATGTTAGAATGTACTGATGGGAAGTTCTTTGTTGAAGGTCAAAGTGTTAGACAATTGAAATTATAGCAGTTGCGTTAAAAATTCAGTGTGATTCCATAAGAACCCCTTATTTTTAAGGGAACTCTTCAACAAAATCTAGATCCTTTAAATTAGTATGATATCAAATAGATTGAATCTGTGGCTTAGATTTGTTAATTGTTTAAAATAGATGCACTTAAAAAGAAGGAATTGCAAAGTGAGATTCAAGTGTTTGGATAGAATTTGAGTGTGGGAGAAAAACAACTAATCACGTTGGGTCGTTGTCTTTTAAACAAACGGAGTATTGTTTTGGTAGATGAAGCAACTGCAAATATTGATAGCAAAACTGAAGAAATGATAAAAGATGTAGGAATATGATTGTTATATGTAGATATTTGATAAGCACTTCACTCAGTCTGCAATGATCATGATAGCACACAAAATAACAACAATAATGAATTGTGATAAAATTATAGTTCTATCAGATGGATGCATCACGGAATGCGATACTCCCAGGAACCTCCTGCTCAACCCAGATAGCGAATTCAAGAAGATAGTGGATTTGATCAAATAGTCTGAACAACTATGAGATATTCATATATTTTAATTTAATGATAAAAGACGAGGATTCCACCTTTAGAATATTTGTAATACTACTCAACTCCTTGTCCTTTATACTCACCATCCTAATTCTGCTGTTTATATGCAGAATAAAACAGCTTCATGAAAGACAAGGTCACACGATTCAAATTGTTCTCATTTTAGAATGCATGTTCTCCTTTTTCTTAATACTTTCACAATTTTATTTCGACGCACATGATACTTATGAGACAACATTTTATGTGGACAATTAAGGCAAAGGTTGCATAGCAATTGGCATACTTAATGTATTCACATCATTCGCATATTTTACAAATATCAACCTTTACTCCTTCGAATCCTTGGGCATATTGAGTTCGAAATTCAGCAAGAATTACAAATTGCGACATTTGGCTGTTGTGTCAGGTTCCACATTTTTTGCTCTATTGGCATTCTTATTCGATGCCATAGGATTCAACAAAATAGGCATGTGTTCCTTACTTCCTGAAAATCTGTTCGCAGCATTTTTGTTAATACTCACATCCATCACCTTCATTATATTAGTTTGGACTTGTACATAAATTCATGGACTAAGAAAAGTACTAGGCAAAGACTTGACTTCACGGATCTAAGACAAAAAGTACAAAGTGAATTTGATTTACATCATAACTTTCCTCATCATTAGAATACTACCGGTATCAATCTCCTGTTGATTATTATAGGTATTGATCTTGACAATCATTTCTCTTGCAGATAGCGATACAGAAACCTACAATGTTGCTTTCTATGTGTTAGCAATCCCTATGTCATTAGGAGGAGTGTGTTTGAGTTCGATCAGATCTCAAGAACCAACAATTCAGGATTATTTGACTCGGAAACTGCAAAAATAAAAATCTGGAATTGTCGAACTTTCCTTACCCAAAATGGAAGCGAGAGCCTTGAGCAACTCCATTTCGAATTTGAGTTCAGATTCCTTGATTATTAAAACACATTATCTCTCTTACCTGCAAGGAACGACGAGAGACAACAGTGTAGCCTATCGGAAGACCTGTTTGGACAATGAAGAATTGTAATAAATTACATTTATAATAAGGGTTGCAAAACTGACATCTCAGATGGAAAATAATCAGATTAAGTTGAAATTCAATGAATTCCTCTTTATATTCAAAATAATCAGAGAAATGAACACCAGTTAAATAATACCCATTACGATTACGAATTTATCACATTATCACATGAAACACATGAGATAGAAGATCATCTATTTCGATTGCGATTCCGACTTAAATGTCCCAGAAATTGTATGCACCAGTTATGCAGAATCCGTTTTCATTTAAATACACTCAATCGAATAATTTATTACATCATTTGATGAACAATTTAATAAACATTTTGTAGAATAACTGCAAAACTCTAAACTGAAATCATAAACTAATACCCTAACCACATACGACGGAGAAGTACTTATCTCCATTATTAATAATTAAGCCAAGAGATATTTGACAAGGCATTTACTGTCAGCTATTTACAACTTAAGCATTTCTGCCTAGAGATCATTCATCCCCCCCATGATTGGACTCTACTCAATCGTGAATGAGGATAATCAGTTCTCAACTCTAATCTAGAGGAATCTCCTCAATTCCATCGTCTTGGAGCAGTAAGGCTTCAAAATCTAAGGGTTCTTCACCTATTAGGTGGGCCAAGTCGACGAGGAAATCAAGGGGGGAAGTGACACCTATGCCAAGATGAAGATGAATCCCAAGGTGAAACAAGAATTTCTCAACACCCTCAATCAGGACCTGATGATCCTTAGAGATCAGTTTTTGTGGGGATACTCCTTCTCCGTGATCTATTTGGAGGCCGAAGAGGGAATTAAGATGCCTCCAAATATGTACAAGACTCGCAATGGATATGTGGTTGCGAGTCTAGGAGGTATTTTAGATTAGTTCTGGATTTCCAATAACGAAACCACTGCCCACCCAGAACTGTACGCATCGTAATTAGCTTAACAAATTGATTTATTATTATGATAGCTCTTGCTTGTTAATTATTTATAATCATTAATTCATCATGTCAAGTATTTGATCATATTGATAAGCATCCAAATTGGCCAAATCTTGTTCGTTCAAACCCAACTCAGATTGTAGCTGCTTCAATTCCCTCTATTCACTTTGATTCAAGCTCTTGTCCAAATTCAATAACAATCGATGGTATTGGCTCTCAGTCAATTGCTTGGAATCGTATTCTGCCTGCTTTTTCTTACCGCTTACATTGAATTCTCCAATCATTTGTTATTTATATCCTTTCAATAAGGCTTATTACTTATATTCTGTAATGATTTATTGCTTATAATCAGATAAATATTATTGTAATTATGCTTTAGGCATAACTAAAAAAGGTTTTTCTTTTTTTTAGTTCTACACTTCTTTCTTTTAATTATTATTATTATTATTGTTTCCATTCATTTCTCCTAGAACATCATATATTGATTTAGAGTCATCTTTCAGCTATGATTAATGTCTCACTATTGGTTTATCTTAATTACCAAACTAAAAGCTCAAATTACTCAACAAAGAATTATCCTTTTATTATTATTATGCATTATTAGGTTATAAATTTCTTTAATTATTGAATTAAATTCCACTTTCCACTCCCCAATATTTTTCAACTCTACTTTTTTGTTTATTTTACTTCTGATCATTTTACTTATCATTACTCTTCGATATCACAACTTCTTCAACTTGGTTAAAACCATGAACAACTTAAAATGTAGTTTGCTTTTGTTATTTATTATCCTCCCAAAGTTTCTCAGCTTTCAACCTGGCTTATTCAATTACAAAATCATCAAGAGTGTCCTTTTCTATTTTCTCCTTCGGTTTCATATCATATACAAGTATTTTAAAACCAGTATTTTATGCCATTTTGAGTAGAACCCAACATATTTTAGCAGTGAAATAATCCTATTCCCCCAATTTATATTTAACATTATGGATCTTCTATTTAAGTCCTACATCTTGAGGCCATTTCTGTTGAATCTTCATTAATTCTATCTCTTCCAAAATGTAATAATAGAAATATTATGCAATATGATGACCACAATCACAATACAATTATATTTTTCTAGGAATTTCATTCCTCATATCCTCTTGAATCTAACCAATAAGCAACTCTCTTGAGGGGTTCTTGGCAAATTTGTAAGGCTGAAAGATCTGAGAAATCAAGTATTGCCCTAATTCATAGACTTCATCTAGGGTGGTGCGAGCTATGGTTTCTTCAAGAAAATCAATCATTTTCAATCTCCTTGCTTCAATGTCACAAATCAAGGCAATCCATCTCTCATCATAGTATATTGCCATAATAACCTACTCATATTCAGTGTAATTTGCTTTTGGACCCTCCAAGTTGTCAGAGAGAAAGAAGAATTCAGCTCTTTTAGAGAAACGATCATAATTTACAACTTTAATGCATAAGACACCTAATTTGAGTTTGGCTTGCATTTTAAACGTGTTTTTCCTGTCCTCAAGATAATCATGTAAATAACGCATAAAGATTCCCATAACATTAATTGAAACTGCTACTTGGTTCTTGAATTATGTAAATTCTCCCCACTTTACTTGTAAGTTGTAGCGTCTCAATAAGATGTCACTGTCATGATGTCTCTCATCTCCTTCGTCTTCTTGTTCCAATAACTCGGCATATTCCTGAACATCGAATTCGTGCAACAATGGCAATTCAAACTTGAGTATCTCGTCAGGTTAATCTATCAAATCATCATCATTCTATTTCGCATCGTAATCCTCCACATTTTTACGATACATCCTTTTCAAATACTCTGGTAGGACAGCTTCCCATGAACCATCTTTGAAGATGGCTGCCTTCGAACATTGTATACTGAATTTGTTGTAAGTGTTCCAGATAACTTCATTAATCTTCCTCATATCTTCATCCATATAAAAACCCTATAAGTCGATCATCTTTCTACAAGTGTGACACATAAAGTTTGCATAACTTGAATAATTCTATTTCTCATATCGTTCATAGAGTTCTTGAAGATCGTAAATGCAGGTCGGTTTTAAACATTACGTATTCCTCATGGGAACTATTTACTTTCTTCCACTGAATTCTGTGAAGATTGGAGTTTCTACATAATTTAGAGTCCGATCATAAAAAAAGAATCTCTTTAGCATTCCTTTTTTGGCTCTCCCAAAAAACTTGTTATTAAATTCTTCTTACTTTTATTTTTATAGCATTAATTATTACATCTCAAAATTAATTATAAATAAATATAACAATTAATTTAAATCAAACTTAATTCAACAAAACCCTTTGATCCTTTATTCTATTTCTCTTACCTTGGCGATACATGAATAACCCAAATCCAAGAACACTCACAGTCCCTAGAACAATCAACACTATTGCCCAGGCTGGAAAACTGTCTTCTTTTGGAATTGGTAACATGTATTCCTATATCTTCACCTTCTCATCTAAATACATTTAGTAATCTAGATTTGACAATTTAAATTTCACATTATCTTAAAAGAAGTCCTCATCGATGCATAATTAAGGGGATCTTTAGATTGTGTAATGTTAGAGTTAATCTTTATCTTCAATTGATGTCAGCAAATGCAACTTCTCATCACTACTATACACGAACGACGTAATCTAATAGATCGGAGCACCTATTTTTTATGGAGATGTTATTCCAACTATCGCATTGTTAGGTTTGGAATTGCTGCTTGGCGTTGAAAGGTCGTAAATTAAAAGCAAACTTTGATCAGCCTAAAAATAGATCAAATGCAAGAAATTCTGGCTTACAAAAAAGATTTGGAATATCCCAAGCAAATACCAATCTCCATATTATTGATATACTCCGTTTAATTAAAATTTACTAATCTCACATAATTCTTTGTTTTAGCAATCATTTTGGAATTTAAAAGAATACGATGCGCTGTTCTTAAATATTATGATTATTTCATCTTTCCATAACACAAACCCATCAGAGAATTGTTGCTATTACACATTGATATTATATTCAGCGATTATTGGCTTAATCTATATATTTGTAGTATTATAATTAGATATTGTAGATGTTCTAGATATTTGCCTTGTTTGTAATTCCGGATTACCCTGATAATCCACGGAAATAAATTAATATATATCCTTCTATAAATGTCTAAATTCCATTTAAATCAAATCAGGGTTCTATTAGAATTTCTGGATCTATTCAAAAGATTCTAACATAACTGCAGCTCCTTTGGTGTCATAAACCTCCACTAAACTTTCAATATAAACAAAGAAATAGTTCATATGCAGATATACATTCTTTATCATTGATTTAAATTCAAGCCTATTCTCCAACAAAGCACACTTGTATTTTTGACATTAAACTATTCTCAATTCGATAGTATCATCTGTAATAACTTAAATATAGATATTATGTCCATCAATTAAGAACATTTTATGAAATGTGTACATTTAATCCAATTAAAATTCTTCTGTGACAGAGAGATCTGCCTTCCTTAGAAACTTAAGCTTGTTACCCATCATTTAAACTAATGTATCATCATCGAACTCTCTTATATATACGCTAAACTCCAAGGTTTCCTTCTATTTAGTCAACACTGGATTGAATTAAACATTCTTCGATGGTTCTGCTAATTCTAAATCCAAGGCTTGACCACTGTACCAAGATTGTCCTAAGTCCACGCAATGTTTTTCATCACTACTTGACTTATAAGTTAGATTAAATGAGTCATTAATTTAAAATAATTTGACTCCTCTGTTTACTATATTTACTGGAATTGTTGTGATTAATTTATTAGATGAATCATTATTTATTATGAGACTTAAGTTTATCTATTTTGAATACTCAACCTATTGATAATTTTCATTTATTTTAGCGCTTACGAATAACTATCCTTTAATGTACAATATTTATAAATTCTACTAATTGTTTCCTTTATCTGTGATAAAGATATATTCTCCAGTTGCTGAAATCTAGGCCATAAATGTTACATCAATTACGCTGAAGAGAGAATCTAAACTACTTGATTTGGTTGAATAGATTAAGACTACATGTTTTTATCGCTTTGTGTTCCAACCAATAAGGTAAAACAAATTATTGATGAATGAATACTTCATATTATTGAGATTAATTTTCGAATAGCCATTAATTCCTATCTATTTCTATAGATAAATGTTCTTCTGATTTTTATAATTGTACATCTTTACATCATATTCCTCTTTGTCCTTGATCTTACCAAACCTAACAAAGTAATCGTCAAAAATAGCTAAATTAGTATCTTCGTAATCATTTTCAATTTCTATAAACTAAATTAGTGTTTCCTTGTTGTATGCTATGTTATAAATGTACAACGTTCTAGCTACTTCCAAAAACATGTAGTTTTTTTAAGCCTCTGATGCATATAGTTTGTCAACTTGAACTTCTATGGTTTACAAGAGTTTCTCTTTTCCAGCAACAGTTATGGAGTAGATCTTAACATCCTATGCAGTTGACGCAAATAAGTGATAGCCATCTGTGGCAATCTATTTTATATCACTCTCCAAGACAATTGCAGTTAGAACAGCAAGCTTTTTGTCTTTGTATATGTAAGTGTATATTATTATAGTTGAGTCTCCAAAAACAGCAAAGAACAGAGAATCTTCATTGTACCACCAAAGCTAATTCTGGGTTGCAGACAATTTGATAAATTCTGGCTTTGTAAAAAGAATGTGACAATTAAGGTGAATTGGTGCAAAGTTAGTGCATGAATAACCAATTAGTTAAAGATTTGAATCTTATTCCACTAAATATAATTTCGGTTAATATCTTCTTTATAATATCTCTCTGTAAATAATATACCTGGATTCTGTTACATTCTTCAAGAATGCATACTTAAATTGATTAACTGTTATGGAAATGATTGAATTAGGTTGGAAATTGTATTGCAAATTGGATCCCTAAAACACAGGCCTTAACTTCACTTTAGCCTTGTCCTAATATACTCCTGAAGCAATCAAACCTTGCGAATATTGTTATGTTATGATTTGATCATTATTGATATTCTCAGTCTTATAGAAAATTGTTATTTCACAATCCCACGGGATATCTTCTTAATTTAACACAACTTTCAAATATTTCTACTCCAATATCTGATTAAATGTAACTTATAAGAAATACTCCTTATTGTTTGAATAAGCATATGTCATATTATCACTAACAGCAATAAATCCATTGGAGTAAGGATTGGTAATTATTTAATAACTTTAGTTCCCTAAATTTAAGGTCTACAATTTTGCCAATCCTAAAGTAAATAAGGTAATATCTTGCTTCTAGTGAAGTAATACACTTCCATTGGTAAGGTAAATTCTGTTGGATTCATTAAAATTCAGATACTCCTTTTTCTAACACTCTTCATCTATCTATTTGTATCTTATCTCTGACTTGTTCATAATCACATATGAGTCGGTATAGATATCATAGTCATACCCTTGAATATCATCCATCTCTGTGTCAATGGTCTTAATTAATTGCCAATTGTCGTTCTTGTATTCAACTACAACTATTTCACCGAAAGCATTCATTATGCTAATCTAGCCATTGGTGTGTGCTTAGAAATCTCTTATTGACAATTTGAAATTGTCTTTTTATAGCAAATCGATCAATTACAATTCATCTAATGATTTTAAAAATTTTAGTGTCTCTTGTTCTTCAATATATAAATCAATTTTATTAACAGTCCCCCTTATCAAATAGGAGTCAACTTAATCAAGTTTTCGAAATTCAGAATTGGGTTTTTCTACTTCTAGTTATTTTACATTCTCATTCTACATAATGCTAAAATAACTATTGTTGAGAGTATCTTAGCATTCTACGATGACCAAAGTTTTTAATTCAACAATGTCATAACAAATTGAAGCTTGTTTTTCTTTGCATGCAGATACATGCTGAATTTACGGGAGAGTTTAGTAGATACCCACATTTTAATATAGGAAATAGTTTCCTTAATGAACCAAAGCAGTCATATGTTATATCGGATCTCTGCTTTTGGTAGATTTAAAGAGCTTTGAAGAAATTGTTTACGAATTGGCTTTCTCACCAAATCTTAATTCTGAATATAGTTAAATTGGAGCCGCAATTATAAAGTCTTTGGTTGATTCCTTAAAAGTAAGGTTTCTATAATCCGAATTTAGAAATATTTAGGAAAGTGGAACATTGATAACTTCTTTGTAGGTACCCGTCAGAAACATGGTATTGTTGTAAAGTTGAGAGCACGAGTTTACAATCATCATAAGACATGAAAAAAGGAGTTGATTTGTGATCATATTGTAAAAATTTAAAAGTGGGAAAAATGATTTGTAGTTTACATTAATTGAGTGTAGAATGAATAATGATTATCATTCTTCATAAAAACTTTTTATTAATATAATAATCAGGCTACTATAATAAAGCTCTACCTTGTTATAGCTTTGATTATAATTATATGATTATTAATTTTCATTTATTTTGAAGTTTCTCTAGTAATTGGAAATATTATAATAAATCTAATTTCACATATAAATTAAATAGTTAATTAAATAGTTTTTAATTATTACATTAAATGAAAAGAATGTCTCAATTCCTGAGAAAATATAAGGGAGAATTTCAAAATAATTTACATTTTGTTATATTTTATAATTTTATAATTCATGCTCAGTTTATTTGACATTATGTAATCTCATTACTTTATGATCTATAATTCAACACTATCTACTTATTGGCGTCCTCTCCAAAGAATACAACGGAATAGTTCTATTATGTTAATAATATTGTATGTATGGGTCCAACAGAGAAGGATGAAGTTTCAGAATTTCCTGACAACTGATAAATATTTATTGCTGAGATGTTATTTGGTGACCAATAGGTTATTGCAAAGTAATTTTTGTATACATCTAATCTATTATTAGCAGGCCAATCCAGGTATTAATTGAGAGAAGTCTTTATATAAAATCTAGTAGTTTATTCATTCTCAAAAGTTACTGTTACAATGTAATGATCGTTATTGTTAGATGCAACTAAGATATCAAATTAATTGCCAATTTTAGAAATGATTCTACTAGTCATAAATATTTAATTCTTTTTCATAAACACTTAAGGTCTCAATTCTATCCTACCCTTATTAATTGGAATGAGTTAGTTTTATTTCAATTAACAATCGACCCAAAATAAACCATTGTCTCTATCAGCTAAGAACATTTTTGCTTTCAAAATTCCATCCTCCTCATATTAGTGAATGCTGAAATCAATAATGTCAATAATGTAGGTCAATCCAAAATAATAATAATCTAAATAGTAAGATGGAAATTTCAAGTAAAAGTTATCATCTGTTAAGACATAATTCATAAACATTACTCTACCCATATCATTAGAATTGTATGGATAATCTCTTTTAGCATTTAGTACTACAAGTGTATTTCCTACCACTTCCAGCTTTGAGAACTACTCTCCACAATTCCAAATTTCCTGAGTCTAACCTATTTGTTGGCAAACGTTGTTTTAACATCTATATGCACTAATATATGGGTATACTCCATATTAAAGACATACTGAAAAAACATGTTGTCCATCTGGGTGATTGATGACTCTTTAGCATTAATAGTTCGAGGAATCTTCTTCTTCGATTACTGCTAAAGTTTCTAATTCAGAGTTTGTCTTCAGGATTCTCTTAGTTGTTTGTAAATAATAAGTTTAATCTTATCCTCGAACTCCCTCTGAGAATCCTTCCTTCTGTAGTGGAAATTATGTTTGATGATTGCATCTGACATCACCAAATGCTCTTCCAAAGACAATAAATGTTGACAGTAACAAAATTGAAATCATTTCTGTTTAAATTCTGTAAATTTTGGAATTAAATAATAATCATAAAACTTTCGAGTTAATTATTTTTACACAATATTTTAAAAGTATAATTGTTTTAATTGTATCTTAATTGCTATATATATTTATTTCTGTAAATATAATTGTTTAATATTTTAAACTGATTTTTAAAAACCTCGAAAATGACTTTGAAAATTCATAAAACCAAGAAGACAAATTATTATATCACAATATTTTAATAACATTTCAAATATATTAGATATGAAAATTACTATATCCTAGTCCTTGCTACCATATCAATCCAAAAAGCTATTACTATTTGACTTTAACTTTAAGCCATTTACACTAACAATTAGTTGTAGTATCAAATTTTATTATATAATATAATATGTGAAGTGATTATTAAATCCAGTATATTTCCTCTCGAAAATTTCTGTTTAGTAAAGCTATTTAATAGTTTAATGAATTAAATAATTATTCTATTTGATATCATAAGGATAGAAGTTGCTTGAGTCAAATTTGAGTTTCTATTTGGAATTTAATGTTAATGTTTGATATTTAAAAATAAAATATTAAAATATACTGATCGTTCTTTCCTAATTTTTGTAAATGGAGAATAAATACAATGAATTTATTTTGATTTAGAAAGTTAGAATATAGTATTAATACATTTATAAAAAATGTAAAAATTAGATATTTACATCTCTAAATCATTTCATCTTTATTTTATTAATTTAAATATAATAATGCAAGAGTTCATCTTATAAACACCAGGATTAGTTCAAATGCTTTATGCAGCCTACTACTTTGTCAAGCGCATATATACTTTAGAATAGGTTCAAGAAGTAATAACACATGTGAAGGCTATTCAAACAAAAGACACGAAAACCTTAGTTGCCTCCCTCAAACATGAGTTTCAATCTGAATTACTGAGGGAACTCTTTTATTTCTATTACAGAGCTCTTAGTTTTTAGAAAGCCTTCCTTAACACCGAAGACTTACAGGAAGAAGGGGTTGAATAAGACATACTTTACTTAGAGGGCCTTATAAGCGTGAAGTCTAAAGGATACTGACACTATTATGAATTATTATACAAATATTTAATCTCATATATAATAGAATTTATTTATATAGAGTGGATCAAAGAGAGGTATCTAATTATAAAGTGGAAACACATAATTCTAATACAATTAAGCTGAGAGAATTTAGATGTAATTTAAATAGTAACATTCACGATGGAATATTATTCTAATTGGCAAATAACATTAATAGAGCCAGATAGAGGCAAAAAATTAAATTAAATTATTAACATAATTTCTTGATTATAAATTATTTTTTATGATATTTACAGAATTATATATATATGATTATAAAGTGATAAAAATAATTCAATAATTATCATATTCTTCTTAATATTAATGGTTACCTTTTTTGGAAATGACAACCCACACACAAAAACCAATTAGGAACCCTATTACAAATATCAGGAGGGCTCGTTTTGGATGAAACCTGAGCCAAGCCAAGGCAATTGTTATTAAAGTCAAAGGTAAGGATATTAAGAAACTAGCAAGAGCAAACAATAAGGTAGACAATTCAGCCATGAATCGACCCAAAAAAGGGAACCATGAAATTACATAGACAACAGGCGAAAAGAATAACATTAACCCAAAGAACTAAATATAATTGAATTATTCATACCATTAGTAGAAAACCTAAAAACCTGACAGCCATGGTCAATTTACGGGATTCATTAAGCTTATGATCAAATACTTAATGGATTGTTAGCATTTTTTCCAATAGCCAATCAATGTATTTAATCGGTTCTAATAAATGCTTAAGTTAACGTTTTAGTGCATTTTCATCATCTTTCTCCTCTAAAATCTACGATAAATCTTATCCAACATAGATAGAATGATCGCTCCCTTTATCATCGTAATCATTAAGCAATTTGCTTTCATTAACATGTAATGAATATGGTTCGAAAGTGTTACCCTTTTATTGAGATACAATTGTGGCATCTCCACACTTTACTTTCTAAAATTTGATTCTTTGATCTCCTACTGTGAGGTTGCCATATACTTTGTTAAAATAAATGTACTCATCTTTTATTTTACTAGTTTGATAATTGATTATAGTCTTACGTGTGTTCTTAAGTCTTTTTAGGGAATGCTTTTGCACATGCAGTGACCCATTCTTGTGATGGTTGGATTTCTTAAAAATTCTTAGCTTATTTTAATTAGAATTTAGTAAGAAGATAAGCTCCTAAATACACATCTTTAGCGTATTTAGATTTCTTCTTGACAGTCCAATCCGATTCATTATTTTCAAAGTTTTCATAACTTCCTTGTTTAATTGCAGACCATTCAGGGACAAAGAATACTTTGATTTTTTTATTATTGCCAACTCCATCAGTCTCTTCTTTTCTGATCCATTGATAAGTTTCAACTTTACGTTTCAGAACCAAACAATTATCCACTTCAATCCCAAACTCCTCATCCTTAAGAATGTTATCAGTTCTTGTCTAGCCATTTATGTGGATTAACCTTTTCTCTAAATTAGGATTGACTTCAAGACAATTGGTTGATACGCATTCCTTTTCTGCCCTTTCTAAATTTACTTCATTTTCAGCAGCTCTTTATTTTTATCAAATATTATACTTGTATTCGTTGAGCCATAAGATAGGAAATGCCATAATGAATAATATAATCCCAGCTATAAATTCAACTAATGGATTTATTTGTGATTCTCCAGCATCATTTTTTGACGATCCACTCGAAGTCGAGGATGATGAATAAGGTTTTGAAGAGGATGATGATGCTTAATTTAAATAAATAAATACGTACATCCTTTGGTTCCGCTTTTCGTTCCTCCTGATTTCTTGCAATCTACAACCTGTAGCAACAATAGTGCTATAAATAGAGTAAATAGTAATTTTTGACTCATAATTGTAGATATTTAGACTTATCTGTTGTTTTGTTAAATGAAATATTAAATATATATAATCAATAATTCATTATTCTAGTACTTTTCATACATTCTCTATTGTCATTTCAAACGTTAAATACAGTCAATATCATATTAAGTTGAAACTGATACAATCTAAATTATTTGTGAAATTGCATTCATTTATCTTAGTTTGATTTGTAATTATTTATTAATAACTAAACTAAATTTTGAATAAATTCAGAGTTTTAATTTATATATTTCCTTTTAATAGTTCTTCCTAAGCCTAAGTGTTTGTTACCTATATATTAATTCTATAAATCATATTGTAAATGGTTAAATTCATTTAAATAAGAGAAAAAATTCTATGTTTTAATTTCATAAGAGATTCAAATATTGAGAGGAACCACATTTTATGTTTTAAGAGATTTCAAAGTAGTACTATTTCCAACAATTCTGTGTGATCCTAAACAATAATATTATACCATAAAAATATTCCATTATAATAGACTGAATGATATAGATATATTGCTTCTTAAGAAGGAAAAAGAAATTGAATAGTTTTATATATTAATAATAAGAATTTCTATATTGATATTTATTTATTTGTTATCATTTTGGAATAATTCTATTTGTTAAATCAAAATATCGCAAAATTAAGTAGAACGACATGATGCTTACGATTATCATAAGGATAGTATCTTTAGAGTTTTTATTGGGTTCGTTCTTTGGTTTCAAGATTGAATTGCTGTGAGTTTTTTGCAAGTTCAACTAAAATGGAATTTAAAATAAATGATTACAAGTTGCTATTCATTTTTTGCCAACTCTTACTACAACAGTTCAAAATTAGGTGGGTTGTTGCTGGCTTGAAATCTGGTTTAATCAAATTTTGGTTCTGTGGTGTCGTTGTGAAAATCCAATTGACTATTCTATTTATGAAGTGACTAAAACACTTGTTCAGGACCCCCACAACCCTATGATGTGATCTTTTTGTCCATAGTTTAGATGGCTATGCTGATTTTTTGGTTATCAGATGGTCTGCTGGGATCTTTGAAAATGGCTACTGGGTCTTGGATTCCTGAGAAAATTGGAATAGAGTTCAATTGCAATTTCTCATTGAATTCATTAGTCATAGCATTTTCAAGGACTTTGCAGTGGAGAGTGACATGCACTACTTGGTTTTGTTTAGGTTAGACTATTCCAATGGCTGGTCTTACTAGAAAGATATTTCGATTGGAGGCTTTGAACTAACAATGTCATCACAATAGTACTTTGAAAGCAATAGGGGTGAGAGTATCATTGTAGAGGGTGATGTTTGATTGCATGTTATCGTACTTGTTGTAGTTGAATTCAACATGATTAGAACTTAATCGAAGTAGTTCCATGTAAAATTAATTAATTATTAATTTATCGAATAGAATTGTTTCAAATAATACAAAATAAATCAAACTAATTATTTTAGTGAAGGAATGTATTGAATTGATAAATAATTAAGCAGTTCATAATTTAAATAATATTTAAAAAATGAGTTAGGTAGTAGGCGAGTTAAGATGTTTGGAATAGTGTAATAAGTCAATATAAATTAAAATATGATAATATATATAATTTTGGTAAGTGTGGGATATGCGTAATTCGGATATGTGCAGGAGGTGATGAATTAGTTGGTAGACTAGGAATGCAGTCTGAAAAATAGAATAGCTTATGGACAATAGAAACTTCATTAGTTGACTGGAATGTACTTTTGCGATTCATATGCAAAGAGAACATGTTGCAGCTAACAAAATCTGGAGGAGTTGAAATTTAAGTACACTTGATTATAGTATGTCGTAGATGGTACAGAGAATAGCAATTAGCAGTAGAACTCAGTCAGTAGTGTTAGGAAATATTTACTAAGACCATTTGTTCAGATTGTGATGGCGATATTGGATAACAAATAAGAGTTGGGTTCTGCCCTCATTATTGCACCCAGATGTATTAGGCTTGTTGGAGAGACTTATTCTAGTATGATGAAAAAACTCAGAAATTGAGACTTTGCTATTAAGTAAGAACATTTATAATTCTAGAATGACGTGTTATGTTCTGAATTAAGAAATATTGTGAATAATGGGGATCAATTCTGCACTTCATTAGGATACAAAGTGAATTCCTATTCGGATAGAGAGGAATGGATGGAGAATAAGTATTTGAATCTATCCACAATGCCCTTGTGTTGGGATGGCACTCCTTCCCATAGAATTTGGAGTTCTGGCACCAAATTACCAGAAACGAAGGTGGGTGGAAGGACCAAGAAACAAAATAACAACGAGGAGTAAAAATCTTACTTAAGATTTTACGTTTTCGCTGGTTTAGCTTTAGTAGTGGTTGGATTTTTTATTGCAAAAAAAAAAGTATTGTTTTGGAAATGATTGATAAAATGTATGTATTTTAATAATGTCACAACTTCACCTATAATGCTGGCAATTAATCAATATCTGGATAAGAATAAAGATGATCATATTTCTATTTGATAAACTAATCAGATTCTGATAGATTCTCTGATTGCCACTTGATGAGTGGATGATCAACATGATTAAGGGAATATTGATAAGTGTAAAATGGTTTTTATTCTTTTGTTGTTATTGAAAAACTGTAAGTCTGATGAGGCAACATTTTAATGGGCCTCTTGAATTCCAAATAATATAAGTGCCCATCCACAATTTTCAATTTTTCATGTTCCAATATTATTTTTTCTTTGAGTATATATTTGGTTAGATCATGTCCTAAATGTAACTTGTAGGTTATTTAAAATGAAGATTTGCTTTGTGAATCATAATTTGTTGAATTGTAACTACCCTTGTATAACATAGGCTAGTAGATTCCAATTAAATACAAAGGTTTGTCTCTGATTTGGAATTAATTGACTCTGATTGTGTTCTTATTGAAGACACTTGGTTGGCTCAAACCCTCTTCAGCTGAAAGATATGATGATAAAAATACTAATCCAGACTTTCTTCAATCTATCGATTCTTTCACTTTGGGTATAAAATATCCTATTGACACAATCTAATTGATTAAGCACTTCCTTTTATAGATGTGGAATCCTTTCATTGAGATAGTCTTTGAGTTCAATGAGTTTTTGTTTGTTTTAACTCTCTTTTAATGTTACTTAGTTTTTTTAAATGTCTTTCTTTTCCTTTAAAAGATATTCTCTTAAATCTTCAAGGTCTTCTTTGCCGAAGTCATTGATGCTCTTTAAGAATTTGTAGGCGTATTGATTCATTTATTCATCGTTGACTAAATTGCTTATAATGATCCTTAATTCTTCTTCCAAGAGATTCAATTAATTAAGGATTGTTTTCTTGAATTCACGATAGATGTTGAATGTTTCCAATCCCAACTTGTCTTGAGAGAATTCATTGACATTGGAAGAGCGTTTGAGTAGAAGATCCAATTTATTTCATGTAAATGATGTCTTTGGAGTGTTCCACATGGAGCTTGACACAGGTCGAACAAAAGTAGTGTAATTCTTTGCATTGTTCATTCAGACACAAGTTGCTGATTGGCTTTTCAGGGTGCTTTAAGCATTTGATCAACTAGAATCGTTCGATAAAATTCATATAAATACTAATGATTATATTGATATTAAATAGTGATCAATAAAAATAATATAAGAATTGATTAGATTGTTATTAAAAGAATTTCAGTTTGAATTAAAATATTTGAATTTGTGAATTCTGTGGCCATTTGATTTAGTAACAGTAAATTTAATTGATATGGAGCTGAAGACAAAATACTGGGTAACAGTATAATTGATATTCAACTTAACTATATGAAATACATATTGATTGAAATCAGTGTCTCTGGTTGAGTTTAATTTGGAGTCTGCGAACATAGGTTTCCACATCAAAATTCTATTGGATATTTGGTTTATTCTCTTTGTTAGAGCGCTCCGAATGATATTAATTGAGAGGTGCTTGCGGTTGAGTGAATTAAGAGTATCTTCTTTGTGTAATTTGAAAATCCCTCTGGTTAGCTATTGATTGAGCTTGGAATTGGAGGTCAGGTTGGCAATCGAACTTATGTTTTGGCTCGTACTTCTTGTGCCAATCTGTGTACTTGTTTGGAGTGTATCGCGTGGTGTGTTCTTGAAGCTGGTTTTAATACTTAGAATAGGATCTGATTGGATATTATTACATGCGAATAAATATAATTAAATTAAATTATTAGATATGGTAAAGTTGCTGTCCAAATCACCAGTGGCATTAAATAGTCCAACTCTGTAACAATGGGACAACAGTTTCAGAGAGAATTACGAGATGTATTAAACAGAGATTGACAAAAATACCTATGCATTACAGAGAAGCATTAGGGGGTTCTGGATATTTGGAAAGGCATTCTACCCTGCTTTGACTCAGCATTACAGTTAGAAATTAGAGCTATACCAATTGAAATAGCAATTAGGAAAGGTATGATGTATTATTATTCACATTTCAGATTGAATAATCAGAGGTCAATTTATATAAGACTGTCGACCCAAGCATCAGCACCGTCTTGAATAAGACCTTCAGCACTCAATGGCCTTTGGTGGAATCTCCAAGACATATCCATTACAGCTGGGCTACAAGTCTACGCTCAATTGTTTAATTTTGGATACTCATGGCGATTCGGATTCTTGGTTCTCCCATATTGTGCTAGAGTAAGTAATCGCTTAACATCTAGGTCTTCTATGACTATGCAACATCATACTAAAATAAATCAAGGGCAGTCGAATTTCTCAACTGGGCAATCCAATACAGAAAAGCTAAGAGCCAAATCGAAAGAGGCACTCTGGACCCACTAGCAACTGAGAAATATTAGGCCCTCTTTGGAACTGTGAAGAAGGGACCACTACAAGTTTATGCCAGATGTTATCTAATTGGCTTCATAATAAAATCCCAATTTGTGATGGATAAAATAAATGATATAATGAATATCAATCATTGGAATAATATTTACTTCATAATCTCAGTTAGAAAGGCTCCAGCCAATCCACTGAGAATTTCTAAGTCTCCTTAATTTATTATTTCTCCATCCCTTTCTTATTATTCAATTAGTAGTAGCCTTGACTTTATACAATATATTTACCCCTCAAATCAAGCAAAAACTTTATAAAATATAACTAAATATTTCAATTTTAAAAGAACAATTTTGATCATGATGTGCTCTTACTTATTTGATTTTTCCCCATTTTATTATCCCAATTCTCTATTAGAATTATTTATTACATTTAAATGGTCTATATCAATTAGAGTGCAAATTATAGAGATAATCAGATTTGCCACATCTCAGACAATTCTATTCATGATCAAAAATTAAATATAATCCTCTATACACTCTAAATACCCTATTTATTATCAGCCTTCTGATTTCTCATTGTACATATTTTATAATTAATAATAATCAAAACAGTTCTGTAACCAGTGATTAAAGATAGCTCTAATTCATCCTCTAAAATATTATTTTTCTCAACAAATATATAATACACAAAAATATCCAAAATTTTATGATACCAATTTAAATTCTAAATAATTGTATCCCATTTGCTCTAATTGCATAATTAAAATTATTAATACATAATTATATATTAAATCTATTATTCAATCTATTCTTTTAAGTAATGTACTGAGTGTCTAGTCCAATTCGTGTAAGGAATGCAAATAACTAAATGAATAATTAGATTCATATACTTGGAACTCAAATCTCGTATATCCTTTTTGGACATTTAACCTAGACCATTACTGATTTTAATCAAATCAGAAACACTCACATAACCTTCGTTTTTAATCTTCATAAAAGAGTTCTGATTTTCCTTCCAACAATTGGCATCAAATTGAACATATGGTTGAGATGTGGATCTTTAGATATAAGATTGATCAAAACTGGTTTTCATATTTTGATAACTCTTAATAGGTTCTTAGACGCTCTGTCTTAGTTGAGTGCTCTTCAAAATAAACGACAATTATTTTGTCGAATTCTTCCCACTTGGAGATTTTTCTTAAGTGTTATTAATTTTTGCCTAAGTCACTTATCTAACATAATTCCTGAACTCAATCAGCTCTTGCCTTTGCGATTGATCGTACATTCAAGTAGCCGTTAATAAAAAATATTAATAATTCACAATTTGTTCAGGACTACTCATAGACCATCTTCACCACCACAGTCGGAGGGATCTTGTCTTCAAAAATCAATTGCTACAATGTTTCCTTAGATATCACTTGAGGTCTATCATAATTACTCTCGATCATTTTACCTATGAATTTGACTCACTATGTCCATAAGTATTTAATCGCTTAATACGTGATCCTTCCCATCTATTCTTGATGCCAACAATCTGAGCAATCCTTAAATCTCTGTAAATGGTATTTCACTGCGATCTTGAGCCAAAAAGAAGTCGTAAGTGAACTTGATGTAGTCCTCGAATGTCCCCTCCTGAAACACTATCAATTTATAGAAATGTTTGAATCCACTGAATGTAAAGAGGTCTCCCTTACAGAATGCCCAAACCACTCTCTCCACGATTTCGTCCTCTTTGCGTATCAAATCCCAAAAAACTTAACAATACGTCAAAAATGTATCCTTGTGAATAGCCACGTCGTCTTGTCCCTTCTCAACCTCCGAAACATCCAATAACACTTGATTCGATTTTCCAAAATCTATTGGCTCCGATGAATTGCTTTGTCTTGAATTCTTGACCACAAATTGGGGAGATATCTGAGAATTGGGAGTCTATTGAGTCTAACTCTAACCCATCTTCTTTTTGTGGAAATCCTGTATGCTGTAATAATGACTTATTGAGGAGATGGTTCCGAACTGTTACATCCGTATTTCTGGTTTCTGAAGTTAAGCATGCGATACCAATTTGTCATTATTTATCAATATGTTCCATTCCTTAACCAAATCCAACTCCTTTGTGGAGTTGTTCTTTATCATCCTTATCATGTTGTCTCGATACAAATACTTGGGATTCCCTTTCTGTCGCTCGAATACGGTGTTTTTGTCATAATCCAAGTATGATCTCAATCGAGACCCAAATCCTCTTAAATTTTCATTTAATACCACCACATTTTACACATTGGGGTCGATCTCTTGAGATGCACTCAAGTCGACCTCTTCAGACGATTTATACAATCTGGGTTGTGAGAGGAATGGAGATTTCCATGATTCTGATAATGGGTTTCTTTCGTTTAATTGTTATACTTTCTTATCCAACTTTTTGAGTTCTTTATTTCTATACTCCTATTATTACAGAGGATGCAATCCCTTCATTGCCTTTTCGAACAACAATGTCGGTTTGGATGGGAGTTGCTTATAATGTTTTAGCAAATCGTTTTTGGAGAGCTCCGAATTTATGATACTGGATTGTGCATCATCATGTATTGGTATGACTAGATCGACCAATTGCTTTTAAAAGTTTCGCTTTTCAACTATTTGTTCTAATTTCTTTTCATCATTAAATTTAGTTTTCTGAGGAGAACTCAATATTTATCGTTGTTAATGAATGATTTTCAATCTTGGCAATGTTGGTTTAAATATTACATTCTTTTTGCTTGAACAATTATTCATTTATATTATAACAAATTATATAAATTACATTCAATTCCTTATATATTTAGTAATATTAAATAAATCAGTCGTTTCATTTTTCTCAATTATTTTTCTTATGTTTCTCTCACCCATTCCTACCCCTCCTTTATTATTTTGAGTCTACTAGAAACAACTTAAAGTGTATAGATGTGAAAATATATATTGTAGTAAATTAAATCTAGTAAAATTTATTTTAATAATGAACAAGTTTAGTCTTACTTTCATTTAAAAATGCCTGGAATAAAAGTATTAGGGTCATAGATATTTATCAACGATACCTGCTTGCAAAGTTATTAATTTGATGTGCTTCACAATTTGCATGATTAGATCGATATTTTGCGTTATTGTGTAAGATTATATAAACGTTTTCATTTTTGCCCCGCTTGGGCTACTTGTTTTCATCGTTCACTTTGTAGTTATGTTTTATAAAAAATAATGGATAGACTTCTATCTAGTTGGAATAAACCATCTTTTAATGTGTTATCAAGTGTACACCGAGGCAGATTTCAAACCCCAAGAAGCTTTTGTCTTTGGATAAAACATGATGGTTATGCACACCATCATAATCCTAGTATCAGACTTCAAATTCGCCGTAATCCAAGTGATTAACAATGCCATCATCAAATTAGCAATTGCCAAATACTTTTAACCAGACATCTCTATCTAAGCCTTCATTTATTGTTTCATCCTCACTCTTATGATCGTAATCCCTCTCCAAAGAACCAACAAACAGTACAGGGAATCATTTCTCTATACAACATAAAATAATTCTTTAGGTATTATTGACTATTAAAATTCATATAGACTGGATTATCCCCAAAATTATTGAGAACCCTTTTGCCATTTTTGTTTACGACAAAGAAAACGTGGGTTTTCAGGTCAAACTCTCCAATTTCAATTCCTTCAATTAATTCGAATCAACCAACTCCAATCTTCAGAATCTTAATTTTATTTTAAGGAATTATAAGCTCAATGGAAAAACACTTGAAACCTTCGTCCTTAATCGAAGAAAAAATTCTGATAACATCACTGTCAATCAAGAACACGAAATCATTAATTCCAAGAACTACTCTGACAGAATCTACATCAAATATTCAGAAGTCTAACTCACCGAATAAACCTTCATTATCATCCTGGATCAGAAACAATAGAGTTATATAAAAATGGAACACAAAATACAAAGACTAGAAACAGGAATCAATCTATTTTTAAACCAATTGAAAGCATTCCTAATTAAACAATTACTGATGTTAAATAAATCTACCGCATAAGATTTATCCTACATATATTAGAACAAAGTCAATTTAATGTACATTCTCACCAAATTATCTGTTTAACCAAATTTATTTGTGCACTAATGTAAGGTTGTACCAAAAATTTAAAATTTTATTAAATTATTCAATAAGGCTTACAATAAGCGAGTTCATTTTTAGTTTGACAAACAACACCTTTAAATTTTGACATACAAGAATGTGTTTGAGGAACTCTTAACCATATTAATGACATTCATATTTCGAACATAAGAGAGCTCCCAAGCAAAATTAATATTACGAGGTAGCTACTATCAGAATGAGCAATTTTTGGATCTCTTAATCAAATATGATCAATCCTATTAATTGTTTTAGTAACTCCAATAAAATATTCACTTTCGGAGCAATCTAAAATAGATAGGACCTTATGATAGGGTACTTATGGAAAATAATGGTATATGTTGAATTAATCTGTAGTTGTAATTATTAGATTATATAGAGATTTGAGTTAGATCAATCAGTTCTCAAATTTTGTAAATTAGCCAAAAACATGATCCTAATTAAGTCCATTTGATTTTATAAATTTGTTAATATTTTTGCTTAAACAGATTGCTCAATTTGGAGAGTGTGAATTAAATTCTAGATGTCTAAAGAGTCATCTTTGTTGTACTTGATAGAATTGAATATAAAATGATATCAATATTGCTTTATTTTCTTTACTTAATAGTTGATAATAAGATATAATAGGAGAATTAAATTTCTTATAAATTATCATTATATTGTAGTCTTTATTATAATTATTATTCTTTAAAACTTGATAATATTGAGTAGATGAATAAATTTAAGTTAAATAGAGTTTATGCGAATTATATGATGAATAATATAAGTTATCCATAATGAATCATATTTTTGCCCTGGTAGAGTAATCTTATTTAAATACAATAAAAATAATAATTTAATATTAGGGATATAAATCCTATTCTGTTTTATTTTGTTAATAGACAATAGATTATATTAATGCTAATGGAGTACTTGGTATATCAACAAAAATACACTCAAATTATAATAGAGATAAATATTAAATCAACTAAATAATTTTGTAAACTGTTAATATTATTACTGTTCTATCTTCTCATATCTAGTTATACATATATTCTTAAGATCAAGGTTTTATTTAGACAGTGTGAATATGATCATAACCAATCTAATTTCAATAAAGCAACCAGGATTAATAAAGAATTGCTAAACAGTACTGAACAAATAACAATAGTGTTAATATAAATTCATAATAAAAATAAAGTGAATTATTGTTAAAAAGTTCCGATTATATAATAAATTAATCTATTAATGTCCGATATTAAAATTACTCCGAGATAGCATGGGAGATCCAAAACAAAAACAAGTACATCTTTTGAATTCCAACCTTAGTTGATAACATTTAAGTTTAACAAAAAAAGCCAGGAATAACAAATGATCGATTAGTCGTTAATAAATTAGGACTGAAATTCGATCCGGTTTGTTGGAAAAAGACACACGAGAAAGGGAGAATTCAATACGTTTGCATAGTAAAATCTTAGACTTAATTTATCAAAGGAAAAAGATTGTAAGGCTGACAGAAGATTGGCATGTGCACATTGCATAATTGAAGAACACGATTAGCATGTTTCGAATAAGATAACAGTTGAGTAATATTGTGAAGCATTCGAGTACAATTATAAGTAATATGTGTTATAAGTATGATCAAAATTATATGGTGTAGGTAGCAAAAATGGAGGAAAACTATAAAAAATGCAAGATGATTGATGTTATAGAATAAATTGATAGAGACATGAATACCATATTTGAAATAATAAAATACCAACTAAAAACAGTGAGAGACAGGTACGTCTAAGACATGCAAACTCATTCCGAAACAACTAATGCATCTTTGATATAAAGTTTTAATGATGAAAGACAGATCCTATCAAAGATGAAGGAGTATGCAATTAAAAACCTCTATGAGATGACTCCCGCTGAAATGGATCATAGCTTATTATTAATCGGAAGCAGTCACATCGAATAAATAATATATAAACTAACCACTTTTGAAGACCAGAGTGCCACTATCTCTAGTACATTGAAGGCTTAATGGAAATTGATATATGAAGAATTAGAAGAGAAGTTAGGAGATGTGATCTCTTAGATTGGATAGTATAATTTAAATGTCTAAAAACCCAGTGGAAAAAGAACTCCAATTGATTAAGTTAATATGCTATTACAAGATCAAAAGTATTAAGATATGACAGCGTAATATACAACTACAACTAATAAGTCTGAATCCATACATATGTCAACCTTCTAAAGAACCAATTACTCATAGTAGCCACTGCTTAAGCTCTAACCAATTTAACTATTTTAGCATCTCTAATGTGTAGACAAACAACTCAACAAGCCTAACACATCTAAATTTGCAGACTCAGTTTCAGAAAGTGTAAAGTAGATAGATAGTCCGAAGGATCATACGAAAAGCATCAAATAGGTAGCTGGATCATCAGATGTAGTATCTCCTTTGAAAAGTGAATTGAATTCAAAATAACCAACATCAAAATAGAATTCTTTGAGGAACCTAATGCTGAAGAATCAAAATTAACCTCAATAATTGAAAGATGTCAATAATTAAACAATCAACAATAATTGTAACCAAAAATAATAGACATAACTTCGATAAATCAGTCCAAATGGAATGCATTATTATTATCAAAGTGATGGTAAGAAATTGGATGGAAAAAGAGGGAATCATCTGCAATCACAAAGTTCTTCATCTCTAAATTAGTAATCATTAGATAAAAGAGTGTCTGCATAGAAACTTTAAAGCTATCACATTCCTTGCAATTACAATAATATGAAGTGCATACATAATGATATAATTAAGGCAAGTCCAGTCTTTACATGTTGTAATTAAGTAATTATTTACATATATTATTTAGGCATACCCTTGTTATGAATGTCATGATTAGGTTGCCAATCACAAAGCCCATATAACAATTCCATCGTAAAGATACTGTTCAATTTGCAAAGAAATTTTCACAGTGAATCTATTGTCAACAGTGGATGTGAAATGCTACCATAAGGGTCTAGTTGATTAAGAGTAATCTCAAAACAATCCTCATTCATGAACAAACTTTATATTATAATTTATTATAAATACATCAGATGTTAATCTTGTGTGTTAGAGAGACAGTTAATTAAGTCTAATTGCCATCAAATATCTAATTGATTGTATGAGTAATTGTGACAATTTTTATAATAAATAATGCTATCCTACTTAAGATTTTTTAGATTCACTTCTTTTAGAACTGATCCCTATGTCCTCTTGGGCATTAGCAAAGATGCTTCAATGGAATAGATTAAGAAGGCGTACATTGAGATGTGCAAGAAATGTAATAAATTGATTAATTTGAAGATCACCCAGATTTGAATAGTGAGACAGATGCGAAGGAGAAATTTGCAGAAATACATTAGGCTTATAATCTATTGAAGCAACGCAAGTTTTACGAATAAGTGGAATAGGAATTCAAACAAAACTATTAGTAATTTTGATTCCTATTATAGTACAGCACATTCAGAGGAGGAATGTTTCAAATAAGTGTTTGGATTCTATTTCTATGAGAATCCATAAGAATATTATAAGCCTGAGAATGCACAGAAGAGGGCTGATTATCAGGAGATGCTGCGTAAATACCAATCTCAAAATGGGAAACAAGGCTAGTCTAATCAGCAAGTAGTTAATGATGTAAAGATAAATAGAAACTTTAATTCTGAGAGTATTTACAGTAACTAATATGTATGCAATCTAGGATATAGCGATCATAGTCTGCTTAAGGCATTAATGATGTTCACATTTGTTGTGTCAGTAACGAGTGCCTACATTTTCTTCTATAAGAGATCGACTACTTATGCTAAAAACACAATTACAGACTCTCAAATACTCCGAATGAGAACGTTATCTTTGATCAGACAGCAGAAAGAAGCTGAAGAAAAATAATTAAAACTTTGATGAAACCATTAATTGAATTTTATTAACAATTTTAATCAAATAATATTTTAGTAGCAACTAAAAAATAAAATTGTCAATTCTCATTCATATTCAATTACAATTAGTATTGTGATATCAATCTCTTCACTATTTCAATTATGGTAGCATTGCTATTAGGAATAAATAAATCTGATTTGGAGAAAGGATGGTTTTTATTGGATAGGTTTAGTTTGGAACTAATAGAATAGGCGAGTTGTTCAGATGGATTGCTCTTGAATGCAGATATAATAGTAGGATTTATTGTATGAATTTTCTATTTCTCAAGTATTTAATTATAATAAGGAAATGACTCATGGTATCAATTATAAAATTATTGGTAGTACTCTACTTTGGGAAGATATTCGCGAATCTGCAGACTGAAAGCCTACGGAGTCATTAATAGATGTATGAATTGGTATTAGCAGAAAAGATTAACGAGGGTTTGTTTGCCAGAGAATGTGTTTTCGAATGACTAAACAAAATAGAACAAAGGAGGGGAACAATAAGTAGCATTCGTAAAGGTGATTTGCAAAGAGAACATGGTGTTTTTATTTGATAGTATGCTTTGTGCTTAGAATTAGATAAATCTGAAATGTGGGCATTTGGAGCATCTAATGAGGGATTATTGGGTTTACGAATAGCTGGTCTAGTGTACCCAGTGAATATATCTCAAGTGATGGATACGAAGATAAGGTATGTGACAGCAGCCCAAAACTTTGTATCAGTGTACACGATGAAAAATAGACTGTACATTTGGGGGAAAACGGATGAGATGAATCTAGGGGATTGCTTGAAGCAGAAGAGAGTAGAGTTTAGCAAGACCATAGATAGAAGGTATGAATTCTAATGTTGTGAAATTTCAACGTTGATTCAAGGCAATGGAATGTAGGAGAGAAATAATGAGTTATAACAAATGCAATCAAGTTCAAATAAACTGTATTTATTGACAACTCAAAGTTTGTACTTGATATCTAGTTAGCCAATACAAATCATGTAGAATTTCGTTGGTTTGGCTTGCAATTAGAATCATGTTTTGGCATGGGATACTGAAGGCAGAGTCTGGAGTTGGGGATCGCATTCTGATGGCAAATTGGGATACATGAATTTCGATTAGTAAGAATAGGTCTAGCCAAAGATTGTGGAGAATCTGACAAACAGGATTATACAATGTGCTTGTGGATTGAATTATAGTATAGCATTGGATGTGAAAGGGGATATCTATGGATGGGGAAAAGGTCCATTCAAAATAGAATTACTGAAAGCAACTCAACCCACTAAACTCATAGAGAAGAATAAGTCATTCGTGAAGGTGATTGCTGGAGATGATCATTTTGGAGCATTGGATATGATTGGTCAATTGTATGTGTGGGGCTTGAATAACAACAATTGTTTAGGCCAAATGGAAGAGGAAGTACAAAAACCAACACCTTTTGAATTGAGTGGACTAAAGGTAATTGATGCAAGTATGGGACCTACTTGTACAGTTTTGATTGTTCCTTCTGGCCGATTGCAGAAACTGCCAAATCTCAATTTGGATTCCTTCACCAGTCAACAGAAGAAGTGTTTCATTGAAGAGGCTAGTTTGATTCGAGATTTCACTGAAAGAAGGAATCGACAGACTCTGATGTAGATGCTCACACCCAGTCAGAACAAGTTGTATAAACCAGATGATAAGGAATATGACAAAGCCAATGAACTTATACATAAGATGCAATTGAAATTGGATTCTCCCAGAATCAAACCAACTTTTAATTCTACTCATATCTCCCACTCTCTCTTCAGCAATAATGAACTCTCTGCTAGAACTATGCGATCTCCTATTTCTTTTGATAATGTTTAAAGTAAATTAAACAAATTGGAAAATAATAATCCACTTTACTTGCCCATTCTGCCAAGATTCCAAATGACATCATTCATGAAAGAAGACGAAATCAATCTGGACTTTCTTATTTAAACAGATGATGATGAACTCAAATATCGCTACATCTAATTAGTCAAGGATAACTCAGAGGATTAAGTTCTCATGCAATTACTGGATGAACAAACCACCAAAAAGACTCACTCCACTTTAACTGCCAGGAATTAAGTCAAGACATATAAGCAATAGAGTGAACCTAAAATCATCAAATTTAATGATAAGTACGATAAATTAGATCCCAATCTATTAGAAAATGTCAAAAAGGAATTGGCTGAAATCAGTAAAGAAAGATGGAAACAATACTTGAAAAAAAGAAAAATTAGAGAAAACAAGATCAATATGCTAAAAACTAAATTTCAAATGACCAAGTTAGAATAGATGTCAAAAGAAGAATAAATTGAATCTAATCGTTTGCAGGCTGTTGAAAAGAATATCAAAATCTAATACACCATCTTGAGGAAGGAAGAGAGACTCAAAACTAAATTAGAAGGACTCTAATAGCAATTGCAAGAAAACTCTACTGAATTCTAAATCAAAAAGAAAACTGAAATGAAAAAAGAAGTTGCCAAATTCTTTGCTTTCATACAATTGCTACAGTATTTCAACTTTGAAGCTTGTTGCCAAATGTTTGAAGAAGCTGCCTTTCGAGGTTTACAGAAAAAGAGACTACTATTCTAAGCCAATAATAAAGCGAAGATCATTCAAAAGGCTGTGAGAAGGAGAAACATCATCAAAATGATTAACAACAAATTGGGAGAAAAACCAAGAAAAATCCTGCTCTCCTTCATCTTTCGTATTAGAATGTCCATCAGAATCAAAAAAAGAAGAGCTCTCTTTCGAAAACTAAATCTATTCTATCAAAAAAACTAACTATTTCTTAAGATTCGCATCAACCTAAACGTCTTGATGAAATCTGCCAAGAACATACAAGTATTTTGCAAATATTACAATCAAACTATTAAGATGTAATTGAGTTACCTAAATTTCAAATGGGATGAATATATGAAATAAGAATTCAAGGGACTAGTTATTGACAAAGATAAAGAAGAGTAGAAATTAAATCAATTGCAATTCTTTAGTGAAAAACAGATTCAAATTATGAAGCAATTATCTTACCCTTATAAATCCAATAAATAACTAATCAAGGACATGTTGTTGAATAAGAAACTCAAACTTAAAGTAGACACTCTCAGAACCAATATCTTAAAGAGAATTCCATTGCTTCAATCTTAAGAAGAAGAAACGAAGGACAAAGAAATCAGAACCAGTTTCAATAGTATTTTATTACCATACACCAAATATGTTGAGAACATCATTATTCCTTAAAATTTCAGAATTAGATTTGATTATTAAGAAATTTAATTGTTAAATGTGCTTGACAAAGTCAATCTAGAAGAAGCTAAACTAAAAATGGAATTGTTGCAAACATACCAGAGGATTTAGAGAAAAGACTACATTCAATAATGTCGAAATGTATATTTCATTCTTTTTCTTAGTATTTTCAAGCACTATGTGATTTCAAACAGAAGAATAAGATTTCAATAGGGACTGAAAGGATTAAAATCATGTCAAAGTTGGGTTTAGATGAAGTTAAACAGCTGAAATAAAAGGATGAACTTGAGTATCGTATCTTAGCTTTGAAGCGGGAGATTAACACCAAAAGAAGTAATCGAAAATATTATTTTCTATATTTTAGTTAGAATATTTGATAGTGCGCTGAAAGAAAATATTTTTGAGAAGATCAAAGCATTTCAGCAAGATAACTATCCCTTTTAATTACTAACCTATAAATTAGTTGTGGCTTATAGTAAAATTGAACCTCCAAAATTAACTATGGAACTTAGCTATAAAGAATGGGTTCGTTTATTTAAGAACTATCATACGGATTTTAAAATTAGATTGCAATCAATAATGAGTGAAGCCAGGCGAGCAGCTGCATATAAAGCAAAATAAATTAAACGATCTACAACTATAAAATCAAAGTCTACCCTATCTAAAAAGGTAATTGATATAGTTTGAATAAATATATGTAAATATAAATATAATTCAATTAATAACTAGAGTCCATCTTGATATATTTCTAATCTCCTTTTGTGTAGGTAAAAGCATTTTAGCACCTAAATTAACACCAATATATGTGAATTTAAATAGTAATTGAAAACCGCGAAATTTAAGAATATTTGATTCTTTAAAAATTAGACTACTTTCTTTTTAACTTAACTTTCAATGTTCTAGTTTTAAAACCTTCCATTCATAAACTGTAGATCTATCTATAATTGTATTCTATGGAATTTAATTCAAAATTCAGCTGATATTTATTAAATCTGAAATACCGTAATAACGATGCAATATTCAGATAATTTATTATAAAATCAGGTCATATTATATTGATAAGTAATTGAATATTAGATGCATATTTGAATATTAATAATATAATTAGCATACATATATTAATATTGAGAATGAAGGGACCCAAATATGTGGAAAACAACTTCCAATTGTTATTGTAAAGAAGGTTGGAATACAACAAGCATATCAAGCAAATAAAGAATGCAAAATGTAATCCAATGTTGGAGAAGAGAGTAACTTATTGTACATAATTTAGTCTTTATCACAGTAATAGTCCTTCGTTAAGCAACTTGAGTAAAACTGGAAGTCAGCAAATTTGAAAAGAGAGCAAATGAAATACGAAGAGATAGTTAAGTTAAATACAAAAATGCTAATAAAAGTGGCCAATGCTAAGGAGGACCAATTGTTTTCATAGAGTAATTAGACACCTTATTGAAGATTCGCAAAAGGGTCGAATTGACTCAGCAAGATCAAGCAAATCTTTACATAGTGTAATAAAGAAAACAAAGGAGAGGGAGTTATTTCAAGAAAACAAAAGGTTGAAAGACAAAATTGAGAATGTGTAATCTTCAATTGCATACAATAAAATAATCGAGAACTTCAATAAGTAAATAGATGAAAAATAGTTAGACATCAAGGTGAGCGAGATCGATTGACTAGAAACTCATATTAGAAGTAGAAAAAGATCAAAGAGATGTTGGATAGCCTGACATCTTAATCTAAAACTTCTCTGCACTCTAAAAATAACAAAATTAATTAGGTGCCAAAATTAAGGTTGCCAAAAATCAATTAGTAAGGATAGAGTGCAAAATCAATACAATAACTAAACAAATTGAGAGTGGATGGTTTCTACACAGCCAGATGAAAAAATATGTTATTTGATAAATTATCTTTTTTTTATTTGTAATTATTGCAATATTTGCTGCCTCAATTAGTTATTACGGTACAGTTATAAACTTATTATATTATGAATATGCATTTGATTATATGTAAATCATGCTAATGGAGCAGCATTGTTTTCTACCTTATATTACTCAACCTACTTAATGTAATTGACATAATGTCTGAGTTTATTCAAGACTGGCAATGTTTCAGCTGAAATTACATAACCTAAATCCTCTTCAATCTATTATAAGTAAGCTAGATTACTTGCATAGATAATTCAATAGAATCCAAACTATCTAAACCATGTTATTCCAATTCAGAATCCAAACTCAGAGCTGACTGTCAAGATATATAACATGAATTACTTTATTGGTTGTTCTGTAATAGTTTTTAACCAAGGTAAGTACATATCCCTCAATATCCTATGACTTCTTCAATTATAAATAATTCTTAGTGATCAATTGTCCATCCTTATAAACTTGGATTGGTTTGGCTTATTATTGTTTGCCCTAAGTTGTAGCTGGAGTCTTATCAGCTGCAAATGTATAGATAGGTCTCATAGCTAACAATCTAAATCCTCTGATCATATTCATTTATTTAAATATTATCTTTGAAATAAAAAATATTATTGATTTCTATTCTATCCATTTATTTTGTTTATAATCTCTTGCATTTTTATCTCTTCACCAATTGCAACAGTTTCTTCATCCTAGACTTATAAACACTATTAATATATCTTGTTTTTTTTCTATATTTTGAGATTGTCTTTTAAACAATTCGTGTTCAAAGGTCTGAACTTTAATACTCTAAAAAATGCTAATCCAAGCTCTTGAATAAATTTCAAATTCATAAATATTAATCATCATACAGACATCAAAATTGATCTAATACCTTGAAGGTCAATCAAAATAATATAGATAAAATTAACTACTTATATCAAAATAAAATTTATTATATATATATATTTTTACAATGAAAAGTGAATCCTAATCATATGCATCATATTCAAGGAATCTCAACTAGGATCCTTAATAGTAGAGTTATCATTCAGCAACGTTCCAAACTCTGTAAACATCGCAAAGAAATTACGTCTTAGAACAGACACAGAATATCAAAGATGAAGAAAAACGATTATTGCAAAAACGAATTGAGGACTTAGAATTCCAATTGAAAAATCTCTCACAAAAACCAATCATTTATGAGTAGGAAATCGCCAGGTCAACAATCTAGAGGGAAGCATTGCAAACTGATTTTGGAAGTGCCAATCAAACTATTAGACAATTGCAATCCAAAATCTCAGATTTAGAAGTATCCAGTCAAATTCGATTGTCTCAACAGAATGAGGCTAGTAAACGATAGATCCTTGATTTAGAGGACAGACTTCAAAAATTATAAATCCAATGTGATTCTTAGGTCATCCAAATAAATTAACTACAAAGAGACAAGGTGAGTTTGGCATCTCAATGTCAAGCCTTACAGGATCAAATCGGTAGTTCTAAATTGAATTACAAGCAGGAAATATCGGAAGGGGAATTAAGATACAGCAAGGAAAGCCAACGATTATCACTAGTTGTTAATGAAAAATAAGTCAATATCCAATAATGGGAGTAGAGATATCAATAATTGAGTGATCAATTTCAAATCTTGCAGAGGAAATACGATCAAGACACTTCATCGCTTAAAGTGTAATGCAATGATGCTGAAGACAGATATCGAAGATTGCAACAATAATTTGATTAATAAACCATTTTAGTCAATACAATCAATATGGAGAAGTAGAACTTGTCAGTCTAATTGGATAAACTATAATCTGAATCTAACACAAAAATTTACAATTATCAATCAACAATCAAAACTAGTGAATCTTAAATCATTAGGGATTAATAACAATTTCAAGCCTAATTAAACGAAAAAATACAATAGATTAATGATTTGGAGAAGAAGAACAGACAACAATTAGATCAATACTTCTCATTGTAGTAATAATACGATAAGGACACATAGGCTTTGAATTATAGGGTTCAAGATTTGGAAGATAAATTAACCAAATTATCGAGATCATTTGATCAATAGACTAATGAACTTAATTAGATTTATTCTGATAAGGAAAGAGCAGAGAGATAATATTTGAAGTTGTAGGATGAAATTAATACTCAAAAACTGAGATACAATCAAGAAATTAGTAAAACTGACGAATTATCTTCAAAAGAAAGATCATGGTTTTAAGTTTAATTGAATGATAGACAACAAACCATTACTGAACTAGAATTGAAGGTAAAGCAGCTCAGCGATCAATTATAAACAATCCAAAGGAGAACTGATAACGAGGTTTTGGTGTTTTAAAAATAAATTACAGAGTTGACTGACAGACTAAGATCACAACAAGAATAGTTGGATCTTAGAAATAATCAATATAACTAGTTAAATAAGGAGAAGTCTCTTGTTATAAATTAGTTTGAATAATTACAATAAGAATTTAATGATTACAAAAGAATTTATGAAAATGATGTGTCTAAATTGAACAGAGACAATCAAAGAATTACAAGCAATGTAAATGAAAAAACATAATCTTATATCTAATTGGAAGGAAGGTATTAGTTGTTGAATGAAGAATTCTAAGCATTGCAGGTTAGATTTGAGAAGGAAACCAATAATTACACAATGAGAATGAAAGAATTGGAAGAAGATCTATCTATAATGATTGAAAATTACAGACGAGAATAGAGTGTAAATTAATCATCCTTTATTATTATAGATTAATAGAGATTGGGAACAGTAAGTGATTCGATTGAAATAGTAAATCAAGTATTCAGTCGATGAGACTAGGATAACTACTGAGAAGACTTTGATTGAGAAATATGAGAATCTGACTAGTGAATAAAAATAAGAATTTGATATCATATTTAGTAAATTAAATTAAGATAAAAATGAATTGAGAATTTAATTGAATTAAAAAGCAGATTAAATCAGAGCATTGGAAAATCAAGTCACTTAATTAAGTTTATAGAGTACCAAAAATCAAACATTAATTGCTGAATTGGAGTCAGCCAATCAATCATTGAAATATTAAGTCAATGAATAAGAATAAAAAATTAAGACTCTAATCATGTAAGAGTTTGATTCCTTGGTAAATAAATATTATTAATAATTTTAGAGAGATAAATCTGCCGATTAGACAATCAGGAATTTAATGGCTGAAATCAAGGCACTACAAAATAAACTAAAGAAATATGAGGTTTACATGAAGAATATTGATGATCAAAAACTCTAAGAGTAACTTTAGAATGAATCTAATCTTGGTAGGAGTAGCTACGTAATTGAATAAAGAGTCACTACTGGAAGTGTCATTAATTAAGGAAGCACTTCTTAACTTAATAATGGTAAGGTCTAATAATTAGAGAGTTCTCTAATGATTTCATAGTAAAGAGAGAGGGAATTACAGAATCAAATCAGTCAGTTGAGTTCTTAATTAAATCAATAAGGAACTAATTCTTAAAGAAACTCTTAGTTTAATAATTAGAACAATGATAATGGATTGAATTAATTAAATGAAAAGATCAGAAGTCAAGAGAGGGAAATCGTCGATTTAAGATCTAAAATCCAGAGTATTTCATAAACTCGAGCAGATACTAGATAGCAGTATTCATAGTAAGAGGATAAGGATAGAAGAATCATTGAATTAGAGAATAAGTGTGCTCTTTTGGCTAATGAAAATTCAAGATTGAATCTGATGAGAGTAAATTATATTATCTATTTTTCTAGAGCAAAGCATAATCTGGCCAATAAAATCAACCTTATGTATCTTAAAGCAATAATGGATCATAAAGATATTATTGATAAACTTTATGATTGCTATAGGTTTATTAATATATTTATACATCAAATAAATGGCTCTACATATTAATTAAAACAAATAAATTATATACTGTTTTTTAATTGATTTTACATTAAGAATTGTATTTAAGAATATAAGAAAAATTAAGATAACACAACATAAATTATGGCTTATGTATTTTGCACTTACTTTGTAAATGCAAAAAATTCATAGATTATTTCAAATCTGTTTAGGAAAATAAATTTAAAACAAATATTATAGGATGTTATTGAATAATGATTATAAATTATGGAGAGATGGTTAGAATATCGTAAGGTTTCTACAGAGACGGCAGAACTAGTCAGTCACAAATAGTGGTTATGAGATTAGAATATTATTTTGATATTATTATAATTTATATCATATTTTATATATGAGACCATAAACTTCTGAAACTTTTGTACGTGAATTTCTGGATGTCTAAATGAGACCGAAAACTGCGAAATTGATGACATCCACGTAATTAAGGAATTTGAGTGCGAAAACATCAAAACCTAATTTTGAATTTACTACTAAGCCTTAAGTGGAAGTTCACTATTAAAAGTTTGTACCAAGGAATTTTGGAGTGCTTTGCGATCAGTATAAATGGCATTTTGACATTAGAGGTTACTATGAGAGCAACAAATAAATATAACTGTAGAAGTTTGGAAGATCATAAAATAATGGTACAACGTAAAAAACCAAGATTTCCCAAAGCAATTAATAATAATAACAACAGACCAAGAAACCTCAAGTATACAAATTGATTGAAATTGACTCAAGATAAAGATAGGACCCAGAAACTATAACTGAGAGGGAGAAGGAATTGAAATATAAGAGATAACTACTACAAATAATAAATGACGATGTGTAGCCTTTGGGAGAAATACATAGAACATTCAACAAAGGCAATCATGTCATCATAGCAAAATTAACGTAAGTCATTTAAATATATGTATATAGACCGATGCAATTGAGAAAGAGGAAGGTGAAAAAAGAACACCATCCTTTGACCTTAAACTGGAATCAAACCAAAAAGCTCTTATTAGTAAAGGACTTGACAAACTATCTGATTGAAAGTAACTATCCTAAACCTAAATAGATATGACATATTAAAGCAAAAAGATTTCATTGAATGTCTATGCAATAAGCGGATCCGAATTCATAGATGAAATCTAAAAACCAAAGGACATTGAATTCGTATTGGAACAGCGTAGATTTACTTGTGTGATGCCCAAATTGATCGTTTATTGCGATGACATTAACAAACATGCAACTATTCCATTGACCAATTTAAAAATGTCATAGCTACTTCAATCCAATTTCCAAGAGATCGATAATTATGTAATCTGTTTTCTAATGTAGATGTCTGAGATAGATGAATTGTCCAACTTTGTAATCCCACAAAAAAAGTTTCCAGTAACAATTCAACCAGGCAAATTGACCAAAAAGGAAAAAATCATAAAGAAAATCGTGTATCACGAGGAATCCTATTATCAAATCGCCTTCATACCACCCTCAATAGTCGTTTCTAACAATGTTAGATAAATCGGTTAATTTCATTTCTCCATAGCTGATTTGGAGTGCTTAGCCAGTTTTTGTTTCAAAAATCCAATCCAAAGCTTCATTAAAAGCTACGTTGAAATCATCACTCTCACTCCCACGAGAGCATCTGTGAAAGTGAACATCCCAGAACAGCATGATGTCGTAGCAGGATAACAAGGATTAGCCTGTTCTGAGAATGGCTTTCTGTTGAATTAAACCGTTGATTCCGACTTCAAGATTGTTTATACTCCTGCATCACTAGAGTTCTACAATCCAACAACCTTGGATAAATAGGTGAGAATCATTGAAGAAAAGGAACTGCAGCAAATTATTGATTTAGACTTTAATTTTACATTATGAATTATATCAATTTTATTTGAGATCCTTTATGGTAAAGGGTTTCGCCATTTCCACATTGGCTCCCTCCCTACTTACAGTACTTAATGGCATAATGTCACCTCCTTACTCAATGTAATTAGCCCATTATATTAATTCCATTCCTCTCCAACCTTCTTTGGTTTTTCCCAATTCGTGAAGTTTATCGTAATCCACCCATACAGCCAACTCAGATTCTATTGAAATCAATTGCAATCACTTAATACCTTTGTCTGCTACTTTCTTAGGCACTTGATTTTAATCAGTTGGCTCTGCATAATACACTATCTTGAATCTCATGAAGCAATTTTGTTGATCAATATCCTATTCAACTCTGAGGACTCCTTTCAAAGTTACATTAATCCCTGCCTCTTCCAGTGTTTCTCTTAAAGCTGCCTTTTCAAACTGCTCTCCAGGTTCAACTCTGCCTCCAGGTAACCACCATCCTCTATTCTTTGTTTCTAGGACGGCTAGGTATTAGTTATTTTTATTTCTGACAACTATCAACACTATTCCTATTCTCTCAAAAAATTACTTTGACATTTAGATTACTAATATTATTTAAATGCTAAATTCCTTTCTTGTAATATTTTATAATTTACTGTTTAACTCTGAGGTACTAAGATGATGTAGATAAAACTCAGTTGTTGATTTGCAATAATTATACGACTTAAATTACTTTAATTTCAAGCTGTTCCCTGAGTATATTATCTGAAAATTCGGGATGCAATTATTATATAAATTTAGACTTGAGAATTGCAAGCGTTGCTATGTGTTCTTTTGAATATTAATTTATAATGCGCATTATAAAATATTTTATAAATATACCTAAAAATATCTTAATTACTGTATTTGAAATATATGGGCTGGTAAAATTTAAAGATTTTTTGCAATGTAAAAATACATCATTAATAAAACAATTCTAATTCCTTATATGTAATTGATCAATCGTGGCTTTTATCAATTTAGTTAAAAAGTTAATCTTCCAAAAACAATCGGAGTATTAGGATATGGGGCAATAGGAAAAGCTTTCACAGAACTATTATTAAAGTAACATCCAAGTAAAGTCCTCTATAATTTTTGCTAGAAGCCAATATTGTTATTCTTGACAAGCATGATGCCTTTTTCCCCAACGAGAAGAGATTTAAGACTGTAATTTACAAACAAACAAGAGATAACCTAACACAAACACTTGACATAATGGGGTAATTAGAAAATATCATATAAATCAGCCTAAAGGAGGGAGATACACTAGTAGATTTGTCGACTAATATTGGGTTTGCAGAAATTTGGGCACTTTGTGCTTCGAAGGGAGTTAGATATCTAAATACAGCCTTGGAAGTTTGGGATGACAGCGAAGATGCCAACTCATGTCCCTAGAATGCAGAGGAAGCATATAAATTGACATTAGGTTATATCAAGGACAATGCTAAAAAATCACCATTCTGGTAGAAAGTATAATCTTATTATATAATTAAGGGTCCTACTTCATTGTTTGAAACTGGATTCAACCCAGGTGTAATATCTCATTGCGTAAAAAGAGGTTTGGAAGACTGTGCTAAACACTATCTTAAGAATCCTCTAAGAGAATATAATAAAAGTGATTTGAGAAGACATCTGGAGTAGAAGAACCATTCGAAATTAGCTTAAGTGCTTGGAGTACATACAATCCATTGTTCTGAAACTGACAATTAGTTAATGGCTGAAATCCCTAAAGATGTCAAGACTAAGTTCTATAATACCTGGTCATGCAGAGGGTTTCTCACTGAAGGACTAGTCCCTGCTTAAGTAGCCAGAGGTTCACACGAAGATACTCATATTCCAAATTGTTATACAATAAGAGATGGAAAAACGATAGTCTCGAAAATACCATCGGTGAACATATGGGCGAAGAGTTGGGTGCCTAATGAAGACATTACAGGTATTTTGACAATTAACTAAGTTTAGGGGTTCTGATTCCTCATGGCGAAGCTTATTCTATTTAAGATTATTTGAGCGATCCAGAAACAGGATACTCGCCCTCACAATATTATGTTTACGATTATAATCCATTGGCGAAGGAGTTCATAAGAAACCTACCATCAAGTGCCACCATAGAGAATACTCATCCAGAGATGGAAGTTATTCATCCTATGAATTTCCCTTCGATGAAAGGTTGGGATAAAGTTGGTGCTCTCTTGATTATGAAAAATAATAGAGCCTGGTGGACTGGCAGTATTATGGATGAAATCGATAGTTCTAAAATATTCAATGGAAAGTTTGGTCCAACTGTGTTACAAGTGGTAGCAGGAGTGTATGGGGGATTTTTGTGGACTTGCAAACACCCAAATATTGGAGGCCACTTTTCTGAAGATGTTGAAACTGATGATCTTATTCGAATTGTAAGTGTCTCCTCAATATTAACCATTTCTAGGGTGAACATCTAATGGGTAGATTTATTTCGATCCCAGTTGACCTTAACAAAACGAAGATTAAGGATTGTTACAAATTCCAAAGTTTTCTATGCCAATAAATTTGATATTTACAACTATATATAATTAATTAATTAAATATCCAAAAATGAGTTTGAGCTGGCTTGTATCACCATAACTTCATAAAACTACAAATGGCTATTATATCAATCACGATAACATCATGCTTGGTACTTTTATCCTATTATTTCTAGCTGGACCACAAGACAGAAGAAGATTAATATTTTATTTTGTCGCTAGTCAAACACCTGAAAAAATTTCATAGGAGGATCACAAGAAATTCATCAAAGAATAAACAATAGATGTTGACATGAGATCAGGCATATTTTCTTTTGGGGGTATTTTCTTGGCGTTAGCAACATTAAGAGAACAACAAATGATCACTTCCAAAATTACCAGCCGACCCATCTTAAATGGTATGTTCATCTTAGGAGTTGGTAATACTGTCTTTTATACTCTTAGGTTTGGTCTCAGCCGCATTTTCTTACAACCTGTCCAAAGTATTGTTCGAACCACTTTTTGTACAAAAAAATCAAGTGTTGTTGGAATTAGCTGAAAAGTATAATTTTTCAGTCTTTGATTTTGCCCTGGCCAAGAAGGAAGCAAGATTAAAATAATTAAGAGCAGAACTTACAAGCGATAGTAGTAATGCTGCTCATTTCTGAAAAATAATATTGCAATATCAATAAAAATATAATTATTATAATGATTAGAAAATTATTATCAAGGTCCCTATTTATTAGACCACAATTCTGCATCAATCACATGTATTCATATCCCACCTATAGACAAGCTTTGACACTCAAGATCACTTTAAGAAGTTTAACAGGTCAAGCACCGAGGGCATTAAGTCATCTGTCAATCCATTACCATCTCCAAGTGAAGAGGCAGCACTCTACATGGAAGAAAATGAAGTAACACATCCTATTCCTACATTCTCTAGGTCGATGTCAGATTCTTGAAAGTCTTGAAATCCTTCGAGAAAATAGATGTCAAATCTGTCAATTGGGAAGGAGATTTAATTAAGGATATAGGTTTGGACAGTCTTGAAAGAATAGCTTTGATCACCTCAATAGAGCATGAATTCACAGCAATCTTTGAGGATCGAGTATTTGATAATTTGAAATCATTGCAAGACATTAAGAAGCTGATCCTAAAAGATGATTCAGCATTTTGAATAATATATATTATTAAATAAAATAAATATAAAATTATGCAATAGCAGTTTGAAGGTTATCTGCTTCTCCACAATATAGCTAAGCCTAAAAATATAGGCACTATCATCAGGTACTACTTCCCTTTTTATTTTATTAGAAATGCTGCAGCCTTCAATTTAACAAAAGTCTTTATGATTGGAAAACAAGGCTAAACGAAAAAGAAATTTTAAATTGCTGAAGGATTTTCCTTTTTTGGTAATCATGGGACTTATGACTAAATGAATTTTCACCTTTTTAATAATTTAAAAGAAGCAAAGGAGTATTTTGTACTAAACAATATTTTTGTTTGTGGTGTTGAAATTGGTGAAGGTTCTTAAAATATTATCACAAATCCTTTTAAGGGTAACACAGTCTTTTTTCTCGGAAATGAAGTTTATATTTTAAAAAGCTTAATTATAGGGTACGGGATTGATTCCAGAACATAAAGCTTTATGTGATCATTTTGTTTATATTCCTTAATACACTCAAAAGACTGCAAGTTTAAATGTCGGTGTAGCATCAGGAATAATATTTCATCATTTTGCATGTAATATTTCATTATATAAAAATTTAGAATGGGCAGGGTTCACAGAATAACAAGTAGAAGGAGAGAAATTCTTGGATCCAGAAAAATAAAAAGAGGAAAAAGAAAGAAAGAAATAAGAGATGATTGAATTGGGTAGAGAAAAAAAGAAATAAAAAATAGAATAATAATAATAATAATAATAATAAGTTGAATAATAGAATAATATTCCATAAGATAAGATTGAGAATGAGAGTAAAAATATTGAATGATTTTTAATACATTGAATTCAATTTAATAATTCAGAAAAGGCATCTTAACTATCTAATATACATTATTTAATTTCTGACATTCCTTTAATGGTATTAAAATTTAGATAACCATGGGACAAATTTTCATATACAGTTATTTTTACATCCCTGTCTACAACTCTAAAATAATAGTCGAAAAATATTACTATAATCTTTAGGCTAGTCTAAAAACTTGATCATACAAGGGATCTTTATTTCCACAAAATAGTCTTGTGGGTGGGAAATGTTTCAGAATATCATAGGACAACAATAGAGGACTCATAAATGAATCAAGTCCAAGTTAGGAATCTGGATGAGCTGAATAAGATTCAATACAAATTCCTAAAATAGTATGACTAAGAATTTTATCATTAATGGAATTCAAGTAACTAGGTGTGTACTAAAATCGAATATCAACAGCAGGATAATTCAAAATCAATCCATTTGGAACTTACAATTTATATTTTATCGTTAATCCAACCAAAGCAGTAGCTAAATTACCTCCAGCACTATCACCAGTAACAATGATCTTATTGGGAATTATGCCAAAAATGGTTTCAGAATATTTTAATATCCAATTATACGCTTGCCAACAATCATCCAAAGGTATTGGGTAAGGATATTAAGGAGCCAAACTATAATCAATAGAAAAGATGGGAACATTTAAGTTAATGGCCCATTCTCTGGTGTAGCATTGATGACTTGATGATGATTATGAGATAAAACCTCCCCCATGAATATGAATGATAATCTTATCTTCAAAGATGTTGTGTTTTTGTTTGACGAAGAATGATTTTAGGAAACTAAAAATATTATCCTATTCCACCACACGTTGGTTGTACAATAATCTGATTCTAATTCTAGATTGATTTTTAACAAATAAGAATTTATCATCTCTGTGGATTTCTTGATTTACATATTGAATTGAATGAGTAGAGATTTGATCATAAATTCCCAATTTAATTTATTTGTTGGCTTCTTGAATTGTGAGTGGTAACACAACTGGCAATATATAAAATTTTAAGTTTGTAGCAATTTTGGGTAATCCCAAATTAATTAAATGTTTGACTCCTGGCAACTCGATGAAATTCATAGCTTAGTGTGCAGTATCAGCTCTTAACTAACTCATATGATCTTTCATTCCTTTTTCTGCAGCTGAGCTTGATAAGAAATAATACAGAGAATTCAAACTTACTGAAAATATTTTACTCCATCTACTTGATTTGTTCTTGCAATCGTTTACCAAGGCATGACCAACCATAACTGATTACACAAATGATTAAAAAGATTGTTTGATTTATTCAGAGTCCCCTAAAGACTTGCTAATATTTAGAAATTATACTTTTCTTGTTGTGATGCAATCTAATTTCTTCCAAACTGGATGAGTACTATTTAATGACATGATGTCATTTTAATCTGTATCAATTGCAGAAGGCATAATTAAGTTGATCATTAGAATATGAGTTCCAACGATCTTGATTTCTTAAGTCAAAGTTTAGGAAGCACTCATATTCTATTCATACGATTTCAACTGTTGTTGCATATTAGGCAAGAATGATGTCTATAGATAATGGTAGGGCATCTGCAACATCCTTATATTGACATCATCTGCTTTGATTGCCTTAATCGATCTCTCTTGCACATAATCTAAATGGAAGGGAATGTTACTTTATTTTAATTCTAAAAGTATCTTTGTTGGCGATTCTTTGCAATTAGACAATAGTTCATCCACAATCTATAATCCTTTCAGGAGAATCAAAAATTATCTATTGGAATTATAGAAAATCTTAAGTTGGTCTTCGGATTGCCACTTTAAAGTCTTGAGTATCTTGATGATGTGATGCAATTAACTGATTACTACATGAATGATAGTTCTAATTCAATACTATCTCTGGTAGATTGCAAGCATTCTTCTTAGGATTAACGTAAGTTTGCATTTATGATTTGGATTTAGATTTCAGTTGGTATTTGTGCCTGGGAAGACTTGTAACAGACTTTGTTAAAGAGAGTGTAGTCGTCTAATTGATTAGTTCCATCATAATCTGATGAGATAAATAGATTAGAATTCTGCTTTTGAAATGACATAATAAATATTTAAATTTTTGGATCTGTATTTTAGTGAGGCAAATAAAATATTTAAATTAAATTATTAATATTAATATTATAATTAAATGTTAGTTGGTAAAAGAAAATATTTCGAAGATGAGCCAAATGAAGTAATATGTTTAAAATTAAAATAAGTCATTGAATCCGACTTTCGCTTTAAGGAGGCGAATAAATCAAGATCGAAATATAGAGACTTTGAGTTAAGCGCGAAGGAGATTAACATAGTATATAATTTTTATTAAAATTGTAGATAAAATTTGGCAATAATTCAGGAGAAATACCCTTAAATTTAATAGTCTGAGATTACTAGGTTGTTGGAAGATTTCGACAATAACATTGAGATGGTATTTGAGATTCTAGGACAAAAAATGGCGACCCCTCAAAAGATTGACATTGATAATGCAGATGTATAATTTAAATTATTAAATGTAGTTTGACAACTATAAAATTTGTTTAAAAGAAGAATTATTGAAGAGACTTCAACAGTCGTAAAACATCTAGACTGCTTAATAAAATATTCAACTCTGCTTTGAAGCCTTTGAATAGAAATTGGGAGAAAAGTTTTAATAAAATGTATTCACAAATTCGTATTTTTAGACTTAAAAGTTACTTGATGAAAATAAATTGCTGAAGCAAGCCTTCCTTAAACAAAACAAGCGGTTAGAGAAAGTGAGAGTGGATGCAGAAAACAAAGAAAAATAACATTAAAATTATATTAAAGATCTTACAGAAGAATGCAAACAATAAAAATTAATTAACAATAATCTCACAATATTATTAATTCAAGCTTAACAAAATGTTTCAATTAATAATAATAATATGGATCATGATATATATTGAGCAATCATCTGCACATTTCGGATTTTTTATTTCCCTCTTAGTTGTCCAAATATTTATAATGAAACCGAAATGCAATTATTCAAAAGCTATATATTATTATTATTATGATTAATTTCCAAAAGGGAGTTTAGGAATCTCACTTGAAATCCACTATAGAATATCGCATCTACCGACAATTTCAAGCCGTCTCAAAATCTCGAGGAATTCGACAGACTCAATCCTAATGTCAGAATAAAGTTGCAATCAATGACAATAATTATATCAAACCAAAACGATCAATCTAATATAATTCAATACAAACAGATTCAACAGCCTTTGAAAGTTTGGAAGCAGATTATAGAAGATAGAGTACGGAACCAAGGAACTATTAAAAAAGGAGAAGTCGAATTATATCAACTGTATATAAAATTTAATTAATTAGTTTTCAAGAAAATATAAAGCTAATTAGACTTATATTAGTCATGCTAAATGGATCCTCTGGAATCAGAATAAATTCCTATTGGGAATTTTCAAATTTAACAGCAATAACATTCTGAACCACCAAAAAATTGTTTTATCAATAAAGAAAATTATTAAGGACGTCGAACCAAATTGCCTACTTTGAAAAAGCATCAACTATGTAATTTAAAATTATTATCGTAAGAATTTGAAAAAAATGAAGGAAAGATCAGTGGATCCCATGTAGTTAAATTTGGAGACTCTTTTGTGACACCTTTTTTTGGGACCAAAAAACCTATATCCTTAGATAAGAGACCATATGAGTTCCAAGGAGTGGTATACAAAAGGAAGAGATGATTATTTAATTTTACTTTATATTCTCTATTGAAAAAGGAAACTTATAATTTTAATTAGATATAAATTATTTAATGAATAGTATTTTAATAGGAAATGATGGTACCCAATACATAATTAAAAATCAACTGGGTAGTGGTTCATTTGGTACTGTTTATTAAGTGACAGATCTAGCAATGAATAAAGATTTTGCTTGCAAAATAGTGAGCTATAAATGATATTTCTAGATTTCAAAGGCTCTGCTCTAAAAATATAATGCTGAAAAGATGGTTCGACAGGAAATTCATATTCAGTCAACCATAGCCCATAGAAATATTGTCAAGGTAATTGACTCCTTTGAAGATAATCATTACATTTATATCATTTCTGAATTATGTTCTAGAGGAACCTTGAAACAACCAAAAATTCCTTATTAAGAGAAAGAAATTTTCAACATTACACATTCTCTACTAAGTGCTCTTGATGTTTTACACTCTAATAATATCGTACATAGAGATTTGAAGGTATTATTATGTTAAGTTATCTCTCCATTTTAGCTGGAAAATATCTTCATAAATGAGGAAGGAACTTACAAGTTGGGAGACTTTGGATGGGCCACTCATCTAGACAAAATTTAGCCAGTGATATGTGGCACAACCGAGTATATGCCTCCTGAAGTCGTACTCAAACAAAATCATGATTTTAAAGTAGATTCTTGGTCTTTAGGCGTTTTGATATATGTAAGTTCTCCAAACCATAATGGATAGATTTTAGTTCATACCCACTACCCATTTAGAGCATAATCGCAATCAGAATTGATCTCATAGATTACAACAAACGAAGTTAATGTATAGAAAGGAATTGATGAAGACTTGTAAATTTTAATTTTAGCCTTATTAACAAAAGATCCCCAACACAGACCAACTATATAATAACTCTTCATGAGTAAATGGGTTAAAAAGCAAATGAAACTTTACAATATTTTCAATAAATATGAGAATCAGCAGTTGAAAAATAAGACATTATCCAAAAACCTTGCAATTAAAATTATCGATGTTAAGTAATATTCCTTAAGTTATTGAAGTGGATCAGTTAAGAAGTGTATGGCTGATAGTTAGAAGAGTTCACTAACATAGAGTACCAACACTCAAATCAGCTCATCCAACAATTGTTCTCCTTTCCAAAGTAAGGTCAATATTGAGCATATTTTTACATTTAAGGATGACGACAACATCATATCTGTTCCATAACCTAAGTTTGGTTGATGTTTTAATAGAATTATATGAATAATTTTGTAAATATCATTTGTATGATTAAAATATTCAGAATTATAATAATAAATACTTCAAATATTATTTATACATAAATGAATGATTGTTATTTTAAATTGGTTCATCTTTAATAATATGTTCTTATGAATTTATTTAGAAGGATTGGGGAATAACGCATTTCTCAAAATCAAATGATACATAATAAACTTGTCTTCAATATCAATTGGCTACTATAATAGTAATTAAAATGATATTAATAATTATAATAATGATAGAGCCATATAATCATGATTCTGATATCTTTGATGACGAGGTTGAGCATCCCGTTTCGTTCTGTAGTCTAAAAGCACATTTTAAGGACGATATCAAAATGAGATTATAGGACCACTAATTAAATGAGTGTGATGTGCAAGACTTGAACTAGAAAATGAACTAATTAACACTCAATAAATGCAATTTCAAAACAGATATTAGGAGACATCAGAAATTAGCTAAAAAAGGATAGTAATTTCTCAATAATGAGAAATACACTTAAAACGATTCAAATTAGTTATAAGCAACTCTTAAACAAAGGTAGCAGGCTATATAATTATCATGTGCTGATCAAATGACATTAATGGATACAGTTCCAAAAATCAATTTTATAAGGGAAATGAAAGATAGCACTAAATAGGATGCAACTTTAGATCTAAGAATAGATTTGAAAACTCAGAGTCACAATGCTTTCGATATCAGAAAGCTAAGAAATGGGCTTTGTCCTTCTCCAATCAATAGGCTATCAGCAAAAAATCATTCCAAGCCTTCATAAAGATCTCAAGATCATGACTCCAATTTAGATTTGTCTTTTAATTATACTGTTCAAATTGCCTCTTCAGGTTCTATTAAATATTAGGATAATAAGTTTGAATAACAATAATGTTAAAAATCAACTATTAAATTAAAACATAATCATTAAAGTGTAAAAATAAAAACTCAGCAACAACAAGTTCATTCACAAAGATCCTCACAATTGTCTTTACTTTAAATTGATAAAGAGGGTTTCAGAGGAAGATCTTTGAGTTCTGTTTCCACTCCCAAAAGTATATTAAAGAATCCCTAATATCAGAATTCAGTATTAGATATTATTAACTAAATTAAAATTTAAGGCAGACCATGCTTTTCTAGTTTAAATCTAATAGATTCAACTCCTAAAAAATTACAATAAAACTTATACTCCTCTGCTAAAAGAGTAAAATTTTGTTTGACTAAATAATAAGCAAGAAGGGAAAATATATATAATTGAATAACAAATGTTTATATTTTAGTATTCAAAGTAATATTATTATATTTCATATCCTTTGTATTAATATACTCTCATTAATATTTTATTGAAATCTCAGGAATTCTACCTAAATTTTGAGAATAAATCTATTTTTTACCCTATAAAAAATTAAGATTATTTTCTAATTATTAATTAGCTATTTCAAATTAGTGTTCTTGATTTTTTCTTTATTTAGTAAATATTTCTTAAATAATACTTAATATCTAAATGAAGACCCCTTATTGGGAAACGAATTAAAATATGATAAATATAAAATTCATGCTTAATAATCAGTTATATATTCTTAAAATACGATTAAGATTTTTAGTATTTTTTCTTCATTATCTATTAGTCGGGTTTAGATATTTAATTTAATATCAAATATAATAAGTTCTCAATCTGCTGAGAGAGTATTTCAAGATAGAATGTTAGCCTATTCTTAAATTATAATTGGAATAATTAGTCGTGTCCTTCAAGACAACCTTTATTTTGTTTAGATTTTTTAGTTTTTTTTTATAAAAATTCTTTGTAGTTCAATATCATTAATTTGAAGTGTGTAAATGATTGTGACAATATCAAATTCAAAATTAAGATCAATATAGAGAAGCTCTAGTGTTTTCTTATAAGATAATTCTTATGGTAATATGTACAACAATAGAACATTCAATAAAATGGCCTCTTTTAAAATTTAAAAAATTTGAGAGAAATTGCTTATACATTTATGTATTAGTTTTGGTCTCATCAAAATTTCGGCAAAAAAAAAGAACAGGCAGAAACAAATAAACTAAAATTTACCTAAAGAAACTATATTTTTGACCCTATTAACAACATACTATTCTAATTAATTTTGACAAAATACATATTATATATTCTCAAATTATTAAGTATTAAACATGAAGCTTTTTAACAAATCAGGACTTGATTTTTTTTATTTAGTTTATTGATATCAAATGATTAATATTTTTGGAATTAAATTATGAATATCTCTAATATCAATGATCTCTCTTAACTTATATAAGGAAAGGAAGAGTAGCATTTCACATTTCGTAGGCTTGAACATTAGGATGTGCCATAAATTTAATCTTTAATGTCCTATCAGTTTCTTAATTATAATCCTGCATTTAAGATTGTTTAAATAACCGAACAAGACATTTAGAGTTGTTTTACATAAGAGCTTTTGTAAGAATTCTGAAATATTTCCTTAGTGATTCGATAATTTAAGAGAAACTTTCCTTTGGAGCATTTAAATAAGATGTGCTAGTGTCTGCATGCTTAACTTACGATTTAGGATTTAATGATAATTAATAGGATACGCTAGCACTAAAGCCAACCGAAAGAATGCAAGAAATTATCAATATGAATGACTTATTGTTGGGTAAGTATGCTGATAACAGAGAAATCAAGCTGAATTAAATGGCATATATGAGCCATTTGGCTACAAAATCTGATTATTTTCATCAATAATTAGCATTATGCTGTTGCTTTTTATCAGCTCAAGAATGTAGTAAGCTTGGCTTTTAATAAATGATCACTGTGGCAGAGCATGTTGCTACCTAAAAAACATTTGAGAAAATTTTTAAAACAATAGTGGTGATTAAAGAAATTACAGATTTCAAAAATTAGCCAATAGTTATACGTTCCTTTAATTGTTCAATTACATCTTGATGAAAGCTATATGTATAAATCATTATAGATTATTATTGTTATTTAAGAGGAAGAATAGATGTGAGCTTAACATTATTCTATATAGAAAATTTTTTCATTTTAGAAAATGCTTCTTATAATAGTTAAATAAATAATATCTTTTTTTTAATTATGAATTAAATCAATACAAAGAAGTAAAAGTTTCTACTTGAATGTTAGTTTGTTTTTAGTTCATACAACAAGTTTTTATATGATTAATAGTTATAATAATTACATTAAATGAGAAAACTAAGCATCATCTTAAATTAAATATTTATTTCTTTATGTCCTTCAAATTTGGAAAATTAAATTTGTATGCTGTAATTTTTTCTGAAATTTCATCTAATATTTAAAAATGCATCAAGCTGATGTATTATTTAGTAAATAATCTCACTAATGGGTAATGGTTAGGTTCAAATAAAACAGATTTATAGATTGAGAATAATACAAATATATATTATAAAGTAGCTCGTTTAATTAGATATGGCGAAAGATTTTAGAAAGGAGTATTGATGAACTTTATTGAGTAATTAGTAACAAAATATACAATAATGAGGAAATTTTTCAATGAAAATATTTATGAGATATACTCTACTAAGATGTAGATTGTTTAATTTTTGAAATACTAACGATGTCTTTAGTTCAAATTAGGCTGGTTGCATAGCTGAAGTAACTTAGGTGAATGATGGTCTTTGCAAACTTACACACTAGCAGCAAAGGATCCTAAAATTTAACATCTCATACTTCGACTTAGTATGATACTAATTTTTATAACGCCTTTTTAGATGCAAAAGATGGATATGCTCATGTAGTCTAGCATACTAACCAGAAAATGCAATGATTGTACTATCAAATACCCTTTTGAATGAATGATGCACAGACACCGATCTATCAAACAATTGGATTAGAGTTTCAAGTTAGGCTAAACATAATGGGTTTTAACAAAATGTTGAGATTATATTAACATTATTTAGCCAATTTATCCACTCAATAACCTAATAATAATAAAAGTTTAATGTGGATTATGGGGTAAAAGTTTATTTTTTTGGGCATATTTTGTTTTAGTTTTAAACATCGATTTTTTGGCAAAAAAAAAAAAAAAGCAATTTGAGGTCATATTCGACATTAGTCAATTTATATAATTGTTAATTCAATTTTTAAGTTCAACTTTTGAATGTTTATTAATGTTCAATAAATTTGATCTAAAAAAACTGGGGGTATTGAACATAATGAATTAAAATGAGATGAGGGAAAGATTTCTCATTTAAGAATTTTCTCATTAAAATAACATAATTACTTAATTATAAATAAAAATTATGATTATTCTCCAATTTTTTAAATGTGTTGTATTTGGGTTCAACATATATGCTATAGAATTTACTACTTGAATATTTTTATCAAAATTCATTCAAATTTCAACTCCTATCCCTATTGTAATAATAAAAATAATGAAACACTCAATTTCATTTCTTAAAATATTATTTCTAAGGTCAATCCTATACCAAAATTGTATAACTGACAAAGAGAATGATTGTAAATCTTAAGATTTTTAAATTGCTGGAACAATCGAATCAAATACTGGCATATGTGGCTCAGGTTCTAGAAAAACATTTATCGGGCCATTTGGTAATAAAACTTTAGTTACCTATGATCTTCCCTACCTTATCCCCAACAAAAATGTGGAACTTTCTTTTGGAATATGGAAGTTAGACTCTTGGGATAATGAAGGATTTGAGATTTGGATAAATAATGTTCTAATGGAGAAATTAGTAGCAGGAAATTATGATTATCCCGATGTATGCAGAGATCCATAATGGGGAGATCACCTTTACTATTTTTCCTATCAATTTTAACTAACAAATACTCATTTTACATTAGAACTAAAGGACTTTTTAGACTAGGAATTAATTGATGGTACAAGTTGAATAATTTTTAGAATCGTGGGGACTAAGGGACTTTGTTTTGTCACTTTCATCTCTTTGTGTTAATTTTTATAGTGAATGTAATTATTCTGGAGAATTATTCCAAATATGTAAAGGTGATAAAACGACAAGATCTACAAGCTTACCCTATGAAATAAAATCTATTATGATGGATTGCGGCATCATTGTGAAAATAAAAGATCCAAACTAGTTTGGAGGAGCTTTGTAAGAGTATTCGTCTCCATAGCCCTGTATAGGCGGCTATAAGGTATTCATATAAGAATCAACTTTAGTTCCCAAAATATATTCCATAATGATTAATAAAGATATAAATACATATAACATTTTGATATCTAATTTCTTCACCCTTTGGATATAAAGCTTAATACATTTAATTTATAAGATTAAATAAAACTAATTGGAGTTATTTTTCGGTTAGGTTCTAAAATCAGTTAATCTCCTGCATTCCTGGTGCAAGGCCAAGGCTTAACGATTTTTGGATTATTATAAATAATTGTTTTGAAAAATAACGGTTCTCAAAAAAGTTATCCTTTAGATCAATTTTTCTTGAGTTTAAAGAATAATTTAAGTTATAGTTTTGATAAAGTTTTTTAAAATAATAAAGAATTTAAGATAATTCAGAGGAAGGTAGACGAAAGGAAAGGAAGCAATAACCTTAAGATTTTATAATTGATTGAATATGAGGTGTTTTCTGTTATTAATCTACCTCATGTCCAATAAAAGAAATAGCAGATTTTGTGGAGACAAGCCTATAATAAGGGCAAATTTATGGCAGGAAACACAAAAATTAACTCTTACTAATAAGAAATTCTTAAAATACTCAAGTTTAAAACTCTTAAGAATAATTAAAAGGTAAATATTAATATATATTTTTACCAAATCTAATTAGTGAATTCAAATTACAAATTCAATTTTTTTCACAGTTTTTCAATTATCAGGACCATAAACAATATCTCCCCATAAGAAATATTTGATAAATCTAACCTATATGGTTGGCATGATTAATAAGCTGCTTTATAAAATCATTAAAGTTCACTTGCTGTAATTAAATTCAAACTATGTTTATATTAATAATCATTATCAAGATGGATTTTAGAGAAATAAACCTTCAAAAGTTGTTTAATATGATGATAATAACAAAGTTTAAAGTGCTACACGAGAATTCAATATACAATATTTAAATCTAAACTATTTAATAAAATATTAAGAATAATAAGTGATTATCAATGTTAATTTTGATTAACTCAGGTAAAATGATTATTTTGGGACTTTATAATTATTCTAAGATATCTTACTTATGAAAATTTTTAGGTAAATTATTTAGAATATCTATTTTTCCTTCATTTTAATTCTAACCTCTAATTCTTAAGTAGGGACTGAAAATATTAGGGTGTCCATAAGTTTCAGATCAATAGAAGGGTCTGTAGGCCACATAATTTCTATATTGGTTTTGTTATTCACAAAGCAATTTATTATCTAATCTATCAAATAGTCTTTTATGAATGAGCAGAACTGAAAGAGCGATGTTGAATTTTATTTAGTGGTATCAATCAATATGACCTAAGTTGAGCTTGGATAACATGAAAGTGTATAAATAAAATAAACTATTAAAAATTTACTTTACTGAAATTAGCAAACTAGACCGCTAGTAATTTCGAATGCTTATTTAAGAAATAAACCAAAATTACTAATCAAATTAGGTGATTACAAAGCTATCCTATTCCAAAAAGTGAGCGAAACTGATTTTTCCGAACATTTTAGCTAGACTAGTTGTTTATATTGCAAGTATATATCCAAAAAAAGGGAGAAAAATAATTGTCTTAATATATTTTAATAATTAAAATAGGTATGTTATCTTATAAATTCAATTTCAAGAAGCACTGTAGCCTATTCTTTAAATAATATCTTGTTGGTGGAAAGTCATTATCAATAAATAATATTTTCCTATGAACTTATATATAATAGGCCGAAATACCATTCACAAACCTCTACTTTTTATATTTCAAGTAATAAAAACATATTTGCTAAGTTTCTCAGAGATGCAAAATAGGAAAATCTGATTGAATTAAATGAAATTTGCCAAACAAATTTTAGACTTTAGAATGCAAAATCAACCTAAATTGTTTAGTTCATCTATTTTTCATGATCTCAGTTTCATTAATCAAATAAAATGGTCAGGTGCACGTTTTTGAATATATTACTTATAATGTTAAAACTTAAATTTCTATTAAACAATAAATATTAATAATTTATTATGCCAATCGTGGCTCTCTAAATACTTCCATTAAATGAAAATATAAGCTTAGATTTGGAAAAAGATACTTCGATCAATGAATTATTCGAATTCATTAAGGGTTAATTTGGGTATTGTTTATTTTATAATTAGATCTAGACTTAATTCAGACGTATAAACCTGGACTTGCTATTCTTAGTTAAAACGCATGAATTTAAATCGCGTCAGTTGCATAGGAGATGTATAAAATGAAACGCTAACCATCAATACTTTGCCTAATGCAGGAATTCAAATGTATACTCCAAATAGTAATCTTGTAAACTCATCCTCTAACATTCAAAATTATGTTAATGTCTAATAATTTCCAGCTCCAGTCCAATAATAAGCGTAACCTTAACAATTTCCACCCCAAAATTCTATTCCATAATAATAATAAAATCAATCCTAACCTCAAAAATCTAATCCTAATTAAGTTTAAAATCAAAATTCGGGTTAATCTTAAGATCAGTCAAATTAAGTAATTCTCCATTTAACAATAACTGATGGGATTTAACAAAGAAAATTCTAAAGTATTTTTACTAAAAATGATTTGCTTGAAGATGTAGCAACTGCTGTGCTTTCCTATTTAGGAGTAGCAAAGTATTTTATTTATAATATATTAAGAGAGGCAGCATCTTGTGATTTAATTATTTTTGGTTAAACTTACAATAGCCCTGAAAAACGTCAAAAATCACTTCTTCAGTTATCCATTTAATCTAATACAACTATAGATGCCCGCTTGAGATGGATTGGTGGTAGCCAACAATGATAAAAGGTTTATCATATAATATAATTATATCTTATAATGTACCATCTTGGTTTCTGTCAAAAGATTGATTTGACATATGAAAAAAAATATATACAGAATCTTAAAAAATGTAATATTTTAAGGAACAAAACGTAAAGAGAGAGCATCTAATTTAGGAATATTAATTGAATATGTAGGTTTTAATAATAAATAAAAGGCTAGGATAATAGAATAGTTTTGCATTTTTTCTTTTAAATTTTAGAGTATATCCAGAAAGAATGGAATAAAACATGGTGGTTTATCTAATTTTGAGTAGTAAATTCTAAATTATTGTTTTATACTTACATCATTAAGAATACCATAATTATCTTCTATTTGTAAGTACAAAAAAGAAATTAATAAAGTTATGTATAATATAATTTACTATTTTAGGTAAAGAGAATAGATAAAGATTAAAGATTATTACAGATTACATCATATTGAATCATTAATGGAATTGCAACAAGCTAGTATGCAATGTCTATAGTGAAATCATATTTATGAGAATGCAATCATATAGCGAAATAGATTTTATATTGCCATTTATTGAATAGACCATCTTTTATTAAATAAGGAAATAATGTCATTATCATATATTGTTGTGAATGAAGAAAAGGGTAATTTTAGGATAATCAAGTGTCTTCATAATTAAAATTCCAGGCTAAAATTTTCAAAAGATAGGAGAACAAAACATTCAATATTAAAAAAAAATCTCAGAAGCAATGATGATGTAAGAGAATCAAACTTATAGTTTAGATGAAAATTTTAGAATCTTAGTAAATTTGAGAATTTTTCAAATGGCTGATATCTGTTACATGTAATGGTTTGGATCCTATTTGGATTGCGAAATGTACAATAGTAACTAACTATTTCAATTCAGAAGAGGGATGATTGTGCTTTATAGAAATACTATTTATAGTTAATAGATTGAACAACATTTTGGCAAAGAGTTGAGATGATTAAGAAAATGAATTAAGTGCTCTAAAAAATTTTGAAAAATAAAAACACTTTTAGAAGGTTGAAATTTAAAGTCTTGAATAGAAGTCATTTATTTTTTCTTCACGAAAACCCTCTCGCTTCCCAAAGGAATATGTCAATCTAAAGTTTGCTTATTAAGACTTCTGCTTTTTGAACATATTTTGAAAACTTTTAGCATTTTCCTATTTTCTATTTACGCGCTCACTCCAGGATTTGAGATCTTTTTATAAAATGAAGAGAATTCTTGAATGTATTCATTGAAGGCTATCAACCTGATATAAATAAACACAGCAAAGCATCTATGACATCCAAAAATATCAGAACGCTGTTACAAGTTCTAAATAGATGTCTTACTTTGGTAATACCGATATATAAGAATTATCTTCAAATGATTTCATTATTAGCCTTAAAATTCTCCGAATTATATATTTTATAATGATGAAAATTATATGTGGGAGATATTAAGAATTGTGTAAATAATTTTTATTTTTAAAAAAATTAAATAATATTAATGACATTCGTCATTCCATAAATAATCAATTTTGAACAAAGGTTTAATTAGAATCAAAAATTTCCTATTCTGATTGTCAACCTCTGTTGTCCCTCCTTAGGATTGCAATAATACAAATAATTGCTAATCAATAATATAGAATTTATTGATTGTACAATTACATCTCAATAAGAATCTACATGAGATCAATGTAATATTTCAATGAATTTCATTGCTGAATTATTGCCTGAAATATCAAAGAAAAATAATCAATTTATTATTCGATTATTATAGTCACTATTTTTTTTTATTTTTATTTGTGGATTGGTTTATTTTTTATTTAAAATGAGTTCTTCTCTAAGACATCATATTTTTCATTCTAATTTAAGTTTTTTGATGATTTTAAAGATTAAGGATATGCATAATTAATATAAATACTTTAAGGCAATTCTTTAGAAGAAAAAGATTTTTGCACATTTTTTAAGTAAAATTTGCTATAAAAATTGAATGACAACATGTTTAATCTTTAATAATGATGTTAAATATATAACGTGGAGACCCTTAGTAAGAGGAAACATAATTAGATGATGAAGAAGTTATCTATATATATATTCTTAGATTAGAAACTTAATAAATTCCTTCAATATTGAAGAACTAAGAAATCTTCTTTAGTAACAAGATAAAAAATTCTGGTTCATTACAAGGCACGGTAATTACTTATTAGAGGTGATTGAATAACACCTAGCCAGGGTTGTAACAGAACTATAAACGAATCCTAAATATGACTGTTCCCAACTTTTAGAATTTCTTCAAGAAAATACCAAGATCCCTTTTGCATAGGAATGTATTCATATATTTTAGTAAAGTAATTCCTAGTTCAGAGAATTTACTCAAGATAATCGAATATACAGAAGACTTACATATTTATGATTTAGTTTCTTCGATTCTATTGTCAGGTTCTAATTATATGATAAGAAGAAAAATTGAGAATCTTCCAAGAATTTTATATTTTTGGAAAATCCTCTATAATCATATTAATTTTCTTGGTGCTCAAAAAATCAATTTACTTGACTATTATTATGACGATCCTAAGTATCGAGAACTCTGCCAGGAACCAATTGAATCTCTGCAGTTTGATATTGAATATTATGAACCTACCTAATTAGATGAAAGTTATGAAGAATTGTAAAAAAATTTTCTTCATTAGAAAAAGTTGGAAGGGTAATTATTAAAAAAAGTATTAATTATTAATTGATTTTATAGAAAATATCAATAGCAGACGACAATTCAACATCAGCTCTTGCATTGTCTAGAAATCTATTAAATCTACAAAATTAGCCTCTTTCTCCATTAATAGAAATAGTAAAATATCGAATCCTAATTTAACGAGGTTTATAAACAGATCCAAAAAAAACTAGGAAAATTATAATAGGATTACATTTAAAATCATTAAAATTTTTGGGATAAAGAATTCTAAAAAGCATTTTTAAGGGTTGTTACAATTAAATAATTGGAAAGTTAGAATAAACTGATAATGATAACTTATTCCGACTGGAAACCATAGAACCTATGTCATTAGAGTAAGTAATTAATATTCCAGAATACCATTTTAATATTTCAGGAAGTGAAAGGCATTAAGAGTTATTATTAAAATTGATATCCGATGTATTATCTATGAACCATATTGAAGAAAATGAATAAATTTAAGGTTATCCTTTAAAATATAATTCAACAATACTGAGTTAATAATTAGCAATGGATGGTCGATTGACTTCCTGCATCCTAATAAATTTTTATCTTATTTCATTTAGAAATGCATTTTTCTCTTCAGATATAATGAAATTGCTAATAAGAGTCCTTAATATTTAAGATAACAAGTTAATGCTTCCTCCTGAATAATTTGGAGATGCATTGTCACTCTACAATTGGTTGTGCTTAAAAAATCAAGAAAACCTAAGTCAGAATTTCGATGATCTTTTATCCATAATTGGTCATTACGTAAATTAAGGATAAAACTTGCAAAAGCCAAGTCAAAAGGGTTATGTCCAAATTAGTGATAATGAAGCAGATTCTATAATGACAAAATGTATTAAAATTCTATCTTAAAATTATGAATTTATGTAATTTGATAGAGACAATATTTTTGAAACTAATCAAACAATAAATATTGACACTTTGCTAACTAATAAAATTTTAAACTCAGATATATTAAAGTGTTTTGCTGGCAAATTAAGTTAACAAGCCTAGCTTACAAACACTGCGTAACAAGCTTTATACTTTATTTCTTGTTTAACTTAAGCAGCTCCTGATTAGACTGAAAAAATTATTGAATCCAAGACACCTGCAATCTTGAATGATATAATTCAAAATATAAAGGTAGAAGAATTAGACCTTAAAAAGACAATTTATATATTAAAATTTTATCGAAATATTTGTCTATAAGAAAAGGGATTTGATCACTTTAGCAATTAAGCTATAAGATTCTTACATAATCTATTACACTATAATTTAGTTGTTTAAGATAATAACATAATGTAATGGATAAATCGATTAAACCAAAATATAAGAGACATTATTCATTTAAATAATAGGATGGTAGGGTTATCAATTGAACCTATTCAATAAATCTATTAATAATTATTAGAATAATTAAATAACAGAATCAAAAATTTGAAATTCGATTAAGAAAGTAAAACAGAATTTAAAAAGATTGTTTAGAAAAAAAATGCCATTCTAACTTTGAATATGAATATTCGTTTGAGTTCTGATGGAATTATAGATGTAATAACAGGATTGTTTAGAATTCCTAGCTTCACCAATTTTTATTCTTCATTAGTAATTATATTATTTATTTTAGATTTAACCTAAAAAAATAATAGAAAGAGTCTTATAGATAATAGAATCATGGGAAGCAGAATTAGGATAAACATTAGACAATGCCTAACTTCAATATTTAGATGAAAAAAAGTTATTTGATTAATTTTCACCTTAAAATTTAACGATAGTTGGTCGTTTTTCAGAAATTTTTCACTATTTTTCTGCTATTAATATTGAACAAATTAGAACATCTACTAAAGATTTAAAGTGCAAATTATTAGAAAAATTAGGTCCTATGTTTGGAATGGTGATAGTCACTAAAGATTCTGAATAATTGAAAAATCATTAAAGTAAGTTTTCTGATGTTGGAATATTAATTGGTTTATTTTAGGATCTAATAAAGTTAGAAATGAATCAATATTTAGAACCTATAGGTAGGTTTTTTGATAAACTAAGTTCATACTTAGTTTCTTGTCCTAATGCTACTCAATAGTTACTCCTATTAATATCTACATTATTACAAACAATTCCCCCAGCTTTCTAAACAAAGCTTTAAATTCTTCTTATCAACTCTTCATTTAAGAATAATTTATTAAATGCACTAAAGAATTATAATGAAATTGATCAATAAAACTCAATAATAACAAAGGAGTTAAAATAATACTTTGAATTAGTGTTTAAATATTTATATCAATTTCCAAGAAGTAAAGAGGATTTAGCACACATACTTCCGAAGATAATTTAGGATGTATAATCTCTTTATTAAATTTCCATCGATTCATATCAAGAGAACCGAATCACAATCATTGAATTTTTAATTAAAAAGATAAGCTAAATATTGAAACCTGAATTTTTAAATTCTAATTTGAGTTAAAATCCTGAATTAATAAATGTAGTAGAAGAAATGGGCTATTCAAGACAACTTATTTCAGAAGCATATAATTTGAATATTGTCTTCAATAGTCCAGAGGATTTGGTTCATTATTTAGAAGAGAATAGGAATTTACTTGAATAACGAATACAATAAGGCCAAAAATAAGAAAACTTAAATTTAGAATTGATTTAAGCTTAAAAAGAATCGCTAAAAAGCTACGTAACAACAAATATTTTAAGATTTCCAATATCTCAAGTATTTTTCCTAAATTTCCCAGGAATAGAGTTTGATCAGATGGAATTGTTCAAGTATTTATTGCATACAGCTTATGAACAGTTTAATTTAAAATTATACTTCTAAGGGGTTGAATTTGAGAATACAAGCACTCCTCCTCCTTGGAGCATTGTGGTGATTTTAAAATTGCTTAGTTAATAAAAACACTTTACTGAAAAATAAGACTTAATAGCAATTGAGATGATAAAGATACTTGAAAAGATATTGCAATAACCAGAAATATGCAAGAATGGTATTTAAGCAATTAATTTTACATTGTCTATTATGACTAAGTTAATCACAAACAATCAAGAAGTCATAAACTTGCTACTAAACGGAATAAAAAAAATACTTGATTTACAAGTTTAGGATGGGATTACTGTATAGTGGTGCATTGATGTATTAATTAAAGTCTTTTCTAAGTAACAAATAATCAATAAATCAATTTATTTCAGAATTTGGGGGGTTAGAATTGCTTTACAAATTATAAGGAAAACAATTAAATCATACATCTATATTTGGTAGATTGGCAATAGGAATAACTACTGATAAAACTACTTTGAGAGCTTAAATTGAAGCAAAAATAAAAAAAATATTATTTGATTAAGAAAATAATGAAGAAATAAAAAAATCGTATGAAAATAAAAATAGCATGTATTTTAAGAATGAAAATGCCTATCCAATCTGTTTACAACCAATATAATACAATGTTTAGGCAAATAAATAATGGAAAATTAAAAAAAACAATCCTAATTTGCTTGCACTTCAAAATGATGTATATTTTAAGGAGGAGGTCAACGAAGTCATGAATATATTATTTACAGAATCAGAAGAGGAAGAATGTTACATATTAAAAAATGGAATTGGATTAGATACATTAAATAGCATCAATAAAAATGATGATTCAATATCTTAAGCCAACTTTAAACTTACTAAAGAAACATAGATTTTCATTAAATTTTTAGTTTAAAAACTAATTTTATCATATTTTGATGAGAATACACAACATTAATTCGATTGGAAAGCTATATTAGAGGTGTTATTGTTTCTTATTTAGAAATTTCCAATACTATTACCTCTGCTTTTACGAATTAATTGTAGTGAATACCTTCAATAATATAAACATAAAATTGGATACGAATCATAAGAATTACCTACTAATATATCATTTCTTTCATTGATAACAAGATTTATCCAACCTACCCATAATTTTTTATTTTATATATGTTTGGATAATATAATACTATTCAAGAAGTCTAATAATATAATAGTTCCTTTTGCAAATGAATTAAGAAGAATGATTATAAAATAGCTTTATAGCGAGATAAGCAAATCAATAAAAACCTGCGATGACAAATTAAAGAACTTAACTTTACTTTTAGGAATACTATTGTAAATAAAATCTGTTGCCAAAATTTGTATCAAAAACATCAATGAGCCTTAAGACACTTTTAATTTTGTGAATTTGTTCATTGAAGGAATCAAAAAGTACGATTTGTAATAATACCTTATCTACAAAGATTAAATATACTTTATACTTACAATTTTGAATTTATTATATAATGTGGCTACAAGCTTTCTTTTAGAGTAAAATGTGCCAGCACCAACTAATTTGAATCAATAAAATATGATGAATAATAATCGTTAAAGAGGAAATAAAATTATTGGTGAAATGAGGTTATAAGAAATGTAAAATTAATTATTCTCATTTGACCAAAGATAACTCATTGACTAACTAAATCCTCTAAGTTTATCAAAATTATATATTTTATAATGGCCATTATTTACAGAAGAAAATTTTTCACAATAGAATTAGAGATAAGAAGAATTGACTTCAAATGATCAATTACACTTAATCGAAGAAAGCTCGGAGTCCCAAGAAATCAGTGCATTAGAATTGGAACATGAAGAAAATTAATTTATTGATGAGTTTGGACAGCAAGCAAATTAAGAAGCTGATAAAAATTTAGAAAATGATAAAGTTTTAGACAATTTTGTGAATGCTTTCATAAATAATGAAATTGAGATTAATTTCTAATTCACTATAATTTTCAATTAATTACGCTTACCAAAATAGTTTTAACACCATTTGATAAAGCTTCGAGAATTTCTTATATAAGATTCCCCTCAGATTATTTTAAGTTAGTATAATTAATAGAGAGTATCATTAGAGGATGGCATTAGGTTTAGAAATCCCATGAGACAAAGAAATAATACTATTATCCAAGTTTTAGGCAGACCCCTGCCTTAAAATCATATTTTGTAAAGAGATTAATTGAATCTATAAAATAATAATGTAAGGCTCATGAATGAGAATATTGAAAGAAATGTTGATAATGATTATGCTGATATTTTTCCTAATGACAATGACCTTGATGAAGATGAAGATGACAGAGATTATTAATCTTTAATCCGTCCATTTTAATAATAAAACTAATTATAATAAATTAATTAGAATAGGACACTTTAAAATATCATTTGTATCTTGAATAACAGAAGATATACTTTAAATAATTTAGGAAAACTAGACTATTAATTCATTCAATTTTTGTTAAAGCTTCTATATAGATAAGATGTTGAGGCTAATTTAAACAATGTCAATAATTTTTTTAAAAGTGTAGTGACTAAAATGAACATTACAAATTAAATGATTGATGATTTCATTCAGATATTAAAATAAATGACTCAAAATTTAGATTTAGTGAAAAAAAGAATCTTAGAGCTGATGATTGATTTATAAAAATTGTAAAAATGCAATTTATCAGCCAATAATTTTAAAGATGTGATAAGCTTAATAGAATTGTTCTAAGGCGAATAGTTGAATCTACTTATATAATTTATGTGTAAATAAGAAAAACTACCGATTGTAGAATTAAGTTAATAATAAATTAACACTCTTTTCAATAATATGCTAAAAGAGAAGGATTTAGAGTTCAGTAACAATTATATAAATTTGATATCGAAACTTTTGGGTGTTCCTTAGAACAGAAATCTGTTTTTTAAACGTATGGAAGATGTAGTTGGAAATACTACAGAATATTATTAGATTCAATTCGAAAATAGAAATACAAGTGACTCATCCTTTGACAAAATAAATGAAGTAGAAAAAATATTTTAACTGCTTCATATTGCTTACAAGCAAGGTGCAGAGGAATAAAATAGTTGCGAGATATTTTTGAACTCAATTAAAGTTGAGAACTTAATGAAGCTTACTGAAAATGTTATATCCATTTTACCAAAGGAATAAGTTCAAAAATATTACCCAGCCTTAGCACCCATATTCAGTATCTTAGTGATATCCAATTAAATTCTCAATCCAAATAACTCTCAATAATTGATTTTTTTAACTAAATTAGCTTCTATGGAGGTTTCCAATTCTTTTTCAGGTTCCTTAGAAATTAGAGATGTTGACTTTGAAAGTTTATCAAGAGAAATCTGTAAAAAGGGCAAAATTTTTATCAATTATATAATAGAACAAAAACTTAATTAAATGAATCGATAAATGGTGAGACGTCAATAACCTACTCAAAACTAACATGATTTTGAATTTTAGAACCTTTATGTGGATTATTTCCTCAAAAATCATTCTAAAATTATTGATTTTGAAAATAAGAAATTATATTTCCATTTAAAGATAAGAAAAACATAATTCAAACGAATTTCAGTAAGAAGAACCCATGTTTTCGAGGATTCTTATAATAAGATTAATAGTTGTGATCCTTAATTATTAAGACAAGTAATTGTACAATTTGAGGGAGAATAAGGTATCGATATGGGAGGTTTATCGAAGGAGTGGATGTAATTACTCACGAAATAAATAGTAGATCCAAATAATAAACTATTTGTTCCTACTTCAAATAAATTGTTTTATTAAATTAATAGGGAATCCTATCAAGATCCTGATCATCTGAAAAAATTTAAATTCGTTGGAATGATTTTCGCAATAGCTACCGCCAATGGTGTTAAGGTATTTGGACGGTTTCCAATCTCTTTCTTTAAACACATTATAGGTTAAAAATTATCTATATTTGATATATCATATCATGATGAAGGGTTATATCAATAATTCTATTCTCTCTATTATAGTAAGAGTAACGCTGATTTTGAATAGTATTTCTTATATACAATAGTTAATAATGGGATACCTGAAGATCTAGAGCTTAAATAAGGAGGAGGAGATATACTTGTCACTTAGTAAAATAAAAAAGAATTCATAAAAATGTATTGCGATTAAATCATGGCAAAAAACGTTGAAAATTAGATGAAAGCCTTTTTAGAAGGGTTTTATTCTGTAATACCGAGATAATACATTAGTATTTTTGATTCAATTTAACTAGAATAATTGTTATGTGGTTAAACTTACATAGATGGTAATAGTTAAATATATATATTCTTAGTTGACGATCTTATAAGCAATCTTTAATACGTTGATTATGCTCCCCAAGATTAGGTGATTATATGGTTATAAAATACATTGAAGAATTTCAGCTAAGATTTGTTAGCAAAGTTTTTAAAATTCGCAACATGTAAAGAAAAATTAATTTTTAGCCTTACCGTTGGCACCAATAGGAGGATTTTAGAATTAAGAAAAAAAGATTCAAATTAGAAGGTTTAATTGTGACTTCAATATGACCGATTAATTATTACCTGTAGGACACACATGGTATAAAATAGATTTACTTATAATAGTTCAAATTAATTAGAACTGCCTCCTTATTCATAAGAATAAATCTTAGCTGCCAAATTAGAAATTGCTATAACAGAAGGGTCAGAAGAATTTACATTAGCATGATTATTTAAAAAATAACATTAAATTATTAGAAATTACAATATTTATTAAAGATTTTAGTATTTTATAGTTCTAAAA